ACAAAAATGGTCTAGTGAGTACTTATCATTACAAAAAAAGCACAGACCTTGGACAGCTCATGAGATTTATGTGGGGTATAAGATGGAGTCTTTGATTTCTTACATCATGGGGTCCTTCAAAGTTGGCCGAGGCAACTGTTGCATTGCTCATGTTGTATTTGTGTTGAGGAAACGATAGCTCTAGTGCCTTCTATTGTCGCAAGTTATTATCTATACTAGGGATGTTAGAATAATTAGATCAATATAATCTTCTAGGGTTATTATAATATTTGAGTACACTTTGTATGATTTAACTTTTTTGTTTGTTCACATAATGGCTTTCAATCCTATATGTTCAACGAGGTAGACTTTTGCCTGAATCTCTTTTCATAAACCTTGAGGAAGGTATTTTTGAAGGTGTGTTCTAAAAGATTGCCTAAAACTATGGCCATGAGTTTGAATTTCTCGTGATATGTTGCTAATGTGCCTAATTACTTGACCTCTAAAAATTTATAACAATGAGATCCTATTTGATTGGAGTGGAAATATTATAAGAGTTATTGGCACAAGTCCTCACCACTTCTAAAAGACTTGAGTATATCAATTCATTTGAACCATGAGAGAGTTTTGCTTTTAAGACTATGACTGATGGTGATAACTATCGGGAGCTTGTGTGTAAAGAAGAGTCATTTTGTTCAGAAGACTTAGCCTTCTAGGTCTTCACTATTAAATAATGACATTTCAAGTTTACATCATTCATGTTGAGTTTTCATGTATGTACAAGATACCTTAATAATTAGTCAACCTTTGAGGTTTAGATCTTTAGGTTCCTATGGAGGTGGAGGAGTACAACTGTGACTTGTTCGCCTAGAGCCCATATGCCTAGGTGGTCCTTGTGATGATGGTCCACAGAGGTATTCTGATGATGAAAGTTTTCAAAAGTGCATGTAATATATTTTAGTTATTGCTTTATCATGATTGTTTCACTTTAGATCTCCTTGACATTAACGTGCAATGTGACGGTGTCATATTAGAGGCTTGAGAGATCTTGATGCAAAATATTATACCTCCTTCTTGAAAATTCTATTTTTGTATTATTTAATTTGAGAGGCATGACTCAAGTACCAAATTTGATAGAAGTCAACCCTTCTCAAAGAGAGAAAATATAAATACAGAATATGAATGACAATGCTTTACTTACGTTAACCCTTGAAAGAAGAGGATATGTGAGGAAAAAGAACTAATAATAAAGTGAGAGAGGAGAGAGAAAAGAAGAGCAACAGGAGAGAAGGATAAGAGAGAGAGACAAACAATAAGGAGAGATGGATAAGAGAGAGAGACAGACAATAAGGAGAGAAGGACAAGAGAGAGACACAGACAGACAATAAGGAGAGAAGGATAAGAGAGAGAGAGAGACGATAAGGAGTGAAGGATGAGAGAGAGAGAGAGACGATAAGGAGAGAAGGATAAGAGAGAAAGAGAGACGATAAGGAGTGAAGGATGAGAGAGAGAGAGAGAGAGAGAGAGAGAGAGAGAGAGAGAGAGAGATAATGGTAAGAATTCTCGCAGCGGTACCTAATTCGAAATGGTCGAAGTTCAAAGCTTCTCATGGGGGGAAATGATTTCAAAAATTCCCACTCCCCTCCTTCGATGGCATGGCTTCCTACACCTAATACCCACTGGGGTTCAGTTCATTTTGACGCCCACGTGTCTTGGCGTCTCCAGCCGCAGAGTTATCTTCTCACATGGAGAGGAGAGTACCCATCAATTTCTAGTCAGATGCCTGGTGGGTTGTGAATTCAAAGTGGGATCGATCTGTTGACTTTTAGGCTTGAAACCCATTTGATCTGATCTGAAGATATTATGGAGAATCCCTCTCGGAATCTTCACCCAAAAAGTCAAGTATGTGATGATCCTATAGAGGAAAGGAAATATGAAACACAGGGGTTGTTTATTTTGCGGGCATGGAAATAAGAATCACTGCCGGCGTTATTCCGGGTCACAGCAACCTCGGAGTAGGTGAGGAGCCCGCTCGGAACCTACTTCGCAGGCGGATACCTTCTCCTTCTCGTGCTTCTATTGGTTTCACGTGGTTATTATAGGGTTTCCGGTGGTAGGTTGGGGAGATCAGGGAAAGCTACTTCTCACATGGATCTCCCCCTTCTCGTGCTCCTATTGGTTCACCTGGGTATTCTAGGGTTTCCGTTTTTGTCTGGTCGGATTCCATGGTTTGGGAAGCTTGCGGGGAAAGAAAGCAAAGATGTTGCGTCGCCGCCTAGCGTTGACCTAATTCGGCAGAGAATACGAGGATATGGAGTAGCCAACTCTTGCTTTTCTACCATCTCGGGGCCTTCAACTCTCCACCGTCTCTGAGCAAGCCGCCGGAGGAGAACAAACGCTGGATGTGGAGTACCCAGAAAGGGCCTTCGCCCACCCACTTCACCCCCCCCACCCCCTAGAGAGAGAGAGGGAGGCAGTGGTTGTGCCACCAAACAGCGGGTCGTCCACATGGCCGAGAGCCCCGCTGTGAGGCTGGGTCACATTAGGGTTACGATGACGGTGGCTATCGATCGAAGGGTCGGAGGAGCTCGTCGAGTGGAGTGGGCAAGAATTGGTGGGCTTTACGGATATGATTGATTGCAACGTCGCAACTGGGCTAAAATAAGACATCCACTGCGGGTCTTATCGATCCTTTCTGGAAGTCAAAGAAGAAGCTGAAGGTAGGGAGAACCCAAGTCTCCCCCTTTCCTTCCCTCCTCCCTTGCAACTCTCCTCTCTCTCTCTCTCTCTCTCTCTCTCTCTCTCTCTCTCTCTCTCTCTCTCTCTCTTTCTGTGGAAACCTGTTGACCAAGAAAGAACGAGGGTTCAAAACGGTGCCTACAGCTAAGGCCGCCGAAAATCACCAGTGCCACTGCCCCTCTCCCTTGGAGCTGTTGACGAGCCACGGGCCATGCAGCCTTTCTCTCCACCAAGAGCCGCTCACAGGCACCTCTGGGTCGTCGTCGTCGTCGTCGTCGTCTCCCAACTGAGCCCTATTCACAGTTCCGCTTCGTTTTTTTAATGGCGTCGGGGTAGAGCAGTCCGTTCCCACCCACACGCCGACGAGCCCGAGCCGCCGCTCGCCTAAAGCGACACTGATATTTCCCCAAAGATAAAGCCGCAGCCAGCCGCCTCACAAGGGGAATGGTCCCCCCTCCTGGCGGCGCCGCCTCCCCACACAGAATCCGGCATCAAGATTCCGCGGCGGTCCCCCGGAAAAGCAAAAAAGGACGGCGGTGGAGCCCTCGCTCTCCTTTTCCTCCTCCCCCTCCGTGAAAGCGGCCACATTCGTCCTGCCGGTGCCGGCGCCATCACTACGCCGGCGTCGCCGTCTGCGCGCGGCCATCTGCAGCAGCACGCCGACCGTTGTTTAATCGCCCACCACGCGCGGCGGCGCCGCTGGCAGGCCGGAGAAAGAAGTTCCCTTTTTCTATCGGCGGCGGCGGACGTGGCGTCTCGCCCTTGACGACGCTACTCCGCTGCGGGCGTGCACAGGGACGTCTACAACTCCCCCAATTTGCCCTCCTTTTTTAGTCCCTCAATCATACGGCCCCTTTCTCTCTCTCTGACAGTCGAAAGATCCTGTCGGTTCTCGGCGCCGATCCACTGAGTTGCCTCGGCCGAGTCGCCCCTGTTCCGCAGGCGTGCGCGCTGACGTGAGACACCTAAAAGTCAACAGGTGATGAACGACGAAGATCCCCTCAGGAGCCGATCACGTGCCGTTGACTCCACTGTTCACCCCCTCCGTTTACAGTTTTTCGTGGAATCCACTGGCCGTTAACGGATTCCGTCCGTGGGCGGATCATGTCGTAGATACTCTCAGCATTAGCGGAAGAATCTCCTCGAGGAGGGCAGATCCGTGGGCGGATCTGCGACGGGAAAATATCTGACGGCTTTTTCTGTCTACCTTTTTATTTTATTTTATATTTTCATATTTGGGAAATTTCCCCACCAAACGAGCAGAAAAAACCCAACCGAAGGGCCAGAGAGAGAGAGAGAGATCCGGGGGCGGTTAAAAAAAGAGATATTTCTCTACTTTAATGCATGCGTTTGTTACCTTCCGACGACGCCGGCAGATACCCGTTCCAGAGTTTTTCTGCTCTTTTTTTATTAATAAAATAAGTCTCGAGAACCGTCCCTCTCCACAGCGTGAAAATAATAATAATTATTAAATAGTTATATAGACGAATATTAAATAAAATATTCCCATGCAAGCATATTAAATAATGCAGTCGTCGTCAGGAGGCATAAAACTATGGGATCTCAATACATTACGCAAACGGTGCGTGAATCAGAAAAAACATCCCCCGGCCTTCGCCGTATAAATTTCCCCGTCTATTAACCCCCAGCCAAAAAAAAAAAAAGAAAAACCATCGCCACGTAGGAGAAGGGTGCGTGGCATCACGTATGATGGCCGCCTATTCCGTGGTCAACGCCTCGCCGATGCTAGCGGGTTTTTTTGGGGGGGGAGAGAGGAGTGGGCCCCACAAGATGCGATTGTCGTTACCGTTTCCGGTGAGTGACGTCACGGATCGGAGGGGGGGGGGGCGTAGGGAAATATCCCGAAGCGTCACGCTTTCATTTTTTATATATATATAATTTAGAAAATACTTTTATTAGTTACAGTGCTGCGGAATCCCGAATCTCGTCTATAAGTAGATATCCGCAGCGGGCGGCGGAGGAAGGGGAGTCGTTGCCGATCAAGGAGGGGGGGGGGGGGAGAAGGAAGGGCTGTGGGCTTAGTTGCTCTGAGGTTTCCCCGGACGGTGGAAGCTTCTGCTGCTGCTGCTGCTGCTTCCTGCGGTTTTTTATTAAATTTTTTGATAGTTCTTCTCGTCATCTCTTCGATCGTTTTCTCCGCGGGCGGAGGTTCCGATCCCGCTTTGCGGTAGAAAACCTTGGCTGCCCGTCGCCGGATCTGTCATTTCTGGAAAGCCGACTGAACCTACGCCTTCCAGTTTGAGAGGGGGCTGGGTGGGGGGATGGCCGCGCTGCCGGGCTCGTCTCTGCATATCCTGAGTGATTCGCCGGTGGTGCCCTCCGTCACCCCGCTGAAGAACATCCGCGCACTCGGCCGCCGCCACCGGAGCAGGGCTGGCAGATGCCCCGCCGCCGAGCGATCCGGGCGAAAAGTGGTCAGCGTGGAGAACAAGTTCTTCGGTGAGAGGCTGCGCGCCAAGGAGCGGTCTCACCAATGGAGGTCCGCAGGTCCGGGGCATTACCCGAAGTTCAGAGTCGTCGGACCGTCCATGTCCTTCTCTCAGGTTCCAGAGAAGAACCTGGGCCTCTACAATCCGTCTCTCGACAAGGATGCTTGCGGGGTTGGGTTCGTGGCGGAGCTTTCTGGCGAATATAGCCGAAAGACGGTTAGTATCACTCTTCTAATGGCTACATTTCTGGCAGAAGTTTCTCGTTGCAAATATTTTACTTTGAGACCTGTCGTTATCCCAGTCGTTCCTTGCAAGTTTAAACGAGTGATTCTGATCTTACAGGTCACGGACGCAGTGGAGATGTTGGTGCGTATGGCTCATCGTGGTGCCTGTGGGTGTGAAACAAACACCGGTGATGGAGCCGGCATCCTTGTAGCTCTCCCTCACGGGTTTTTCGCGGAGGTTTGTCCCCGCTAGGATGGGTTGATGTGCCTTGAATTTTCGTTGCCGTCTTGCTCCAGTCTGTTTCCTTTGTGAAATCTTCGTCGAGTATTTAAATATTATATCTGGTGCTTGGTCTTTATTCGTAACTTCCACTCTTGTAGACGACCAAGGATCTGGGATTCGAGTTACCTCCAGCTGGTGAGTACGCTGTAGGCATGTTTTTCCTGCCAACTTCTGAAAGTCGCCGAGAAGAGAGCAAGACTGTATTTGCAAAGGTAAAATTTAGATCCGACGCATCCTTTTTCACTCGGGAGGAGGGGGAGAGTTGTGATATTTCTCGGGTTCATGCCGTAGGAATTGAGTCTCAACTTCCTTAAATGGTTTTGATGTGATGGATGTCATCTTTTCAGTATATCTAACAAAAAATCTACTCACGTATTTCTCTTAACAGTCAGCTTGACAATTCTAACTTCTTTCTATTTAGCAGTCAGCTTGCCTTTCGTCTATTCTCTTTGCAGAAGTATCGATCCTTAATCTCTAAGTCATTATATTGATATATTTGGATGCTGAATACGGCGTCAATTCTTTATGAATAAAAAGAACGTGGCGAAATTCGTCCTTCAAAAATAAGTTGACGGAGGCTTTGTCATGCCTCCACCGTAACATTCAACTTGGTATACTTGGTCTTTGGTATTTGGTTCTTCAGGGAACGTTACTGCTGCTGTTTCCCTATCTAGTATTCTGCGACCGATTTTGGATTAGAAAATCATCACGGAAAATAAAAATAACATGAAAAATAAGATTCGTTAATATGACATTTTTTTGTGAAAATGGTTGGTGTGCTAGTATTACTTTAAGAAGTGGACGGGAATGGATAAAACTGAAATTTTAAGACAAAAAACTTGGATTTGATGTGGTTGGAGTCTGTAACTTGGTCGAAAATGTCATTCTTATTCCTTAATTATCTTATGAATAGTAATATCATTTCTATGTTTAGGTTGCAGAGTCGTTGGGGCATGTTGTCCTTGGATGGCGTTCTGTCCCGACCAATAATTCTGGCTTGGGGAAATCTGCTGTTCAGACTGAGCCTATCATTGAGCAAGTCTTTCTCACTCCAAGTCCAAGATCCAATATTGACATTGAGCAACAGGTAGTTAATTGTCCCTGCATTTTTCGTGACTTCTTTTACGTTCGAGTTGTTTCTCATGTTTGTGTACTTGTGGCCATTGATTCCTCCTGCGAGCGAAGATGTACATACTAAGGAGAGTATCTATGGTTGCTATCCGAGCTGCCTTAAACATGCAGTATGGTGGAGTGAAGGACTTTTACATATGCTCTCTGTCCTCAAGGTGCTATATTTATTGAAAGCAGTCTGGCTTCTCTGGAATATTATTGGTTGAATTATGTTAAAAGCATGTCGATCTTATTTTCTCTTTGATTGTTAGGACAATTGTTTACAAAGGCCAGCTGAGGCCTGATCAATTGAAGGACTATTATTATGCAGACGTTGGAAATGAAAAGTTTACAAGTTACATGGCCCTGGTAAATCCTTTCACATCTTTTCAATCTTCTTTGTTTAGAAAGTTAGTAATTAGCAATAACTGTGAGCATGCGAACCCGCTGGCAGCAGAGTGGATATAAGGCCTAGGAACATCTTATGCTAGATTCTGAATGATTTTTTCTTGAGTCATGGTGCTGTGATTTCCATTTCCATATCAGGTAGTGGATGGAAAAAGCCATTGACATTTTATTCTGAGGAAGAATCCTGATGCAGCTCGCAGTTAAGTTAGTGAGGGTGAGAATTTCCATGTGGAGGTGGAAGGAAAAATATTTCATCGATGTGTATCAGATTTCCCTTGATATATTATCTCTCTGAAATGTATAATTTTTTTTTGTGAGTTTGATGTCTCATAAACATGCTGGGACTCAAATTATCTGTTCGTTTTAATGATTCATTGGGATTATTAGGTTTGCTGCTTGATATGTTGATCTGATTTTGTAGATCCATTCTCGTTTCTCCACAAACACGTTTCCTAGCTGGGATAGGGCACAACCCATGCGCGTTTTGGGTCACAATGGAGAAATAAATACACTCCGAGGAAATAAGAACTGGTAACTCCTTCCTTGCATACTTAAAATTAAGTGCTCTCCTATCTTTCGGAATCAGTCTGTAGTTGCGGTTTTAAGATTCTGCCTTATCAGGATGAAGGCACGTGAAGGTCTCCTGAAGTGCAAACAATTGAGTCTGACCAAGAATGAGCTGAAAAAGCTTCTACCTATAGTTGATGCCAGCTCATCTGATTCAGGTGTTATCTAGCTCAAATAAATTATCTTTTCAGCATTCAAGTAAATTCCTCATTTTAAAGGTGTTAAAGGTGGTGATGTAGTTTTTGTATCAGAGTCTTACAATGAGTGCATTGTGGTTGCCAACAGGAGCATTTGATGGTGTCCTAGAGCTTTTAATTCGGTCTGGACGGAGTCTTCCTGAGGCTGTCATGATGATGATACCTGAAGCATGGCAGAATGATAAAAACATGGATCCTGAAAGAAAGGCTCTATACGAGTATTTTTCAGCTTTGATGGAGCCATGGGATGGACCGGCGCTAATATCATGTATGCCATTAGGCGTTCCTTTTTCTTATTTATTTTGAACTTCATTGTGAGCTACTGTGTTTTATTCTCGATTTTGGAAATTGTTTGCAGTTACTGATGGTCGCTACCTGGGAGCTACACTGGATCGCAATGGTTTACGTCCTGGACGCTTCTACATCACACATAGTGGCCGTGTCATTATGGCCAGTGAAGTTGGTGTGGTAGACATCCCACCAGAAGATGTGTCCAAAAAAGGAAGACTGAATCCCGGAATGATGCTATTGGTGGATTTTGAGCACCACACTGTTGTTGATGATGAAGCTCTGAAGAAACAGTATTCACAGGCAAGGCCTTATGGTGAATGGCTCCAAAGACAGAAAATGTGTCTTGATGATGTTGTCAGTTCTGTTCCGGAGACTGATAGACTTTTGCCACCTATCTCTGGAGCGGTGCAAGTAAGTTAAAAAAAGCCTTATTTCCTGATCATAGTATGCTGGGAAATGCTTCATCATGTCTTTATTTTCTCAGTTATCAATACATTTTCTTAATATTGTTTTCTTAGGCTGATAACCTTGATGATAGCATGGAAAACGTTGGCATCCATGGTCTGTTGCAACCATTGAAGGCGTTTGGGTAAGTAAACGTGTATTTTTGGTCTAATTAGAAGTACATTCCCTTATTTTACCAGAACTGAAATGATCCATATTCTTACGTGTAGATATACTGTGGAGGCCTTAGAGATGTTGTTGGTCCCCATGGCAAAGGATGCAACTGAGGCTCTTGGGTCTATGGGAAATGATACACCCCTGGCTGTGATGTCAGACCGAGCAAAGATACCTTCTGAGTATTTTAAACAGATGTTTGCACAGGTCACAAACCCACCAATCGATCCGATCCGAGAAAAAATTGTCACCTCTATGGAATGCATGATTGGCCCAGAAGGGGATCTGACAGAAACAACTGAAGAGCAATGCCATCGCCTAGCCTTGAAAGGTCCTTTACTTTCTATTGGTGAAATGGAAGCTATAAAGAAGATGAATTTCCAAGGCTGGCGCAGCAAGGTTCTGGACATCACCTACCCCAAGAATCTTGGTCGTAAAGGTTTAGAAGAAACATTGGATAGGATCTGTTCTGAAGCTCGTGCTGCAATTCGTGAGGGTTACACATTGTTGGTATTATCCGACAGAGGTAATAATTTATGCACTCTTGATTGATTCCTCTCGTTTTGCATATCTCATTAGAATGCCAACAGAGGTCTGTCTATTCTCTAATTCACCCGACCCGATAGTACCCGTTTTAGCTACCTTTTTTGTGCTTTTATTTATTGATTCTCACATACTTTCCCTCGGGAGAAAGTCTTGTTACACATACTTGTTCACTCTTTCCTCTTATTTATCTACAATAAAGTGTTTCTGCACTGTTTATAATATGCTGCACGTGCAGAATGGTTCTTCGAATGCACTTCATGCATGTTAGACCTCCATGTACGACATGTGTTTGAAATTGTTTCGTCCAGCAATAGAGAAATCATATAGCTGAAATTCGGTGGTATATAGAGAAACCGTATTTTATACATGTTTTATTTCTCTTGCCCTGAAATTCGGTTGTATATAGAAAAATCGTATTTAATACACGGGTGATTTCTCTTGTCCTGAAATTCGGTGGTAGTATCTTTATGAGCGTAATACCTGTACAGATGAGGATGACTTTGAGATCATGAAAATGTCAGATATCACATTGACTCAAATTTCATTAGGCTAAATCAGTTGTCGTCTAGGCTTCGTGCCCTTTATAATATTGTATAATTCCTGTTTCCATTCAGCCTTACATGTATAAGTAATTAGGAAAGGTTTCTGTTTCGTGATCTGTGAAGTTGTTTCCTTGAAATTATTGGATAGATCATTTATCATGATATAAATGCGATACTACCGTAGGACATTTCATTAGAGTAGGTACTCCATAATTTACTTCATGGAATGAATCATTTATTGAGGTACCACGAATCTCGACTCAAAATCCTATTCTTCAGGTCCTCAGATTCTCAATTTATGATCTGTAGGTTTCTCATCTGAGCGTGTTGGAGTCAGCTCTCTTTTAGCAGTTGGGGCAGTTCACCAGCATTTAGTTTCAAAGCTGGAACGTACACGAATTGGATTAATCGTGGAGTCTGCAGAGCCACGTGAAGTCCATAATTTTTGTACACTGGTGGGTTACGGTGCTGATGCCATATGTCCTTATTTGGCCGTAGAAGCCATTTGGCGCCTACAGATTGATGGGAAGATTCCTCCAAAGGCAAACGGGGAAATTCATTCACGTGAGGAACTTGTCCAAAGGTACTTCAAGGCGAGCAATGATGGAATGATGAAAGTTCTTGCTAAGATGGGGATATCTACTCTAGCTTCGTACAAAGGTGCACAGATTTTTGAAGCCCTTGGTCTTTCTTCTGAGGTGATTGAAAAGTGCTTCAATGGCACACCTAGCAGAGTTGAAGGCGCAACTTTTGAGATTCTTGCTAGGGATGCACTCCGTCTTCATGAGTTAGCTTTCCCAAGCCGGGCTTTGCCTCCAGGGAGTGCAGAAGCTGTTGCACTGCCCAACCCTGGAGACTATCATTGGAGAAAAGGTGGTGAAATTCATCTTAATGATCCCCTTGCCATTGCAAAGCTCCAAGAGGCTGCAAGAGCAAACAGTGTGGCAGCATACAAAGAGTACTCAAGACGTGTGCAGGAGTTGAACAAGTCATGCAATCTTAGAGGCATGCTGAAGTTTAAAGATATTCCTGGAAAAATCAATTTGGATGAGGTGGAACCAGCGAGTGAGATTGTGAAACGCTTTTGCACTGGGGCCATGAGTTATGGTTCAATATCACTCGAAGCGCATACAACACTGGCAATAGCAATGAATAAACTTGGAGGGAAATCGAATACCGGTACGAATCTTAACGATTTACCTGTCCTATTGTTATTTTCTTCCATGTGTCCGAACTGCATATTTTTCATTCCTTTGGAGTCATTGTTTCTTTTCTTTACTATATCTAAGTTCGAAGGTTGAGATAATTTTTTTGCCTGTGGTTTTAAGTTGAGAGGAACGTCCTATCCCCTGGAATGAGTGTCAATTTGAAAAGTGATTGTCCTTAATTATAGGCATGAATTAAAAACTATACGGATTTTTTTTCTTGCGTTTGGCTGTTTAAAGCGTTCTTTTACGATGCGGGATGTCATATAAATTTAGATGCTTATTTCGGATGAAACCCCTTCTTTTTTCTTTAGCATTGCTGGATATTTACATTTTTTCTGCATTTAGTCTTATGACAGTATTTATTACTCATCTATTACATTTATTCATTGATTCTGTCAACATTATGTTTTGCATGAATAAAATGTCTAGACTCAAATTTTGGCTTTATAGCTTCTCTGAGACTCTTTTTCGAACTACTAAGGTGAGGGAGGGGAGAATCCTTCCCGTTTGGTGCCCCTTCCCGATGGCTCAATGAATCCAAAGAGAAGTGCAATCAAGCAGGTTGCGAGCGGACGGTTTGGAGTTACGAGTTATTATCTCACCAATGCTGACGAACTCCAGATAAAGATGGCTCAGGTAATAATCGGATACTTAATTTTTTTCCTCGCTCAATTTTTCTGTCTAGGCACGCCATTGGAACCTCTGCTTCCTATTTACGTCCTGCATTCGTATTGGAGCAGACGTTCCTTTTGTTTATGAATTTATGTTCATGACAGATGTGGCTGAGTCTACAAAGCACCATGTGTGTCTTTGTATAAATGATGCGTACCTATTGAAATTTGGTGAGGTTAGATGTGGTTGGAATTTAAGTTTTCTGAATGCATATGATGTTTCCTAAAGCTTTTCTGTTCATTTGTCGAATAGGGAGCAAAACCGGGAGAAGGAGGCGAGCTACCTGGCCACAAGGTTGTTGGTGACATTGCTGTCACAAGAAATTCCACTGCTGGAGTCGGACTCATCAGCCCTCCTCCCCATCATGACATTTATTCGATTGAAGACCTTGCCCAACTTATTCACGATCTTAAGGTAAGAAGTGTGGCATCCTTTTTTTTTCTTTTTATCAATTTTTTTGCTTGAGGATACGAATATAACGTGATTACACGGCGTTTTATGTGCTTCTAATGCCTAATATTTTTTTGTTTGACAGAATTCCAACCCAGGTGCACGAATCAGTGTCAAACTGGTATCTGAGGCAGGGGTTGGAGTAATCGCTAGTGGTGTTGTGAAAGGGCATGCAGACCATGTTTTGATCTCAGGACATGATGGAGGCACTGGGGCTTCTCGGTGGACAGGTATCAAGAATGCAGGTCTTCCATGGGAACTTGGGCTGGCTGAGACCCATCAAACCCTTGTTGCAAATGATCTTCGCGGTAGAACGGTTCTTCAAACGGATGGTCAGTTGAAAACTGGAAAAGATGTTGCGATTGCAGCTTTACTTGGAGCTGAGGAGTTCGGATTCAGTACTGCGCCCCTCATAACTCTTGGATGCATTATGATGCGCAAATGTCACAAGAACACCTGCCCCGTCGGCATTGCTACTCAGGATCCTGTTCTTCGGGAAAAATTTGCTGGAGAACCTGAGCATGTTCTAAATTTCTTTTTTATGCTAGCTGAAGAGGTCCGTGAGATCATGGCCCAGCTGGGATTTCGAACCCTCATTGAAATGGTTGGTCGTTCAGACATGCTAGAAATTGATAAGGAAGTAGTCAATAGCAATGAAAAATTGGAAAATATCGACCTCTCACTCCTACTCAAGCCTGCTGCTGAGATTCGACCAGAAGCAGCTCAATATTGCATACAGAAACAGGACCATGGTCTGGACATGGCTTTGGACAACAAACTGATCGTTTTATCTAAAGCTGCTATAGAGAAGGGGCTCCCTGTATTCATTGATGTGCCTGTGCAGAATGTGAATCGTGCTGTGGGAACGATGCTTAGCCATGAAGTAACAAAGCGGTACCATATGGACGGACTCCCATCAGATAGCATCCACATTAAATTGAGCGGAAGTGCTGGACAAAGTCTTGGGGCTTTCCTGTGTCCTGGAATTACTCTTGAACTCGAGGGAGATAGCAATGACTATGTTGGAAAAGGGCTTTCTGGTGGCAAGGTCATCGTTTATCCTCCTAGAAAAAGTAATTTTGATCCTAAAGAAAACATTGTCATTGGTAACGTTGCACTCTATGGAGCGACCAAGGGGGAGGCATATTTCAATGGAATGGCTGCTGAGAGGTTCTGCGTTCGAAATTCGGGTGCAAAGGCGGTTGTGGAGGGTGTCGGGGATCATGGTTGCGAATACATGACGGGTGGTCTTGTAGTTGTCCTTGGGAAGACGGGTAGGAATTTCGCTGCTGGTATGAGTGGTGGAATCGCCTATGTTCTTGATGCAGAGAATACATTCAAAACTAGATGTAATCTAGAACTAGTTGATCTTGACAAAGTTGAAGATGAAGATGATATAACTACCTTGCGCATGATGATACAGCAACATCAGCGACATACTCGGAGTGAGTTAGCCAAGGAAGTTCTTGCCAACTTTGACGATCTTCTTCCTAAGTTTGTGAAAGTGTTTCCTCGCGATTACAAGAGGATTCTTCAGAATATGAAGGCAGAGGAGGCTGCTAAAGAAGCTCAACAGAGAGAGGAAGCGGATTTGATGAAGAAGGACGCTTTCCAAGAGCTGAAGAAGCTGGCTTCTGCATCCTTAAACGAGAAAGCGAATAAGGTAACTAGTTTCCACTATTTCATTACATCTTTAAGCGGATTAAAGATAAATTGTCAGTAACAAGAAAATCTCTTTATGTGGCCACTGGAAAATAACATATTATAATTTATTTGTTGTATTTTTTTTTAGAGGTTCTCTAGTTAGAAATAGTAATTTGTCAACGGTGCATTGGAAGGTCTGATTTAATCTGCTGGCCATAGGTCGATTGCCTGCCTGGCTCCTTTGGGAGTAAATTCCTGTCTGAAATACTTTGGCGTCTCATCAGGACAAAAAAATATAGATATAAAAGGTGTTCTTAGACGCCGGAAGGAATTTTATACTTTGCTGATTTTTTTTTTTCAAAATAAAGACCTTGTGATTTTAAAAATTTGCAGAAAATAGAAGAGCCACACCCGTCTAAGAGGCCAACTCGGGTTACTAATGCTGTCAAGCACCGAGGCTTTGTGAATTATGAGCGGGAAGGTGTTTCATACAGAGATCCAAATGTACGGATACAGGATTGGAAGGAAGTTTCCGAGGAATCCAAACCCGGTCCGCTTCTTAAGACCCAGTCTGCAAGATGCATGGACTGTGGAACTCCCTTCTGTCATCAGGTGAATGCTATACATTTTGATGCTCGGTCATGATATAGATAATGAAACATTTATGAACTCAATTCTCGGATAGTCTACATATTTGGACTAAGATTGACCAGAAAGATGGTCAACTTAGAAAATTCTCTTTAATATTAAACAGTATGAACTGTTTGAAAGATAGAGCGTCAAGCTGAGTTGTCGTCTCCATTGCCACTGGATTCCCTGCGTGGTTCAAGGTACTTATTGCTTCTTCTGCTTGATTTTCAGGACAACTCTGGGTGCCCCCTTGGGAACAAAATCCCAGAATTTAATGAACTAGTTCACCAGGAGAGATGGCGCGAGGCGCTCGACAGGCTTCTTGAGACGAATAACTTCCCAGAGTTCACCGGCCGCGTATGTCCTGCACCCTGCGAAGGCTCATGCGTTCTTGGGATCATTGAGAACCCTGTTTCTATTAAAAGCATAGAGTGTTCGATCATAGACAAAGCCTTTGAGGAGGGCTGGATGTTGCCTCGACCTCCTCTGAAGAGGACAGGGTGAGAGCCTTCTCGCCAATTCCTTTTCCCCTGTTTCCTTTCTTCTCCATTACCATCACTGTTTCCTTACTTGTTTTGGGCATGGATACAGGAAGAAGGTTGCTATAGTCGGCAGCGGCCCGGCGGGTTTGGCCGCCGCAGATCAGTTGAACAAGATGGGCCATTCTGTCACCGTCTTTGAGCGCGCTGACCGGATCGGCGGCCTTATGATGTACGGTGTGCCCAACATGAAAGCGGATAAAGTTGACATTGTTCAGCGCCGTGTAAATCTCATGGCGGAAGAAGGTGTGAGATTCGTGGTCAACGCCCATATCGGAACGGATCCTTCGTACTCACTCGACCACCTCCGCTCAGAGAATGATGCAATCATTTTGGCTTGTGGCGCCACGAAACCGAGGTATGCAGGAGAGATTACTCCCTTCCCCTCCTCTCTCTCTCTCTCTCTCTAATTCACAAATGGGTTTGATATCCTCTGGCATTCTGATGGCATCTCGCTGTCTTTCTTCTGCAGGGACCTTCCTGTTCCTGGGCGGGAATTCTCGGGGGTGCACTTTGCCATGGAGTTCCTCCACGCCAACACCAAGAGCCTGCTCGACAGCAATCTCGACGATGGAAAGTACATCTCTGCCAAAGGGAAGAAGGTAGTCGTCATCGGCGGAGGAGACACGGGCACCGACTGCATCGGAACCTCCATCCGCCATGGCTGCACCAGCGTCGTCAACCTCGAGCTCCTCCCAGAGCCGCCCATCAAGAGAGCCCCCGGAAACCCCTGGCCGCAGGTTTTTCCTCTCTAGAATTCCATATTTCCTCTTTACCTCCCTCCTTTCTCCCCGTTTCTCAAGAACTCATTCCCTTTCCTCTGGTTTTTCGCTGCAGTGGCCTCGAATCTTCCGCGTTGACTACGGCCACCAAGAGGCGGCGACCAAATTCGGGAAAGACCCGAGATCTTACGAGGTGCTGACCAAGAGGTTCATCGGAGACGAGAACGGGGTGGTCAAAGGGCTCGAGGTCGTACGCGTGCACTGGGCCAAGGATGCCAGCGGGCGGTTCCAGTTCCAAGAAGTTGCAGGGTCTGAAGAGATCATTGAAGCCGACCTGGTGCTCCTCGCGATGGGCTTCCTCGGTCCTGAACAGGTCAGCGAACAATTCCATCTCATTTCCCAGAAAAAATCTGATCATCCAGGAACTGTTCTCCGCTAATTTCTGTTTGACTTTTGCTGGCAGAAAATCGCCGACGAGCTGGGGGTGGAGCGGGACAACCGCTCGAACTTCAAAGCTGACTTCGGGCGCTTCTCAACGAACGTTGAGGGGATCTTCGCCGCCGGTGACTGCCGGAGGGGGCAGTCTCTGGTCGTCTGGGCCATCGCCGAGGGCCGGCAGGCGGCGTCTCAGGTGGATCGCTACTTGAAGGACGAAGGCAGCTTGGGCGCCGCCGACATGGCACAAAAGATCAGCTGCAATGGAGACTTGGAAGATTTGGTCAAGAATCCGGGCGGCAAGCGCAGAGTAGCTGCTTAGCTTGGAAGAACTAAGAGAATGGCGACGCATCCGCAGGAGCCAGGCCCTGAGCTCTCTCTCTCTCTCTCCTCCTCATCGAGAGGAAAGAGTTAGAGAGAGAGAGAGTTTACTGATCTCTATTTGTTTTTTTTTTCAAGAAGAAGAAGAAGAAGATGAAGAAAGAAGAGTGAAGAGAGTTTTCTTGCTCGACCGGGACGTGGGAATGAGAGATGGAAAAGCCCTCGTTCTTTTCGTCTCAGACTTGTACTCATTCGCCTCATCCCTTCCCCGCGCTCCCTTCCAAGGAGACGATATTTATTTTTTATTTGGGTGCAGACTGTACAGTCTCTGGAATAAACTAGGGTTCTTGATACCGCCATATCTTGTACGCTAAGCGTTAATGGGCCCTCCCGATTAACCCACTCGAGCTCATGGTTCCATCCCCCGCAGTGGCTTTCTCCCTCCTCTCTCTCTCTCTCTCTCTCTCTCTCTAAAATGCAGGGAACGGATTAGCTTCACAAGAGGAGGAGGCGAGACTTTGTGAAGTAAATGAATAAAGACGACAGAATATACAAAAGCAAAGGGTCGGTCGCCGGTCGGGATCGGCTCTTTTGTCTGGGACTGCTTCTCCGAGCACACTTGCGGTCCTCAAGGAGGAAAGGACATGCAGAGCCGTTGAGTGCTCACATCGCCGTGCGCGCCGCCAGCCTGCCGGCGGTGGACTCTGGAAGAAATTCCCCTCCTTCCCCTTCAGGCTAAGCTGAGCGATTTGGAGAAACCCAGTCAGAATCTGGTTGACTTACGTCCGATGACGCTGACTTACTTTGTCTTCGCTCTTACGGCTCCGTTAAAAAGTCTTACTTGGTTCGTACTCCAACGAGCCTTTATAGCCTCGCATCTAACTCATTGATTACGTGAACTTCAATGCAGATCTATCTATGTCGTGAAGTCAACATAATCATAGGTTTAAGACAGGGAGTCCTACAGATTCGCTTGCTTGAACCGTAATGCTACAGTTTTTCCATCTGAAACCTGATCGTATCATAAAAAAATTCATATTTTTTATTGACGCGATCCAGGCAAGAAATGAGATCTTCGTGTTCTCCCTGCCCACACGTTGACTTCCGCCTGGTTCTCCCCAGCAATCCAGAAGCCGAATCAAGAACTACTGAAGCGAGAAGCTCGGGTTATTTGCTCTGATGGAGGATGCTTTTCTAGAGTTTCTCCTCGCGATGGGCTCCGTGCTTTCTGTCGGCAATAACTCGCCGACAGACACAATGCCGCTTAGGAGAGCGGATCTTGGGAAACCACGGAGGAAGAGGGTGACCCACCTGACGCGGGAACGTTTCCGAAGATCTGGCGTGCGAGTTAAATGATAATTGGTGGGAGATTCTTTTTAAATTCCAAGGGACTGGAGCAGGGGGCCAACGGGGACGACTGCAGACGAGTCCCATGTGCAATTAATCGCCGCCTTCAACTTGGGAGAGAGAAAAAGGTTCGACTTTTGACCGAGACGCAGTCGAAGATGGGTCATCAGATGGAAAAAGTTGTAACCCAGAGGATAGATCCTTCGCCGGCGGGCAGGCAGCGATCACATGGGCAGCTCGGCGCGCCCCCCTTCCCCCTTCGCCCCACCATTAATTATACCACCCGCCCGCTTCTACCTCCCACTCCACATGCCGGCGCATGGCAGGAAGCCTGTGGGGGCGACGCGGGCCACCCGCTGGGCTACGCTGCCGTTGGCGGCGGTGCGGGGCATTTGCGCCGGCGGAGGAGGAATGCCCTCCCTTCTTTCCCTGCGTGTGGAAATTTTCGTCTACGACGTTCATGCACGTTGTTCGTGAGGGGAAAAGGGTCGAAATTTACAGGTCTGGATCCACAGCAGTGGGGAGGGATCGAGCTAGAAGAGAGGGATTGTGGGTGGTGGGGGAACGGGGAGCTCTGAGACTAAGAGGAGTCATCAGAGACATCGGGGCTCCGAGATCTCCGTAATGCACTCAAGAGAAGGTCTCCAGGCGTCGGATCTTCCCTTCCTCCTCGCCTCCCTCCGTCTGCCGATCTCCCCCAGCACGTCCTCCAGCTTCTTCTCCCTCTTCTCCTTGAGCTGGAGCAGAAGCCACTCGAGTTCTCCTCTCGTCAGCACCAGCTTCACCTTCAACCCGTCGCTCCGCTTCCCTGCACCCTCTGCCTCCGCCGCACCAGCCGCTCCTTCCATCGCCACCGGGCCGTCTTCTTCCGCCGGCGAGCACCTCTCCATGCAGTTCCCCATTCCCCCCGGAGAAGCCCAAGAGCCCTTCTTCTCAGTTCGCGGGCAGCGATCTCCGGCAAGGTATCAGCTCCTCCTTCTCAGCTCGCTGGCGGTACTCTCCGGCAAGGTATCAGCTCCTCCTTCTCAGCTCGCCAGCGGCAGTCTCCGGCAAGGTACCAGCTCCTTCTTCTCAGCTCGCCGGCGGCGCTCTCCGGCAAGGTACCAGCAGCTTCTTCTCAGCTGGCCGGTGGCGATCTCCGGGAAGATAGCAGCTTTAGGCCATCCTCTCCTTGATGCTTCATCGTCACTGGAGTAGGATGGAGATGGTACTTAAAAGGGGCCTTGAAATCGCCATCATTCCTCTGGAATTAAAGCTATAGGTTTAGTAAATTCCTTCTATTATCGCCGGGGGTGAAGTGGGCCGGCTGTGTGGCCCACAAGAGGGAGCAGGCCCACAAATGAGGCAGTTGCGCCAAAGCACCACTCCTAAAGGCTTCCTACTCCACCTGCTACTCAATTTATTTTATTTATTTATATTCAAATATGCCCTTGTTTCTCTCTCCTGCTCGACCCATTTCTGGCATCCGCCATGTGGATGACGACCTAATCCTCCAAATGCAGCTCGCAACCTTGTCGGAAGCGGTAGGGCGTCATCATGACGCTATCATGATGCACAGGACGTGGCAACTGCATGGTTCGCCGCGTGTTAGTTCAGTAGCCCAGGCCCATTAAAAAGGTGGGCCGCTTCGTTTTTGAGGAGAAATATTTTCCTTCATGAATTGACACGTGGCCGCGTCGCGGGGGCGGCGGGAGACCTCTGCCGTTTTGCTTCTTCTCTCCAGTCTCAGAAGATGGATCTTCGATCTTCTTGCGTCGGCCACATCGCTCGATCGTTCCCCTCGAGAGAGATATCGGACAGGGTCAGGTATGGCGCGGAATGTTGGCCGCCTGATGTCGCGCTTGTTGGAGGTCGGTGATCCCAAGCTAGGGTTGCCGTATGGTGCTCGTAGTTTCGCTTTCCCCATTGCGGAATCGAGGTCCTTCAGCTCTGCGGGGCAACCGCAACCGCAGCTGCATCAGCATTTGAAGAACGCGAACGAGACGACTTCTTCTTTTGCCGCCCCAGGTGGTGACGTGACCGAGGAAGAGGTGAAAGTGGTGGACGGGGGTAAAGAAGCAGACGATGATGATGACGACGGCGGCGAGTATGTGAACAGGGAGACAGGAGAGGTTGGAGGGCCGAGGGGGCCGGAGCCGACCCGCTATGGCGATTGGGAGCGGGGTGGCAGATGCTCTGATTTCTGATCATCGATGGGGAACATTGTCATGAAGGTAGTACTATTGACTGTCCCCCTACCCCCACCGGAATATGGGGAGAAATTTTCAACCTTATCGTGTAAATTTCCATTTTCTATGCTGAGGAATTAGATGAAATATCTACGTCTTATGGATTATGGGGTTATTCTGGAAGTGCAAATCGATTTTTTTAGATTGAAGAGTCGAAATTCGGTTTCGGTATGGGTGGCATGTGTATCTAATTCATATTGCCTCTTCCATGCAAACCATTTCATTCGCAGTAGTATTTAAACGTAAATTGCTCAGGAAAAAAGCAAGGATGTCGCTAAGTGCATGGCTTATATGTCCAGAATAGTTCCAGTGCTTTGCCCATCTGATCCTGTACGTTGGCGATATTAGTATTTGTTCACTCATTTGCAAGTCAGCTTCACTTGGGAATGTTTGGTGTTTTTATTTGACAGAGTGTGTGGTAGTGTTGAGATCCATTTGGTTCATCTTTTGCTGACCTGATGGTCGGTTCATCTAGAATTAAATCATGGGAAATATCGTATGAGTGAGGAAGACATGGATTTCTCAGTATGTTGCAGCTTGGATTCCTAATGTGCTCGAGAAATTATGCTTTCATTTTTAAATCTGCTGTTGAGCTTGTAGAGTGTTGGCTCTTTTTCATCATGTTTCCTGAAGTTTAGTTCTGCATACACCATTGAAAGATAGCAGAGTTATTGAAAAGAGGGCATTTCAATCAGAACTTCAAGATTTTCCTTACGTTTTATAATTTTTTTAAAATGTGGTCCACTCTCTGTTTTCTCTCCAGCATAGTTGGGAGTATTGGAAAAGGCCATCACAATCGTTCTATTTTAGCCCATCAATAGGCGGAATGAGGCAACGTGTAAATCTTTTTGTTAAAGTTCCTGGCCTCTTGCTTAAACCAGGCTATATATGTATGATAAAGGAAGCTTTGCTGTTGTGCGGCTGCGATATTCACTCACACCCCTGGTTCTTTTCCTTCAGCATTCTCTCCTAACCCGTTGACCTTGACTATCTTCAAAGTTGAACCAGCTGACTGTGGAGATGACTTTTTTGGCAGAGGCAGGTACTACAACATATGGCTGTGTTGACTATTTATGTTCAACAGCCCGCTGTTGTTTCTGCTGACACTAGTTGTACTCTCCAAGAACCGTCCATCTCCTTTCCTGTTCTTCCTTACCCTTTCTTTTCTTCTTCCACGACTCCAGCCAACTCACACCAAGAAAACCCGTGAACATAACCAGGGACCCTTGAAAAGAAGCCGGTGACTAATGGGGTCATAGAATCACCATCCATACCAAGGTAGGTATTAAGCCAGAGTGAGCCAGTCTTGGTTGGAACTTTAGATGATTGCCAAGTTCTTCCTGTCAACACAAATTACCCATACCGTGAGAAACGATATTACCTTACTATTCGTTGGTTTTAACAGCTGCAAGAAGGAGGGATCTTGGTCTTCCCATGGCGAACATCCTTTATGAAAAAATGTGATTTCTCCGCATAATATGTGAATTTTTGGATTGAATAAAATCTCTCAAACCCACTTCTATCCTGAAATGATGAAGTTTATCTTGTAGGTTATTCTTACCATATTATTTTCCTCTCTTCGGTGGCACCTCTGTCTTTCCATGGAATCTTTTCTGGCGAGATCCCCTGTTAGTTTGAATCATGTTTGTGGGTTTTAGAACGAGAAGTGGAAGACAGAAAACAAAAAGTCTGAATGTGATGGAGTGGAATAATATGTGGAAGCGGTGAAGAAGACTAGAACAGTAGGCGCATTAAATTTATAATATTTCAAGCGATGGAATGAAATAACATGTCCCTGACCTCAGTTTTTGTATAGTTTGATGGGGTGATTGATGATTCTGCCTTAGAATCGTCCAACAGAAGGGACATTTCACATTTTTTGCTTTGATTAAAGTTCAAAAAACTAAATTACCTTCTCTTCACCCTTTTTATTGTAATCTCATCGCTCTGGACTATTTTTATTATCGTCAATTCCTCTTTCTCTTGTACTTCGTTCTCCACAAAGCTATCCGTTTTTAGTCTACATTCACTGAAGCAGGACTGTGTTGAAAATATTTGGGAACTATGCTTAAAAAATTTGTTATTATTATCAACATTTACTTATCTAGGCCAAAATAATTTTATTTTTAAAAAAAATATTAAATTTGCTGAGGATTTCTTCGACTAACAGCTGGTTCTTTACGCAGCAGGTCCAAGATGGCAGGCAAGGGAAACTGACGTAGAATGGTTTCTGCTGAAGATTTTGTGTTATCTCACTAAATAAGGCAGCTCTAATCTTCTACTCTGGTTTAGATGTTTAGAGAACTCTTCCCAATGACAATATTCCATAAATGGATGGTCTCCGATGTCTTCTTTTCTTTTTCCTTCTATTCCTGTCGACCCACTCCTCTGACCTTCTCGTGTACCCCTTGTCCTGTGATCTTCTCTTCGAGAGTCTCAGCGGGTCGGGCCAGCTCGGCAGCCCTGACCCGTTTCTTCCGGGCTCAGTGGAGCCATCGCGGGATTACAATTTAGCCTTGCCCATATGCGTAAATGGACTTTTTTTGAAAATGATGATTCCTTCGATGGGCAGCGTCTTAATCGTATGGTGGTTGTGCCATAGAAAACCCGGTGTTTAGTTTGGCTCGGCCCGTGCACTGGACAGGACTCGGGCTTCGTTGGGTTCTGGCTACCTTACGACCATTACACTTTCTCTCCCCTTCTCTCTTTATCTCTCTCTCTCTCTCCCTCTCTCTCTATCTCTCTCTCCCCCTCTCCCCCTCTCCCCCTCTCTCTCTATCTCTCTCTCCCCCTCTCTCTCTATCTCTCTCTCCCCCTCTCTCTCTATCTCTCTCTCTCTCTCCCCCTCTCTCTCTATCTCTCTCTCCCCTCTCTCTATCTCTCTCTCTCCCTCTCTCTCTGTCTTCTCCCCCTCTCTCTATCACTCTCTCTCTCTCTATCTCTCTCTCTCTCCCCCTCTCTCTATCCTCTCTCTCTATCTCTCTCTCTCTCTCCCCTCTCTCTATCTCTCTCTCTCCCTCTCTCTCTGTCTTCTCCCCCTCTCTCTATCACTCCCTCTCTCTCTATCTCTCTCTCTCTCTCCCCTCTCTCTATCCTCCTCTCTCTCTATCTCTCTCTCTCTCTCCCCTCTCTCTATCTCTCTCTCTCTCTCCCTCTCTCTATCTCTCTCCCTCTCTCTCCCTCTCTCTCCCTCTCTCTCTCTCTCTCTCTCTCGCTCTCCCCCTCTCTCTGTATATCTCCTTCTCTCCCCCCATCTCTCTCTCTCCCCCTCCCTTTATCTCTCTCGCTCTCCCCCTCTCTCTGTATATCTCCTTCTCTCCCCCCATCTCTCTCTCTCCCCCTCCCTTTATCTCTCTCTCTCCCCCTCTCTCTATCTCTTTCTCTTCCCCCATCTCTCTCTCTCTGTATCTCTTTTCTCCCCCCATCTCTCTCTCTCTATCTCTCTCTCCCTCTCTCTACTTGTTGGAAATTGTAGTCTTAAGTCTGGTTCTCGAGAGAAAAGGTAGAGTTTTGGGGCGGCAAGATAGGTTTACAATTGAGGAATTCATTTACTCTTACAACAGTTATAAGCTTTGTGCAAAATTAATCGGGCACCCTTACGACCATTACCCTCTCTCTCTCTCTCTCTCTCTCTCTCTCTCTCTCTCTCTCTCTCTCTCTCTCTCTCAAGAGTATTGAGGCGGCAAAATCCATTTATTAATTTAGGAATTAATTGACTCTTAAAAAAGTCACAATCTTTATATTAAAAAATAATTAAGCAAAGTAATCGTCTTCAATAAGATAATTATTCCCACCGTTGCTGATTGCTTTCCGGTTACGAGAAGACCCAGGGAACGTGTTGTCTGTATGTGTGTGTATATATATATATATATATGTGTCTCGTCGACGATGCGGGGATTCCGTTAGCTGATCGGCGTCGAACGCCAAATCGGAGTCGAGGGGCGAGATGGCGGGAGACCGGGCCGGGAGGAGCCCCCCCTTGGATCCTAGTCTCCCTAGATGGATGTGTCATAACTGCCGCAACTCATTGTGCGTCGTCGGAGTTGAGTCCTTTGCCGACAAATTCTTCGGCGATGCCTCCCGCTCTGGTTAGGGCTTTTCCTCTAATCACCATTTTTCTCAAGCATGCCGTGCTGTTCTTCGTGTCAGGTTTATCCCAGTGAATCTCCTTCCTACCGCTCTTTTGTTCCTTCTGTACCTCTGTACATTCCGATTTCCTCCGGGTTATTTTTCTTCGTCCGGAAGCATCTGATCGCGCGGAAATTATCGATATCGTCCCTGTGGGCGTGACCTATATTATGATTTTACGTGTTTAACTGCTCAGTTTTTTCTTTCATATTCGAATGCTGATATCTGGCCTCTTGTCCTGCGAAGATACTTTTTTTTTCTTTATGGCCTTATTTCCTCGAAGACAATTTCTGTTCACCTTCTTACGAACTTATCTCCGTCGGGCAGGGATGCAGGCGTCCTCAGTTCAGGGCAGTGTATTGGGCTCTAGTCGGATGGACCATTCATTTGTTGTGTTGCCCAAGCAGAAAACCCAAGGTCCTGGAGTTCCTCCTCGCCCTCGTATTGGGAACCAGCAATCCGAGGGTAACCAGCCAGGTAGGATGATGGAAGAATCTTTTGTTTTGGTTCCACATGCCGCGGCATCCATGTACAAGAACGAGTCTGTGGCTGAGGGAGGCAGCATGCATTCATTGGCACATGAAGAGAGCCCGAGCAGTCCCTTCCAGTCAAATAACACGGGCTTCCATTCAAGTATAACCATCTTGAAGCGCGCATTTGATATCGCCACATCCCAAATGCAGGTATCATAGTGGTTTTCTAGATCAAACAGCTTGACTATTTCGATCGCAGCATAACAATTTTCCCCACATTTTCTCTCTTTCTTATTCGGGCACTTAGTCTACAGAAAATGCTAAAGATTCCAGTGAAGCCTACAAGATGTTCTTTTTTGCTTATTTTCTCTACTTCTATCTGGACAACCTGCAATGGTGCATATTTAAATCATACCTGTTCACTAATGTCTGTTACAACAAGTATTGGTCTGGTTTATTATCTTTCATGTCTTGGAACGTGAATATCTTATGCCTCTTGACATGAGATCTTCCAGCTTTGTTCATTTAGGGGTAAGCCATCAACAAAGTCTAGCGTGAATTCATTGTTTTGATAAAAAATGTACTTTCTGTTTAGGTCGAGCAACCTCTTTGTCTAGAGTGCATGAAAGTGTTGTCAGATAAACTTGACAAAGAGGTTGAAGATGTGAACAGGGACATTAAAGCATACGAAGCTTGTCTACAACGCTCTGAGGAGGAATCCTACAATGTTCTCAGTGATACTGATTTTTCTCGTGAGAAAAAGAAGGTATTACTTTTGTGGTTTGATTTTTACTAAATTATTTCTTTAGCACCTAATTATTTTTCATGTAGTTCCGTGAATATTTTTCAGTTACTTGATGTCGTCATAAAAAAAAACTTTGCAACTTTAGTTTTCCATCTATATTTTAGATTAGCCACCTGATTGCTCTGATGAAGGCATTATGAGTTTCTAGACATTTTAGTACGAGAAAAGTTAGCGTAATTTTTTTCCTTAATGAAAAATGTAGTTTTTTGCCCGAAAGAAAATGTCCATTTTATGTAAAATTTAACGACGGCCATGGAGCAAAATTAGTACATTACCGTTGAATAGAATCGTTGTGATCTGTAGTTCATCATTTCCTCCGCATTCAGTTTCACTGGGGGACCATTTACCATGGGGAATCAGTATAATTGTTTCCTTAGAAGGAGGTTACGTCTACTAATAAACGGAACAACTTTCTGCAGCATATCATTTTATGGTTTCATTTTTTGCATTGATTTTATTGTACATTTGATGGAGGTTTGGTGGTATCCCCGTTAGGATGTTCCTTGATAATGGTTTAACATGGCTCCTGTTGAAGGTGGCAAAGGATCAGTGTTAACTCTTGCTTTTGAAGACAAAATTGGTGTTTATATGCTTTGTAACTAGCTTCCAAGGCCTAGGAAGAGAGACCAGTAGGCTTAGACAATGTTTGACCTCCTCGCACATTCAGCATGATGAAACTGATTCAGTGTTCTCTGAAATAGTACTGCATCATCTAATGTTTCGGAAGCAAGTATTCACATAGCACCCTAGTAGATGATACGTCTACAGTGTCGTTAGGTGGTCAGACCGCTTCTTCTACAGTTACATTTTGCTGATGTATGTTTTATACCATTATCCAAAAAGTGCACAATATATAGAATTTCCTGAGATTGATTTTTTATTTAATGTTGGAATAAGGAGTGAACAATGTCTGAGGCCTTGATGTGTCTGATGATAAGAGCGAAAAGAGCACATACGATCTCTTTTTCCCGGACAGGAAAATGGTGTCAGGGTTTTCTTCCTTAAGTTTCTTTCTATGCGTCCTGAGTATTCTTGCGTGCGCTTGATTGAAGGCTGTGACTTTCGTTGTGATGTTAATATGCTTGTGCTCTATCTACCATATTTTCCTTAATACTAGGTAATTTTATCTTATTTAAAAATTTAAATAAAAATTCCTCATATCGGTGGAAAACCTCTGTATTCCTCGTGCTTGTATCAGCAATCAGAAAAGGAAAAAGTGCTCTAATCGAGTGAAAAGTAGTTCTCTTAATCAAGATATTCATGGCATGATGTCAGAGGTTTGATTTTTTTTTCTGTTTTTTTTATTGTTGTGCTTGTTAAGATTGAGGAAGAAGAAAAGAGACTTTTGGCTAGCATTCAAGAAGTTGAAAGACAGTGTGCAGAAATTGATGCTGAAGTGAAGGAATTGGACACGAAATCAAAGAATTTCAAAGAATTGGAGGAAAGGTTAGTGCTGAAAAGACTTATATCTTTTATTGGGGTGTTTTTAGTTTTAACTTTACTAAGTGATGTTGCATTGTAGAAGGAAAACGTCCAAGTTGTTGACTATAAGGCTTAGAATTTATTCCAATGACATGGATGGCGGATTCTACATTAACATTGACCAGGTTATGGTGGCATTATCTTCACTGTCACAAGGACTGAAATTTCGTGAAGCATTTTTACCATTGAGATAGATATGAGAATTTAATGTTTTTAGTAGGGTACAGCGTCTCGAATATGCTCGAGTTTCCTACCACTTATCATGGGCAACATTTAGTTATTCAACACTACTGACTCTATACATTTGTTATCTAAAAGTTTGATCGGCTTGTTGTGTAGAAAAGTATATAGTCATGATTGCGGTTGATGTGAAATCCTTTAAAATGAGTGTCAGCGATAATTGTATCGAAAGATGTGGGAAGAATGAAATAAGTTCTTATAGGATGAATACCATTTTCCAGTTTTGTTGTGATATATCCTGATGGTTGGAACAAGGCTATTCTATTTTAGTTTTGATCTCATCCATTCATTTTTGTGGCTAAGGTTCAAAAAAGGACTCCTAAAAAAGAGGTGATTGTTGAAACTTCTTATTATCTCAATCCTGGAAACATACGAAGTTACTTTTGGACTCCTTTTTGAACGTTGATTAGACTGCCCTCTTGTTTTTTCCTTTTCTCTAAAGTGTTATAGAAATCCTTTTCGTTTTCTGTTGTTTCCTACAAATCTGGTGTGTACATAGTTTGTTTATTGGCATTGTGTGCAAATCTGGTGCTTCGTGCGTTCTCTCTTCTATCTCTTTTCTCCTGAATAGATTTTTCTTTTCTATTATTCTAGATATTGGCACGAGTTCAACAATTTCCAGTTTCAGCTTATATCCCATCAGGTATGTTAGTTTTTTATTTCATATGGATTTTATTCTGTTAATGTTCTTGTCTAGTTTTTGAGGCATTTTTCCAGATTTTGTTTTCTTCAGGATTTGCTAGTGACACTTGTAATACCCATTTTTATTTTGACCTTCATTCACTGCATGGTTAAGATTATTGATATTTTCCTCAAGATAGTTATACGAATGAATTCGAGGAGATATTCGAAGAAATTCATGTTTTACTCCGCGCTAATATCTATCCAGAATGTGGTCCGTGGAATTCATTTCTTGGAAGCCCAACGTGGCGTATGAAAACATAAATTTTACAGCAAAGTATTGATGATAGAAGATAAAATAGAAGGCCATGTGGTAAATGGCGAAATTTTCTGCAATCACCTTCGGTGGGAGAGGAAGACGCTGATAGCTGTGGCACAAAAAAAGATACGTGTAAAAAAATGGCAAGACACAAAAGGCAGCAGTTGTTTTCTCCATCTCTTGTCGAGTCATTTTCCATTCAGTCGATCAGAACTTTAATACATTAAGACGATCTAATTGTACAAACATGAAATCCTTGGAGCTCAAGCATTGTGCTTAATACATGGGGCTGTGAGAAAAATATAGATCAACGAGCTGATGAAATTTCTAGGCGAAGTGTGATCAGAGGGCTCAGGAGCAATCTGTTTGGGATCCTATCGCAGTCATACTTGGTAAAGCGGAAATATTGTTCTTCATTCCATTTCCCAGATCAAAATGATACATATAGTTATGTTTTACTTTCGTTCGTTTCTCGTCTCCTCAACGATTGTGCTACAAACCCAAAATTGGTTGAACATCTAGTAACAGTATAATTGATGCCTGGTGAATAATCGACATGATACATAGAGCTATGTTGGGGGGCAATATCAGCATAAAGACAGCAAGGAGATTTCAGAGTTGGCAATCCTAATTACTTTAGAAAATACTTGTCTTCTGATTCATATGTGCTTGTTTTCTAATATTCACGATTCGGTGCGTTGTTTAAGAATCTTTCTGTTGAGTTGCTTGCGTGGACTAGATAGTGTTGAGATTCTTTTGTGTACCGTGAAAAATTGTATGACTATGACGAAACATACTGCTTGCTGCGGAATTGTGGTTGAATAGTGTCTAAGAGCAATAGTTGTCACATTATCTCGGGCGCTTTAATCTGTTTCCTTTTGCGGAGTTGTGGGATGGCATTTCATCAAGTTCTAACTGAAGTTTTTTGAGTGACAGGAAGAGAGGGATGCTATTTTAGCTAAGATAGAGGTTTCACAAGCACACCTTGAGTTGTTAAAGCGCACAAATGTCCTGAATGATGCTTTTCCCATTTGGCATGACGGAGAATTCGGAACCATTAACAATTTTCGCCTTGGCCGTCTTCCTAAAATACCGGTACAGGCTGCAGGGTTATGCTCTCACGGTCTTATAAATCTTTTTTTTTATTGTTGTAATCTTATTCGTTTTGTGTTCAGTGCCTTCGTCTATGTTTGTGTGAACTCAAGCCCATCTGACTAGTGGTGTTCTTGAGTCGGATGTCTTATTAATTTTCTATTGCTTCTGATTTAAGTTAAACTTGTTGTCCTCTTTGAACTTGAAGGTTGAATGGGATGAGATAAATGCTGCTTGGGGACAATCCTGCCTTCTTCTACACACAATGGCGCAGTATTTTCGGCCAAAATTTTCGTATCCTTTTGTAGAAATAAATTTGATAATTCTTTTCTACCTATTAACTCATTTGCATCGGTTTTGCACAAGGGCTGCATATTCTAAATGAAATATACGTTTTCGTACATCTTTCCTTTTGATCCACTGCCAATCTAAATGAATATATTGCGGTAGTTTTCTTCATTTTCTTGTGATATATAATTGATGCTGACATAGGTCAAAGCACTCAGTGTTTGCTTTTTTGTGTGGAGATTACTTTTGAATTCCTATATACATTCAATAGATATCGAATCAAAATCATTCCAATGGGAAGTTATCCCCGAATAGTGGACGCCAACAACAACACATATGAACTGTAAGTGTCAACCAGATAATTGAATTCTTTCGCTAAATGATCCCATACCAGTGCGAGAGAATGAGAGAGAACACGCGGAGAATCCTAAGATGACAGCCAGCTTCTATCAGATTCACTCTCTAGTCCAAATCAAAGAGGATTCTAAAGACTCATGAACATTCTATTGAATTCTAGTCAGCGAAGTAAAAAATATGGGCAGAACACTGGATCAGAGAATGCTCAGAGATTCCTCAAAGGAGGAATTTTACATGTGAGACTAGAATGTATTACCCATGAACGAACCCATGGTGCTGGTCAATATCTGTGTCTCCTTCCACAACCACAACATTCGTTCGATGTCATCCAAAGGGCTTGAGCTTTAGGTTGTGATTAATCATTTCTCTGTAAGGGAGAAGCTCTTTTCTGATCTTATGCATAATCTCGTCCGGCTGATGAGACTTCCATGATCGGTGGCTGAAGGAAACTTTCTGATCTCAGGTTTGGCCCTGTGAACCTTTTCTGGAGCACGAGATACGACAAAGCGATGACATTGTTCTTGACGTGCCTGAAAGATTTCGCCGACTTTGCCAATTCAAGGGACAAGGAAAATAATATACCTCCTGAAAAATGCTTCAAGCTCCCTTACAAGTAAGTTCTTGCTCGATGCTCGATGGCTAGATACTTGTGAATTGTGCAGCTAATTGCTTTCATACTATCTTGAAACTACTTTGTAGAATAGAGAATGATCGAGTGGAGAACTACACCATCACCCAGAGCTTCAACAAGCAGGAGAACTGGACGAAGGCCCTGAAATATACTCTCTGCAACCTCAAGTGGGCACAGTACTGGTTCGTGGGAAACACCAACTTCCAGCCTCTCTCTGCCATGGTCTCCTCTCATGCGCAGGTTCCACCTATCGACTCCTTATACTCCAAAAATGATACAAGTTCCAAGAACTCGTCCTAGCTGCGCTCTCACCTCCCCTGTACATATAATATTGCTGAAAATAGAAGCCCCTTTTTTTGCTTGAACTGTGGGTAAGTTGAAGCCCGATTGTGGATTCATTTTTTTCCCAACTGTAAATGAAGAAATGTCTCCAGGCTGCCGATCCTTCTGACTGTTCTTGTTTGATGCTTTCTTCTTAAATTACTTAATTTTGTGTATGATTAAGTCTCCACAGATTATCATCCCTCCATGTTATTGGCGGAATGAGCTGGTTGAATCCGTCGTGATAACCAGTGGAGGATGCTTACTGGAACCTCATTAGGATCAGATGAATACGTTAGCTAGGACAGCTGCGCTGGCTGGCACCCCAGAGAGCTATGGCATGCCGTCTACGAAGGGCTGCCTGAGGATGGGGTGTTTGGGACCTACTACTGGTCCCGAGATGGCGGCGGGGAGAGCAACCCCTGAATTGTTTATTTCGTCGGGTCCGCTTCACCCCGCGGGGCTGCGTCGTCAGAACGACGAAAGAAGAGGAAGATGTGAGCCGCTGTTGGGGTCTTAGGCTGTGGAGGTCGCCCACTGGAAGGTGCTAAGTGGGAATGCCCCCGCCCACGTCGTCGACAATGCGAAACAAGCCATCGTCACGAGCCTCGCGGAGCCTCTCTAGATTCCAGTTGGACCCACGTCGCGAAATCGCCATTTCTGGGGACTGGAAGATCGTCAAAGGGTTACGGCGGAGCCTTCAATTGTCAGCGACAGGAGGCAGCTGCGCCATAATGTCAATGAAAGCTCTTCTCCTTGTCGGCCACGGCACGCGCCGGGCTTGCCAGCATTGGGAACCCAAGGTTTTCCTGTTCCGAATGGACGAAGTCGCACATTGGTCGGGTGATTGTTCAAAACAGGAGGGCAACCTTGTCTGGTATCTGTTATTCTCTGAGCTGCGTTGCTCTATCCCCGGAGCTACCAAGAGGAAGAGGCAGCGGGGCGGAGCAAGGAGGAAGGGCGGCGGCGGCGGAGTTCCGGGGAGTAGCGGCGAAGATGAAGTATCTGGTGGAGGTGGAGAAGGGGGCGGAGGCAAAGGACGGCCGGCCTTCCGTGGGCCCCGCTTACCGGAGTGTATTCGCCAAGGATGGGTTCCCACCCCCAGTCGAGGGTGTGGAGACCTGCTGGGATATTTTCCGGTGAGTACATAGCGTAGTTTGGTTTCCGACCACTGGGGTTGTCGTCAATTGAAACAGAAGGGAAATTCCGATTTTCCCATAGTTTTTCGTTTATGCCTCAAAGTAGCTTTCATCTCTTTTTTCCATCTTGTAATCTTTATGCATGCATCTCCATAGATTGGCGATCTCTGAAACTGGGAGAGAATTAAAAATCGTCCACATCCTGTGGACTGTAAATTTGAAATAATATCATCGGGTGATTGTTTTAATCCTCATATCTTCTCTGTTTAGCGAAAAAAAGTTATTTTTTTCTTTTTCTAGGTCCATTTCTCAATCGGTGATCAGACATTTCTGCCGGCAAAACTAGATGATTAGGCTCCTTGATGAACATATTACTTACTGTGTGTTCTACAAGTCACTCTCGTCGCCCCATTTAGAACGTATAAAGAAGAAATTAAGCTTGAAATACCAAGTTGTGGTTGCACCTTATGGTAACAGTTGATGATTTTCAGCACCTCTGCTATGAAGTATCCCGAGAACCGAATGCTTGGTCGTCGTGAGATTATAAACGGCAAGGTGACTGCCTGAACCTCTCTTTTTGGCTATCTCTTTGAATATTTCTATGATCCCGGAAATGGAATCTGAATGCACTGTGTAGGCAGGGAAATACCTCTGGCTGACTTACAAAGAAGTTTACGATCTTGTGATGAAGATTGGGACATCGATTCGCAGCTGTGGAGTATATCAGGTCGGTTGGCTTATATCCACTGTGCACTGGTAGCTCTGTGCTTTCGTTTCTCTCTTATTCCACTTGGTTCATAACCTACTCATATGCAGGGAGGTCGATGTGGTATTTATGGTGCCAATTGTCCTGAGTGGATCATGAGTATGGAGGTATTTTTCTGAAAATCTTTGGGAAGTTGAAGATAGTCTTAAGGAGATAAGGTTTGCTCATTATGCACGCATTATTACCTGTTCTCTCATGATTCATCTACATTTCCATGCAGGCTTGCAATGCTCATGGGATTTATTGCGTTCCCTTGTATGACACACTTGGTATGCATCCTCCTATTTTCTTGATGAGTGAACCCATTAAAACTTATATACCATGCATCTTATTCGTCAGAAATTCTGGAAATAAGCTCACACTACGTATGAGACAAGGAAAACAACCACTTATAAGAAGACATCGGTAATCTATGGCAAAAATTGAATCAGTTCTTTTGACTTGTGCCTAATCTAGTACTTGGAGTGATGGGTTTGTTGCCAAAAAGTTTTATGAGCATTGCTCTCAGCAACGTTTCCAATAAATTGAATGCGTCAAATTTTTACCTTAATTTTACCTATGAGCGGAGATACGAAGGCTCTCATCTGTAAAAGTGCTTGTGCACAAAGCCAGACAGTGTTGGAGAGTTTGAGGGCGGAAAGTTTGATAGAAGAAAACTTCAGGGTCTTGTTTGAATCATTGGAATCGGGAGCTTCTATCTTTCTTTCTTGGGAAATATCTAATAATTATGTAAGAGTCATCCTGGACTTTACATCTTATTATGTTGGAGGTTATTAGGGAAAGGCATTAGAAAGAGAAGCTTTCATTAGGAAGCCACGACAGTAACCAAATTCTTTTGACGACCAAGATATGATGAATGACGGATTTTTTTGGTGGGATATTGGCCCATTCTTGACAACCAGCTTTGGGCCTAGATTTTGCGTCTGTTTGAGGGCAGAAGCACAATTTTTCAATTATCATGTATGTGAGTCTGATTGATCGCGTTCTGATTTTTTTTGCTGTTCTTTGAGTTTGTTTAATGGTCAAGTCGGACCAAATGCTTGAACACATATTTTCCTATGAGTAATTTCTTTCATTTAGTATTGAGCATCCCCTGGGGTGAATCATTTTATGGCCGAAAAAAATTGCTTCTGTATAATGTTCTTTTCTTTTCTGTAGGTGCTGGTGTAGTTGAATTTATCATATGTCACGCGGAGGTTTCCATTGTTTTTGTTGAAGAAAAAAAGATTCCAGAGGTATAGCATTCATAAGTGGTTCTGGTTTTGCAATGAAACACAGAAAACTGTGGACATAATACCTGACTTTAGTTATGAGCATACCTGAAAATATCTTGTAATGGCTCAAGTGAAATGTTTTCTTGTGTTTTCTATTTAGTTACTTCAATTATGTCTTTTCTTATCTTGGTAATTTATTTCTGCAGATGATGAAGGCACTTCCCAACTCCACAAAATTCTTAAAAAGTGAGTCCTTAAACAATTCACATGTATCAGTCTAGAAATGGCCATCTGATAACACTTAGATAAATAGGCACAAGAGTTTGTTTTTTGTTGAATTACCATGCCCCCCTCGTTAGGGCACATGGCGGGAAAGCCCAAATGGATGTAGAGCCAGGATCAGCTGCACTTCCTCATATGGAGTGTAAACATCATTTTGTGGTTGCAGCAATCGTGAGCTTTGGCAAGGTAACGCCTGAACAAAAGATAGAGGCTGAAAGCTTTGGTATGACAATATATGCGTGGGACGAATTCTTGGTTGTGGTACGTGAATGTTATTTGGTTCTTTCCATTTGTGTTTAGAATTCTGTGTACCACATTGTCGTGTTCATTTCTTCCACTGAAAAATAATTCATCAAAGTGTTTTTCCTACCATATTTTAATTTTCTTTGACTAGTCCTACTATTCGCTTTTGTTGTTTAAAATTCTTTGGGAGACTCCCGCAGATACGATACTAATTTTTATTTTCCAACAATCAAATTAAGCATCCCTGTTCTGAGGGGTGGTAACAGGAAAAATGTTTGACTCAATTGCCTTTGGATGTCTTTTCACTCTTGCGACTTATCAGTTTTATTTGACAAGATGGTTTATAAAAAGGTCTGACTCTAGGAGGTGTAGCTTTCAATTTGCTTCCTTTAGAAGTCTATCGATAGCATAGTTTGCTGACTATGGACTTCGAAGTCCGATGATCAAATTGGGCATAGGAGCAAGTCCAACGTTAGAAACCCAAAGCAGTTTGGAGAGTATATAGTAACGTGATTTTATCCAGATTGGAAAATTTATGTTCGTAATTATTTCTGATAAGAGGGAAAAATCTATGACCGACGTTCTTGGGTAGTTTTTCTAAGATAATGCTCATACCCAATGGCCTCTTTTACATTGGTTCTCAGTGGTAAATGGGGACCCCGTGCAGGTGCAGACATGTTGGGCCCAATTTTTTCGGTAACCTTGGTTTTGAGATTTCTTGTACTTTCCAGTCTCTATGGTAATGGATATGGTGGGGGAAGGGGATAAGGTCTCCCTCAGTAAGTATGCCTTATCAACATTCATAACTAAATCGTCAGTCTATTTGCACGTCAAGTTTTAAGATTCGAGGACGACTGTCTACCTGGCTTGCGTAGTTGGTTGCATCTTTGAAGTTCTCCAATTGGCTTTGGGTTCCTCGCTTGTTCATTTTAAGAATAATCTTGAAGGCGTAGTGATAATAGCTCTAGGAATGTACCAAAAACAGTCATGGCTTACGCTAGACGAAATGTGGCGGAAACAGTTTTTTATACTAATATCGGTTGATCTTTTTTCTAAATATTTGATACAGATTGCAGTAGATTTTCACGTGATGCATTGTACTGTTTACTTTCTGGGGCAATTCCTATGCCGTCTTTATATAATTTTCAGTTTCAGAGGAATTTGATTGTCATATATCAGATTGTTAATCTCAAATCATATTTTAAACATATCTGCAGTCGATGATTTATTCAGAGTTTCTACATTACGATGAACATTAATCAACCTGAATATATTTCAATGTACATTTTAAACGCTTTGAGTGTCCGTAGTTATAACTTCGATTCGTTTGGGATTCCATGATTGAAGGTAAATCAAATTCTAAAGAATGTCTAAATCAAAAGCGTGATAATATTTCTTAGTTTAGAAAAAGGGGATGGTTCTCATTAATCCAAAAATGAGTAAGCAATAGTGTTTGAGCTCTATCCGCGTGCATTGGATGGAATAACTGCTAACTGTCAAATTAATAATAGTTTAGGATGGTCAAGGAGAGAGCCAATGAAAGGGAATGACTTTCAATATTAAATGGGAGACCGTTTGGTGCTTTCAAGCTCTGTAAATTTTTCTCATCATGAAAGAAAGAGAGAAAAAGAAAGCCTTTTGATGAATGTTGGTTATTTTTGAGGTTGCGTCAGGTACTCAAGCAAAACTTATTGAATAATATTTCTGTTGCTCAAAAATAATTTAGGACACAGAACAGGGAGATCATAATTTAATTTTATGCATTATTTCTCCTCACAACTGATTTTTACACGCTTGCATGGAGAAGTGAGATTGGTGACAAGAGATTTCTTCTTTCTTGAATAAAATCGACTGGTGAATCCAATTTTTATGTTAATCAATCCCATGTATGGAATTCAATCATGCCCTACTTTCTTTGTCTCGAGCTCTCCTACCCTTGCTTGTAATTTAGAAAAGGTTTGTCATATTAATCGTAAAAAGCGAGGAAAGGAATTATTTTCTTCTTGGATCCTGTCTGTGAAAACGTTGCTACTTGATGATTACTTTGGGTTAGGATGTATATTGACATTGTTTATTTGCACTCATGTGAGCTTAATTTTATACAGGGGAATAATCAACAATACGATCTTCCAAAATTGAACAAGACTGATGTCTGCACAGTCATGTATACTAGTGGAACAACCGGTGACCCAAAGGGAGTCATGCTCTCTAACGAGAGCATTGTTACTCTTATTGCAGGTGTGAAACTACTTCTTGATCGTGTGAATGAGCAGGTGAAATTAGTGATGTATTGATTCTTCTCTTTTTAATTTCTTGCTTTCGCTGTCTGTCCTTTTAATCTAAAATTCCATGAGGAAGGGAACCATGTTATGTGCTACATCTGTTCGCACTTATGTGATAACAATCCTATTTGCCTGTTATCTCAGCTGCACGATGGTGATGTCTACTTATCATATCTCCCTTTAGCACATATCTTTGACCGCGTGATGGAGGAGACATTTCTTTCTTACGGTGCCTCAATTGGATTTTGGCGTGGGGTAATATCTTCTTCTGATTTGACTCATTCTTACTTAAAAAATTGTCTCATGCATACACTTGATTATGGGTTGTCCCCAGAAATGCGTGAAAGTAGAAGAAAAAAGTGAATATTTAGTTATAAGCAAATATTTCTAGGTATCACAAAGTAGAGGCTAATTTAATTATTATTATTTTGGTTAAATATATTAGACTCAACACCTGAATTCATTTCAGGCTGTAACATGGGAACTCACCAAAACAGGGACAGTATGAAATTATAGGTTTGCTCAAATTACAAATCACCATTCATGGTCATATTGCCATTTACTAGTCATAATGTATTTCAACTTTACAACTGCCAGAATAAAATAGAGTCGTTAAAATTTAAATTTTTTGTAGTCTTTCTAATGTAATTTTGGTCGTTCTTTTCAACGAATTTAACTGGTGGAACGCGTAAATATCTTGATATGGCCCCATATCAAGTGGTATACTCAGAATATACACTATATATTTCGCAACCTGTGAATTTTGGTGTCATCTTTATTTAATATTCTAAATCCACGCGATCAGCTCGTTTTTGTCTCAAAACAAGTTGCCTGTAAATTGTAATGCCGTGCCTTCATGGTTTTTCATTGGAAATTATAAAATTGAAAGTTCTTTTAAGGATAGTAAGAAGTAAAAACTAGAAAAGCAAAAAAGGCACATGTTCTTGATACAGTCAGTTGTTCTGCATGCAGGACGTCAAATTGCTGGTAGAAGATGTCAAGGAACTAAAACCAACAATCTTCATTGCTGTTCCTCGCGTTCTAGAGCGGATCTATGCAGGTTTGAAATTCTGTGCCTTGATAGATGTCATTTCCCTCTGCTAGGTCAACTAGAGCTGATATCTTTTAGAATCAGAGTCTTTTTATTCATCTCACTAGATGGCACAATTTTTCCATGAAGTTGTTTGTCTTACACTTTTTTTCTGGAACTTTCTGTTTGGTAGAATACATCATATACCTAGAGTCTTTACTGATGAAGTACTTTGCGAGCAAATACCAACTCAAAATTTGAGAAAACTTTGTATACTTTTAAGAATAAATTATCATATTATAGACCTGATATGTATTTTATGTACTAAAACCATTAAGGGACATGAGAGGACAATGCCAATCTCCCTTCTGACATCATGTGGATTAGATAAAAGAAAAGATGCCTACTTATATCTGGTTCAGCTTTACCAACTTCAGTTTTACCTAATTTAGGAATTTTTCGAGTTTAAGAGCCTAATTAACCTTTTGAGTTTAGCAATGTCCGTAAATGAAGGCCCGACTTAAAACAGAGTCCTGGACTAGTCATTCTAAATTAGGAAGCATAGGGTTATTTGAAGAAGTTCCTTGGACAAAGATCTGGATTACGTACCCATCCATTAATGGACGATTGGCATAATATTCCACGTTTATACGGGAAAACGTCTATTATCGGACTTCTTGCGACCATTTAAATTTATGCTCCTTTATTCTAAAATATGGGCCTTAATTTTTCTTCTGGCGGCTCTCCTTTGCGCTTATATAGTTAGCTTAACCACTTACATCTGTCCCTCTGACGATCTTCTACAAGTTGCCCCCAGTTGGGAGGAAGACTTTGATTGATGTTTGAGTCGAGGGGGGGGGGGGGGGGGGGGGGCGCATTCCCATGTGCTACGGTTTACAATGGGCAATACCCTTCCGCTGTTATGGTCTGACTGTCGAGTGAAGGTTATGGTGACAGAAGATGTGTCTACCAGAAGCTGAAAGAGACTAGAGGGTAGATCAAACTACTTAATTGGTGCAGTGCCGGAACCATGACCCGTTTTGATCAAAATGTGACTAGATTACAGGAGCAGGTCGCAAGAATCAAGATGCAGAGAATTACCTGAATTGATAGGATGATAATGAGGCACGATAGTTCTTCCATCTAACCTAGAATCAGTCATTTGAAATTGCAACATCGGGCCCAAAACACTGGCACTGGTCCTCATCTGTCTAGGATTAGAGGTGTGTGATCCTCTGGGAAGCTGGATGTATGGAAGCACTCTATGCCTAAGCAGGATGCTAACTATTCTACATATCGAAACTATTCAGTTATTGTCAAGTGGCAAGGGTAACAAAGAATGCTCATGTACAGTGGTGCTGAGTGACGTACTGGGCCTTGATTTGCGTTTCCCCTCTATTAATAGCAAACTCATCGATTTGCAGGTCTTCAGGATAACATTTCTTCAGGTGGCCTTTTGAAGCACACAATATTCAATATAGGATACAAGTAGTAAGTGGATACACATCTCTTACTTCTTACGAGTTGTCAGCGATATTCTGAAATTTTCCTTTATTTTGTTGTCGAAATATATTTTGATCAGCATTTAGAGTAAATGCAACGTCAGTGTATAGGAACAAGAACAATGTATTTTTTGATTTTTTGATCTTTCTGAGATATGGTATCCTATCTTTCTGGTGTTTGATAGCATCAATTGGAACAACCAGTCGCGAGGTATTTTCTTGCAGTCAAATGGGTCTTTACTCGCGGGCAAGCTGACTTTAAGACATTGACAATGTCCTAAAGTCAGGATAAATGGGTCAGGTTCAGCTTGCGAGCAACTACTGGCTATGATGCCGTGTTAGAGTAATCGGACCATCCGACTCAAAATCAATTGAGTCTGCCCAGGCCTATTTCTGTGATAACCAAAATGAGAATAATGTTGACAAAATTTTTGATAAATGATTGAAGTTCTTGCTAAGCATTTTAGAAGTCACTCACCCCACCCACTGTATTTATTCTAAGTGTTGGAGGTATTGCAGTAAACAACATCACATGAGGAAGGGTAGCAAACATTCAGATGCAGCTAGAATTTTTGACAAGATTGTGTTTAGTAAGGCAAGGAAAAAATAGCCTCATCTCCGTCACTAATTCTTCTATGCATCTTAAAGCATACGTTCTAAGCTGTACGAGTCTCTATTTTGACAGGTCAAAGAAGGACTAGGAGGTAATGTTCGAATTATTTTATCTGGGGCAGCTCCTCTACCCAACCATGTGGAAGATTTTCTACGAGTAGTCTCATGCTCCCATGTCATGCAAGGCTACGGTATGAAACAGCTACATCGTAGCCAATACTTCTTCTCTGTGGGAATTGAACCAGGGTTCCTTGTCAAAACTTGTGATCGAGGGCTCTTTTTTTGTTCTTCTTCATTCTATGGACGTATGAATCATGTCATCACTCGTATAAGTTCTTGGGGAGAAAATGATTGATTTACTCTCATTCTCTGGCCAGGTTTGACAGAAACCTGCGGCGGCACATTTGTTTCTCTACCCGATGAATATTCCATGCTGGGGACTGTCGGCCCCCCGCTGCCAAACGTAGATGTGCGCCTTGAATCTGTCCCAGAAATGGGATACGATGCTCTGTCTGGCATCCCTAGCGGAGAGGTCTGCATCAGAGGAAAGACCCTGTTCTCGGGATACTACAAAAGAGAGGACCTTACGGCGGAGGTCATGATCGATGGATGGTTTCACACAGGTCTGATGTAGATAATTTTTCTCTCGGTAGTGGAGATGAAGTCCTGGTAAAATGGTAGGCCACGACTTTCCCACGGGTTGACCTTGAATCTGATGCATGAACTCGCTTGGATCCTTGAACGCAGGAGATATCGGTCAATGGCAGGCAGATGGGAGTCTCAAAATTATTGATCGTAAGAAGAATATTTTCAAACTATCGCAAGGGGAGTACGTAGCAGTGGAAAATCTTGAAAACATCTACGGTTCTGCGTCTGGAATTGACTCGGTACGCCCTGCAAATCAAAACCCCTTTGGATTATCATTGAGCGGATCATCGATTTCTCCAGCAATAATCTGTGCGATGTGCTTGGGGTCCGACTCCCCGTAATCAGTGGCCTCATATAGTGTGATGATCACCCAACTGCTTCATGTCAATTTGCTACCAGAAACGCAGATGGGAAAGAAGAAAATCCTTTCAGAGAGAAGAAAATGGCTTCCTTTTGCAAAGTTCACTCCCCCCCTTTCTCTCTATGGGCCTTCCATCATTTCCTAGCAATCGCTATGGACCCTCATATCGTCTTTCCTATGCCGTTGTGTTGCCTTGAAAGGCTGGAAAAGTGACTGAGGGTAAGCGACGTCTCTGTTACTCCCTGACCATATTTCTAATCTTGGCTCAGATATGGATATACGGGAGCAGCTTTGAATCTTTCCTTGTTGCCGTGGTGACCCCGAATAAGCAAGCGCTTGAACGCTGGGCTGAGGAGAGCGGAGTCCCTGGTGATTTCTCTTCTCTGTGTGAGAACCACCTCGTGAAGGCACATTTTCTTGGGGAGCTTTCAAAGACTGCAAAAGCAAAGAAGGTGATTGACAGATTGATCGCAGTCATCGATTCGTACTTAACCGATTCACACCAAACTTTTCCTGCTTTTCACAGATAAAGGGCTTTGAGTTCATCAAAGCTGTTCACCTTGACCCGGTTCCATTTGACATAGAGCGCGATCTCATTACCCCATCGTTCAAGAAGAAGAGGCCACAGCTGCTGAAGTACTACCAGGTAACCTGCTACTTGCCTTCTGGGTTCTTGTATGAGTGCGCCACCAATCCTCCATAACTGCTGGATTCTCCTTCTTCCACGCCAGTCATTCTGAAATGGCTTACAAAACGATATTTTGCCACCATTCTCACCCTCTTCATCACCATCTCTACTGCCATGCCTGTTCCTCTGGTCTTTCCTCGAGAACTAACTGCATCAACCGGTGCTTCAGAGTGCAATTGACAACCTCTACAGAAGTGCCAAATGACCAGTGGAGCTTTCAACCAGGCGAGCAGTGGTAATGGGCAACGGCAAAATCTGTCTTCTGCCGCCAGTCACTTCTCACTCCACCGCTTCTGCATGAGTTTCATGCATGAATTCACGCTCTGCCTGTATCTTCCATGATTGGCCTTTTAAAGGCCTGTACTCTGGTTAATATGTGGGCGAAGCACAACCTGTCAGAGGCTTACTCCCCAGCTGTTATCAAACAGAGCTTTATTCATGGCGGCGACAGACACACCCAATGTCATATGCATCTTCTCTGGTCCAATTCACCCCCAACAAGACTATATTTTCTTCATTCGTATAAACGTTTTCCTGGTATGTTTCCTAAAACGTAGGCTAGTAAATCATAAATTCACTGACAGAAGAACAATAAGCTGTATAATATCTCATTTCTCTAAGCGACAACAACACAGGTCCAGCAAAAGACGCCCGTCCGTCGTCAGTGGGGCCGGCAGCAGTAATCACCCAGCTTCATCTGTCAGAGGCAAAAAGGTTGTCATTAGAGCGACAATTAACCGAACGCCCAAACCAGTCTTTGACGAGCGGTAGAATCAAGGACTGAGATGAGATGGGGGGGAGAGAAGACGAATACGTAGACTGAACTGGAGCAGTACCGAAGCTGAGAATTATACACAGTGCTGAGTTCCTTCTTTAGAAATGACGGCAAAGCAAAAGCAGCCCTGTGCATCTGTAAAATGATCAAGATTATGTAAATTTCCCCATGGGGAAGAACTAATGTCCATGAATTACTGTCTGGGTCATCGCTCAAAGCAGGTGTTTTTAGTCTCTGGTTCAAACCGTGTCAAGCATGAAAAAAAAATAAAAAATCAAACGTGCTATCTCTATTTATGTTGAAGATAATCTAAGAAATGAAGCGTACAGATCTGTTCGTTGCCCGTCACAAACAGTTAAAATCATATTAAACAGTAAACGATGGGAGGCGTCTCAAAGTCAATCCTTTTCACAATGGGTGCCCGAAAACGATAAAATCATGTATACAACAAAACCTAGAAGAAATTGAACGAGAATGGCTTCAGATATTATAATAGAAAAAATGAGTCAGCTCGCCGAGCCAGGGGAAATGCGCCACTAGATAGAACAAGTTGCAGATACCTCAGAGTTGTAGAATCTCAGCTCCCTTCTGAACTTGAGAGCCCCTTCCTGCTTTTCAATTGGATTAACTGGATCCAAGAAGTTGACGGGCGGACCCTCTGTTGAACACAACAAAAATCCAATCGTGCCACTGTATATCCAGCCAAAATTATTGTATTATATAATCATGTTAGCGCAACAAATGCTATGAACAATTTTTTTTGCAACTACTACAGGAAATCTGTGGTATACCCAGCAACTCAATCAAAATCAGTGCACAAAAATTACTCTTGAACGAGGATTGATGCCCACATAATATGAAAAAGAAACTAATTGATGCTGAGAAATATTCTACACTGATAACGCCATTTGGGTCAAGGCTGACTACAACACGAGGGATTGGGATCTATAGGAATGCAAAGAACAAAGATTATTGAATATGTCATGAGATACAGCGGAAGTAGGAAAGGGAAAAACTGACTTAGCCCTTCTTAGGGCAGTACATCAATATTTATATTGACGTCTAATGAACCTTTTCAGTATTACAGAAAGGTTTAATAATGAAAACACAAAAAAAAAACATCTAATAAGAGGACAGAAAGGCAAAACAGAAGAAAAGTCTAATATAGAAGACTTGTTTTGCATAACACTCTCCCTCACGCTGGTGCGTGGATATCATCAATATTTACAGAAATGCTCTTAGTTAATATATCAGCCAACTGATTTGTAGATGAGACATACTTGATTCAAGTTTCTCTTTAATAAAATGTATGTCTACTTCAGTATGTTTGGTCTTGTTATGCTGAACAAGATCATGTCCAATACTTATTGTGGGCTGATTGTCACAGAACAAGGCAATCGAACCTTCTATGGGTATTTGTAACTCATTTAATATACTCTTTATCCAAATGCCTTCACAAATCCCAAGGGCCATAGCCCTTAATTTTACATCAGCACTTGATCAAGCCATCAAGAAACGACGATGGTGTAGTGACTCTCCAAGGAATCCGCCGATCTGCTTATGACTAAGAAACCACACGATTTTAGGTACTATATGCAGGAAGAAGATCACCAGACGACACTCCCTATAGCGTGGAGTCGTCGTCGTCACCAAGGTTGGTTGATCTTCCGTCAGCGGTCTTCACACAGGATCAGAGAGAAAGCTTTGATACCATGTTACGAGATACAGCAGAAGCAGGAAAGGGAAAAACTGAATTAGTCCTTCTCAGGGCAATACGCCAGTATTTATATTGACATCTAATAAACCTTTCCAGTATTACAGAAAGGTCTAATAATAGGACAGAAAGGAAAATAGAATGAAAGCCTAATATAGAAAAACTTGTTCTGCGTAACATAACATCTAATATTAAATCAGTGCTTCTTCTTTCCACCAAGAATATCCCGGGTTGTCAATACTTGATGAAGATTGCATCCGCTGATGATCCAAATTCCTCCCACGTAGAATAAGTTCCACATACGATGCCCATTAGAACAAATTGATTTCATCAAATCAGAATCTCTTAGCAATTTTAGGTAGGTCTGAACATACCTTAATTACTTCAAATGAATGTCCTGGGCCAGAGGAGGAAGATTCACTGACCTTTGTCTCCATGTTCTGCAGCCGTGACCAAATAGCTAAAAAAGTTTTCAAATAGAGATTCTTTGATGTGGTACGAATAACAATTTATGTTCAAGAAATTGAGGATGACTACCACCGTCAGGAAACAACGATGGTGTATTCGCAGATGACCACCACCGTCAAGAAACAATGATGGTCTATTCATAGACGTCTGCCACCATCAAGAAATGATGATGTAGTGACTCTCCAAGGAATCCACTAGTCTGCTTACGACCAAGAAACCTCATGATTTCAAGTACTACAGATAGGAAGAAAGTCACCAGGTGACACTGCCTACAGCGTCGAGTCATCGTCCCCACTAAGGTTGGTTGATCTTCCGTCAGTGGTCTTCACATAGGATCAGACAGAAAGCTCTAATACCATGTCACGAGATACAACAGAAGCAGGAAAGGAAAAAACTGACTTAGCCCTTCTCAAGGCAGTACGCCAGTATTTATATTGGCATCTAATGAACCTTTCCAGTATTATGGAATGGTCTAATAATGGAAACACACACAAAAAAAAGAAAATTACATCTAATAAGAGGACAGAAAGGTAAAATAGAAGGAAAGCCTAATATAGAAGACTTGTTCTACGTAACAGAGTACAATCATCATATGAGAGAAAAAAGAACTAATCAAGTTTATGTACCTAGGATATGTAGGAACACTCGTCCAAGCAAAATGGACAGATCCCTTGAAAGTTTCACAACAAGTAGATAGCATGTCTTGAATAAGATGTGTATGGAGCCACATGCTCTCTGCCTGATTGCAGAGCACACCACCTGGTCTCAATGACATTGCAGCGATCTCAAAAAATGACTTCTTAACAAGCTCCTGAGCTGGCCCTGATATCAGCACGTAAGAGAGTCATATTAGTCTTGAACATATGCTTTTAGTATGATCAAAATTTTCGTAGACACGTAATATAATCATAGCACTGAGATCTTATGCCTCTGTCAATCGTCATTTGAAGTTTCCATGCACAATACACCGAGACATTTAACACAGGGTTCGCCAACTCACACCAACCAATGACTTAAAAAAAAGTGAAGGTGGCTGAGATGCAACTGGTACTTGGGCAGTCAATTCAGCCAGCAACTATCAAATCATATACAGAAAGCTTCAGATGGCAACTGGCAAGCTTCAATAGGTGAATTTAGGCCACGTATTTTTGGGATCAGCGAAAATTAATTAGGCACGAGTGTGATTATGCACAGGATAATAATCCGACAGAACTCAGGCAAAATCGAACCAAACAATAAAAGAGGCTATAGAGAATGTTTGACTGCAAGCTTAGACAAAACTGATACGCAGGTAAAGAAGGTTGCTGCAGCTGCTGTTTTCTGTCTCATCATACAAAATACTCAATTAAATGTCTACAAAAGAGTAACATGTATTGGAACTAAAGTATAATACCAATTGGATCTGAGGAATCAACGATAATGGCATCATACTTCCCTGCTGGTGCTTTTTTCAAAAAATCAACCGCTTCATGGAAGTCACCATCAAAATCAAACAAAAAAAGATAACTGAGAGTTAGCAACTGATAAAGCATCCTACAGAATTGTGGCTCAAAGAAGCAGACAAAGAACTATATTTCACTTTGTCACTATTTTTAACTATCATCCAAAGAGATTGCAAATCCACAGTAGGAAACTGTGCAAGTATGAAAATTTATAAGGTATTGCGTAGGTGACATACCATCAGCTACATGGAGTTGGACACGAGGATCTTCAAAACCAACAGAGAGATTTGGAAAGAATTTGCGGCAAACCTATCAAGAGAAAAATGAAGTCAATAGCCAATTAGGTAGATAGAAGAACAGAGAAAACAGAAAGCTTTAAACTCACATCAATCACCATTTGGTCTATTTCACAAATATCAATGACTTCCACAGAAAGATGACGAGAGATTTCTCGAAGAACTGCACCATCACCACCTCCTATAACCAAAACCTGCATTTAGAGGTTCCACCAACAACATAAACGACAGGAGTGAGAGTACCATGTTTGCAAAACCTCTTCAGAATCCTCCTCATCGGATTATTTGTATTCTTGATAGTATGATTATGTAAGCACAAAATATTCCACGTGAAATTCGCTGTCAGTAAATATGATATTAAAATTGAAGACTGACACAACAACCAGAGTTTCAATGGCCAGAGATACACCATGAAAAGACTCTGAGCTAAGCAAAATAAAAAACAGTTGACAATAATCCCACGTGAATGTAGCCCAAGTTAGACATCCCCACGCATTGGATTGCAAATAGATACTGCCACCAATAATATCATAGTGATTTGAAAGAGACAGGATAACAATTTACTGGAACAAACAAATTATGATTCGTTGAACAATTCCGGCACCATGAGCTATCTTCTGCATTCACTTATGACACTCAGATCAATTTAAATTCGCAACAGGTGCAGTCAACAATATGTAGAATCTAGCACTGAACTTGCAGGCCTCAATCTCCAATAAGACTGAAAACATAAAATGGAATGGAAACGTCCATCAAAATTAAAATTGAAACTTAAAGTCGTATGATCGAATATGCTTTCTCTTCATAAGCATAACAGACGCTCCAGATGATGGAGAGTAAAGCACATAGATATTAGATCAAACTTTTTCATGAGAAATTAATGAATAAAAAGCATCTGGTATGAATTGAGGAGAAGAAAAACACAGCAGATCTAAGCATAAATGAGCTAGAAACAGTCATATGACACAAGCAACGGGAAAAAAATAATTGATATGAAATAAGTTTAGCAATAAAATAAATAAATAAAATTCGGTAATGCTATACAAATAAAATTACATTTTTCGGTGAAGGAATTGAGCAGAGAGGAAGGTGGGTTATCATTTCCTGGTACGCGCATTCATCTTTTTCTGTCAGTTGTACTATACCATCAAGAGCAAGCACCTTCCCATACCCAGATGACTGGAAAAAGAAATGCAATATGTTAGGAAAACTGATGAGGAATATGATTTCAGAAGGTAAAAAAGTATATTTAAATAAAGAATAACACAGTTGAGGTCTTTATTAACCTCGAAAACCAAAATCTCTTGGTAATCTGATTTTCCACGATATAAAATTCTCTCCACCTTAAGAGAATGAGCTTCACCTACTCATAAAAATACGAATGCGTCAAGCTGGTATCCCCACATGCATGTAAATCTGCTTAAAATACCAACTCGAAAAAAAAAGTATAAAGGGGAACTAAATAACCAATTTATGCAATACAGAATAAATCGAACACTCTGCTGAACTGCGGCCATAATCCAAAAATAATTCCTTGTACCCACCATCCAACATCTCATGGTCTCTTTATCAAGCTTACCCAGTTACTCTCATTACTGATTTCTATAGTCCTTTTCTCTAGTAAGAATGAAGAAGAAATTGAAACATTTCTCAGAAGAACTATTCTTAGACAAACACTGTCACAAGAAGCTGCAAAAATACAAACCTGGCCACATGGGGTTGTGATAATAGGACTTATCTGCAATAATAGTAAACATAGATAAGTATGATCAGTAAAGTTATCTAACCAAAGAAAAAACAACATGTACAATGACCTCTGAAATATAAATGTATTCAATATGAATGATCACATAATGCCCAAATACGACCTTCTGAAAACCACCCTGCGACAACGGTCTCGTGGCATTTGGCTTCACTGGGACAGGTACCCATAGCCTTAAGGCAGCAAGGGGGAATAGCCTTTCTAACGCCCTTGTCGCCATCTGTCCGTATCCTTTCTACCACAGAACAGCCCATAGCATTTCCGACGCCCGTGGCATCCATGGATCCCGTTTATCTTCACTGATTCGAGCCTCTAACAAGATCAAGATATACACAAAAGAGATTAATAATAAATTCCCACACTAAAATTTATGAAGCGGCGTTAAATTTTAGTATAAAATTTATCAGGACAATTACTTTCGAAAGAAGCTCGTTTAAACAATAGAAAAGTGCGTAAAAAATGAATAATAAACAAGGAAAATACAAAGGACCCCACACAGCTAGTTTTAAACAAACCAAAGGCGCAAAGAATCAACAGACGCCGGGCTCCTACACTGGTACGTGTACACTGAAGAAAGGACGGAACGCGCGCTGGTAGATGTAACGACAGAAGCACCGAGAAATCAGAAACGGGTGAAAAGAGAATGGAACGTGAGATGAACTAGGGTTAGAACGCGATCATCGGCGAGCCGACCGCCACGATAAGGAAAGTGAGAGAACCACTTTCATGGGATAAACTTCTTTACCGGGTTGTGCCTGTACTCTCTCTAAACAGAAAAAAGCGGCGGCAGAAAGCGGGTTGCTTGTCGAAGAAGACGAAGAGAGGATTCCCGGCAGCTCTTCTCTTTCGCCTTTTTCTTTTTCCTTCACTTCGGCTTTTGCCCGTTCGAGAGCAGTAGTATGTGAGAGACGACTGCTGCGGTAGAGACGAAGGTCCAGGGCAAGCTGTGGTCGGTGGGACGGGAGCGCTACAGGTGCAAGCAAAGACTAATTTTTTCGTCGAATTTTCATAACAGACCGCGTGGATCGGGGTGAGGTACCTGCCAAACACCCTGGGAACTTCCGATCAGACTCCGGCGAGACCCGCGAGAGATGCTGCGTTGGTCGGAGAATCCCGCGCAATAAAAAGAGTTTCCTTTTTTCAAAAAACTATTATAAAACTGTATAATAATTAATAAATTTAATTATCGGCGTATTAAAAACCCGGCCTTGATTTATCCACTTAAATCTGAAATTATACGAAATTTTCAAATTGCTTGGCTTCTGGGCGCACCCTAGTCCACTAAATGAAATAATTCCTCAATAATTGGACTGAGACGGATGCACCGACAAGCACTTCTCTCTCTACCCCTTCTCAATTATTATTATTATTATTATTATTATTATTGTGTCGGTCGTAGAACAAAAAAGCAAAGGACAGTGTGTCAACGTCTCGAACCACGTGTTGTATTTATTCCAGAATCGGTCAACTCGAACCCATTTAGAGAAGTGAAATTAACCATACCGGCGCCTGTATGTCGAGAAACATTGCATGTTCTTGCAGGGTCTTCCCCAGACCTGGTCAACGCCCATGCTTTCTTTTTTTCTTTAAGTTATTTACTGAGACGGCTGACTAATCTCTCTTCTAAAAGAGCCCGTATGAAAGAAGCAAGCTCGATCCACCAAACGTTTCTTTCTCACTTAGAAAACAGAAGTAGCGAAAGACAGAGGGTGCTGGATGGATCAAACATGGCAAAGAAAAGAGAAAAGAAAAGAAAAGAAATGCAGACAACACGTTTAGAGATAACCGAGGAACGGAAGAAAGAGGATGAGCACTATCCCCTTCTCGGCCCTTCGCTCCTTTCTTCCTCGCCCTCCTTTAGAGTTCTTATTACTCGCCCTCTACTGATAAAACAGACGGGAAATAAAAAACTCATCCCGGACAAGACACAACTGTATACCTTCCTCTTCTGCACATCTCACACAGGACGGACGACGAGAGGCGGCGACTGCTTCTTCTTCTTCTTCTTCTTCTTCTTCTTCTTCTTCTTCTTCTTCTTCTTCTGTGGGGGAGTGGGAGAGAGGTCGCTCTTGGCCGGCGCCCTCTCAGACAAGGGTGTAGCCGGAGATGCTCACATCCGCTTGGGAGGCCGCATGAATGTACACAAATTCAAGGCTCTTCCCGGCGGGGATGGAGTGAAGCCACCAGGGGAATCCGAAGGCGTCCCCGTCCTTGGTGAGCCCCCACAGAGGGCCGTAGAGCTTGGAGATGGCGAGCTTGAGGTTCTTCACGGTCTTAGAGGACCTGTTGGTGATTATGGTGGAGTAGCGATAGTACGTCTTCCCCTCGGCGGTCCACGAGGTGGTCATTATCTGCTCCACCTCCAGCTCAGGTCGTTGAGAGACTGCAATGGAAATGGTGGTACCCTGTTAATCCCCGATCTTTTGTCGTTTACCGGACGATGCGGTCGGTGGCTCAAGAGAGGTACCTGGAGCAGGATGCGGTCGCCTGGGACGAGGCGCAGGGGTCGCCAAGTCATCAGGCCTTTCGGCGGTTTTTACAGGATTTGGGAGGATCACTGCGAACAGATTCCGCGAACGATCAGCATAGAGAAATTCCTCGATACCCACCCAGTAAAAATTAAACGGGAAGGAGCAACGATTTGAGCGAAGAACTTACCAGGAAGAAGCTGGTTGTAGCCCGCGTTCCCACCGTGAAGGCGGGCCAGAACACCGATCAGGGGGGCGTTGTTGTAGGTCGCGGGCTCCGTCTGCTCGAAGTTGTCTCTCTCGTCGGCAAAGTTGTCGTAGGCGTCTGGCCCGCCGACGATGGCCCCAACGAGGAGGTTCGGGTCGCTGCCCTTGCGGCCGTACCAGGTGTCGTACCCGCCGCGGCAGCTGACGAAGGAAGGGTTGACCTTGATAGACACGATGGAGGAGGCCCGGTGGTGGACCTGCTGCGGGAAAGTGCTCCCGTAGCCCACCATGTAGCTGGTGGCCCTGGGGTTGTCCCCGAGGATGTAGTCCACCTGCGACTTGGCGAAGGAGAGCAGCTCCGCCGGAGCGGCGGTCCCGCCGCTGCACCGTAGGTTCTTACCGGCAGAGGTCAGGTAGTCGGAGTAGACAGTGAGGGAGAAGGCGGCGGTGGAGACGAACTGAAGATTATTCCACCTCTGGCGGAACAGCAGCCCGCCGGGCGTTCTCCGCACATTGCGGCTCCCCTTCCCCAAGCAGGCGCACATGAAGTACTCCGCCTTCTGCTGGTAGCGCTCAAAAACTGCCGCATGCTTTCCAGCCTTCCCCTGCAGCAAGAACTGACAGGAAGAAGAGTTTTAAAGATCAGACGAAGTGGGTTAACTCCTCTCATGGCAAGTCAATGAATTGACCAGTGAGGGGAGGGAAGGGGGCTTACCTTGGAAACCAGGAGCTGGGCGCCGACGTATTTCACGTCCCAGCCGAACTCGCCCATGGCCCATCCGGTGCCCCCCATGGCGTCGCCGTTCTCGCCGAGGTAGTCCAGGTAGTACTGGTCGTTGGTCGCCTGGTACATCCACGCCGCCGCCCACAGCAGCTCGTCCTGCAGCACAAGTCGGCCTCGTCAGTCGCGCTAGGCACGCATCAATAGCTCCATTCGAGTTTGGACCGTCAGATTCGATGAGCTTACATCATATCCACTGTAGGATCTGTAGTACTTTTGGGCCACCCTTATGCTGCTGTCGTACTTGCCCCTGTACTTGTCCGCAAATTGGAACAGCTGCGAATGGGTAGAAGAGGCATAACAAAGAAAAAATAATAAAACAACAAATTATTATTATTATTATTATGCGCTAATATTTACGATTTAAAACCAACAGAGGGGCTAATGGTAATTTGAAAGGACGGAAAAGGACTAAAAGACAGATGCGCCGGCCGCCGACTGACGTGATCTGAAGAGTCTCTGCCAAGGCCGGAGGATCTGCTCTGCACCGCCCCTATCCGCCATTGACGGCGGAGGACCCCCCACCCACGAGGAGAAGCACAGGCCCCATGTTCGTCCCCCCAGACGACGACATTAATGACGGGCAGAAGGTGATGGAAGAATTCGAGAAAGCGACCGACTTGACCGTCGCCGGGTGGTGGAGCCAGCGTGTGAACGACCAGTGGCGAGGAGAAAACGGCGACGACAGTGCTTTGATGAAGGGGAGGGGGTGGGGGGTGTGGAGCAGACCTGCTTGGCGTGGCGAAGGAGCTCGTTCGAGTAAGCGGGGTCGGAGTGACGGAAAACGATGGAAGCAGAGGCCATGGCCGCCGCCGTCTCGCCGGCGAGGTCTGACCCGGGGTTGTTGACATCGACGCGGTACGCCGTGCGGGGAGTCGTCATATCCTCTGGCCGCTGCCAGCAGTAGTGATCTGAGTTGCCATCGCCAACCTGCGACGCACGGCAGCAGAGTTAGCAGTCTCACAAGGTTGATGCTAAGCATCCAGTCGATAGAATGTCGGACGGACTGAAGAAAAGAAGGGATACTATACAGTTCATCAGGATCTGCATCGGGGGATTTTAGAGTAAAAAAGATCACAAAACCGTGTCAGGGTGAGGCAGAGAAAGGATCTGAACAAATCGCTTCATCACGAGGTCCATCGATCGTTCATCCGGAAAATTGATGGAGCGAGGAAAAACAGGGTAAAACAGAGGATCCGACAGGGCGACGACAGGATTGGCCGGGGTCGAGTCAGACTTTCCACGAGATCAAGACCCTATGAGGACATACCAGGATTGACAGGATTGGCCGGAAAATACTTGACTGTTATTTTCAGAGAGAATTGCTTGCTGAAAATGTATCACCATCAAATAAATGTGGTGTTCGGCACGTAGCCCCCTCTCATCGGATATAAGAATGAGAAATAAGTAAAAACAGCCGCAGTTTCTTGTCTCGGCTCTCTACCAGATGTGAAAACTTCTGTATCACCCTTATCCTCGCGTAAGGGATGAACAGAAAAAGAGAGGATAAAAAGCGGAGGCATCCGAGCTACAGACGTGAGTGCATTTAAGAGGGTTCTACAGAACAACACGGGGATCATGCAGGAACATGGAGAAATGACTTCGGTGCTCCGCACAGAGGAAGTTAGGAGGTGGGAAGTTGGAGCAAAAAGGCAAATACCTCGCCGTACAGAACGTTGGGCTGCGGATGGGCCTTCATGAGGTAGTCGGTCCCCCATTTCACGGCTTTCATGGCGTGGCCGAGCTCCCCAGTGCTGGCCATCTGCTTGCCGTACTCCGAAATGCCCCACGACATCATGGTGACGGTGAAGGCCATAGGCAACCCAAATTTTACGTTATCTCCGGCATCGTAGTAGCCTCCGACAAGATCAACCTGTGGCAGTTCGGCGGCGCAAAATTATGATTATACTCTCATTTAAAAGTATGTTCCGTGTCTGCGTATAATATATGGATACATGGGCAAATAAACAGTAAAAAACGAAAAAGAAAATTGGAATGCAGCGTATAATATATTGGAATGCTCAGCTTTGATCCAGAAGAACGAATAATCAAGCGCAAGGTCGTGAGATCCGGCGAATAGATGACCCGAAGCGGGGTAGGCGGATGGGGCCGAAAAGAACCCGCCGAACGAAAGGTGGTAGACAAAGCAGAGTATAAAGTCAAAAGAAAGGGAATAAGGTTGACGAACCAGAAGGCCCGCGGGTAATAAAATGAGAGGGAAAAGGGAAAGTTGAGGTCACTGGTTTCTAACGCCCGTTTGACCTCCTCTTTGGTTCAACGACGGAGACCAGAAATGAAGAAAGGGACGGGATGATGGGACAGAGACTCCAGTGGGAGGAAACAGCAGCGTTGCTTTCCCTAGTATGCATGCCTTCTTCGTAGAATCTAGCCTTGCAGAAGAAGAAGAAGCCGAGGACTACGGGCGAAATCTTGAGAACAAAGTGCAGTCCCGAGCTTAAACACTCAAGATAAGTGGAATACTCAGCAATGGAAATGAGTGGTGGACGGAAAAAACATTTCATCTCAGGTTGAAATCCCGCATTGCGACGAGGAAGCTGGAAAATAGGAATTCTCAAGGACGAAGATGAGAGGATTACCCCGCTCGCCTTCCCATCATGCAAGCCAGAATGAGATCTCCATTTGACCCTCTGGTCCGAAGGGAGGTACCCAGATCTCTGCGCCTCGAAGAACAGAATGCCCTTACTCAGAGCATTCGCGTAATCGTGTCCAGCGAATGCGGACGGCACCAGCACCAGGAGCAAGACTTGTAAGAACGCCACGGAACGCGCCATGGTATCAGCGAAGAGATCAGCCGCGGAGAACAGGCTGGGATCCCTTCCCTACCTCCCTCGATAAGAAAGGAAAGCCCACGGAAAGGCGCAACAAGCAATGTGGCCTTCCTTTCTTCACTAACCTGCCGGCCAGAGGAGGGAGGAGAGGAAGAGGAGGGGGCGGCGGGAGCGGGAGCGGCGGGGAGGGTGGCGGCAGGAGCTGAAAGGGGCCTCCGTGGTCTATATACTGAAGAAGCCGGCGAGGGCTCGTAGAGTGAAACTGACGATCACATAAAATAATATATATTAAATATATTTTTTAAAAGTAGGTCCGCCTCCCCTTCGCCCTCTAATGGCTCGTAGGAATGTGTTGGTGTCCCGGACGTGGGCCCAACATGTCACATGGTCCGCTTGCGCTTTCCCCAGCGACGGCCGCGCGACGGCGTTTCGAACTGCATTAACTTTCCCACCTGACCAGTTTAACTCCCCCTCTCTCTCTCTCTCAGACGGCGGTCCACCGAGCTCGGCCCGTTTCAGACCGGCCGGACTAGGCCGGGCCCACCTGCGTCCGGAGACGGGAAAACGAGCGCGCGAGTCGAGGGAATTGTCCGGGTTCGTGGATGCCTTCACGACCGCCACGTGGGAATGAAAGCGGTGGCATCCCCTAATTTCGGCCAAGAAGGGCGGAGAGATCTGAACTCCCCTAATCACGGCGTTAGCTGAGCAGATCATCTCGCAAGGGAATCCTAATGCACACAAAGTCGTTGTTTAAAGGCGCGGAGGCCGATGTTGTCCGATCGTCGTTAATTTCCCTCCTCGGACAGCTAACAGCGAACAGACAGACACTCTGGCCTCGCGGATTTCTTAATCCCTCCCTGCCATCACCGCCGACTCTCTCTCTCTCTCTCTCTCTCTCTCTCTATCTACCTCTATAATGCAACGTGCCCTTCGAAGGAAGACACTCGTCGTCGGTGCGCCCTTCGGCGGCGAGCTGGGGGCGGAGGGAACGAGGGGAGGGCCGGCGCTGCCATGGCGGCAGGGGGGCGCGTACGTGGGAGGGGAAGATTCGGGGAATCCCCGGCAAGCCGACAGACGCCACTGGTTTCATTGATGGGCGGTGAAGTCAGTAACGCGAAGCAACTTGCGGAAGTCGTACTCACGTCGGAAGCTCCCGCCGACAGATCCGCGACGCCGAGGTGGGACCGTTGGGGCGGGGGTGGTTACGGCCACGTTTTTGCGTCGGCGCCGGTGCAGTTCCCCCGTTGGAGCACGAAGCAGCGTCGGTCCTCTCCCTGTTAATGGAGACCGGTAGAGAGAGAGAGAGAGAGAGAGAGGAAGGTGGGGGCCACCAACCCTCCCCACTCTCAGATAGCCCGGCTCTCGCCCCGCTCACCGACGGCGACGGCACCGGTCGGCGGCGGCGGCGGCGGCGGCGTGTCCCAGCTGAAAATCCGGCGGGCGGATGCGTGGGAAGAAGACCTCTTAAACGATAATAACTACTCGTCTTAATAAATGCCCCCCCAACGAGAGAGATGTGAAGCCGGGGAGAGGGCGTCCGTCCGGTAAAGGAAACCGTCGAAGTAGGCCGGCTACGGAGAAGAGATGATGGAGGGAATCAAATGGCACGCCAACCGAGGAAGAGACCGAGGGGAGGAGCGCCGGTTGTTCTCCGTCAACTGCAAGCGCCCGTCGTTTTTCCGAACAACATTTCTTCTTAATAGACCATCGATTGATTGGAGTTCCACTGTGTAGTAGTAGCATCTCGCGAGCTACTTTAATTATGCGTCAGCCCGTCCTGCCAAATATTCTTCACACTTGTTTGCCCGTTGACCGGGAGCACCGACAGGCCCAACGCCAGAATCGTGATATCTACCATGCGAAGAAGGGCGTGGTGGGCGTTAAGCATTTCATGTTCCCACAACGTGCAACTGACCAACTCCCAGGGAGATATCAGCGAGTCAAGTCAAAGGTCCTCCCAAATGCGGTGAAGTAGAAGTAAATTCATAGGGCAGAGCGCCAGGTTCCCAGGGCACCAGGTTAGCAACCCGGAGCAGTTCCCGGGGGGGGGCTGGGGCTTTCGGGAACCTTCGTCAAGCAGGTACCGTGCCGGCGGCGACGCACGGGAAGTCCTTCCTCCCCGGGGCGTCGGCGCGAAGGCCTGGGCCGTCGCCATCAGAACACCGAACCAAGCCGCAGCGGCGACCACCTTCCTGGTGCCGGCGGCCATCACGGCCACAGGGGGAGTAACTCCTCCCGCACAAGATGACACGCCGCCGGCACGAGGGATGTCCCGCCGCGCGCGCGTCCCTACACGTGCACATGGCAGCAATAGCGGGCACATGTGGCTCCCCGGAGCAGTCCCAGTCGGAGGAGATTGAGCTAATATTTCCAGGTCCCCACGCCCTCCCGCGCGCAGCCTCGAACTCGCCGGGAACTGTCGGTGGGCCGCCGTGATTAATGGGCGACCTGCATCGAACTGGTGCGGTGGAATGGACGGACGGCGGCGGCGGCGACCCGATGGGCTCCGCTCGTTCGCGCACATGGGGGCCTCACTGTTGCTGACTTCCCCACAACGTGGCCACACGTCTTGTCGAGCGCCGGGGTTCTCTCTGGGGAATAACGTCGAATGTGAGAATCGTTGCCTCCTTCCCCCTAATTCAACAGGGCAGGTTTTATTTATTGGCTTCGAAGCTCACAGTCTCTGGCCAAGCTGCCGTCGCCGTCAGAATTCTTCACCGGCCGGCACGGGAAAGAGCAAGGGAAGAGAGAGAGAGAGAGCATGGGAGGCCATTATGGAAAGCACGGATAAAAACCGTCCGCTGGGGTCCCCACCGGCCTCCGGCGAGAAAGGGTCGGTAGATTCGTGCCGTCCGCCGATGATAAAGGCTTCTCCGCCGTCCCCGGCTTCGTGAGTCAATGTGGGTAGGGCGGCCTCTGTAGTTTCTCGGTGTTCATTAAAAAAAAAAAAAGAGAGAAAGATCGAGGGTCGAGAAGCTGAGACCCAGCGCCGGACCCTCCGCTATTATATATATCTAGCTTGGGTCGTCGCATCGACGGACGTGGGAGATCTACCCTTCATTCCTCTCGAGCCCTGGTCAAACAAACGCCGGGGTGGTCTTCCTTCTTGTCGCCTTCCGGAATGAGAAAGTCAAACGAGGGGAGTAGAGGCGGCGCACAGTCGGCTAGTAGAATATAATACGGCTGTCGGGCCAGTCTAACTGGAATACCAGATTACTAGACAGAACCGGCGGCCCACTGGAGATTGTGGGCTTAATCTTAATCTAGCCCAGCCGCCTCTGGCCCTCTCTCTCTCTCTTCTCCTCTCTACCAGGTCTTCTCTGTGCGGAAAGAGAAACATGATATTCCATGCTGGATATTGATGGAAGAAAACAATGTCTGCAGGTTTAATATGCTTGGAGACACTGGTTACAGCATTGGTGTGGAGGTGATGTCATGAAGGCGAGGTGTTGGGTGGGCGGCTACGTGGGCGACAACGAGGGTGAACCAGTCGACCACGTGGAGCCTTCGTCCTCTCCTTGCCGCGGATCAAGGGAGGGCTCCATCTGTCGGCGAGGGATTTTCTCAGATCAGTCGAGGCCGAGAGAGACAGAGAGAGACAGAGAGAGAGCGGCGGGGCTTAGGGTTGCCGACTCAGAAATATTTGTGTTAGAGACTGTCGTTTACCGATTCGATCCTCAGCTGCTTGCCCTTTTATCTTCTAATTAATTCCGAAGAAATCGGCGTCAAGTTTGCCGCCTCCCTCGTCGGCCCCGGCACCCGGCCAACCGATTCTTGAGCCACGAAGGTGTTTGGAGGCTCGGAGAACCCATTGCTTTGCTCCTCCCTGACTTCTTTCTAGGGATTTACCGCGGCAGATCGATCGGCGGTCTCTCAACAAAGGATTCCTCGTTTCGAAGAAGTTGCAGATCATCGTCTCTGGTGCCCACCGCTACGGGAGAACAGCTTTCCCCTCGTCTTGTTTAGATTCCATGCCATACGATCGCCCCAGTGTCGGTAAAACAAGTAACACGAGGACATACTTTTGTCAGCCGGACGAACGGGACGATCTCTCTCGAGCTCCCCATATATCCAAGCCATCGAATTAGAGAACATTAAGACTGGATTTCATCTGTCGTCATTTCTGTCGAGCTTTCCTTTCTATTGACTCAAATCAGCAGCAGCCTGCAGAATCCCGGCATTCGAGCCAGCCCTGGCTGGGTTAGATGTTGATCAATGCTAACTTCAGGAGCTCCATCGTCCGACTTGCGAGCCTCACGTGTTTCTCTGCCAAGACAAGCGACTATTTGAAAATTTTGGGAAGGGATTTGGATGCGACATTAAGGAGAATCCCTCTTTACAATCACAAATTCAGGTCCCGGGCGTCCATGATGGTAGATTCAGGTTCTACGGCGGCGTCAGAAGCCATTGCCAGCCTTTCGTCCAATCGTAATGTGGAGGATGGGGGATACAGCAGCGGAGGTTGGAAGAGGTATCTATTTGAGGACGTCAGAGCTTCATGTCTTTCACTATCTGCCGCCCAATGGGTGCTTGGATTCTGACAACTCCCTTGTACTCTTGTTCATTAAATTGTCCTGTGATTGCCTCGTGTTATTTATCTAGTTAATCCGTGGAACCATATAGTTGAAAAAGTATCAAATTCATTTAATACTTTACTATCTACCGTATCGAATCCCCCCACGAAAATGTCTTGCTTCTCGTGCTGGTCAGATTAGTTGAAATTGTAATGATTGATCTTGGACTTTGCATTCATATCCCCCTTCATCTCTGGGGTGCCATAGTACCATGCTTCTTCTTCTGTGAGGTAGTCGTACATCGTGCCTGTTCTGACAAATGTAGTCTAACTTAGGCCCTATAAATGGCGGAGAAATTTCTCTTTGGATATAGTTTTTATTTAAAAGAAAAGAAAAATTAGGGTAATGCCTATAAGTTTGAAGCCTAGCTTTCTTATTCATTTGAGGTTCGGAAAGAGAGAAGTAGGGGTATTCATCACATGATCTGATCTCGTTTGAAACTATTCTGATATGAAACTCTAAGAGCCCAATCCCTTGTTTGTTTTGCGAGTCATTCAGTCTGGCACACTCGACTATATCCTTTGCCTCTTTCATTTTTAAGACTTTCCATTCAGTTAAGATGATTCATCTCATTGTAGGCGATACTAGTGTTGCCTGGCATTCCTCATCAAAAAGAACCGAACTCCGCCTGGAGATAATAATACAAGCTGTCGATGGGTTGAGATAAGACCTGCTTTCACCACTGGCCAGGCATACTATTCGTTCGCGTGGACCTTTTAAATTTTCTCATATTTCTGAATGCACTTTCAAAATTTTCTCATACAGAATTTATGAATTTATTTGGTCAACACATTCTTGTTCAATGTTAAGGCTTTCAGTTGGTTCATGTAATTATTTATGAGTTTTGAACTTTTGTCTTTTATGAATCATATTAGCATGCCATTTCCCGTGGGAAGTGTGAGCTCCATGCAGGCAGGTGAAGTCCCTTGATGAATTTGATTCGGTCATGCCGACAAGATCTCATGATTCAAACACATCTGAGGACTGTCGTTTTTCATGAAAAGTCAGATTGCCAACAAAATATTGTGGGAAAAAAATATTATTAAAAAAGTCCTCTGAAAAATGGGAAAGCTAGTAAAGGGATTTGTAAGGACGAACTAAGTCTTTATTGAATTGCCAAGAATTGGTCCTTAGGAATTATCTAACTTTAAATGGGTATTCTATGTATTCCTCCCCGTTTTTCAATCCTGAAACACCAGCATGAGAAATTATTACAGAATAATAGTACCGGTAGAATATGTTATGGAAGGCTGACTATTTATTCCCTGATCTATTGTCATATTGACAGTGTAAATGGGAAACTGAGCTGCGGATATTCAAGTTTTAGGGGAAAGCGGGCAAGTATGGAGGACTTCTTTGACATAAAAACCTCGGAGGTCGATGGACAAACAGTTTCACTGTTTGGGATATATGATGGTTTGCTTTTTTCTGATCACTCAATCAGTTTTCATTTTTTCCTATCATATGGGGATTCCAGCTTGTTGTTGATGATTTTGTTTTACCAGGCCATGGTGGTTCACGTGCTGCTGAATACCTAAAGGAGCACTTGTTTCAGAATCTCATAAAGCACCCACAATTTATGTCGAACACAAAATTGGCGATAAGTATGTTTTTTCATGTTCTATGGTATCAGTTCAGTCCTATTTGAACCCATACATTTTCTGCTTTGCACACTGTCAGACATTGAAGTTTTGACATTCTCTCTTCATAATTATCCTGAAAATGCTCCAGGTGAAGCATATCAGAAGACTGATTCAGACTTCTTGGAGACAGAGAGTAATAACTTCAGAGATGATGGTTCCACTGCCTCAACAGCAATTTTAGTCAGCAATCATCTATATGTAGCAAATGTTGGTGATTCACGTGCAGTGATATCAAAGTCGGGCAAAGGTATTGTTTGTATATGTTGAAAGTTACCAAGTTTTATTTCGGAGAAAAAATGAATGATTTTAGCTTTACATTTTTAAATCGAGTCTATCTCACTAAGAAAAGCAACATTCTGCCCAAAGTCTTCCCACATTGTTGATATCGTGCTCTGATTTCGCCATTTAGGAAAGAGCATCTCCTTGCAAGTGGACTGGGTGCCATAAATATGGGAAAACAGAATCCGTTTTGAGAAAAAATGTGGAAGCTTTTAAGCTACTTTTGTCTGAATCCTGACGCTTCCCATGGAATATCCATTTCGTCAGAAGTAATTTGAAGTATAATTAAATCTGTTATATCATCTGGATTTTGGGGTATATAGTTACGCATGCTCATTTTGTGACCGTTTCCAAAGAAGAAAATGCTGTGGTTCATGGATTTTCAGATTGATGCATCATCATGATTGCAGAACAATGTCTGAGAATTTTCAACACAGTCTGACGCAAGATAGCTTTGAAATTTTGAGATGCATATGAAGCGTGCTTGTAGACATGAATTAGTTAGTTTTGTGACAAACATCACAAAAAAAAATAGCTGAATTGTTCATTCTCTGCAAATTTATTTTTCATGGAATAAATTATTCAAGCTAGTAGTCCTTTTTTTCTATTTTTTCAAGATGTGAGTTAATTTTCATTTATGCACGGATCCCTCGATTCTGTAAAAAAGCAAGGGTATGAAGGCTAACGATACCGAAGTTAAATCTGTATCATTTTCATTGTGTTTAGTCATACCTCTCTCTGAAGATCACAAGCCAAACAGAAGTGATGAGCGTAGGAGAATCGAGAGTGCTGGAGGCGTTGTCACATGGGCTGGTATGTCTGCTTTGATTTGTTTTGGGCTCTATTGCCTTGTGATGACGACTGCTTTCTGTTTTTTGGTCGGAGTTGTTTTATCTAACATAGAATGACGACATAAAATTCCTATTTCCAACGTTGAGATGCTACAATAGAAATTATAGATTCCCATCCTAAGAATACGATTCACCAATTCTATGCATCTCTCTATGGATGATTTGATGTTTCAGGTACGTGGAGGGTTGGGGGAATCTTGGCTATGTCACGTGCTTTTGGCAACCGCTTGTTAAAACAATTTGTCATTGCTGAACCCGAGATTCAGGTCATCTCTCCATGGCCTTTGTTTTGTTACAGTCAACGATCTATTTCCCATTGAATGGATGCCTAGTAGAGAAGCAGCATGCTGTCAGAATTGATTCCTACTCTGGTGTTGGAGTGGTTTTTTTTTTTTTTTTCACTTAACATTAGTTCAGTTTCTTTCTTTAAAGTAAGTTATGATTATTTGGATAAGATAAGTTATGCGAAGTGGAAACAAGATATTTTCTTGATCACGGTCTCTGACAGCAATAAGGTGTGCCAGGCAACAACTTGAGCGCTTAAGCTGCTTAGACTGTCTGGGCGGCATTGGGTCTCACCTAGGCCATGGAGGGCACGTAGGTTTCAAAAACTTTACGAGACTAGAATTCCACTATCACACATCTCTTGATGAGTAATGCATCGGCCTAGAGTGTATGATGGATGTAGGCCTCATTAATGCACTTTGTGCCACGTGTTTGGCCTGAGGCGGACGAGACCGGCATAAATGTAAGCGACATCCGCCTATGGCATGGCACAAACGGATCCTTATGGGCCAGCGATAGCAAATGGATGCCCTTGTTATGCTGGATGCAGTGGTGTGAATAGGCGAACAGAATGAAGTTGCCTAGCTAATGGGCACTGGACCATCACATCAGTTGACTTGAGAACCATGTTTTTTCTATAGTACATTCCCGTTTTAATGTCTCCGGCAGAATAATTTTTTTTGTAAAGCCCCTCGGTCAGCCATGAATGGACTATCGTAAATGATATGCATACCAGTGTATATGAATTTATCTCCCCTTCTCAGATAAATAACACAGCTGAATGGCTAAAACTCAGGTAATGAAAGTCTTCCGTTAGTGCTTTGTTCATTTTTTAACCATTCCTATGTTCAGTAGCTTATAACAGCAGTTCTTTTCTACATTTTCTTGTTCTAATCAAGGGATGGGGGGCTCTGGAATGCTAGATGGTGCTAGTGATTTGTTTTCTTCTTATTCTTTAGTGAGGAAATGAGTTACTAAAGTGAGTGGGTGGCTCCGAGCCTTGCTTCCCACATGGGCTATTCCTGGACAATTCTCACGTCCTTTGGTAGTGGACGAGTGCATGGATGAGGAGGCGTCTATGATGAACAGCATGCGTCGCACATTTGCGGATGATACGAACAGAGAAACATTTAGGCTTGTGTTACCCACCCCCCCCCAAAAAAAAAAAATGAAAAAAAATGAAAAAAAATGAAAAAAAAAGAGGGAAAAGGAAAAAGTGCTCAGGATTGAAGACATAGACATCACTCCCGTTGTTTTTTGGTTCTTTTAATTTAGAGTATGGACCTCTCCTTAAAGTTGCTTGGTTCCGTGATCAAAGACTACGACCTGTAAGGTTGCATTCATACTATGGAGAGATTCAGCGGACCCCTCATTTCCAGGGTCGTTTTTCAGGGATCCAAGCACCACCTTCGGGAGTTTGATCTGATCCTTCAATTTCCACTAAAAAGAAGGAAAAGAGTTTTTCTTGACGGCACTTCTGTCAAACCAATCTCTTAAAACTTCTTATCATCACCTATACTGACCCCACACCATATCTCAGGCACGGAAATCTGGTGTGTAAGTACTCTTTGGATCATTTTCCCATATACCAAACCATATACCAATAGAGAAGGAATGATATGTACATGATGGCGATTATGGTTATTTGCTTGAAATTTCTTCCCCCCCATGCTATCTATGGATAACTTTATGTGATTCTTAATGCTCTGCTCAGAATTCGGGGCTACTTTACTGTTCCGATATGCCACATTTGACTCTCCTTCACTTGGAACTCACGTTGCTTCGTTCCTGGATATAGATAAAAGGAGTAAAGGTTGTTTGTGCTTCTTTCCAGGAGCAGGATGTAGACGATGAACTGGAGCTCTTGGTCCTGGCCAGCGATGGCTTGTGGGATGTCGTACGAAATGAGGTTGGCCACCTTTAAATTTATTGCGCTACGATTCCTTCCTGTGTGATTCAACTCTATGCCATAGTAACCTTGTTTCTCTCTGTCTCTGTCTCTCTGTCTCTCTCTCTCTCTCTCTCGATTTTACACGAGTTTCATGGTGCCAGAGTCTGTATATAAAAGGCCCTCGGTACTTGGTGTCATTTCATCTCGGTCGATCATAATTTTGGTTTTGTCGCACCTCGTGCACGAATGTGATAGATATTTTTTGCACTCTCTCTCTCTCTCAAGGATGTTGTTTCGCTGGCGAGGACGGAGGAAGAACCAGAGGCCGCGGCCCGAAAGTTGACGGAGGCCGCCTTCACGCGCGGCAGCGCGGACAACATCACGTGCATCGTCGTGAGGTTCCGCCACTCCGGGACGACGACCTCAGAGCCAACTCCTGCCACCGAATCATAATAATAATAATAATAATAATAATAATAATAATAATAATAACAACAACAACAATATAATACTATTTTCATTATATTTTTTTTCTGCCCTGCCCTGCCTTTTCTTTTCGAACTCGCATGGAATCCACGGACAGATGTACCTTCCCTCCGTGAAAACACAAATCTTCTTCCTCACGAGGGCCACTCGTGGTGCTTTCCTCTCCTACATAATAATAATAATAATTATTATTATTAAATAAATAAATATGGAGTTCGCCGATGCCATCATCGAAAATTAGCCATGTTTCGTGGGTAATCTATGATTTGCAGGAGGAATTTAATGAGACGAAGAACCCGTTCGAGGCGATCTAAACTCCCCATGACTACAAGCATATTATTCTTCAAAAATCTGAAATAATAACCAAGAATGATTTTTTTATTTTTGTGACTGCGTGCCCTCTTGATAAGATCAAGGGTGGCTGGGCCTTTTTTTTTTACATGCATTAAAGACAGTTTGCAGAGGATCCGCCGATGGATGTTTTGTCTGAAAGTGCCATTCTGCTACTTAGCGACCACGTGAGGTGGTCTCGGCAAGACAACATGAGCGCACGTGGAGATTCAGCTTTTAGGGTTCATGTGCCGCCGACCCACAACACAGCAAACCCTAACATGGAGCCATCTGGATCAGCAGACCTCGGCGCCTGGGTCTCTACGGTTTCTCTTCATCGGACTGGGAGGAGGGGTCGTTGATGTTGTCGGCGAAGTAGTCCTCGACTGTTTTCAGAGAGATGCCGAGTGTTAGGCGGGGCTCGTACTTCCAAAGATGGCAACTTTCGTCAGTTGGGCATGGACACAGAGATAGGCTCAACAGTACTGCATAGACTCTACGTACGAGCAAGAAGTGATTCCAGAAGTGGGCACATAGGTAGAAGAAAAAATATGGGTAATGATATGAATGAGCATCCTTAGGTCGCAAAGAAAACGTAGATAAACCCAGTTAAAGGAAGGTTGGAGATACCTATGTCATCCTGATCCGCATCGAGCATGAGATCAGTATCTGGCAAGAAAGGTGAGCCAGTGTAGTTTCCCAAGGGTCCAAGATCTGCAGAAATTAGCCCAAAAAGGTAAAAGTCAAAGCTTGGGAACGGATATAACAATATTTTCAGAAGTGATGCCATGAAAAAAAGGGACGAGTGGAGGATTTATACTGTTTCGGAGATGCTGGACGTTACTAGAAAAAAAAAAAAAAAAAAACAACTCGAAAGAGGATATAACTTGGCAAATTAACAAGTCCAATGCTTTTGGTAGGTGATGGTTCCACACATATATTTTTTTAAGAGTGTCTGCTCTAGTCTAGTAGCTCCTTCAGAAAGATCTGAGAAACTGTAAAAGAAGGGTTCGAGGAATGAGAAAAGATGCCAGTCAGTCTTCTATCAGTGAGATGAAGCGTGAACATCATCCGTTGTAGTGGAAACAACTCATAATGAAGGGGACATGGACTTGTAGTTCTAAGGAATGATGGTTGGGATCTTTGACCGGTTCAAGGATGCGCTAGAACACGGACGAGTTAATGAAAAAAAGAGATCACCTTCCAGGTTTGTCAAGTCTGCAGTTAGATCAGTGAGACTGAGTGTCCACGGAAGCTGTCCCCCTGATCTGAGGGTATCTTTTGAGGTTCCCGGTCCACCATCTATTCCCAGTTGCAGCTCTCCCGATGTCCCCATATCGGATGTAAATGCAGAATCAAGCACTGATGAATCTATCCCAATTCCTGTTATATCTGATGATGTAAAGGGAAAGTGCCCACTGGATGCTACTGATGCTGGGCTCACGGCCATCTCTGTCATCGAAGACATGGCACTGCATGGTGCAGCAGCGGGGGACATATTGGTTGTTTTGTCAATCATCATACTATTTCAATCAACAGCAGAAATATAATCAGCATATATATATATATATATATCCGGAGATCAAGTGAGAGAAAAGAAAATGCACAAGAAACGAAGAACATGGTGCAGACACATGTAGGTGATGCTGCTACTTGATATCTGTGAGAATTTGTGAAAAATGACGTCAGATCATTTTTGGTTAAGGTGCATTTCGTCTCATAGCTTCCCCTGTATGCTCGTTCATCTTCCAGGTTTTAAATTTCTCCTTCGCAGCCAGAAGTCCACCAAGAACACAGACCCTTTTGCAAGGCATATTGATGATTTCATGAAAACAAAAGTATATCTTAACCAATAGTTCGTAATCCAGGAGTCTAGATGCCGCATACTTCAGAGAAAAATGAAAGGATTTTTTTTTTTCCCTGAAAGAAATGAAAAATCTTACTCATTCCCCGAGTTCATCCTGATCGGGTGAAAATTGCCCTGAGCAGGAACTCCATTGACTACATGACAGCTGGAAAGTCCCATGGAATCTAGATGAGGCGGAGCGGTGGCTGATAATGCAGGCTGCTGCAGAACTGGATACCCCATTGGTACGTTGTTAACTGCGTAGAAAACATACTTACATTGTTTAAATGTAATGATATTATGAAATCACGATCACTCGTTGAGTTTTTCAGAAGATATTTCTGATAACTCCGCGTATGAAATATATATCTTGGAAGGGAAAATAGTGACCGAGTATCAGTAGCATAGTCAAGATGGTTACAACGATCTAGGTATACCGGCAGAAAAATAATGTCATGAGAAGAATAAACTGAGTTCAGCCAAGTCATCATAAGTAACAAAAATCCCACTTAGTTAGCCAGTGATTCCTCTCTGCTTTGAAGGAAACATTACGTTTGCACAGGTTCAAAGGAATACATTGACACACTCTCGAAGCTTTTAGTCTTAGGAAAATCAAACTAGAATATCTGATAGAATGCATGCAACAGAAGACAAATCAAATGAAAGTTATAAAACAAGAAGGCATCACTATTGGTCCAAGTCCGTAAAATAGATGGGCAACTACTACTACTACTACTAAAGATTTTGTGACCAATAGTTATCTAACAGACAAGTAAAATGCAAGAATTGAAACGGAAAGTGGAAGTGAGAAGAAGATCTTTCAAGTCAAGGTTACAAGGAAAAAAAAGTGGGTTATGCCACAAAAGTTGACATCATATTTTTCGAGAATCTTTGAAATAGTTATTAAATCAATAAAATCGTAATATTTAATCATATGCTTATATTCCATGAAACATGATTACAAAAAATAAACGAAACAATTGGGGTTAATATCCAATTGTTCCACTGCATCAACTCATCAGGCACCCCAAGTTTGAGAGAGAGATCTCATCACCACCCTTCTTTCCTTCTTTTGGCCGCCTAGGAAATGTGATTGACCAAAGCCATCAGCCATTCAGAACCAACGGTGAGGGGCAGGAGCAACACCAGCTGCTGGCACAGAGCAACATAAGCTTCTGACATCCGGAAGCCTAAGGATTCATTTGGAAGAGAAACATCAGACTGTAATGACAAATGATCCTCTTTCTCTTTCCTTGTTTTCTCAATTTCAAATGTCTTCCATGCCTCCCATGGTGAATTAAATTAATTTTAGAAATGCATTCCCAAGGAATGCATTTACATTTTGAAATGCTTTTCCCTGGAGGTAAAAATAAGGCGGCTAATCTTCATAGAACACATTATCTTACTCCTAGCCTGCCTTCATCGAACAGTCAATTATAAGAGAGCATAAAACCGACAGAACAATGAAAGTCATGTTTAACTTGAATTCGCGTGCCAACAATTTATAAAATTGGTTTTGAGAATCCATAAATTTGTAAACAATAATTTAGCAATGAGGTTGTCGACCGATCATGTAAGCATCTGTGAAACAAATAACGTGAGAAAAATTACCAGCCATTAAATGAATACCATTCTGTACAGGTGCCAAAGGAGCTTTGGGAGTTTCAGTGTGATTAACTAGATGATACTGGTGTTCAAGCAAATTATTGAACAAAAGGATTTGTTTCTTCAGCATCAATCTTATGTAATATGCCCTGAAAAACTCCGCATTTTCCTCTTCAAGTTTCTGCCACACTGAATAGGAAAAGACACACGTTAATATCAACGACCCCTTTCAGAAGTACACGCAGGAAATGTGGCGGTATGTTATCTATATGACTTCTTAAACAAGTAAACTGAAGCCTTGTTTGTAAATTTAACATTACTCAAAATAGAAAGTGCATGTCAACAATTTCACGTTGTTTAACTTAAAAGAGTAGATGCAAGGAAATGTCATGGTGACAAAAGTCAGATAGGTATTACATCATCAATCAGGAATTGACAATGGGAAAGGTCACTGAATTGCCAATCATATCCTTCATGTCATTGCATGATTTACATTCCTAAAGTAATCATGATCCATTAGATTAGTGACTGTTTCCATGATCAGACATTCTCTATAGGTTATCCTTAATTAAATACACATTGTGCTCAAAATTAAAATACCCTCGATTGCGGTTGATCATTTAACAACTGAATGAACTTATGATGAATGTTTAAGAACGAGTGCAATCCACCTAGAGATGTGAATCCAGGCTCTATTTTTGCTCGATTCCTCAGAATTTTCACAACTTCACTTCTGTTCATATACAGAAGCAGACACCGTTCAATCAGGCTTTGAACCTGCACCAAACATTGGTTTCAAGATAAATAAAAGTGACACAAGGAAAAAGGAAAATGAATTATTTAACTTAGTTCAATAACTTGCAATACTGCCCATAATACTTTGTTATATTAACGTCCATTGACTAAGTAAGGTATTGTAGGCCTACCACCAGAACAACTGATGAAGAACTTCTCAGAATAAGTTCCGAAATTCTCAGAAAAGACAACGAATGGTCTTACAAGTTCAATATCTTCACGAGAAACTTTCTTGCTGTTCTCATTGTTTGGCACTGATGCTCCATCAGAGTCTGCCATAAGAGCATCAGGTCCTGGACTAATTTGTTGGCTACTTTGTGAGTTAGGAGATGCATGCAATGACTGCTTAACTTCTTCACTTGTGCCTTGAGGTTCCTATACATTTTTTTAAAAGAATTCAAACCCAGCAAGCACAACAGCAATGAAATATTCCAAAACCAAATGACTAATAAAAAAATTAAGCGGGCGCAGTCCGCTCTGCCTCAGCATCCATTTGATATTGTAGGCCTAAGATAAAACCTAATAAACCCCCTATCTATTACAAGTTTGGATCTGAAAATGATGGATAAAATACGATGGATAATTCAATAAAAATGATTGCATAACACAATAATGGCATGAGCTGACAATGACTTAACCACCACTACACTAGTACGACCAAGTTGCCCAGCTGTCATAATTCATAGATAGAAATAAAAGTAATGATTAGCTGTTTTAGAGAAACACATAACTTCGTGTATTTTTGAGTAAACAATGATCCAACGCATAAACACATCAAAAGTTGAAGATCAAGTGGTTTTGAATAAACAGCCATGGCAAAACATCTTGTTTTGAGGGAAAATCAATGATCCAACACTCTTTCTAGCTGTCTACATCTTGCATTTTTGATAAAAATGGAGCATCAAAACTCCAAAATCCTAAAATTAGAAAGATTAAAGAGGTAAATGAATTTAAAGGGTTGATACCAACAAATATAATGCTTCCAAGCTACATGTCTATGTTCTGTTCCTTACGTATGAACTGCTGCACTTCTAAGAGGCACCGACAACATTTCTTAGATTCTTGCACATAATGTAACATAAAATAATTCATCACGACAAACGGTTGGGTGAGGGGAGAGAGCATCCCTAAGAAAGGATGAATAAATGACAACAGAACCAAGCTTTCTCAGGCAGGGGGGAGGGAGAACTGAGGTGGAAATGGGAGAAAATGAAAAGGAGAAATGTTATAAAGCTTTTAAAAAATAGGACCATCCACTGGAAAAATAAATAAATTAGCCGCATGGAAAGTGACAATGCAAACGGCTGAGCAAGCAAAAAAATGTACTCCAAATAATGGTGTCAAAGATGACACTTTTTAGGAAGTTCACCGACAGAGGACTGAGGCCATGAGAATCATTATTTGTTCAATAATAGTGATATGGAAATATGCTAAATGTGCCATCATGTAACATATTAGGCAAAACCAGTACCTGAAGTGTCTTCATTTTTTATTGTCGTCCCTTTTGCTGAGAAACGTACACAAGTCTTCTCCTGCCAAAACGCTAGGTCAGTGATTGATCAGTTGTAAAGATAAAATGGAAATTTTTACAGGAGGTGGAAAGTTTTTGTAACATTCCGCATATGAGTTGAAATCTGTGCGCCACTTCAGGTCTTAGAAAGATAGTCGAAAAATTACAGATGGAGCTACAAGCCTGGAATATTCAGGTGTGGTCTCTTGTATACGGGCCTTCCTTATTTTCTACGGAAAGGTCAAGGAAAATCGATAAAATATTCATATTTATGTGATCTTCTTCCCTATTTGTAACTACTATCGCTCCTCGTCTCTTGCCCTCCCTACCTTGCGTGAGTTCCATTTTGACACAAATCAGCATCCCAAGATATAATTTATGTCTAGATGTATTTTGACACAAATCAGAATGAGTATAGAAGAGGACATCACCCAGAAAGAAACAAAGTTGATCGTGTATGTGTACAGACTCCAAAAGAAGTTCAATCTTTTCTTTCCAAAACTTTATCGAAATGTCTAGCCACACCAGAAGAGTCACCATGGATATCTACGTACAACCACAAGGAAACACCTAAGCAGCAGAACAAGTGCCCAAGCATGCCCTCTTGGCCATCCCCAAGGAGGGAAAGAAAGACAACGGACCAGAATATTGCGTGCCGACGGAACCGTGCAAGGAAATCAATCACTCGCAAGACCGGTTTCTCATAAACAGATCAGTTCGAAAATTTCAATATTCGCTTTGACGACTTCAGGAGCTCGAAAAAATGCACGATTAAACGGAGGAGACATCCAGGCGAGGCAGCCCTACTCACCTCAGGGGAAGATATAAGATCCTTGCGCTTCAGACAAACCTACAATCCGGAACAACTAGCACGAGAACGGCCAATCGAGGACGCTCAGGGGATCTTCTCTTCATGATAAACCACGGGAAATATACACGCAACTCCGATATCTGAAAAGAGATCTGCCTGAACAGTGGTAGGATGAGCAGAGCTCGTTCAGCTTGGTTCCACACTGAGAGGACCCAGGAGGTCATTGACCGTCATCTGCCGCGGGCTACAGTACCACGTTCAACCTGACATATGACGCTGGACGCTGGAGAGAGAGAGAGAGAAAGAGAGAGAGAGAGAGAGAGAGAGAGAGAGAGAGAGAGAGAGAGAGAGGAAGGGAGAGGAGGATCAAAGTCGCAGGCCACCGAGGAGACAAGGCATGGAAGTGAACGAGACGGCCGCGGAGACTTACTGCGTTCGTCAACTTCTAGAAAGGGTAATCTCAGCGGGGCCCGCCGAGGTATGACTTCCGCACTGGATATTTGTGGAAGATCGGCTCTCCAACTCGCCCCTGTCTCACTAATTCCGCCATTCACGTCCCCGTAGCCTCCGTGCGTCAGCCAAGGGGGCTCCGCATTGCTTCTCCATCCGATGCTCCCCACCTTTGCCAGGAGCTCTGACTCGCGATCAGAACCCTCGCCTCCCCGAAGGTAAATCCCAGCGGCGGACCTGTCTTCTTCTTCCTCCTCCCAACAAAGCTCCAACGTCGCCGCCACCCGCTTTAAGGTGGAACATAAGCCGACGTTATCCGACGTGGAGACGGCGACGTCTGGTCAACCGATTTGGTAAAAGCTGTGTTTTCGTGAGAATAATCCGTCGCATTAAGAACATTCCATCAAATTCGAAAATGGGCTGGTTTTTTGGATTTTTGCCTAATTGGGAGTGGATTCATCGGCCCATGATTCAGCGTTATCAGAGCTGCCGGACTGGTCGAAAACCAGATGGCCGGCCGGCGGTAGCTCCGATCTCAAGCATCTGCTGTCGTCTTCACGTGCAGCGAGGCCTCGGCGCCGTCGGCTTGGATTCTTCGCCGGATCTGCGCGTTTACGGCGGTCACATGCGGCGGAGCCAGCCGAGCGGCGATCCCCGCCTCCGCCCCCACTCTCTGGCGCCGCTGACAGACGGAGAGATCTGACAAATGACTGTCCTCCTCCAGGGGGCCTCCAAGGATAATAACTACGAATTAAGAGGCTTGGCGGGCACAGGTAGCCCGCCATTAAATTCCTCACAGTTTTCACCTTTTCCCCCGGATTTTGAAACCCTTTGAGGGTGGTGGTGCTCGGCTGGTCTCTCTACAGAGGAGCCTCTGTGTACAGGGACGAGTTGGTAGAAGCTTCGTAGCTCTGAGCTGGGCTTCTCCGGTAAATGAGGGGGAGTAACGATTGCAGAGGCGCCAGGGAAGGGGAGGAGGCCTCGAAGTTACGTGTTCTCTTCTTTCTGGGTTTTCCTCTTGGCCAGGAAGAAGAAGAAGAAGAAGAAGAAGGTTCACGTGAGGCGAGACCCGTCTGCCCTCCCTCGCCCAAACCAGAAAACACAGAGGGGGACGACCGGACAGACAGAAGCGATGGAGGAAGAACATCTGTCGGGGAGGCACCGCCGGCGGTGAGCAATGCCGCCTTTCTGTATCCGCCGTCGAGGGCAGGCCCTTCCGGCATCCCCCTTCCGCCTCTTCTCGATGGAGTGCAGTGCTCTCTCCATCGTGCTCTATTCCCTTTACGTCCTTCTTCTTCTCCTCTTCGTCTTCCTCCCGCTGCCGTCTGTCTTCGCTGAGTCCCGCGAGGTGGAGGCGCTCCTCGCACTGAAGCTAGCCGCAGATCCCTCCAACGCCCTTCCATGGCAGCGCGATTCCGCCGCCGGTGTGTGCTCCTGGGTCGGCGTCAGGCAGTGCTCAGCGGACGGGCGGGTCACTAAGCTCGTTCTGGAGTTCTTCAACCTCACCGGGCAACTACCCCCCGCAACGCTCGGCTCTCTCGACCAGCTTCGCGTTCTCAGCTTCAAATCCAACTTCCTCTTCGGCGAGATCCCCGATCTCTCTGCTCTCACCAATCTCAAGTCCCTCTTCCTCAACAACAACCGCTTCTCCGGTCAGATACCTCCCTCCGTCTCTTCCCTCCATCGGCTCAAAGTCGTCGTCCTTTCCGGGAACATGATCACCGGGGAGATCCCCCCTTCACTGACCAAGCTTCCAAGGCTCTACGTCTTGTTCCTCCAGGATAACCTTCTCTCAGGGCGAATCCCCTCCTTTGAGCAGATGGGTCTGCGATTCTTCAACGTCTCCGGCAATCATCTGTCCGGAGAGATCCCGCAGACCCCCTCCCTCAGGCAGTTCAATGCGTCCTCTTTCATGGGCAATCCGAACCTCTGCGGCGACCAGCTGGAGAAGTCGTGCATGAGCACCAGAGACCATCCCGTTCCTCCATCCTTGAGCCCCGTTGCCTCTGTAATAGTCTCATCCACCTCCTATTCCGCCCCCAAACGGGAAGAGAAGATGAACAGGAGGAGGGTGGCGGCCATAGTCGCAAGCTCTGTTGGCGCGTTCCTGTTTCTCGCCATCTTCACGGGGCTGGTGGCGGCTTTCTTCCTGGTCCCCTGGAGGAGAACGATGGTGGCGGAGACCAACGGCATATCGCGCGGCGCGGGAACGGAGAGCAAATCCGCTGCAACGGGCGGCGGCGGCGGCGGCATCAACGTACAAGACGGCGAGGGGCCTTCCGGCGGGGCGGGGAAGGGTGGTGGCGAAGTGTTCTCATGGGAAGGGGAGAGGCTGGGGAATCTGGTTTTCTGCGGCGGCGTGGGGGAGATGTACAGCTTGGAGGAGCTGCTCAAGGCCTCTGCAGAGACCTTGGGGAGGGGGACGGTGGGAAGCACCTACAAGGCTGTAATGGAATCTGGGTTCATTGTGACGGTGAAGCGGCTCAAGGACTCGTCCATCCCTGGACAAGACGAGTTCCGGCGGAGAATAGAAACCCTAGGGCAGCTGCGCCACCCCAACCTCGTCCCTCTTCGGGCGTACTTCCTAGCCAAGGAGGAGCGCCTCCTTGTGTATGATTACTTCCCCAATGGCAGCCTCTACTCGCTCATCCACGGTACGCCCTCGTCTTCTTCCTCTTCATCTTCTTCCCCGAGTTCCCTTCATCCTGAAAGGCTCAGATCTTTTAAGCTTCCAGTTTATACTCCCACCCACCTGCTGATTACAGAGGAACCCGTAGTAGAATCGGTGTTGCTATGAGGATCCATGCTATTTTTCGACTGATTCTCAGACGTAAACTCGGAAAAGAAAGAAGCCCCTCCCTTATGATCTTGAATCCGTGTGCAGGATCGAGACCTACCGGAGGGGGTAAACCTCTTCACTGGACGTCCTGCCTGAAGATCGCAGAGGATGTGGCTACGGGCCTTCTTCACCTCCATCAAAACTCCAGCGTCATTCACGGCAACCTCAAATCCTCCAACGTCCTCCTGGGTCCTGATTTCGAGTCCTGCCTCACAGACTACGGCCTCATCCCATACCTCGGCCCCTCAGACACCGCCCACGAGGACAGCGGTAGCGGCGGCGGCGGCGGCAGCGGCGGCGCCGCCCTCTTCTACCGAGCCCCCGAGTCTCGCAGCCTGCGGAGATCCTTTACCCAACAGTCGGACGTGTACAGCTTCGGGATCCTCCTGCTGGAGCTCCTCACCGGGAAGACGCCATTCCATGATCTGGTGGAGGAGCACGGGGAGGGCATCCCCCAGTGGGTGAGGTCGGTGAGGGAGGAGGAGATCGAGTCTGGAGACGATCCGGCCTCTGGGAACGACAACTCGGAGAAGCTCGGGGCGCTGCTGAACATCGCCGTGGCGTGCCTATCGCCGGCGCCGGAGGACCGGCCGACCACCAAAGAGGTGGTGAGGATGATCAGAGACGCTAGGGTTGAGGTCCTCGCTTCCTCGAACAGCAGCGATCACTCTCCCGGCCGCTGGTCCGACACCGTTCAGAGCTTGCCCCGGGAATACGGCTCCGAGCACCTGAATTTCGCAGAGAGAGACTGAAGATACTCCAGTGCGAACTGGTTCATCTCCTTCCTCGCTCTGTGTTCTTCATGTAGAGTGTGATTCATCTCTCTCTCTCTCTCTCTCTCTCTCTCTCTCTCTCCCTCTGGTCCGCCATGAACAGAGAATGGGGTTGCAGAGGGAGGAGGGAGGGGGGATGCCCCCTCAGAAGGTTTTGTAGTTCTCATTTTTTGGGCATCTGATCAGTTAGCTTTTAGGAATTTCTTCGAATGATTGTGGTTATCAGCAACTCGATACCCTTTTTTCCACGGCTAATTGTTCTACAATACTCAAGCTTTTTGGTACCTAAAATTAAACCATAATGATAACTAATTTGTTTATTTGTACAACTCGCTGAAAGGCTTGTCCGAGGATCCGCCGCGGGCGGGGTTTACGGAATCGATTTTGTGGAATTTCGCTGCCAAACTTAACTTCAGGGCAGGAAAGCCGGGTGCGCACGTGGCTCGGTAAATATACACTAATTAAGGAAAAAAATAAAATAGAAAATAATGGATATGTATAAATTTATTTATTTACTTTTTAAAAAGAGTTTAAAATAAATATATATTATTAGTCGTAATTTATTAATCCCCCGTGGAGAGGGTATATAAAGTACCCCAGCAATCCAGCTTCGGACAATCAGTCATCCCCTCGTCTTCTTCCTTCGACGCCCGGAAAGACTGGCGATTGCGAAATTGCCCTAGGACCAGCAGAGACAAATCCATCGATTCCCCCACCTCGCTCCCGCAGCACCCCTATAGGAGTTGGTCCCAATCCCTTGGCCGCGAAGATGGCGGATCCAGGCGTTTCAGATGCGTCCGATTCTGGTAAGAATGTTCTTAGCCCTTTCCCAATCATCCCGTGCCATGGTAGTTCCTGGTGTTCTTTCGGAAATTAAATTTTCTCTCATTTTGTTTTCTTTTCTCGCTCTTGTTCAGGTCCGGCTTGCAGTTTCTTTCGAAAACCGTCGAAGAGTAGAAACATCCGGAAACGGAAAGAGTTGGACGAGGAGGAAGAAGAAGAAGAGCGACAACCTTCCACCTTGCCACAAAAAGCGAAAAAGGCTCTAGTTCACGATAATAAGCTTCATTTCTCATCCGAGTCTGCCTCGTCCAGACGCCGTGCGACCACCGAGGAGGATGATGAGGCGACGGAATCATCATCCACCGCTTTCCAGTTTGAATCCTCCAAGGAGATCCAAGTCAACAACGATAGCGGTGCTACGGCAATCCTAGAGACGGAGACCGCGTTTACCCATGATGCCCGGGCCATCCGCGAGAAAACTCTAAAACTAGCGGAGGAAAAGCTCAAGGGCCGTACGCGGCCTTCTGGGGACGACAAGCTCTACCGGGGGATACATGGATATATGGACCACAAGGCAGGATTCCGTAGGGAGCAGACAATCGCTGGTGAGAAGGCAGGCGGGGCCCATGGGCCTCTCCGTGCCCCGGTGCACATTAGGGTCTCTGCGCGATTCGATTACCAGCCGGACATATGTAAGGACTACAAGGAGACAGGATACTGTGGCTACGGTGATTCGTGCAAGTTCATGCATGACAGAGGAGATTACAAAATGGGTTGGCAGCTGGAGCGAGAGTGGGATGAGTCGGAGAAGGCAAGGAAGAGGGCCTTGGCGCTTGGTGGTGGGGAAAATGACGAGGGTGGCATGGATGATGGGGACAGCGAAGATGATGATGCCTTGCCATTTGCCTGTTTCATATGCCGGGAGCCATTTGAGGATCCGGTTGTGACCAAGTGTAAACATTATTTCTGCGAGCATTGCGCCCTAAAGGTAGGAGAGTTCATTTGATTGAATCTCCTTTTCCTTCCCAGAATCAGAATTTAAAGGCTTTACCGTCATACAGAGGGTGATTACGTATAGATTGAATTTAGGTTATATGATCTCAGTAGATGGTAACTTCCTGCTAAGTAACTCTGTACTGTGTTTAATTTCTTGCTTTGGCTGTCACATTTTGTTTTTGGTGTACGGTTCTGGACTTCATTAATGAAAAATGCCTGCACATGTAACATAATAAGGAACCTTCAAAGGCTACCTCATTGGGGACGTGGCATGCACTATATTTACCATAGCATCGTGGCATCTTTGTTCATTATCAAATACAAGATTGGGAATTAACTGAAGGTGGAATCCTTCCCCTGCAAATATTAGCCCAAAAGAATGCACTAATTTCTAACTTCCAGCTTGTTACCCTAATTAAACCAACTATTCTTTTAAGTGCCTATAATCCCTGAAAATATGATTTACGCTCTGTACCCCAGTCTTTCTGCCGTGTTTCTTTTAAAAACTGGCTTGCATATTTCTTATTCTCGAGAACCCTATCCAACAGAATCTTCGGACCCATCTACTGACTCTCCTTCCCTTCATGAAGTCCCTCGTAAGCATATGGAATGTAGTTCTTTCTTCCCGAGGGTTGAGGAAGCTTAACATATGATTATTTCTTCTCAAGGCTCGATGAGGCAAGGTGTCTGACGGAACATCACACTTTAGTTTTGAACTCTTGACTCCATCTCATAGCTTCAAAATTACTGGTACAGATTGAAATAGGGGAAGCTGGGAAAAAAATTGGGCCTTGAATCCCCACAAGCAACAAAATCCAGAATCTTCATGTTCACAACGATCGAAATAGAGGCTCCCTTCAATCCACTGCGGGTTCCTTGAATCCACAGAGAGAGAGAGAGAGAGAGAGAGCCCAGAATACTTTAGGTAGATGAAAAGAAGATTTTAATTCTTTTCAGAATTTGTTCTTCTTTCTGCAGTGTACGCCTCTTCAAATAGATAAAAACTAGTTGTAGGTCTGCTAAAAAAGAAGATCCGATAAGAAAATATGCCAACATATAAGATTTCCTTCATAAAAGAGAAAAATTACCACGGCTACGCAAGCAAATTTCATTTTGGGCCTTATGAACCTTCTAAATTACTTAATGTAAATCTTATTTGCTTTTATCCTTTCGGACCTGCTGGACTGCGCCATTTAGGCCTTTTCAATTTATTGGGAATTTTTTCTACATCATAGAGACTCCAAAAATTGTAGCTAGCCACTGTTATTGTGGAAGATGGAACTTGTCCTTTTTGCTATGCTATTTTTGAGAGTGCTTTGTCTTCATTATTTGTACTTATACAATCTCTATCTAAGTTATCCTTCTGTTCTCTATCTTCTGTTGCTCATTAAATTTTTCAATCTTGTTCAAAATCTTTTTTAGTACTCGAAAGAGGAAATAGATGAGTGGTGTCACATATATTCTGAACTATGGAGCATAGGGTAGGGGATAAGTTATGTTAAAAGGGAGGTCAATCTTTTCCTTTTTCCTTGTTGGGAAAACTCTGACATCATTTGAAAAATATTTTTGAATGAAAACTGCCAATAGTTACTGTTGTGCTACTTTCCCGATGGGGATGCCTAGCAAGGGGACATGAAAATTTTCAATTTAGATCAGATCATATCAATCGTTTCAAATGATTCGTTGATTTAGGATATTTTAGGGAGCTAACTAGACGTCTGGATTTCCCACTGTGCATCGGATGAACACCTTTATCAAGTGGCCATTTAGGTTTAGAGAGCCCATATATTTTTTATGATGTCGTAGTTGTGTCAGGTTCTCTTTTGTTCATTCTCACCATGACTGGGTCCCTTTAAAAAACAAACTGTGATTGTGTCCGTCCTGTCATTAGCCCATGAAGAGCGAAAGTGGCTATGGATTTTTTTCTAGACTTTTATTAGCCGAACAAAAGAGGAAGACAGATTAGTCAGAAAAACTCTGGTAAATTATGGGTTCGGATCATTGACTAGGCGAATAGAATTCATACTTGTCCTTAAGATGCTAGCTTAACCATTGCGCATTTTACACTTCTGTTACTAGTTATTTACTTGCACAAGGATATATAGAAGAAGAGTGCTCTAGGCATACAATTTAATGAAAAAATTGTAGGGATATATTTTTAATTTCACACACCATTGCGCATGTGATGGTGGTTTACACTGGACATGTGAAGAAGAGTGATGCTCTAGGCATACAGTTCCTTTTGCTACCAAATTCTCAATGTGAACGTTTGTGACAATATGCCTTTACTCTTCTCCACTTGTTCTTGACAGCTTCCCCGTTCCATCTGGTCACTGTGACACTCTCTATACTGATTCTTTCCTCTCATCCCCTTCTCTGCTCCCTAATTTAGGGTATATACAGTAGAAAAGGCTTCTTATCTAGGAAATAATTTCTCCAATGTGGGAATAATGGCATTGGTCTTGAGATCCTTGTATTCAGGATGCATCGTTCTGTTAGTTTTTTAGGATTATCAACTGCGTGATCATTCAACATTATCAGCCTTTTACTAATGTGATTCGATTGTATCTTTTGAAGATGTGGTTAAAACAACATGCCATTAATTAATAAGAAAATAAGTATTCATCAGCTTGTACTATTTCCCTATCCTCCCCCAGAGTGCACATCGGAGAAACCACCCTGCTACAAACTGTAAACCCTCTGCTTCTGTTCAACGTAGCTCAGCTCAGTAGCCTGCCACAGAATCTCCCATTACAATCCTGAACATGGTCTAATCCATTGATCTGGTGTGAGTGAAGCTGGCTTTGTCTCTGCAGCTGTTGCACGTTCCTTTGATCTATCTCCGTATCTACCTTCTCCTCTGAAGCAAGACAACCATAACCATCCAAGAAGAAACCTGGAATTTTGGTAGCACGTATATGTATTCAGTTCACCTGCAGTTCTTCGCTTTGAGTCACACTAAATGTCCAGAATGTTTTCCTTTGGTGCCTGAGCTTGTTATCCAGTTGATATGAACATGTCTTCTCCCGTGGATGGTGCTGCATAGAACTCTCTCCGAATAACTTTCATTGATTTCGCTCTCACTTTCGTTCAAGATTCTTTTCTGGATCTGGCTCGGGCATAACGAGTCACCTTCAGAGTAGAGTGATGGATGAGTAATACTTGTTATTTATGATCATTGCAGCACTACCAGCGGAGCAAGAAGTGCTTCGTCTGCAACCAGCCGACCCTGGGCATCTTCAATACCGCCCATGAGATCAAGAAGAGGATGGCTGAAAGCAAATAGACCGCTGGCAAGAATGTACGCTTCTTCTTCTTCTTCTTCTTCTTCTTCTTCTTCTGCTGGTCAAATGGAGATCCCTGTGGAGTCTCTCTCTCTTGGTGTTCTTCGTCCATAGGAAATTGATCTTGCTATTTGGGTTGTTGCTTTCAGTTCAATCCTTGGTAGGACACCATCACTTATCTGCTACTGGTTCAGAAGGCCCTATGCCCGATCCTGCCTGCCCTGATCATGCTTCTTATTCAGTGTTGGGGTCAATTAGTCAACTGGGCTAGTCAATTGATCATGTTTTTTTTCTAATTATAAGTTAATTGAGAAATTTAGTCTATCCCGATGATTCCACAACTTTCCTGACCTAGAGCTTGCGTCATTATAAAACCCTGTTATGAAAAATATCTGATTCGTTATATAATAACATTTTTTTTTGCCAAGTGCCCGCACATCTTATTATTTGAAAATACAATAATAATCAACCTAATTTATGTTACTCGCTTTATGATAATTGTAAAGAAGAATCTGCGTATACGGTGGAAGAGAGGGAGAGTAAGAGAGAGAGAGAGAGAGAGAGAGAGAGAGAGAGAGAGAGAGAGAGAGAGAAGTGAACTCACTTTGAAGATGCCCACATGCAGGCGACTTCCGCGTTGTGGAACATCGTTCAACAAGTTATTTACTAATTATTACCCACTTTTCAAATCAAAGAGAAGATGTTCCTTCATTTTAATCTCTCATTCGCATGATCGAGCACAGAGAAGACGTGCTGAGGAACAGAGGAGGCCCGAGAGAGAGCACTGCTTACAGCGGGGCCTCCTTTCATCCTGTTCCCCTAGCCGACAGATTCCTGCTCTTCTCCCAGTCTTCCCCCCCCCCTCTTTCTTCTTCCTTTTTCTCGGGAGACCTCTCTAGCTTGTAGCCCGCACTGGAGCATCGAGTCCGAGGTCGTCTTCTCCCCTCAAACTCTTCTAGCAGCCGCCAGACAGCGAGCAGTGCCGGACCCATGTTCTTCCTCGAGGCGTCGACTCAGGGACCAGGCACGTGGTGAGGGGACTTGTGGGGCCCGGAGTGCGAAGAAGAATCTCTCATCGTGCGAGGCGAGCTCTGGGTGGCTCCGTCTTTTCTGCAGGAGTGGCCTTTATTCCGCGTCCCACCCACAACCCCTGGTTCGCCGCCTCCGCCGGCTGCGTCGTCTTCTTTACACGCCGGCCCACACAGTCGAGGCGAGCAGCGGAAGACACGAAGCCTCCCACGTGGTTTCATTGAATGGCTTGTCGCTAGCCATGGCGGCCCGTCGCGGGGCTGGGTGACAAGAGATTATCGACAGGATCCTGCTTTAGACCTCTGCTTTGAAGTATAATTGTCGTATCATTTTCCCACCTTTACCACCGCCGCCGCCGCCGCCGCATTCACCCCCCCAGATCGTCTGGGTCTTTCCCGTTGGAGCCTCCCTTCGGAGCTCAAGGTGGAAGCTCCGCTCTGGACCCCTCCCTATATTGGGATCCTCTCCTCCCGCATTGAAGCTCGCTTTGGCGCCTTCTCCTTGGTGGGCTGCCACAGTTGGATCGTGGAAGGTTTTCGGGACAGAGGCTGTCGCCATTGAAGGTCTGCTCATCTGCCGGGCCTCCACCAGTTAACTCGTAGCCTTCTTTTCCGTGCGCTGTCCGCTCAAAGAGACCAGGGCGAGCTCAACTGTCGCCCGACTGGTGACGGGTTAGGTTTTGCTGGTTCGTGGGTCTTGCAGGTCCTCAGCCTCTGTGAAGCTCGCATTCGACTCTTCTTCTCTGCATTCTCCACCCGGGGTCCCGAAGGAGACGGCGCGGCCTCTCTGTGAGGTAAAAATGTGGCAACGTTCCTTCCTCGCGGCTTTCTTGCTCTGGTTCCTGTCCTCCCGATGGGCGCCCGCGGCGGAGGCGGCGCCGGCGACGTGCTCCGGGATCGTGCGGATGAAGGGCCGGGCGGAGGCAATATCCATCATCGACTTCGGAGGGGTCGGGGACGGCAAGACGCTGAACACCTGGGCCTTTCGGAAGGCCATCTACCGGATCCAGCACCTCCGAAAACGCGGCGGCACGCTGCTGTACGTTCCTCAGGGCGTGTGGCTCACGGGGAGCTTCAATCTCACCAGCCACATGACCCTGTTCCTCGCCAAGGGCGCCGTCATCAGGGCTACCCAGGTCGACTATATTCTCTCCCTCTCGTCCCTCCCTACCTGCTCCGCCATTAACATATTTCAGGGCCCCCACGGTCGTCTGGGGGCTCTTCTTCCTCGCCATACATCGCCCCCGCCGGACTTTGATGTCATCGTCTCCGTGTCTCCATTAGGATCCCCAGATTTTCTTGCCTCCGCCATGATTCGCCGTCGCACGGCGAGCGTAGAGAATCCGGGTACTGTGTCTTCTTCTTGCTCCTCATCTCGACAGCTGCGTGGGAAGGGTCTCCGCACATTCTTGCAATTTTTGAAAAATGGAGTCAACCCACCTGAATCTCGGGTTGAAGTCAGATCCTCTGTCCGAATTCTGTGAATTGTTTCATATTTGGGATCATTCATCCTCCGTTCATTGCTTCTCCCAAGGAGGTCCAAAGTCTCCCCTTTTTCAGGGTAGAAATCAAACTCTTGTATTTGCATTGACTTATTGAACCATCTTCAACGCATCCGTCTCCAGGACACCATGGGCTGGCCTCTGATAGATCCCTTGCCATCTTACGGAAGAGGCAGGGAGCTGCCCGGAGGAAGATACGTCAGTCTGATTCATGGTGGTGGCGTGCGCGACGTGATCATAACAGGTGCGTCCAGATTACCCTCTTCTTACATTGATCGCCTGCTCACAGTCTGTTTAGCAGTCTAAACCTTTTGACTTTCCGTATATCGTCGACGACCTGCTGGTTGTTCGAGTAGTTGACGATTTTCGTACGTTTTTTTGGCCGAAGATCTCGTGACCTCGGATCTTTTCGCGTCGCTCTTTCGTAATTCAAACGGTTCTGGAATGATATACGGCTTGAATATTCTCGATTACGCCGCCAAAAAGTCAAAGCTTGCCGACACGAGGGCTGAGCTGAAAGAAATCTGTTCTTTGTGAGCAGGTGAGAATGGGACCATCGACGGCCAGGGTGATGTGTGGTGGAACATGTGGAGGCAGAGGTCCCTTCGCTTCACGAGACCTAATCTCGTGGAGTTCGTTCATTCCAGAGACATCATTATCTCTAATGTGGTCCTGCTGGACTCCCCTTTCTGGAACATCCACCCTGTTTACTGCAGGTGAGCTCCCCCCCCCCCAAGAACACCCATGATCATCTGCCCTAATCATGCAGTATAGATAACTCGTGGGGTGGGGTTGTTCTTGCTCCTTTTTCATGCAGCAACGTGGTGGTGAGATTTGTGACGATACTGGCGCCCAGGGATTCCCCGAATACCGATGGAATTGACCCAGGTCTCCAGATTCTGCCGTTTTTTATTTTCTTTCTTGGCTTTCTGGTTCAGAAATTTGATTTTCTTTGCTCTGCAGATTCGAGCTCCGAGGTCTGCATAGAGGACTGCTTCATCTCCACCGGGGACGATCTGGTGGCGGTGAAGAGCGGGTGGGACGAGTACGGCATAGCCTACGGCAGACCGAGCTCAGAAATCACCGTGAGGCGCATAACCGGCTCCTCCCCCTTCGCCGGAATCGCCGTCGGCAGCGAGACCTCCGGGGGGGTGAAGAACATCCTCGTGGAGCACATCACCCTCTTCGACGTGGGCATCGGCGTCCACGTGAAGACCAACGCCGGCAGAGGAGGGTACATCAAGAACGTGACCATCTCCGACGTGAGCGTCAGCGGCGCCCGCAAGGGGCTGCGCATCGCGGGCGACGTCGGCGACCACCCGGACGACGGCTACGACCCCGCCGCCGTGCCGGCGGTGGACGGCGTGACGATCAGGAACGTGTGGGGGGAGAAGATCCTGCAACCGGGCTCCATCGAGGGAATCAAGAACGCGCCTTTCACCCGCGTTTGCCTCTCCAACGTCAAGCTCTTTGGGGAGGGCCCCGGGGAGGTCCCCTGGAAGTGCGGCGCCGTCACCGGCGCCGCCCTCGGGGTGCAGCCGGGGCCCTGCCCGGACCTCACTGCCACCGCCGACGCCATGGGATTCTGCTCGGGAGCCTTCTGATCAAGAATTCAACGGCGCGTGCGCAGGATCAACGCCGTGGGATGATTATTCTGTTTGTATCTCCTGAACAGGCTGTGTACTTGTCTGCTTCTGCCAATCGGATCGGAAAAGTCAATCAATCTTCTCCTGGTGAATCTACCGACCCACGCGGGAGATCACACCTTCTGGTTCCCCAGATCCAGCAGCCTCCTTCTGGGTAATCATCCAGTCTTCGTCTTCGTTATGATCATTCAACAAAGGCGGAAGCTTTGCGAATCATTGATTGTTTCATCAAAGCGAAGTATATGTATATCTATATCGTGATGTTTATTCCATAAAAACAACATACGCTGCAGCCGCAGCTAGAAAACGGGGAGGCCTCATGATCTCCGCCGATATGTTCTGTCCACATACAGCAAGCAGAGACCACCCAAATCTGGTGGAAATAATAATTACACAGGTAGAGAATGATGGGGATGATGAGGATGATGAGGATGAACCGTATGTTATAGGGCTGTGTAATCGAACCCGTTACATGTGATCCCCCTCAGATGCGGCGGTTCAGGACGTTCCAGAAGTGCTTCCTCAACGCGCCGTGCTCGGTATCTCGAGGGGAGTGGCGGAACTCGCGGGGAGCACCCAACTCCTTGTGCTTCATCAGATCAGAGAGCGAGATCTCGCCCATGTCCTTCCACTCGCCGCCACCGGTCTTTCTCCCTAGGAAGCCCCGCCGGCCGAGGTGAATTCGGCGCATCTCCTCGCCGGAGATGACCATGTCGTCGCCGAACGGGACGATCAATCCCCGGTGGAAGCGGCGCCGCCCGTGCTGGCAGTGGTGCCCGGGGCGGCCGTGGATTGGGATTGGGCGGTCGGTCAAGCGCAGGCCCTCGGCCGGGAAGCCGCGGACGATCGGGATGAAGCTCGAGTCGATGGGCACCTGCTCCTCCGTGGTGCGTGGCTCGAAGGTCGCGAAGGAGTGTTCGTCGGCGCCGGCGGCCTCCACCGCTGGAAGCTGAGCGGCGGTGGAGAGTACGAAGAGGGAGAGGAAGACGATGACGACGATCGCATGCCTGGCCATGGCTTCGATGGGGATCAACGCGAGAGAGAGAGAGAGAAAGAGAGAGAAAGATAGAGAGAGAGATACCGTGGGCTCTCAGGCAGTCGTTTTACCCTGTCAAGAGGACCCAATATTTTTATTCCCCTAAAATCTCGTAGCGTGCACCGCAATGGAGAGCGGAGACGGCGTTGACTTTTGTAAACGCGTTCAAACTAGACGCACAATGAGAGGCATCATATCCGAGAGACATGCACCATTGACCGAGACTTATTAGCCTTAATTATCGCTAGTCCATACAGATAAATACGCAATAAATCGATGGGCCGCCTTCTATTATTGCACGCCTAGACTAATTAGTAGAAATTATCGTATAATAATTTCCTACGACCTCATCTTACGGAAAACAGAGGGACCGAAGAGAACTGGTCAAACCCATCTAAGCCGACCTCAGCTAAGAAGATTTTGCGTTTACTAGCAGAGCATCAGGTCAAGAAGAAGGCAGGTCAACTAGAGGTACCTGCTGCCGTTGAGGCTTCCATGGCGGATAATTTCCCTCGAGTTTGACGCGAGATAAAAAAAAGTAAAATACGGGCATAAGTTATCTCGGGTTCAACATGAGATAGAAGTCAACCAAGGGGGAGTTCAGTACGGCCGTCCGAAGGGGAAGTGCGGCGGTTGACCGGCCTGCGGAGGCATCGGCATGCCCCCGGGGAAGGCGTACATCTGACCGTGCATGTGGGAAGTTCCTACTTCCCAGCCGCCCGGGTGGAGTCTGTGACCCATTCCTCCAAAGGCGGAAGCTTGAGGGACGCCGCCGTACTGGGAGCCGACGGGCTCGAGGGAAGGATGGGGCTGATGCCCCAGAATGGAAGGCTGGCCGCCGGGCGTGGCAGAGCCCTGGATCGTGTAGTCTCTTCCCCTGTCATTGTTCGTCTGAGAGAGGCGATTCACAAGAAACCCATGTTATCTCCACAGGGAACTCGATGAACTGGATCGATATGGCGATCTTCTACTTCGTTCAAACCAAAAAAAAAAAAAAAAAAAAACACTAAGAACAAGCTAGTGATCCTCGCACAAGAAGTAAGCCTCAATCATGGACGTCTGCAGACAATAATATCAGAATAAATCGCAGCGGGAAATCCAGAACTGAACTGGGCAATCTAAGATTTTCGCATGAAGACTACATAAACAGGAATTGAAGCGAAAAGTGAAACAAAAATGTCAGAAGGGAAAAAATTTCGGAAAGAAATGTGATACTAGACACTTGAAAAACTTAAACTTTTTGCATCTCAATCGCCTCCAATGGGAAATGATCTCTGAAGTTGCAAACCCTTTCTATATCCATTCATAGATTTTTTTTAAAAAGGAGGACATAATGAGCCGCACGTCTGATCTTTCATTACAAACTAAGAAACATATTTCGGGTTTACCCAATAGTGTTCTACAGCCAAAATGGTGAGACTTTGATGGTCAAATCATGCTCTAGAAGATTCCGGGGCATGAGTTAATTCAATTGTGATGGTACCAGAAAATCTAACAAAGGTCAACGGATGAAGACAAGGATGCACTATGGACCGCAACATGAACAGCTTTGTCTGTAATGACGAGACTTCTCAGCTAGCATATAGCAACCCAATAACCATATGCACAGCCGTCATGCCCTGGGGATTGGATCATTCAAACGTTGATGCAAAAGAATCACAAAGACAACATTCCACTGTCCACAATCGCAGGATGTATATTCATTACAGAGAAAATCACAGAAATCATGGGGAATACAGAGAAGAAATAGATAGCGAGACACGTAGTGCACCTGGATATTAAGATCAGTATGGCACGAATAGGCAAGATGAATCCTGCAAAAGCCACCGTCATAGATGCAATGACCTTCGAGAGAATTTTTTGCAGCAGTTGCCGTCGGTATGTCTGCATATTAGAAACCAATAACATATCACACAAGTATGCATCAACCCTCAGAGAATACCCGCTACAATGGAAAACAATTGAGCAATGAAACTTAGATATGCATTCTTTAAAGTTGGAATATCATCATCGTCATTGTGAGAATTCTATTTCTCATCATCACTCTGAGACTAATCACATCAAAAAGAAGAAAGAAGAAAGGAACACAAAGATAAGGTTAAAAAAATCTTAAGACGCTTTCCTTCTGAGACTGCTGCCCACCTCCTTAACCTGTCATATTTTTAATGGCGTCAGCCATTTCCCCTGCACTATCAACCAATTTAACCAATCTAACCTCGCCTGAGAATTCTATTTCTCATCATCACTGTGAGATTAATCACATCAAGAAGAAGAAGAAGAAAGGAACACAAAGACAAGGTTACAAAAGCTTAAGTCCCTTTCCTTCTGAGACTGCTGCCCACCTCCTTACCCTGTCATCTTTTTAATGATGTCAGCCATTTCCCTGCATATCAACAATCTAACCTCGCCTAAATTCCGACCAGACAGCAACTGATCCGAGAACTTACGGTTCTCATATCATCGTCCTCATGATCTGCCAAAGCAGCCTGAGGTTCTCACAATTGTTTAGCAGACCAACATGCACCAGAGGATGCCTTCCCTCTTTTGATATGAGAGCTACAAAAGTTCATCCAAAACATTTGATTGTACCAACTGTTGCAGCCAATATGTTGGCTTTAGTAACCCCCCAGGACTGCAACAGAGGGCATTTAGGAAAAAGCCAATCCCCACGATTCAAAACCTTCAAAAACCGCAAATCATCTTTCATGATTATCTTTCCCTAGACAAAGATCTTTCTGATCTGTTCCAAATTTCGCAGTTCAACTTGCATTGGCAGGGCTATTTTAGGTATAACAGATCTTCACGGGAAAGCCAAAATTGAAATACAGTCGACACTTCGTTGAACTGTGCAGCTGGAGTGTTTCCTAAACACATTCAGTCCGGTTCGTACAGCCTGGAACCTGCTGTTTTCTTTTATCTAACGTAACCAAAGAAAAAAAAACAATTCAATTCTCTGTACGCAGGAAGAGAGCAGAAGCTTTATATATTACCCAAGACATTGCTTTTAGCATAAAAATCAAAAAATAAAAACTAAAAAAGTTAGGTATAAATCTGTTTAATGTCGAACACCGGCCATAAGACTGTAATATCCAACAGCTGGCCCAGTCCCTTATGCTCTAAGGAAATGGCAACTGATGAGATCTTACCAGGATATTGAATTAATGCCTGGAAACCAGCATTCTTTTCAAAAATTGCGATCTTGTGGACAGGACCAAATGCAGAAAAGACCTGTTGGCGAAACGATACGGGCTAATCAGGTTAAATGACTAAGGAAAATTCGGTATTAGAGGAATTGATGCAACTACCGTATGAAGAACATCAATGCTAACAGCAAATTGCATGTCCTCAATGGATGCAAGGAGTACATTGCTCTCTGGTTCCTGTTTCTTGCCTTCAGTGCCAAGACCAAACTGCGGTAATAAAAAAAATATCGCAGTAAAGCAATTGTACAGTGACAACAGGAGAAATCCACTAACATCTAAAACAGATCTTCTTGACAGTCTATCCACAGATATTCACCTGGCCGCTACCATCAATAGCTGATGAAGCCACCGGAAGATATGGATTGGTATAGTCCCTGGCGAAGATGACAGATGTTAAAACCATTGATGCACATGAATATGCCACAAATAAATGGAAAGAACAATAACTATGAAGGAAAAAGACAATAATTAAAAGTTTTCGTTTCTGAAATATACCATTCCTACAAACAAAAATTCATCTTTAAACGTCACTGTGCAATCCATGGGGCAAAAAACTGATTACATTCAATTTATTTTATAGAATATGGACACTTCTACCAGTTTTTTTTTTTTCCCAACATACTCTGTAGCCTCTTTGGAGCTCTGCACTAACTCCAGGATAGATCAACATTTCCTCCCAGCCAGGCATGTCTTTATACTAGTTAGCGTTAAGCATCTCCTGTCAGGAGAAAATGCTACACATTCGTGGGGATGAGTAAATTATACTAATAAGTAAGCTTATGAGAACGACAAGAAATTTAGCAGCAATATGAGTTTTGTGAATATACAAGAAAGAGCATAACAAATTAACATTTTCCTTCATATGTTTTGAGTTTCTAAATATTAAGCTAATTGTAAAAGGGATATATATATATATATAAATATATCTACGATTTTAGCATAAACATTTTTAATGTTAATTCAACTATCAATATAAGGGCATTCTGCCCTAGAGACAATAAAGATGTCTCTTATGCACCAAAGAAACACAAGGCTAACCTGCTACGATGACTCTGAAACTTCACATTTAAATCCCTATGCGCAGAATATGTTATCCTCAAACTACATTGGCCCACATGTTCCTGAAGTAGATATCTGCTCAAAGAAGAAGGAAACAAAGACGACCATGTCAATTAAAGGCTATCTAGGGCCACCATCTAGATGACAATTAAAGGGAATTTTCATCACCTCGGAATACTCCTTCCATCGAGAGAAATTTTTGCAGAAGTTGCAGTTTCGGTATCAGAAAACTGAATCAGTGCCTGCAAGTAAGAGGAACTTCACCAAAACGATTAATAATCTTCATCTTCATCTGCAAAATAATACTAGATAAGTAGAGATGACTTGAAACAAGCCAAAGTCCTAAAGAATATGACCTGGAAACCAGCTGTCTTCTCAAACGTAGCTATCTTGTGAACAAAGCCAAACGCAGAGAAAACCTGCACATTACACCAGTAGTTATAAAACAAATCACGAATCACTAACAATTCAACGCATTCAACATATTTATGCCTACGCTAAGGCAAAAAAAAAAATCAGCATGTCGAGCTGCAGAGATATCTCGGAAGTGAAGTGTAAACTGTATCAGACAATATTGCAAAGGTAATAGGACCACAGGTTGGATCAGACTGTGCTGGCAGAATTCCCAAACTATGGAGAGAAAAAACAATCCGGTTATAAATGTAAACAAATTCTATATTTATCATTTTTTAGGATATGGAGAAAAACAGTTTTAGCAAAAGGCGATGTAGAGAATTTTTTTTATAAAAGGGGTCCTGGAGTATTCCCTTTCAGTGGGTGGCAGCAGAAAGCACCCCACATGGGCACACAGGCAAAGGCAGAAAGGAGAAGATGGCAATGGGTGATGGTGAGGTTAGATTTATTTTTTACTAGTTCTTTTTTTTCTTTTTGTCGTGCAGCCTCCACTCTTTGTCTTCCTCAGTAGACTGCAGCCTATGACCTCTTTCCCTTTTCCTCCTCCCCTTTAATCTTCTTTCTCCAGCTCTCCAACCTGTTACCAGAGGAAAGGCCATAAGAGCCCAACACTGAATCAATCGACCATCCATCTATCGAAAACAAAGATCAACGCAAATTTCCTCAATCCGAATTGGCGACTCCCAGATTCAATCCTAGAACACTGCCTCAGATTGGAATTTATTGGTTCAGAACACTACAGATGGGATACCAAAGACTCAAAATGAAAACAACAACAAAAACGACAAATTCTCAGAGGTGATGATTACTGAGAGACATTTCATAACGGAGACGACCGACCAACCCCTGAATGGTTCAAATCTGTATGCAGGAGCATTTCTCATCTACACGTTTCTAGACATCTGTGTAGCTGCTGCGATTCTGCACTACTGACGTCTGAAGTAACATATAAAAAATTACTTTTAAGTACAGATCGCAGTTCTTCCATTGTTAAAAACTCTGGAGGGGCAAGGTTTCTTCTTAGGTGAATCTATGAAAATCCTAATGATGGATGTAGATATTAGTAGACAGAGTGGGATAAGTAATTTCTGACAGACAGGTCCTAAATTATTTGGTCCTTTTCCAGATGTCAACTCGTTAATTTACAAAAACGATAGACAAGACATCTAATATCCTGTGGTCGTTAGGGGCTGGAATGATATGACTGTCATTCGACAAACAACTTGACAGGTGAAATATTACAGTTAAACTAGCAGGAAGAAGGTAGGTTCTTCTCAAAAGAGTATAATACAGCATAGCCACTTAACTCTTCTCAATTTACAAGATCCAGAAGGTGATCAAAAGAAAATTTTAATATATTGGGATTTTTTTTTAATTAAGCAGTGGGGACGAGACACTAGAACAGAGAAGAAGCTACAGCTTGTCAATTAAGATAGAGCCAACAGAAGAAAAGCCAGTAGAGCAGCACAGGTCAAGTTACAATTTTTGAGAGAAATTCCTACATAAATGGTTGTCAATGCAGGGGAAAACGGAAAGCTTTGGTATGACGGTCATTGCAGACCATCTATGCTAACTTTATATAAAAATCTTATCAGAAGTACTGATCCAGCAGCAACATCAACTACAACTGAAACTTGTGGACATTAATACTGTTTTTGAAAGAAAAATGCCATCGGGTTGTCTCTTTAAGTAGAAGATTTATCACTAAATAGAACCGTCTTACACCTAAGGGAACATCTAAGTCCTGATTACGAACCGAGCATCAGCCCCAAAAAAATCACCTAAACCTAAATGCATTTCTTGCGACGGAGCAAAAATAGGGGCGTGCAGTGAAACTGGAACTCTTGTTCGCAGGATACTCCATTATTAACTAGAGGGAATTTGAAGAAAGGAGGGCAAAACATGTTGACTATATGTCAAGGAAGGAGGACTTGGTATAGCTTTGTGACGGAAAAGATGGTAAAACTGAGTCATACTCTACCAACTCAGCTGTGACGTGGACTAACCTGCATCTGAGTCACAAAATTCTAAAACATCACTCTTTTAAAAACATAGAATTCCCCTTAAAACCATTGAACCAGAAACTACGCATATCTTCATGTGAGGCGCGAATTAGACTCTTGAAAAACTGATCACAATCATCCGAGTCAGAATGAATCAGTGAGTGCGATAGGTAGAAAGATAGACAGAGAGCGAGTGAGCAAGAGAGAGAGAGAGAGAGAGAGAGAGAGAGAGAGAGAAGGGAGCGTGATGAAAGGAATATAAATTATCTTATTACATCCGAAACAACCATTGTTGTTCAGGGACACTTATATTACTAAACATGGTTGGTACTCTTCCATGTTGAGGAATGAGGTAAAACCTGAATGATGATATATGATTAAAAAAACAACATTAGTAGAAAAAACTGATGATGATTTACGTCATAAAATACACTGGCAATTGGGACACCTTTTCTAAAGGGGATTCACTATGCCTGTAGGAGAAAGATATTGGCTGATGGTACGCCATGATTTTAGTGAGACAGCACCATTATATAAAAGTCACTCATTTTAGTGTGTCCATTGATATCACACTCTCACTTCTCATGAAAGGAAAAATATCATAGTAATATCCGTGTCTACTGGAAAGAGAAGAAAAATGATAGCTTAGAAACCATGAAATTTCATGGTTAGTTGATATCAACATACATACTAACAAAGTATAAAGGAATAAATAACTCTATTGGCACATTGTAACAAACGTCACGTTCAAAAAACATGGAAGTGTCATTTTTCAACTTAACGGACTTTGAGTAGTGGATAAAGGATTGAAGAGGGAAGAAGAAACATTAGTCCTTTGACTTCATACGATAAGGACAGGGGAGAGAAAAAGGGTGGAGAGGTAGTGGGAAGCAAGGGAAAGGAGACAAACACACATGCGCTTTCTCCAGATGCAGAGGGTTTCCGTCAAAGATGTTTCTTCCATGACATGGACCTGCTGATCTGTGCCAACCAAAAACTGTATAATGACTATAAACTACATGCAGAGTACTTAAGCATATCAGCGTCTTCCAGAGAACAAAGTCAATGAACAATATAATATGTAAAACTCATGTATTCTCATTGAAACAAGACTTTCATACCAAGTGTAGGACATCAATGCTGACATCACCCGCCAAGACACCCTCAATTGTCACTAATAATACATTGCTAGCAACCTCTCCGGTAGTTTTGCTATTGACAATTTCTTGTCTGTTGGAATATTGAAGGTAGACGGTTTTCCCCCGTACCTGTGCTGGTTCTGCTGATGAAGCATAATACGAGATCATTGCGATTGCTTGATTTATTTCTGCCTGAATGTGGGGAGAAAATACGATAGAAAACAAAGTCAATAAATGGCCTAAAAAATAGAACGCATAACATTGCGAAATTAAAATGCGCCAACACTTACGAATTCAATAAAAGCTTGGTTCCTGTTTGCACCGACACCACATTTTGTGTTGATAACTTTACCGAATGGTGTGCCTAATTCAATCAATTCCCCTTCTGTGCATTCCCAGGGTAAATTTCTCACATGAAGAACCTTAGATGGCGGTTGGGTATAACGGAACTGGGGCTGTCCAGATGCAGAAGACATTATGCCCAGCACTTGAACACTGTCACATAATCAAAGAGCAACGCACACGTCAATATAGCGGGTCTCAGTGTACATGCGCTTCAAAGAGTGAACCCTGAGGTACGAAAGCACGAAAGAACAGCTATCTGAATGACACCAGGAGAACTCTCATTCAATGAAATGGAGAAACGGACAACTCAAAGGAATATAGGCTTTGGGCTTTGAATATAATGCATCGCAGAATACCGACGGTGGGCTTTCTAAACTGGGGCGGCAGGATCGAAGAGAATCATAAGAACGGTCAAAACAAAGAAGCATGGAAACAGAATTCTCAGATACAACAAGAGAACAACGAAAGTGACTCACTTTTTAAAGAAATCGAGAGGCACTCGCAATTCTCTTTGAAGGACGACAGGGAAAATAAAGGGACGACAGGGAAAAAGTGTAAGGACAGCAAATCCGATAGAGAGGTACGACGCCACACGATCCTCGATCTCATCAAGGATAGAGAACTAGGGTTCGGCTCTTATACCGATCGTCGTCGTGTCTTCCTTTGCACCACTGAGCAGAGCCCCCCCAGATTTCAATTCACAGATTCAACAAGAGATAGGGTCGCAACTCACCGATTCAAGAAGGCAACCCAATTGCGGCCCCTCTTATAAACTCTTCGAAGAGAATGTCGACCGGGAAAGGAGAGCCGGGAGAAGCGAAAGATCTGAGGAAGGAATTCGACAGCAAACAGGCCAAGGTTGGCGAAACTAGGGCGAACCCTTTTATACCCTCGCAGACCTCGCCACGTTCCGACAAAGAGTTATACCATAAACGGGCGACCGGTCTGGTGCTCCGCGGATTAATTGTGTCCTCCGTGGCCGTAGTCGACCCGTCTGGCCAGCACGTTCGGCGGACATTTACGCCTTTCCGAGGCATTTTTACCCCCAAATTATATCGTCAAAATAACCTGATTTTACAATCATATTGTGAACAGATGACAGTAATAAAATAAAATTTATTATATTTATTAATTTCATTTTTGTAAGGCTACTGCTGGAATAGGATAATTAACAAGGCTTCTCTCTTCCCCGAGAAGACCATGTGATCATCTCCATGACATTCGAAAAGCCATCGTCAGCGAGTAGCTGCTGCGAGAAGAGGGGGGATGATATTCGAATCATGAAAGAAGAGAAGATCTGGAAGAAATCACAGGAGGAAAAGCGATGATCTTGGCCACTGCGACTGTCCCCGCCTGGTATTTTACATCGACGCTTGGCCTTCTCGTCGGTCAGTCCAGTTCGAGGTTCTTCTCCACGACTCTCACTTCCCCCGCAGATCTCAGCAGCTCCGCCTGGAGCGGACCCATCCTTGGCTCGTCAGAAACTGCAAAAGTCAACGCAGAGAGATGGGAAGGTGTGTCCTGGATCACCACCTGTTTGTCGGTCATTTCCACGGCGAAGCCGTCGACTATGGCCATGGAGAACCGCTTCCTGTAGGTGTTGAGTTTCAGGGCTCCAGAGAGCAACTTGTCGTGCTTCTTGGTGATATACGCCTCGAGTTCTTGTTGAGTTGAGCTGTCAGCATTGCAGAGAAGAGAGAGGGACGTCGTCTTGGTTAGATGGGAAGGGAAGAGAACGTCTGTGTGGGGGAGAAGAACAAGAATTGACGAACCGATCCCGTCGTAGACGCTCATACTCGGGGTCGAAGTTCAGGAAGACGAAGTAGGGTACGGGCTTCTTGGGTTCCATTCCAGCCTGCTCGCTCTCTCAGGCTCCTTCGTCTTCCTCCGCTTCTCCTCTTCGTGGAATTTCAGAGACTGCTGCAGGCGCTATTTATGCTCGAGGACGAGGAAGAGTCCCCCACATGAACTCGAACTCGTGCTTCAGGACTGCAGACGCCTCTCGGACTACATCTGCATTCATAATTGTATTGCAAAGATCCGAAGAAACTAACCTAACCCGGAATCTAGCCACCTTTATGGGTTGACTTCTGCGCCACTGTCGCTTCTATTTCTGGGGCTTCTGAGGCCAGCAGAAGCGTCCGAGATCGGTCGGTGTCTTAAAAATATGAAACAGCGGGCCGTGGGCATTGACTAAACTTCACCGGTATCCAGGCGAGCAGCGGCACATGATGAGGCGCACTGCCCCTTGCGGAGGCATCGAATCCGGTCTCATGCACCGCCATGCCAGGCTCTGGCCGAGGACGTTGAAGTTCATCCCCGGAGGATGCCGAGAGACGTAGACCACACACAACGAATCTTATCGGCATCTCCATCCTCCGAAAGCTCTTAGTACGAGCTGGAATGGCCGATCTTTCGGTGAATGTCTCTGCAACTCCGTCTGCCCTAAACTGCCGGCGGTAAAAGACCGTGCGATCAGAACGCTCCATTTTTTCTCCAAGTCCATCGAGTACTTGCGATATTTTGGCTTGGGACGCATTTTAGTTGGCAGTTTTCTGGAGAGCTGTCGCAGAAGTCAGCGACGACCCCGTTGGTCGTCGATCCATTTTTCTTTGACCAGAAGGACGATGCGCTGAACGCATTATTTGGGGGGGCTCCCATGAGAGGAGATTCTCGAGTCCCCTCCTTCTAAGTTGATGAAGACGGAAACCCGACACTGTAAACGGACGAAAGGCCGACACGCGTCTATATCACCTCTCACCCTCACATGCCGTTCGTCGCGATTATGCTCGAAGAAGTCGGGTTAGGCAGACCGGCGGGGTGCAGATCTAGCCGACAAATAAGAGAGATTTCAAGGTGTCCAAGTCAACGGCCATGAGTTTTATCTAATAAGGTGCGGAATAGATGTTTAACCGAACGGCACGATGTTGTTTATGTGAACTTTGATCAAACAGTTCATCAGTTGCTAAAATGGTAGCCTCAAGATTTGACTAAGGTGCTACCTGCCTGTGGGTGATACTTCCCTTTGTGGATCTTGCAACTATCAATGATAGTATGTCATATGGCTGATCCATTTAGATTTCATAGTTTTCTAAAATAATGTGGTGTATTTTCCCCATATTATTCTCCTAAAACTGCATATTGGCGTGGTTGCTGAGGTTTTATAACTAATTATGTGCCCAGTCTCGGACTAGAGTTGACGAGGCCAAAATCCTCTCTCACCCATTAACATCTCTACGCACAATAGTCAGCCACGCCCTATCCAAACACCAAAACATTCATCTTTGACCATCTTAAGTCAATATATAATAAGAGATTGCATTAGATAACATTCAAACCCAATAGATTGCATTAGATAACATTTTCAATATATAATAAGAGATGCCGTTGCCAAATATCAGAGAGAGAGAGAGAGAGAGAGAGAGAGAGAGAAGGAGATATTGGCTCTCATAGGAGTGAGATTGGAAGACAAGTTTAGATCTTGGTATATCTAGAACATGTAACCCATGTAACCAAGTACGTTGGGCCACTACGTTTTTCTTCCAAGTTTAATTTTGAGAAGAAAAGTGGAAAAAGTCAAACATCATCGTCTCCACCTTCAGACTACACGTCGATAGTTCTACAATGATATGCCCATTCTCTCGTGAATAATGTGTCAGTAAAGTTAACGAATCGCGTTAAAATTGGTAGCAGAAAACTTTTTTTTTGGCCCATTTTTCAGTAGATATCATATAGTCAACTCTCTTTCAGAATTTTAACTGTTCGGAATAATTAGTAGCCTCACAGATATGCTGTGACCCGCAAAATAATCTTCATCCATTTTCTTTTAGTAGAGAAATTTGTTTGACTAAGTGCGTATGAGTATAATATATTGTAAAATTCAAATAATTACATTATGTGGATTTTTTTCCGGAAACCAATATAATTTTTTGAGCATTTATAGAAACGGTCGCCTACGAATCCCATTATCTTCAGAAATTTCCATTTCCATTTTAATTTCTACAACAGGAAGTTAAATCCGCATCAAAAAATGAGATTTTTCTGAGAAATGGTGAAGCTCGAAAAAAGAGAAACAAGCAACAATGGCTCGCTACCAGGGACTATTTCCTCCGAGCCTTCCCCTCGCCCGTCGCTTCCTCCTCCCGGCGAACTCGTCGGAGTGCCTCATTATCCAGAACCTCTCTATCTCCTCCGGTTTCCGGTCGGCCAGTCTCCCTGCGATAAGGCCCCATCTGAAAGAGAAAAAGGCCGGGCCACCCTCCGTCAGATCCTTCAACACGCGCCGGTCGCCATACCCACCGGCACTGCTTTACCTGTCGCCGACGAGCCGGTGCATTCGGTACACGAGGTCCTCTTCTTGGTCGGTCAGGTCGACGAACTCCCACTCGGTACTGCTCACTTCTGCACACGCTCCTCAGACAAAGCCGTTTCGGATATTAAGGCTTGAAAAGATGGCGTGTATATCGACCGGTTGAGCTCAGGGAAGAAGATGATGTTTCAGGTTAACCTTCTGCCTCGTTTGTGCAGATATCGCGATGCTTCCGGCGACGATTATCTTCCATTGCTCTTCTGTGCTCATCCAAGAAGGAGCTAACTCGAGAGACTCACAGAGGGAGAGAGGAACGAGGAGAGCACGGAGGAAACCTATCCAAGAGAGCCACCAAACTCACCTCGACCCTTGTTTCATGCGGACGCCGCCGGTTCCACCCCCTCGTGAGGACTTCCACTGCGGCGTACCCCGTCCTTCGTCCGCACAACACTCTACACCAAGGCAACAGCGGGCACCTTCTTCAAGGCCACTCCGAATGTCCCATGAAGGAAATTCACCGTCGTCTTCCCACGAACGCTTTCGTCCCTATCTGTCCTCTCTCTCTCTTTCTCGACTCTCCAACGTAGGGAGAGGGCGAGCTCGAAGACAAGATCATGTAATCTAGGGACGGTGTGTTCCGAGATGAAAACGAGAAGGAAGGTCACGGGAGCTGGTTTCTGAGGACGTAGATAGATGCCAGTGAGCATTGAAGGGCAGCTCCCGGAGAGCTGTCCTCTTGGGACTGTGACAAGGCTGTCGTCTCCGGCCGGACTTTACAGTACCGCCGACCCTAGAAACAGTATTTCCATGCCTCTCCGGTGAACGGCGTGCACACGAGCCCTGACAAGTTCAGAAAGACCCATGTGCCCAGCAAATTTTGCGCCACTGCACTGGTTCTCTTCACTGCACGCAAAACCGGGCAAGATGAGACGAGAGTCAAGTTCTTGCACAGTTCAGGTACTAATAACGATGCACCTGGGTTATTAAATTCCGTTTTTGATACCATCTATGTAAAGCATAAGAATTATTTGATTTTTATTGTTATTGGTAAATCAGATGAATAATTATAAATAACTCTGTTTTTTCAGCTAGAGTCCCATTCTTGTCTAACTAAATAAACAAAATCTAATTTAATGCGAAAATTTTAAATTAATCTCTTAAATCTGTTACTCTCTCTCTCTCGCACTAACTCACCCTCCCCCCATCCGTACGCTACGGTGGGCACTAATGACGTCATCCATATTTACACGTCCATTGGAATAATCTCTCCCCTCTCCCTCTGTCAGCATGCATGGAGATGGGCCCTAAATGACACGGAGGGGAGAGAGAGAGAGAGAGAGAGAGAGAGAGAGGGAGGTCCGCGTTGATAGACCAAACAAGAGCCGTTTTGTGAGGAACCGGAGCCGTTTCTTTCTCATCCCTGTTAGTTGGCAAGGGGACGATGGAACAAGATATTATCGATGGACCGGCCGAAGAGAGTTAGAGAAAAAGTGCGAATGACCCTACACCATCTTGTGCCGGATAAACAAAGGCGGTTGGGCTCTTTCTCTCCGATTGGGTCTGTCTCCACCAAATTGGGGGAATGGAGGGAGTTAGAGAGAGACAGAGAGTAGACGTTTTCTTAGTGGGCGTCACATGGAGAAATATGGACGGCCCCCACAGCCAACCAGTGGAATTGAGGAAGACGTCGTAGACTTAACTATGCATATATATACATATAGAGAGAGAGAGAGAGAGAGAGAGAGAGAGAGAGAGAGAGAGAGAGAGAGAGAGAGAGAGAGAGAGAGAGAGAGAGAGAGAGAGAGAGAGAGTAATTTATATGTATCATGAAAATGGCTGATAAATAAACCTCATCAGACTGAATGACGACAAATTTTACGGTAGTTTTCAGACATCTAATAGACCAATCAAGAACCTAATTACTCTGATTTGGAGATGACTCAAACCCAATAAGCAGATTTAAATTTAGACGTGATTATGCCGTTTAGCAGTGTACCAGCACCGGAGGAGAAATGACTGATCAATCGAATAACCCATAGTTTTCTGGCTAATTCACCATTAACGGAGGTGCCAACAGAGTGCAGACAAGAGAAGGGGGGGAGGGGACAGGAGAAGGACGTCTTCCAGCTCTCACCCCTGAGCACTTGCCTGCTGTGAAGTCTCAGTGCAGTCAAAGACTGCCTGCTCATGCCAGACGCCATTTAAGTTGGACTGCCACAGTCTGACCGTGCTGTCACCTCCGGTGGACGCCAACGTCATACCGCTCACGTCCCACTCCAACTGCCACACCTAGCAGCGAGAAGAGAGAGAGAGAGGACCCAGAGGGCCCCTCCCCCCCACCATTCGATCAGAAGATGCTCCCGTCACGAAATCGAAGGAGAGTAGCTATGAACCTTAGAAATATGCATCACAGATTTGATGGCATGGGCTATGATAATCATAAGTAGACCGCCTCAGCCAATTGCACCAAAATATAAATACGAGATTAAAACATGAATAATGCTCTTCAATAAGATATACCTCGCAGTCATGGCCAGAGAGCAAGGCTACTTTCTCCGTAGAAAGTCTCCCATCGGACTCTGGGGTCAAACCCAGGTGCCATATAGCAATCCCTTTACAGGTTGCAACGGCTATAAGCTCATAGGGCCTGCACATTAGGAAAATAGGATAATCTGCAAAGGCATTTAACAAATATAGTATTATGATTTACTGGGTAGCACGATTTAATCAATAATAGTTGACAGAGGACGCGAGGAAATAAAAACAGGCTCATCAGTCGTACATACAGATGATTTATGACAGTACATTGCCTGGTTTTACTCGAGGTCAAAGAGTTGACTTTCATTTACCACAGTGAGCTGGTGTAAAAAGGGAGGATTTTACCTCCCGATATTAGGGGCCCATGCAACCGCATGTACCCTGTCGCCCTTGTCTCCAGGCAATGCCAACTCAGCAACTGGCAGCCAACGTTGATGAACTTCTTCAAACTCCCAAATCTATCAGTGTGCATTTATCAGGAGACAGTAGATAACATCAGATGACAATGATGACTCGCATAGCATTCAATGAGATTTGCAGAAAGAGGTCTAGTCCTGTCATTCATCCGTTTCTATGCATTAATCATAGGCTGTCTATCTTTTCACCGCTGGAAGAGTTCAGAGATGCATGTAAGAAGACAAAAGACCGTTAAGTTGCCCAAATCTTAGCATCTTCACATTGTCTAAACTTAGGGACATATCGGAAGAAAGATGGAATACACCATCAAACTGACTGAGCGATGAAAAAACAAAGCAGCCCCAGGGGAGCAGATATTCTCTTCAACAGAGAAACTTCGCTACGGCACCAGCTCTTAACGAGAAAAACCAACTTTGGCCACATGGAATAGTTACCTGATGTTCACATAGATAATTTTCCTTGAGAAAAGTGTGGGAGGAAGCACCATTTCAGTTAGCGCTAAAACCAATGGACTAAATGTTGTTGTATTCCTAATATTTAGCGAATTTAAATGTTCAAGGAACGTGTTCAAACATCCAGGCTGTAAAATTTATTTCAAAGTTCAAGAACTTCTTCCAGATTATGAGTGAAATGAATGCTTCAATTCTTCACTTTTTTCATCTTTTTCCACGACCTTTCGGGGACAGACTCAAATTCATTTAGAATACCAAAAAGGAATGACATGACGGTCATAAATTCATTCATAAATAGTTTAAGAGGCAGACTGGCACACAAAATGATAAGCCAATAGGAAAAATCATTGATATGCTCAATAAAAAACGAACCCGAACAGGTCAGCTAAAGCCTAACAAAAGCACAGACTAGCATATCCACCAATGCCCATGCTAGACAGATGTAGTCAACGTCTGCAAAGAACAGTGTGAAGACAAACAAAAGGAAGAATTGGCACCACAGCTTGTTCTGAAATGGAAGACAGAAATCGCAAATACCTTCTCAAAAAAATGAGAACAAAAAATGAAAAACTACATACTAATGAATGCCAGAACTACAAGCACACCTTTGGAGAATTGAATTGGGGAGAATCAGCACTAAAGGCCACAACAAAGCTCAATTGCTGGTTGTCTCCCCTCCTTGGACTCCACGCAATTGATGCAGAAATAGAAGTTGGCTTCCCGAATTTAGATACTGAATCAGTCACATTTTGAAACTCTGCCTGGAGGATGAAGAATCCGACATCAGACAGACATACACAGCCAGAAACAAAAAGGAACATATAGCTGAGAAGAGTATATAATGTAAAGAGAGATCGTTCACTCTCAGGAAAAAAATTGTCTTTCTCACGTCCTCTTTAAGACAAACACCTATTGCCAGGCAGTACTGTAGCTTCCCAGTTGTCAACTAGCTGTAGCTCAGAATCAGGCAAATTCTTAAAAAGGCAGGCGCATAGAGCAACAAGTTGTTTGGGCATCAAATTGGAAGTCAGCACTATCTCCGAGGTATTTGGACCATCGAATCCTACCCAGGAACACAAGGCGACAGGGTAGGTTGGGCCAAAGATGACGAGACTCCCATACTTTTAGACTCTATCAGAAGTGGAAAATGAAAGAAAATGCAATCATACAAGTGAGACAAATTTCAGTTAATAGGATCTACATTTCGATGAGAACACCCTTATTCAATACAAATGGAGGATTCTGAAATCAAGTATTGGATACAGATGCAAACGTCATTCATTGCCAAAAGTATTAACTAGCATACTGAGCAGGTATGCCTCTGACAACAAATTTAACATGGAAAGATTGAATTCTATATTTTCCGACTGGTCCCAGGCCCACTGGGTGAGATGTACTGCAGTTTCAGTCGCACAGGGTAGCGCTAAGATCCATGAACGCTCGAATCTCATGACATTTGGATTGACATGATACATTAATGTAGACACACAAACTGGCAAGATTTCAATCGAACGAACAAGGACAATAAAATGAGAAAAAACCTGAAGTTGCCAATTCTTTAGTTCAAGAGGATCCAGAAGTTCATAAACCTTTACAATGCCATCCAAACATGCTGCAACCTTGAAACCAGACCAGACGGTTAGTCACTAGAAACTGACAAAAATAAACGAAGGGCAGACATGGGTAATTAATAATTTCAGAGTCCAACAAACAAATAAAAAGTCTCAGTACGCAAATGTCGTGTGTGATGGACGTTGATGACATCTTCAAGTACATCATCTAAAAGGTATGATCTATACGACGAAAAGAGAAAGCAGCTTACAATAGTGATCACACCCACTCAAAAATAAATGATTGGTCGCATGATCTACATGATAAACGTAGATACTTCCAACATCCCCTAGTTGTCATGAAACACTTTAAAACAGTAGAATTTCACCTCTGCAACATTGATTTTCGTGGCACTTACTATGAAAAGCACCCGAGCATATTATGGTTAGTCATCCACATTTTTAATGTATGAAAGGTGCCTAACCCGTACTGACTGTTATAAAACATAAGAGGTTACCAGTTACATATGCGTGTCTAGCCATGTCATCTACATGGCTCCAGAAGAGCTGGGAAACAAATATTTCTAATTGAATCTAAGCATTGATATGCTCAAAATGTAGCTTATCAACCACAACGACGGAATCATGAAGCATGATAACTTTTCATCATCAGAGAGTCTACCAAAAAGAACAGCAATTTTTTCCTTCATAACAGAGCATAAACGCATAAACAATAGATGACACTCTTGCTCTACAAAAGACAAGGGATTTTTTGAACTACATGTTCCGAAAACCAAACTTTTCGTGAAGGTTGAGAATGCAACAGAAGGCGATCCTCGTCACCCACCCTACACGCTTTCATTTTTGAAAATATACCTTTTACATTTCTCCCTTTTGGATAGATCTTCCTCATCCCACTTCATCACCTCTGATTTGATAATGTCTTTACAGAGAGGAATCGCAAAAATTGGTACAGCGCATCCAACAAATAGATATATGAAAAATAAATGAAAAAAATAGCGTCTTTGTTTGGGACTACTAGAATTAGCCCCAAAATTATATATTTCAAATGTTATAATAACTTTAATAAAAATGGATGAATTAATAATTCAGTGGCAGCAAGTCATTGTACTTACTAATTTTAAGCTTGTCAAGCCAACCCCGAACTGGATATCAAGCACTTGACTTCTGTTGCTCTCAAAAATATTACAAAGCTTCCAAATGGGAGATTCAGTATCTAACGTTAGAGAAAGAAGAGTCGAATTACTTTTCAGAACAAACATGAGTTGAATAAAACTTAAAATCTGTTGGAAAACAGAAAACATAACGCCATTACAAAAGCAATGATCATCTCTTAAAGGAAGTCATAATAGATGGCCAATAATTTCTGAGAACCAGTAGTTACAGAAGATTATATGAACTCACTACAACGTCGACAAATGGTGACCTATATCCAAAACAGAATGCTTCAATGCTGTCACCAATCTTAGCATTTGTTCCTAACAACTTTTAGCATGCAGTTTACAGCTTATGCTGTCGTTCATAGCATTTTTTATCTTCATCAATTTTTTATCTGGTTTCTTCCGCCGGCATCATTGGGACTTAGAGCTGAACTTTGGCAGACAGGCTGTTCCTTTTGAAACACAGAAGATACCACTGGGGAATATGGGATGCCTGGAAATCTATGCAAATTGACACGGAAAAGTGAACTACCACACATTTATTTTATCTTCCTTCTCGAGCCATTTAGCTGTTTCTCTGATACATAGATCAGGTATGATGGGATAGGGCCAGGACATTTGAGTATAGCTACCACAGGATAAGTTTTGAGCCATCTGGACCTGGGTCAGAATCTAAGCTTTGATGCATAGATTTCTACATCTCCATGCGTTTCCTAAAAAAAATAAGATTAACCTCCATACAAAGGCATTACAAGAGGACAGCCCAGAAGTCACAGCCGATTGCACAGAGAATGCAAAAAATAACCGACTTAAGAGGTTAATTTTTCGGAAGAGTCACATGGCAGTCACCATAACCATGTGCAACTCGTAGGTTCACAGTCAGAGAGTTCAATAAAATTAGCAAATATTCTGAGGTAACTACAAGCACTGCTCACTGGGAAAGGTGTAAGTGTCTTGGAGATAATTTTTCCAGATTTCTCCATGATTTTTCACCTGGAAAGATATCTATTCTATCACATAAACGGCATTACCACTTGTCTACGTTTCATATATCCTAATTATTACTAATCAAAATAGCAGGCGCCTGTTTTAGTAACAAATGAAATGCCATAGCTCAGATTTGGAAAAGGTAAGACCTTGAGTTTCCTCCCACAAGGAAATTGTGCCATCTAGACAAATACAAGCAATCGCATCACCATATTCTGGAGGAACCCAGATGACGTTCTTAATCCTGTTTTCGTGTGCCTGAATGAATTCCAAATATTAGTGTACATAGGTAACCAATACAAAAACAATAGGAGGAAAAAAATAACAAGTTGAATAGTCTTCATGTTCCTTGAAAGATAAACATAACAAGCTTCTCCCAAATAAACAATTCTTTCTTTAATGGATTCGTGAAACTCCCATCCTTGGTCAATTTCAAAAGACATTTAGTGGATGATATTCAACTACCGGGAATATGCAAATTGTTCTCAGAAATTTTAAAACTGAATTAATGAAACCCTAATTTAAATTTCCATCAACATCGCCCAAATTAAGATCGATGGCCCTTGGAAAAATCTTAAAGATCATAGATTTGAAACATGGATAGATATTATTCCTCGACTGCTGTAACAATAAATCAACTAAAAAAATCATGAAAGAAGAAACCTAAAAGTGAAAGCCGCACTGCACACAAGTGGAAAACAAGTTTGCATCCACAGGGGTTTCTGTAGATAACTTCAAAGCCGGATCAGTTTTTAATTTTTCCTGCGTTTCCCAACAGAGATTTGCCAAAGAAACATAGAATAATGTGACTTTATGATGAATCGTGTAGAGTTAAGTTGGATGCATGAATCAACTAACTTGATTCTCAGTGAGCACAACTAATCACTGGAGAGAAATTCAGAATGCACTATGTGCTCTATCGACGATGTGTACATAATTGGTCATACATGGCTCCCTTTAAATATGGAAAAAAAGATGCAAGAACTGAGAAGATGTAAAGGGTTTTACTGGTGCAGGAAAATGAACAAATCAATCAATGAAACGACAGAACCCCTGAAAGGGGATGTGATACATCCATATTTCGGGCATGGACCCATTTACTTTTCAAATTTCACTTAGTTGCGCAAAAGAGAGTCGACAAACTCATTACTGGTAATGCGTTATGATATCTAGTAAGTAAATTATTTTGTCCCTCAGTATTTCTTTTCTTTTCCAAATAACCGAATACATTGCTTGATTTGAAAAAAAAAAATGCATATCACGTACGTTCATCCCCAATCAATCAATCAATCGTCGAGTGCATTTCCCCTAGAGACACTATTATGCATGTTAACAAGGGCAGTAGAAACAGAAGCGCAAGCTCTACACTCAGACCCATACAAGTCACACGAAGTCTCTGCATAAGAAAAGTTGGCAACCGTGACTGGCTAGCAGTAGACTGTCCAGAAGGTGATTCAGAATATGGGGCTGTGATAAAGACTAAATATGATACAGGGGAGACTTTCAGCAACAAGGCAATGCACTTCCTGTAACGAAAAGGATCCGATCCACACCACAGTGTTTACAGCAGCTGGGTAAAGACCACTACTTTGAGAGAAGACATGAACATTGAATGACGCCACATTAGTAACATGAAGACAATCAGTGAGGGCTCCTTTATATGTAAAAGCAACGAGCCAAAATCATTCCATAAGCAGTAACTTTAGCTTTCTATCTTCTTTCTCCCAACGTCAAAATGTATTCCAATGTTTGAGATTTTCTAGAAACAATCAATGGTTCGAATGCCTGACAAAATTTTGCTATTGCCTACCTGTGAGAGATTAACCCTTTAATGGTCAGTGAGAGAATACCTGGCCAAAAGGACCAAGGCCAGGAAATAGTGCTATTTATCCAATCATACTGAATGTTACACTTAATTAATTGTGATATATCAAAGGAAGATTTCAGAGAGGATAATGAGGGGATTCTTTATCAATTCGTATATTTATTGAAAGAAGGTTAAATTCTCCACACGTCTATGCCCACATTTGTGGGTAAATGAAGGTGATCCATGTTACGTCCCCCACGTTTTCTGGCCACTCGAGACCGAAGTGAGACTTGCAACCATTTCAATGGCAGCATAAAACTGAGATGAATGCTGAAAACACCCCACCGCCGATCAAATGTTGTTTGATGGACTATCACCAGAAGTTCAAGAACTCATCCGGACCCTCAGGCATAAATCAAAAATGTTCCACAAAGAAGGGGCATGAACTAGCCATAGCTGATGCCTCCCGCTGCGAGTTCTCGAATTGCACTAGGAACGGCGAATATGATCACGTTGAGATAGATAGTTAGATAGATATATATATATATATATAGAGAGAGAGAGAGAGAGGCTAACACTGACCCGCCAAGCCTTGGAACGAGAGAAGGAGGTAGAGGAACCGGGCTCGAGGGAGTCATGTACAGAGATCCTTCCATCATCGTAACCCACCGCTATCCTTCGACCGCAGTAGTTCCAGCCACAGCACAGCGCCCCATTCTCCAGTGTAGCCACCTGCTTCTCCATCCCCGCCTCCCTCTCCGACCCTCCCTTCGTCTAACACTGCCACACCGAAGACAAGACCTAACCTCTGGCCCAATTCTGTCAGCTAATGGAACACTTTCTCGGGCCCAAGAACATTTATAGATACCCACCCAGTTCGGTACCCGATTCGGAAACTTTCTGACTAATCCATGGTCGACTGGCACTGCCCGGATCGGTACAAGGAAATTATATAATTTATATTTTTAAGTGATTTAAAATTTTATGATTGAAATTATTTGATGATCATAGAAATTTCAATATAAACTTAATATGAAACATTTTGGTCGTGTACCTTAACCCTTCCCCGTGCTATCTCCTTCTTATGACATGGAATTTGGTCAACGTTTGCATTTATGCATCATTTCCGCAATGGGCAAGCCGCATTTTCGTACTGTTGCAAGTCACGGAGGAGCTGAGTCAGCTCCTCTCAGCTGCCCGACAAGAGAGGTCGTGGCCGCCTATCCAGTCGCTGCAGTCAGCCGCCCGACCTCAAATCCCGGCATCGGCAGTGGATAGCTCCTGGTGTGAAGGACCCCATATCTCTCTCTCTCTCTCTCTCTCACACACACACACACTCACGCACTCCTTTCTCCCTCCCTCTCTCTATCTATCCATCCTTATCTCTATCTATCTATCTATGTATCCCTATCTCTCTCTATCTATCTATCCATATCTCTATCTATCTATCCCTATCTATATATGTATCCCTATCTTTATCTAGCTGTCTAGCTACGTAGACCATAAGATAAGTAAATTGGTTATCAGGACGAAGAGTGAGTCGTAAGGGTGCAATTGTAGCCTATAGTCGAGGCTACGAACGCTACTAAGCCTTTCCTCGTCTTCTGATTCAGTGACATAGATCAACGCTAGCATTGTCCGATTGGGTATGTGATGAGCCCCCTTCCTTCACGGCTCACCTAGACTCACGGATAATGGCTCCGAGGTTAGGAATAAGGATAATTGTCCGCGTGATTGATAGCTGGAAGAAGTAAAGGCGGAATAGGTGGACAGAAGGGAAATAACTGAACGGAAACGCACGAAGGCGGAGACCAGAGTATAGAGCCCCGGAATCCTCACAAGCTCCCCCACTCCCTGGAGTCGGGCTCGGAAGTTCTTAAGGCCGTTGTCTTCCAGCACTACGAGGGCTGTTTCCGTCCGGCCTGTCTGGCCGGCTACGCGGCAGCGACAGTCTTCCCGGACCTGTCCTGGCGCGTCGTTCACCGTCCCATCGGTTAGATTCTGCTCCTCCCGACGGCTGAGGTGGGCTCGGTTGGAGCGCTTCAACAGCATGACCCAGATATGAACCGTGAAGCGGTGCTTCAATCTTCTTTTTTATGGGGCTTCCAAGGTGCAGCAGGTTTTTATGGGCCCAGGAGAAGAACGTCGGATTCTAGTTCGCTGGCTTGCTCTTCAAAAATACGGTGTATCCTCTTATGCCTCTAAAGGATATGATTCCCTTGTTCAGAGTGGTGCAAGGTATCTCGAATATAGCAAAGAATCCGATGAACTGACCGGGGGCCCGCCATGAAAGGCTTACTTTTTTAGTCACACGCACCTGGAGAATAACACGGAACCCTCTGTACGCTACTTCCTGGTGTCGGGGCTGTGGATATAGCAAGAAAAGAGCTTAGATTAACCGCTCTCCTTCTGCTAGCATAGAGCATAGAGCATAGAGCATAGAGCATATGAGATTAACCTAAGAGGAATGGCGGGAGCCCCTAAGTCCCACTTGGGGCGATAAGGTAATTCACGTACGCGTACACGAACAACTCATTGATAGAATGTTCTCAAATTGCTGGTTTTTTCTCCCGGGCCAGCGCATGAGAAGCAGGGCCGCCTGCAGTCTCGCACGCTTTTATCAAGGGAAGAAGTCTCATGGACTGTTAGAATTTTCTCCAAGTTTATTTTACACAGGTGTGCTTATTAGACTTATTAAAAAAAGACTAATGCTATCATATTAATTAAGAGCAGCATAATCAAGTAATTCACACGTGGATCATTACTAGTTGACTTTGTGTTACATGACGTGATAATCTATTATATAAAATCGATAATTCGCTATAAAATTGAACAATAATTGGTTACAATCACAATTTTCACATATAAATTACTAATGGGTCAAACCGCAATTATTGCAATCAATAAAATTTTGGTTGAGTAATAATGCCATGGTACGCCATAATATTGTATTAATATTTTATCAAGCTATGCCATAAAATGTAGTAAAAATACATGAACAATAAGAATAATTTTATTACAACTTGTACGTAAGAAAATATTATTTAGTTTGATAGAAGTATTGTAGTATCATCAACGAAGATATTTTATTAAACCTTAACCAAAGCGTTGATTTTGTGAGAGCTCACGCCTGATTATCTGTGGATTACAGCTAGCTAAGGACCAGCTCATCTCCGGGTTCTTACGTCAGAATCTTGTGACGTGTGAGAGAAAGGAACACACCATCCAACGTGCCAAAAATTTTCAAACATTCGTACAGAATTCCTCTCAAACCTTTGCTCTAATTCTGACTTTCGAGGAAATATATTTTAGTTATTACCCAATGAAATATGAAGGCATACAATTATTTTTATGTGGAGAAATATCATGAAAAGAGAGGTGTGTAGTCCGTAATATTAGTTTTTAAAAAGGTATTAGCTCTATAAAATAAGCCAGTTAAATTGTTCTATTGGGAATGTGAGTGGGCTCAAGATGCTCGATGCACCACGAATAAATAAAATTTTAACCTCGCATTTCTCAAATCCGTCGACTCTACTAAATTCCGTTCGTATATATTATTGAACGACTCGTTCAAAAGACGCCGTCCCTCACTCCACGCCAGCCTAGCCACTCTTCAACTCAGAAATGAGTATTATTGTAAGGGATGACTGGGGCCTAACTTAACAGCACGGCAGACCTCGCCATGTCGCTGTCCCTGCTTGGATCGGTAGAATTCGGCTCGAGAGGCAAAGAAACACCGGCAAAGTCCGAGTTTTTTTTATTTCTCTGACAAAGGAAAGCGGAGCCCCGCTGATCTGGCCACGCTGTTAGGCCACGCGATGACGAACGAAAGGACGAAATTTGTTGTTTCTACGGTGCGGGGGAGCAGGCCCTCTTCCACTCGTCGGCCGCCGCGGCAATAGCCCTGTACGATGCCCCTCCCTCTGTTAGGCCCCTCGCGCCCTCTTCCTGGACCTCGCGCAGCCGCTCGCGCAGCCGCTTCCCGTCTTCCCCCTCCATCAGGCTCTTCACTACTTGCGCCACCTCCCCCCTTCCCACGATGCCGTCCTCTCCAGCGCGCGGCCGCAGCGCCACCTTCACATCCTCCACCAGCAGGACGGCGTTCATCTTCTGCTCGGCGTAGAGGGGCCACGCGATCATCGGCACGCCGTGGACGACGCTCTCCAGCGATGAGTTCCAGCCGCAGTGCGTGAGGAACCCGCCCGTGGACTCGTGCCGGAGGATCTTCACCTGCGGCGCCCACGACGACACCACCAGTCCCAACCTCTTGGTCCTCTCGACGAAACCCTCGGGCAAGAAGGCGAACGGGTCGTTCGAGCTGTGGACGCTGAAGAAGGCGGAGTCTGCCCTTTTCTCGCGGGGACTGCGCACAACCCAGAGGAACCGCTCCCCGCTCGCCTCCAGCCCCAGCGCCAGCTCCGTCAGCTGCTCCAGCGGCAGGGTCCCCCCGCTGCCGAAGGACACGAACAGCACCGATCCGCGCGGCTGCTCGTCAAGCCACGCCACGCAGCCGGATGAGTCTCTATCCGATTCCTCACCTCCGTTCCGCACGATCGGGCCGACAGGGTAGATCGTGGGATTTCCGGGATCCGCCGTGAGGGCCCTAATGGCCCCTCCTTCCAGGCCCTCGAAGCTGTTGAGGAATATTCCGGCGGCCAGCCGATACCGGCTGCTTTGCCTCAGGAGCCAGGTGTAGGCCTCATTCTTCCTGTCCTGGATGGGGTTCAGGAGATCACTTCCGTGGAGAGGGATGCATCCAGGCAGCCTTATGAGATCCGGGAGATCCCTGTACTCGCCGCTGGTCTGAGCATCAAGCTCAGGTAGCCGCAGGAAGAGAGAGAGCGACATGCCGGTGGTTGTGAAGAAGATGTACGGCCGGATACCAAATTCTCGGGCGACTTCGAGAGCAAAGCCTCCGAAGAGATCGCTGACGAGGGCGACCAGGTTTGTGGTCTTCTTGAGCTCTCCGAGGACACCGCGGACGGCGGGGAGGGCGCGGACTGCGCAGACGGAGATCACGGTCTCGGCCTTGGCATTGGAGGGGATATCGTCCAGGCTCACATCGGGGAGAACCACGTTTTCGATCCCCCTGGGGAGGCGGTCGAGAAGGGCCATCTGGGACTTGGAGAAGACGTCGCCGGTGATGAAGGTGGCCGTGATCCGGTGATGGAGAACCAGGCGCTTCGCGAACTCGGCTAAGGGGATGAGGTGACCCATACCTGGCGTGGGAAGAAATACCAGGTGAGGAACGCCGCCGTCTCCTCCAGCGTCTGCTGCGTCCATAGCTTCCCACCTTCTCTCCACTGCACTGCCAACTCCTCGTCCCCTCTTGCCCACCGGAATGTGAGAGAGGCCTGTCTGAATCATCACAAACGCGCCTGTATTTATAAAGCTGGATCATCAAGTTGCACTGAGTGGCCTGCCGCTGTGGCCGCAGTAGCGTGGCCCTATGGGGAGGACGCGAATTTGATGTGGATGTTGAAAATCGCGCGTATACTCCAAAACTAGTGGTGTGTGTGGATCTGGTTCTTGTGGTTGACCGCTTTGTGACGTCACCTCTTCGTATGGCTTATGTAAGCTTGCACTCTTCTAGAAGCTCGTGCAAATAATTACTTGAGGATGAGGCTGGGTCTGCGTAGACCAGGTCAAGTACAGCTGTTAGTGTCTGGTGGTTCGGATGCAGGGCTCACAGAGTAAGGATACCTTCATGAGAGGTTGGGAGGTTGGTTAATCGAGGTGATTACAGTCTTTGCGACGGGCTTCATTAAAAAAGGAAGATGTGAATGATAGGAAGATGCCACCGAGATAGAGAGAGAGAGAGAGAGAGAGAGAGAGAGAGAGAGAGGGTATGCTAGCCCTTTTGGCCTCGTTCTGGATAAGATGCAGAGTCTCTAGTAATAGACGTCCACATACGAAAATTGTGGCTCAGTCACCTTTCCATATTTCTACTAGTTCATAATATAAGTCAATAACTAGGCACAAACTCTCGTGTAAAGTTAGAGATTTCATGTATAATTTAGTCTCTTAATTGTGAGGAGGTTTACAAATATACTCGAAATAGAAGGTAATTAAAATATGTAAACCACTGCTCACATCTCCAAATGAGTCCATACAAACAAACTTTGAAGTTGTCTACACCTGTTTTTTAAAAAATGATACTTCAGTATAAGTGGATGTACATATTAAGAAATATTCAACAATTTACTAGATAAGCTTGACTATGAATCCTTAGAAATTTATAAAATAAATCCGTAAGCAGGTGTGCACATGTTCTAGTTTTCATTATAATTAAAGAAATTGAAGTGACAAATATCACTATTGACATGGCAAAAGTTGGCATGAAAATTTGACCTTGACTTTATAAGGAACTAATATCAAATCATCAAAGATCTCTTAAATAGACGTGGGGTTCATTGAATCTTAAAGGATAGAGAACCCTAAATCATCATGAGAGATGTAAAGAAATTTATTATAATCAAAGGCTGTCTTTATATAATATACAAAAGATCTAATAATACAATCTACTCACAGAATTATTTCCTAGATATCTAAGAGATCTACCAAAAAAACACACTTCGACCCTTAAGGGATACCTAAACGACTATAGCTTATCCTTCTTTATTTTACCATTTCATGCCTTTTTATGCTAATTCAGATCCTTTTTCGTTTCTTGCAAATCTGTTCTACATTATTTACAGTCTTTAAATATTACTTAATAGGAAATTTAATCATTTATGTGGGCTTAATTTAAGTAGAGTAATTGATTTTCAAGTCTTTATAGGGTAGATCCATAATTGATAGAGAGTTCCACATCTCTATCAATTCAGCATATAACAATGCAAAGAATTAGCTCATTTTCTTGATGCATCATCACTCAGCACATGCATCTTTTTACATTGAATACTAAATTAAGAAATAAGTTCACACATGTACACAAGTTTGCAGTTTACTTTTGTCTACATCTTTTAACATTTGTTCATATTCAAAATTTAGCTCCTTACACGGATATAGAAATCTTTTGTAATCATTTTTTTTAAAAAAATGCACTTGGATATCTTTGTACAGTTGTAATATACACGGCACTTAAGCTTTATGCTATTAGCATCCATAGACATGAAAATGTTCCTCTAACACTGCACATTATGTGACATCCCACTATATGTATCTATGTCCACCTAGGATCCTGATTGTCCTTCTTAAACATGCAGCCTAAAATATATCTGATTGAGAATGTTTGGATTTGTTTGAATCAAAAGTCATCCTTCAAAATTAAATTTATTTTCAAAGAGGTTTGAAACTTTCAGAAAAAAGAACATTTGGCATGATCCATGTTTATTCTTTAAGTTTCTAAAGGGAGTAGTAGTGCTACCTGGGTGAGATGAGTGAAACAAAGGAAAATCTACATTAGACATTATGATTTTGGAACCAGTTTCTTGAAGTTTGTGGTCATAATGTCAAGAAAACAACATCCAAACTTTCATGAGCAGCACAGTACCTTATCCAAAATAAAATATGTAGACAAAATAGTGGAACACTTTCAAGTATGCAGGATGTGGATCCAAGTCTAATAAAGAGTCATTCTGAATAATCTACTTGAATTTCAAGGTAAAATAAAATTAAAGACCCCTTTCAACCTCCCTTTAGTAACGGCTCAAAATCTTCCAGATAAGAACTGAGAAATGAAATGGAATAATTGACCCAAAACAATCACAATTTTGACCAATGAACCAAATGACACAAAGGAAGATCTCGAGAGTGATCTCGGAGAACATGGGACAGACTGGGAGAAATAGAAACAGATTAAGAGAGGGGAAGAAGAGACTCAGAGAGATGGTTAAACTCCTAAGGATCCTTGACTCCAAAAGTATCCTCTCCCATTCGCAATGCAGTCGATATAATGTTGATCAGCCCATGAACGTGCGAGAGAGGCCCACGATCCTTTGCCCACATTCACCACATTCACCACGATCCATTCTTCCGTAAGATTTGGTTGACCGCCCGTTTGACTTGGTCGAGTGAGAACGTGGTGTTTCCATTTACAACATCTTCGTTCGTGCGTGGGAGGTTGCTTAAAGGACTTCATCAGTATCCTTCTCACCTACGTTTAGAGGTCAGGGGCTTCCTTCTCTTCTCTGCAATGTTCTACATCTTGCCGGCATTGCGACCCTAGGAACCCCCCAGTGGGAACTCCAGAGAGACCACAAGGAAGTCGTCCGCCGCCTTGCCGTCCAACAGGGTGTGGACTTGCCACTGCGAGTGCATCGTCAGGTGAGCACCTAGGTAGGTGCTCTGACCATGGAAAATGGTAGATGTTCTTCAACCCCTTCTTCTGGCACTTCATTCACAGCTTCCTTTTTGACCAGCAGCTTCCTCAGAGGTTCGGCAATGGTTTTCTGGTCTCGCAGTTTGGCTTGCAGCCCGTCATCCAGCACCTGAACTCCATGATGATGGCGAGTTCCCGGAAGCATTTTATCGAGGTAGAGAACATCTGTCAGAGTACGAAATCTATTCAGTACATTATAAAAATAACAATTAGTTCCATATAAATCAACTTTTGACTGTATTTCTTGTTAGCAGCACAGAGTAACGGTGCCATGAATTTTACAGCAAGTTCAGGAAGTGTACCCGGCATGGTCAATGCGTTCATGTCGAGAGAGATCGAGATTGGGATAGAGAGTAAGGGAGGGAGGAATAGAATAGTCCAACGTTGACCTAAGACACTATGGAACAAGTAGATGAGATGGAGCGGTGTTCGACGGAACCATGGGCAGAGATCCTTCCGTCATTGTAGCCGTCAGCAGCAGGTCCAATCATAGCATCGTAGCTCATTTATAACAGTGATGATGATTTTACATAAACAATATCATTTAATATAAGAAATAATGTAACCATTTCTTAATATTCCTGGGAATACATGTATAGATTTACTTTTTCTATCGAATCGTTCATCCCGCTACCATCCATGTATAATAATAGCTCATCTCCAAACTTTTTTACATTTTTTTGTAATAATTCCATTACTAATGAAGCATTCCCCTCGTAGACTTTATATTCTTCTTCATACTCATTCTAAATGAGAAAAAATAATTTAAATTTATTGCCAAGAACACCTGCAAAAAAAGATTTTTTTATGTGATGAAATATACCGAAAAGCAAAGTAGTCTGGTATTGACTTAAGTGTTAACTCTATCCATTAAACTAAATATTTTGTTCTACTAGGATTGCGATAAAGATATCATTCGAGGATTTCAATAAAAAATGACAATGACATGTTGATACTAAACGTGGTATATTAAAAATAAATAAACATTTTAATATGCATTTGTCATGTTGATACTTTAATGTCGGCTCTCATACATTTGAATGAGACTTCTTCATATGACAACGTCCCATCCTCATCGCTTCTAAGGTCCTTATTGTGACACTTCATCTCAGTCAACCTCAAGCCTCTATTTTTTATATATATTTGCATAAACTTTATATACTTAACAATAGCGAAATGAAGCAAAATTCAACGATGGCCCAGTAGTTGGGGTGGCCAGTTTCTGGTCTTTCTTCTCGACCTAGATGTGGTAATGTGAGGGTTGACCGGACTTGGGCGGGGCCAAGAATGCAGTAAAAGAAAGTTAACGGAGATTCCAGCATGATCACTATTCTCGGGATAGTCGGATCAGCAATCCTTTGGTACTTAATTAACCGGGTATTTGTTATGTGGCCATCTGGTTATCGGGATTTTATTCTCTACCATGGTAGTTCACAAACAGAGAGAGAGCCACACGCTCGGATTTGGAGGGCAGTGGGGTTACGAAGTAGTTTGGCGAACGCAGCCAACGTGATGAGGTGACCCATACATGGCGTAGGAAGAAATGCCAGGTCAGGAACGCGGCTGTTTTCTCCGGCGTCTGCGTCTATGGCTTCCTGCCTTCTCCTCCTCTTTCCGCTTCTCTCTCTGATACTTGGAGCGTACGTGAAAGAGAGCAACTCATCTGAAGCGTCATAAGCGGGCCCGTCCTCATGAAACCCGGAAACATCTACTTGCACCAAGATTCCTGCGATTGGCAACGAGACCTTAACAGAAAGCGGGCAGCCGACGAGCAGCGGAGATAGTGACATTCTCTCAAACACGTGGTGTTCTGAATGAATGCATGGGGCTGGCGCAGCTCTGAGTACCCACCTCCAGAAGCTCGTTTACCGCTAGACCATGACGAGAGGATGTTAGGCTGCTATATGCACGTCCCACCGTCCGTGCCACGCGGTAGCGAGGGGTGTCACAGAAAGGGAGCCCGCCCAATCACTACGGCTACCATATGGGGTGACGGGTCAGATCATGGAGTCAACTCTCATTACTGAAGAAACTACAGGGAGTGGGGGAGGGAGAGAGAGAGAGAGGTTGCTACTTAGGGGAGCTGGATGAAGTCGGGTAATAAACGATAGTGTAGAAAATCTCTTGGTAAACTTGTAAAATGGATCATTAAATATTCAAATTTAACTCATAAATTAGTTTATCACATTTAAGTAAGTTCATAATATTAGTTAGAAATTACTTTTCACATCAACGTTCAAAAAATTTATATTAATTGGCTCTAGGCATTGTCATAGATTGACAAAACTCCAAAATATGTTCTACATATCTAGACTCCTTCAAACTTACATATCTATATCATGAGTGGAGTCTTGTGTGGACAATCCAGGAGAAGTAGACCATAACCAAACTTGTTTTGATTTTTTTAGCCTAATTATAGACCATGAGTGGAGTCCTGTGTGGACGATCCAAAACAAGTTTCCCAATGGTTTGGAGAATGAATCAGGAGATGACAAAGAATTAAGAGCCTCCTTTGACGTTCATTCTTGTGATTTTCTTTCTTCTTGTAGATGGTGCAAACAATAGGCAGAAAGCATCAATACATGACTCCTATTTCTTATAATCGACATTGACTTGTGACCACTTCAAGCTATTAATAATGGTTTGAAATGAAAGGAGGGGTTGAATAGAGTCCCTTATTCAACCTTCCCTTGACTTGAACCTGGATGTTTCTTGTTTCATGATTTTTTGTATCATTTGCCTCAAATAATAGATAATTCCTAAATCACATGTCCAAGAAAAAACATAGATTGGCATATGTACTTCTCTTTAATGTTTGAATGCTGTTTCCTTGAAATTGGGAAACACATTTCTCAAGAATCCTCATTAAAAACAAATTTTCTTGTGCCTTTTTTATTTTGTAGAAGCACATCTAAATCCATATTTTCTCTTGTAGTAAGAGGTCTAAGCAAAAAGCATGAAGTGGTAAAAGGATTGTGTTCATTTTTCCTAACACTTTGAAAAAGTTCTGATTTTCAGGAAAAATATTCTTTAATTACATCAATTTGGTGTTCTTCAATTAGATTTGTAAAGAGCTACATTAACTCTAATACTCATACGACCACATTGCCCATGTGAAAAAGATGATCTTAGTACTTTGAGAACTTGCTCAAAAGTAGTTGTGTTGTATAGTGTAAGTGATTATCAGAAAAATATTCACTCTCAGTAAAAAGTTTAGAAACATAACGTTGACAGCATGATGCCCCATATACCAAGTTAAAATTTGAGCATATTAGGATAAGTAAATGTTTTTATGAATTTAAATTTCGAAGATAGAAAGATATCTAAACCCATTTTTGAGTTAATATTTTAATACCTAATCTTCTCAAAACCCATACATGGGGTTAAATTTCGAAAGTAAAAGATGTCTAAACTCATTGATAGGTTAAACTTTGACCATATGTGGAAGCCATTCATCTTGCTGAATTTTGGGTGTGAAAATGTGATCAATTTCAAAGGCTGTGAAGTTATTAAAATGAGTAAATATATTTTGAAACTAAAATTTTAAAAATTACAAAGATGTGTAAGCTATTCATTGAGTTAAATAATGATTCAGATATGTAAATAGGTTTATATATTCAAACTCTCTACATGAGTTTAAAAAATCTAAATAATAGATAATAAAATAATTATCTGCACATTTTGAGCCATCCACTAGGAAAGACCCCAATCACTAGAGGCCCCACTAACTTTCTAAACTTGAGAATTTATTGTGGTTCCTATGACTAGGTAATATGCGTTAAAACATAATTTTGATGGGGCTCTATTTAGTAAATTGTAATTTTGTTGAAACCATGTTGAAAACATAAAAGGCTATGTAGTTTCACTTAATACGGCCTTTTTCTCTTTTTTAGTTGAACTTTTAGGTTTCTATAAGTGTCACATTTAAATTTCGTAGTGCCTTCTCAATCTTGTTGTTGTGAATGTTTGATTTCGCATAAACCTTATTATAAAGGCCATCTTCATATTTTTATTAAATCATATATAACTACAAAGATATTATGGCAAACTAAGCTAATTATTGATGCATAGTTAACACCCCAAAAAACCCCTCGTCAGCTTCGTTTTTGGCAAGAGAATTTGATAACAAGTGCTCGAGTTCGGGATTTTCAACTCTCTTCACGATTCATTAAATAGATGATAACACCTCTCTATCCAAAAGCATGCGATGTGACCATGCCTTTCGCCTTTGTTTCTCCCGAGGGATTCATAAGTGCCTGGGGCAACTCACTTCCTTCCTCATCATGAGAGTTGTAAGTACTGACGGAACCAGACCCTTCTCTCCTTTTATATTCATCAGCTCGCATTTCTCATTCACAATATCTGGACACTTAGCAAATGAGATATTCTAGGAATGTATCATGGAGTTAAAAGTATGGACTAAAATCGATGCCGACGATGGTTTTTGGGGAGTTACAAGTCCTGTCACAAAAACGAGGGTTTACTGATAATTGGGTTAACTTATAGGAAGCTAGAACGAAAAATCCAAATTGAAATCTATTTGACGAAAATAATAAGTCAGGGAGTTTCTGAGGATTAATGACTCATTTAGCTATGTTTTGACCAAATAACAACCTAATAAAGAAAGTATATTAATTCCTTGATTAAACGAGTACAAACGTGCAACAAAAATGAAAATAGGGGCGCCCACACAATTTCTCAGTTCTCTAGTTATTCATCCTAGTTGTTATGGTTGAAAACGGGAGAAAATTCAAGGAATGTGGTAAGTCAGTAGGATTATTACCTTTCTCTTATCCTTGGTTCGATAAAATTCAAGAAAGTATTAATGGCTTGAGTAGGGTTCAGATGGGACGAGCCTCTGCCCCTGGTGTCTCTCTCACTTGTCACGGCCCCCTTTCCAGGTAGACCCCCCACCCTTTGCTATCCTAGTGACCAGACCTTGTCCTGGCCTCCATCCATCCGCTGCCGCTTTCTGATTGTCTCCTCCCCCTTCTTCTTTTCAATTCTTCATCTCCGCTCGTGATCCATCCCCTCCGCGTCCATCCAGCAGGTCAACCCACTTCTCTTCCACCCACCGGTCGACGTAATACCAATCCTCCTCTCTCCCATCCACCGGCCCACGCGATGCCGCTCCCCCCCACATCAATTTCTACTCCTCCAACACCTCCCCTGACGGCCTCAACCCGAAGTCCCCCAAAACACCCAACGTCAATACACCGAGATAGAGAAGCTGGCTGGACCAGCCCCAAGCTTCACAAGGTTCCGGCATTAAATTTAGTCAAGAAGTAACCATGTCTAGGATGGGTTTGGCAAGGCACAGACGGGGGGCGGGGGAGAGGACGGGGGAGGAGAGAGAGGAGAGAGAGAGAGAGTACTAGTAATAAACACATAATTATTCTAGAGAACAGTCGGCACAACTTGACAGTGCGGAAATTATGACCAAGGGACTTTGATGTCCATCTTTCAATAATGATTACCGAGTAGTCTTTAGAAATAAAAGTCTCCTCCTTCTGGCCCTCAAGAGTTCAAGGGCGTCCAGACTGTAGAGATGTACAGGTTATGCACAAGAGTTACTGAACCTATTGGTGACTCGAGACTGGACTAGACGTATCGGAACAATTATGGCAGGCTTCCATAGAGTTCATAGTTAATCCAAGTTCGCAAGGCCCAAAGAGAAGAGGGGATGAGTCTACCTCCTGCCCTCCTATTTAAGAGTGATCGCCAAGGGAGCGTCGTACCGTCAAGAACACGAGATCCGGGCAGCGGTGGTCGTGAAGCGGTCTGAAACAGACTTTCCCACCGCCGGTGAGCCCAAGTCCTTCTCGTGGGACTCCAGGATCGTGGGAAGGCCGCCGTTGACGGGGTGCAAGCCGCGGTAGGCATCGCCTTCGTGGCCCCAGCCGTCTGATCCCGCTTCGGCTGCGGGTTTCACCCGGAAGAAAGACCGGAAGAGCTTCCGGACGATGGACTTCGGGTTACCGGAGGGCTTCTTCGGCTGCGTGCTTCGGTGGGGTAAGGGGACGTACCGATCGTGCGGCATGGAGTACGACCTCGAGGAGATGGCTGAGTCCAGCCGCCGCTCGAATGATTTCAGCTCGAAGGAGTCGTAGAGGTTGCTGCCGCAGTCCCAGACCGGTGGTCGCTTAGACTCCGGCGCACGGGCCCCCATCTCGTCCTGGGGGAGCAGATTAGCAAGAAGAGAGGAGAGCGGTGGAGAAAGAAATTAGAAGGGAAAGAAAGCAGGGGCTGGAGGAAGGGAGGCAGTAAAGAAAGCAGGGCTTTCTGTGTTATATAGAGGCCCTTTAACTTTCTAAATGTTTGGTGACTGTTCTTACGCGTTGGCTACGACGAGGAAGCACTACGGCCTCTTCGTCTCCGGCATTAAACACCTTTGAACAGCCTGGTACATTAATGCCAAGGTCGGCATCTCTTCACCGTTTCTTTTCTTCTCGTGTTCGTTGTCACGATACAGTGGTTGACTCATGGAAAGGAGTATTTTTGCAATAATCTGATATATATGTTTAATTTCAGATGAGGAAAATACTCGTCTCTTTTGGGGAAGATAAAGTGAGACTATGATTGTTTTAGGGCGAACTATAAAGATCTAGAAAGATAGTTGTTAGGCGGCCAAACAGGTGCAGCGACCCTCAGAGCCGATCAGAAAAGAGAGCTCAGTTTCGGGTTAAGCTTTCGTGAACGGATACGACTCTATAATATATATTATTTGAGCATGATCATCTATAATGTTTTTATTTGAGCATGATCTAACATCTGAAGTCATAACGTACCATTGAAAAACCTCTTTCAAGTCCTGCGTTGTCGTGAAACGATGGGCAGCTCGGCGGATTCCGACTCGCAAGAGCTGTCCACTCGGTTAACTTTGTGGAAGGTGGGGGTCAAACTAAGGAAATAGTCAAGACGCCCCGTGCATAGCTACGATAATTTTCAGACGAAGGAAATGGTCAAAGTTGAAACATGGGCTCTTTTACCAAGGATTTCTCTATCCGCTGTCGGATTCCTTTACTGAAAAAGGCAGGTTTTCTGACCTAGAGGCGAGGTTGTCATCAGGTCCGTTAATCGTCGGTGATCGGTATTTCTTGTTCATCTGTCGGCAGGGTCAACTGTTATCGACGAGTGGAAACCGATGGACATGGGGAATGTTTAATATAGACCTAAACGTATAATGAGCACATGCAAGAGCACCCGTACCAAACTTTGGAAAGCGATGGGCAAGAGGATATAGATTAAATAAATAGTGGGTAGGGAGGCAATGTCTCTCAAGAAGCTTGTTTGTTTACCTGTCGATCGGAATTACTTAAAATCTCAACTCCATCTTTCTAATTATTCTTCTAAAACTAATTTTTCTGTTCCTTTAGTTGACTTCTGAGAAACCTCGTCGTTTTGTTGTCTTTCATGTGTATCATCGAATGACATAAACCAAGACATTTTGAAGCATCTAATTTCTCATGAAGCTTAAAAATAAAGGGATCCCAGAGAGGTGGAACAACTTACCCTTTGAAGATCATAGGGACAGTAAGAAATCGATCTTCTTGTGGGTAACTGCATTTTTGGTTGAAAGCGTTGACATACTGTGACTCGTGGTTCGACGGCGTAAACTCTGGACTACTGCGGCGTTTGAACTTCGATTAAGCTGACTGATCAGTGTCGGATCCTCACATCGTATTGATTGATAAGTGATAACTTGTTCTTACAGTATGTTTTTCAGCTTGTGGAGGGTCGCAATGAGATTCATAGGGCTGTTGCACTGTCATGTGGAGAAATCAACAAAACCTTTAAAAACTGTCGGTAGCATTCCGACGACTAATCCACCACATCGTTGCTGAAGAGCTTGAACTTGTGGGCATCGAGCACCAGTTTCCTGATAGAAGAGAAGGCGCCCATAATCCCCGTGCAGGTAAATACTACCATTATGGAGACGTTGACCCAGTAGACCCCCGACGCCCTCGGAGGCTTTAGGGCCGTGTTGTACAGGAGCATGGGGAGAACGAAGTCCAGGGGTATGAAGCCTACGGCTCCGACGACGCCGTTGATGTCTCCAAAGAACGGCAGCATAGCCGCCACGAACGCGCAGGCGATCATATACAATGATCGCAGGATCAGCCTCGGGATGAGATTCCTCTTCGAGAACTTGCCTCGACCTGGGTCCGCTGACTTCTTCTCCATAATCTCGTAGGCGACTAGAGAGTAGACCTGTGTCGGAATGGCGATCAGTACCAATCGGTTGGCTTCGTGAGGGCCGAGACGCCTTCTGCGCTTGAGGACTCACCAGACCAATGGAGAAGAGTTGCAGCAGCACGAAGACGGCTGCGAGGCCGAGTAGCCATGTGGGAGCCAATGAGGGGCCCTCGTCCGGCATGAGCGTCTTGAGGACGTTCGAGTTGACTTTGTTCCCGAATGCCCAGTACCCTGACACCGCGGTCGGGTAGAACGTGATGCCGATCACGGTGTAACACAGGGTGAGACCTTTCACCATCTTCCCCGTTGCCGGTGGCGCCACGGTAGCCTGCGTGGAGTTCCATCGATGTCAAATACGTATCATGGCTTCTACCCCTATAGCAGCCAGCATAGATCCAGGTTCATGTAGTGTAAATATCATCTATGGCATCGTCAACTATTTGGAAAAGCAGAGGGGGGCCATCGATCTCACCTGAATCTCCGGTAGTATCCCATTACCGAAAATGGAGGCCAGAATTGATATGGATGTGAATATATTGAACGTCCGAGTGGACTTCGAGTCATCAAGTGAGAAGTCCTTCCGTGGAGCCTTCCCCGAGTAACCTGAGCCAGGGGTCAGAACGAATAATTCATCGACGTGAGATCATTGATTCGTGCATATATAATCATCAAACAAGTTAACAGATGACAAAACAAAAGCACGGTGCTCTGTGAATCCTAATATGGAAATTATCATATCTTTTTGTGGGTTTTTTGCTTCTCATGAAAGGTAGCGTATTAAAAGAAAAGAAAAACGCATAAATATTAAAATATAAAAAATCGCATTTTTTTTTATCAATTTCCTTAATTGTATTTACTCGCAAAGGCAATACTGAATCTATGATTCTAACTCCGGTGTTCCACACGAGAGTTCAGGGGGTAGTCATCCGAACCTGCCATGATGGAGCCAGCAACCACCAGAGACGTGTATCCTAAGCTCAGAAGAAGGGAGCCGAGGTTTATATATCTGAGGGAGTGGAAAGATGGGAGCTGAGAGAGGAGGATCATGACCACAGTCACCATCCCGATGAACTGGTAGAGCTTCAGGGAACTATCCGGATGCAGACTGGAAAAGATAAGCTGGTCCCCGGATTCCATTCGGAGGTGACAATGAATGGTTAGCGGAGTGGAATCCAAGCAAGGAAATGACTTGATGGGTTGGGAATTCTCGTGGTACCGCATACCTTGAGAGCCTCCCCTGAGAGCAATATGCAGCCTATCGCTACACCCGTGTTCACCGCCGCCTGTACGAAGACCACAAAGTAGAGCATCCACCCCGCGCCTGAACGACCCAGGTGAAGAGCCATCCACAGAGAAGGAAGAACAGCAAGAGAAGCATGATTCAACAAGTACCCAGAACGTCTGCCGCGAGCTCCCTGAATCTGATGTGCCGGCGGCCCTGCTGCTCGCAGTGATCGAGGACCTTGACCATGAGGAAGTAGGAGTAGAAGGTGACGACGGCCACACCAGTAAGCGAGACCAAGCCGAGCCCCCATCCCATTCCCCTGAAGGCGTAAGGAAGTGTGAGGATCGTCGGCCCGACGATCGCCGTCGTCAGGTGGAAGCCGGCGTGCCACCAGGTCCCTGAAAGGACGAAGGAAACAGCGGCGTCACAGGAACGATCTCCCCCCCTCCCCTTCTCCCTCCACACACATTATTCTTCCCCGCTTAGACCTTTAGACGCGAGCACGAAGGTCGCCCCAGCATCGCCGCCGCGTTCCGCCTTGGATAGCCCGTTGACGGAGCCCTCCGCCGCCGGTGGTCCTGCCATCGCCGAGAGGAGGAGCTCCGGCATCTATAAGCTCTGACGGCGATCCTCCGATGGGGAATAGCGATCCGCTGTTCCGCTTATCGATCTTCCGGCTAAACGATCGAACTTGTCCTCTCGGGAACAGAAACGATTTGGCGTGAAGGTACTTCCGACTCTCTGCTGAAGTGCGCGCGGCACCGCATCGGTGTGGCGGGCCGCACTGTCATGACGGAAAGGTCGCATCTTTGGAGGGGGGGATCCCTGGTAGCGTATATGGACGATCTGATCCGCCTCCGGGGGCGAGTAATTAGGACGTCGCCACGTGCCCGGCCCACGTTGGTCAATGAGATAAATATTTACGGCCTGCAGTTTTCAGAAAGACGCGGCACCTGCGCCTAATGAATGATCACTTGAACGACGTTGGTGTGAGTAAGTCAACTACTCGCTTTAAATACCCCATTGTTCATTATCTCTACTTAAATGATCCAGATTCAGATCACGACTCGCAGAAATGATGTAGTCGTGTGGTTGACCGTGGTGAGCATTATGTACGTGAATTTCCTGAATTATCAACCAATTTGTTGACTCTGAACGCTGGATCAACGTCACTACGTTTGATTTATTATGGTACATGTAGATCCTTAAGGGAATTGTTGTGCATTGACTACACTATATGCTGACGTAATAAATGGTCTGAAATACCAAAATTTGAAAATATTTAATAATTAATCCACTTAAAACTGAATCATATTGGAAGTTTTTTTTTATAAAAAAGATCGAAAATGCCCACTAAAAAAATATAATGAAAAGAACATTCTTTGGAGACAAATGATTTTTTTAATCAGTATTTCCGTTTAATTAGGTGACGTGGATTTGTGCGCGGTCCGACAAGCCGAGCGGTCCACGTAGGAGAACCTACGTGTCCGAGAACGACGCCGCCTCAACGCTGAAGGAGAAGCAAAGCGGCGGCTAGTGAAGCGGACCCCGTCGATCGGGGGCTTCCATGGCGGAAGAGAAGCAGCGGCGGAGCCCCGCAGGGGTGGCGACGGAAGCGGCTCCTCCGCCGGCGACGCCGCTGTCCGTCGGAGAGGCGCCACCGAGGAAGCCTCACTTCCCCAACCCGCCGGATCCCTTCAATCCCGATCCGGCGACCCTGCGGGACCAGTGGCGGTACGCCATCCGGCAGTACAGCCGGTGGTACTCCCAGGCCTGGGGCACCGCCATCCTCGCCGGCGTCTCCTTCTTCGCCCTCGGTTGGTTCATCAAGGGGTCCAACCCGCTACCTTCCAGGGCTCGCGACGGCGACGAGGACTCCGGGGATTCGTCGTCGCTGGTGGCCACCGGCCAATGAGAACGGTAAGACATCCCGCCGAAATCCCCTGAGATCCGATCGCCCATAGCGTTTCCATGGCCGATGTCATCGATTCAGCGAGCATCGCGTGGTGATTGGACGCGAATTTCAGGCATTGAATCTGGTTAATCTCCGCGGTAGATCTGGTTTATTTTTGCGAGCATTTAATGTCACTAAGATCACCTCGGAAATCTTCGGATATATCTGAAGAACTCCACTGCCTGCGATGAGATATCTAATGCACATCTTCTCCAAACCATCGCTGGAAACACCACAAGGATCATTGTGCCGTCGATCACCATATCCCAGTCGCTTGGGTGTGGGAACTCAGATCGATTCCTTGATTCCAGGTTATTATTATCCTGTTTAGCGCAGAGTGGACACATTTTCGTATGGTTTTTCACTGCTGTATTCCGAGTAAAATCGGGATCTCTCATACTCTTCTAAGAACCATGTTCTCCAGGGGGATTCAACGCGGAATAAAACCCTTCTCCCATGCCTCCCAAATAACCTCTCATAAGAGAACATCAATCGTTGTAATTTATCTATTTTTTCAGGTTTGACTTTCCCGCTCTTCCCTGCGAATTATCGTCTATGAACTGCAATGTTGACTCCAAGCTGCATGTTCTCTGTGCCCAGGTGGATCTGTGGAAGCTTGACTTTCAGAGATTCAGATCTGTGGATAGGACGAGCCACTGCGGAGGATGGGAAGGCAAAACTCGATAAGAGTAAGCTTGAAGTTCTTTTTATGAACTCTGCCTGTAAAGAGTAATGGCAGAATGGTGCAGGGCATTGGAAAAAGAAATCGTTCGAAGATCTCCATTTCCATGTTTAGAAAACTTTTCTGTAATTTGGCTGACCGAAGCAATGCGCTTAGATCTTGATCTATACGACTACAAACTGCCCTTTAAAAAGGTGTCAAGGTCAACGGCGCCTGAATATTTTTTTAGCACTAAACCACTTCAACAAAATACGATTCACAGTCGGCCAGAACTCACCAAGAGCACAGGGGGTCGAGTGACCAGGCGACTTCCCGTTGACTTTCGATAACCGACGTCAATATTACAGACAACTGAGGATCGGAAAAAATCACAGCCACAGCAGACAGCTTCAGATATTACACCGACCAGAGATTGAGGACGATTATTTCTCTAATGCGCAAGAACAGGACCGACGGATGCAGAGGACGAGGAGGGAGGGGTCAAGAATTCGTCTTGAGGTCTTTAGCCTGGGACCGTTATGCGACATCAGCGTCTGTCGTTCAAAACCATCTCCATCAGGAGATCGTTCCAGTAGTCTATGGGCCCCGGCAAGCACCAGTGAAGGCAGTCGTTCTGAACCTTGGCGTTCTTATCCTCTGCAAATGGATGGTAGGTTCTGTAGGCCCCCGGGTGCCCGTCCGGTCTCAGCAAGGACAGGTAGGTCGTGTCTATGAGCTTCAGCCGCGTGCCATTTCTGGGTGCTCGGCCAGCCGCCTTTTTGAACGCCGCCAACTCCACCTTCCTCAACACCCGGTCCACCTCCTTCATGCTCACTTCTCCTCCTTTGAATGGCACCGTTCTCTTGCAGGTACCCCCGTCGGACCATTCCCCGTTCTCGAAGTGGTCCGGCGTGGAAGTTCTGAAGAGGACGGTGGCCTTGTAGCCGGAGGAGGTGAGGTGGTGGAGAACCAGGTCGAGAACCTTGCGGTAGGCGTAGTCGTAGCCAAGCTCGGAGAGGTTCCTTCCAGGGCAGTAATGGCAGCCCACCAGCGTGTTGTTCTCCCAATAGAAGGCTGCCTTGGGGAACCATTTCCCTCCGGAGGCTATCACGTAATCGAATTGCCTCAGTTGCGAAATCCATCCCTCGTCAAGTGTGTCGAGATGAAGCTGGATGTCCTTGCTCGACACACCATTCGGATCTTCAGAGATCTCGGCTTTGACCAGGAAGGGGGACCAGATCACAGAGAGGGTGAAGTTGTACGAGGAGAAGTACCATCTCCTTGACTTCCATTCCTCGTCGTGGTAAACCTCGATCGCTTTGTCTACCTGCCGGGCGCCACCATAGACGGATAGCATCAGATGCAGGATTCTAAGATATATTTATATTCCTTGCAAAAACATATTGTCAACTCGGTGGGTCAGGGGAACCTTGTTCTTGCTCTTCTTCTTCAACAAAAAAAAAAAAGAAAGAAAAAAAAGAGGCTAAAAGAGTCCAACATAATCTTTTCAATCGTAAACACACTGTTCGTATAATCTGAAAAGGGTAATGATAACTAGAGGGAGTCCATTAGACACAACCTAGGTAGCATCTTTAACTGCTGCATTATATCTTTAAGAAGATAAGTAGGACTTTATAACAAAATCACAAGCATCTGTGATATTTTGCGATGCAGTATGGTTTTTAGGACAATAACTCCCCAGTTTTCAATAAACTAGTGATTGCATGGGTAAATCAAGAAAAAAAAAAGTTTATGAATGTTTAAATATTCAACGCGTCAGCACCAAAAAAGTCGTCGCTGATATGTAATGTATCAGATTTACAACCCAGTTTGTTCATCCAAGAAAAATCTATGTATTTTCTCAATCAGATAATTACCAATCCTTGATTTGGTGCTGGATCGGAGTTAGTCATCCCAAATGATGGTCATTCCTGAAATTTCCCAAATCAGGAATCATCTCCTATGAGTGAAATTTCTAGAATAAACTGGAATTCAAACAGTCAAAAAAGTTCAAGAACACACATGAATTGCAAGTACAGCCGTTTTCTGTACAATATGCCCGTTTAGTGCCACCATCTGCCCTAATTATTTGCTTATCCAGTTGGTTTCCATCTACTTCTCTATGTCTGAGAATTTAGCAAGCCCGAGGTACCTGCCAATCAGTCAAACAACAGAAGAATGGGCAGCAATATAGAGAACCCATGCGAATTACCCATGCAAGAAACTAATAGATTTCCTTCCTTCAACAGAACTTCAACGACATTGATTTGGAGATTATGCCCTGACTTATCGGATTAGTTCTACAGGAATTGCTGCGTCTGATGAAACCCAAGTTAAGCAGCTATCAGGAGCAGGAGAAGAGATTAGTGTACCTTTGAAAGGGAGGATGGAGTGTACCTTTGAAAGGAGACAGATTAGTGACTGCACGTGGTTGCGAGAGATGGAATCTCCGATAAATGCCCACCACTTATTCCTCATGGCGTCGAGAAACCTCTCTGTATCGAAGAGGGGCAAATCACAGCCTTTGGGCTTCCATTTCCAGTAAAGGTAACCTGTGTCTGGTCGCCCATTGGTCCTACAGTTCTGATGAGCTTCGATTAGAAGGCAACTATCGTTGGTGTAAGCTGGCCCAGATGGATGAGGAATCCACTCCCCATCAAAAAGATCACATTTTTCTGCAAAACGTTTTAAGTGGATATTAAACCCAAGACAGTATGAAAATTTATATGAACATTGCAAAATATTTAGATACGTATGCATGAATTAAAATTTGAAAACCCATCAAAATATTGGGCAGACCATTCCTTAAATGTATTCAATTTTAAGTGACTATACGTTGAAGATTAAAAAATCATTCATCTTTCAGTGCCAGACCCAAGTTCAATGGCACGCTCAACGTAAAAAGAAAGGAATAAATTGACAGGATAAAAAAATATATGAATGGATTCAATGCTTAATTTAGATATTAACTGCCACAGAACCGTTTTCCCTCACGAGCTTTGCCCTCTTGCACTGATCCATTCTCATTCAGAAGTCAACAGATCATAATATCAATTGAACAGAAAAAAGAAATATTTAGCATCCACCGTACCTCTCTGGGGATCTTCATCTACCATATCAGGGATTGACATCTGGGCAGAAGCATTTTTATCTGGAGATGATGAGACTGGAAGAACAACAAGAAAATCATGTCACTGCGAGTAAACCCCCAGATTAAGAGCTACAGAAAATTCATATCAAGAGAATTGAGATGAATTTTTCCTTCAATAAGCAAGTCTTTTGTGCCGACATTGGAATGGGTTTTGATTCTTCTCCAAATATCGGCTAAGTGTTTATAATGCCACTTCATCCTATCGTGTTTCTCACGCACTACCCGTTTTCAACACAGATCTTGGTTCTCATCTTTTTTTCATTATGATCGAATTCGGACAACCACACTAAACAATGTTTCGTGATAGGATGATATTCGCAAGACAGAGGAACCTTCATCAAGGGGAAACGGGGACCATTTTCATAGATAGACGTCGTAGTTCAGATCTGATAGGTGCTCTCACTGCCAACGGTCAAAGAGTAGGAGTGTTCACAGATTCCTACACCTCAAGCGCACAGAAAACACTCGATCTACCCCCAGTGTATACAAGAGCAGAAGCACGAATGTGTACACAACTCTCCGTGAGCTAGAAAGGTAGATCGTACATCTTTCGTCCCTGATGCGAAAACCTAAAGGAAGTGACGCCGCATTACCATGTTCTAAATCTAAAGAAGTGATTATCGAGGACCGATCGTGAGATCCACGAAAATATTGAATCTCTCCCCCAAAGGTTTGCCGTCGGCAGCCAGTGGGGGTGTTCCACGAAACGACTCACCGCCGCCCACACTGGCAGGACGCTCCGCCTTCGGGGGGTTGGTGGCGTGCTCCGAGAACGGGAAAAATCCCCACGAACTGGAGAGAAGGAGGCGAACGGAGATCCCAATGAGGAGGATGCAGACGAGAAACTTGGCACAGGTGTAGTGGTGGTGCAGAGACCAGGGGGTCCGATCCAGCCTCATCTCTTTCACCATTCTTCCCTCCCCCACCCCCTTTCTCCGCTTGGGACTGTAAGTAGCACTCAGAGCCGCCAGATGTGGCGAAGAACTCCCCAACGGCCTCCCCCACGCCATCGACACCTCCTTTTAAAGCAGCAGGTGACTGAAAGCAGACAAAAGTAAGGTTAAAACATTCTAGCGGCGGCATTAGCAGGTAAACCATGGCGACTCAAATAGAAGAACTAGCCATTATCGGTACCATCTTCAAGAAGAAGGCTCGACTGTCCACCCTCGACTGTCCACCGACCTCACATTCCTCCGCCACAATTCCCCCGACTAGAGAGTGTTACACATCCGGGCGAAGGAAGAGGAGCAATGGAGAGATCTCGTGGCTGCTCTCTTCCTCCACGGGGCCACGTGGGCTCTGCCCAGAAGACCAGATACGCCGGTGAAGCCCCCGACTATCACGTGGGTTCTCGCCGGTGAAGCCCGCTCATTGACTTTTGGCGGTGAAGAAGCCCGCCAGGATCGAGATCTCTGCCCAGATCCGCATCAATCGGCCTCACCCAGATCACCGTTCATTGTTTTCTTAGTGGCGGAGAGCGACCCAGATCCCATCCGCTCCCCCGCTGCCGGAACCTATCAGCTCCCTTCCCTTCTCTTATACACGAAGCACCCCGACGACTGACAAATAGTTAAATAAATCAATAATGGTCTCCAGAAAATTCACAACTGGAGTCAATGCTGAATCGGGGGTACGTTATGCGTGAAGAACGATCCGAACGTGCCCTTCGTGCCGTTGATCCAAAATCGTCCCTTTCATCGCCGCGATGGACGGCGAGGGCGTTCTTAGCCTTCAAGCTTAGGACCTCTCTCTCTCTCCGGGGCACCCGGCTCGGATCAGAGACCGCCAATCCTGACCCGGATCGGCCGATCCCGTAAACGCCACCAAATAAATGGCATTTCAAAGATCCGCCCGGTCTTCGTTTTTAATGCACGTTTAAGATTTTTAAAGAGAAAATAAATAAACTCACGTGGCGAATTCTTGCCCACCACTGCTGCCAGCCAAACGATGTGCCAGAAGGGCCTGGCAGTGGCTATCTGACACCTGGGCAGATCACGTGGAGCCCCCCTCTCTTCCCGCTTCCGCCAAGGCGCGCTTGAAGACGCTATTTCTGAGATTCGCCGGCGGAGCAGGCATTCCGATTGGATGATCTACGGCGTTCGTTCCTGTATCCTCTGCTGATGTCGGCGCATTGAAGGTCCCATCCATCAGGTACTTTCTACTTTTGGCAGATCAGATCCTCTTGTTCTCTCTTTCTTTTTTTCTTTTTCTTTCTAGGATTCCTCCGGAAAATTGAATGTGGCGTCCGATTGCTATCTCTGGATCCTCCGATTATCGGACAAGATGACGGAACGAAAACTGCGGAACAGTGAATCAACAGGATAGAATCGCACAGTGGAATCATCAATTCGAACTGTTGGCGCGTTCATGAAGAAGAACGCGCAGAATCCGCTTTCCCGGATTCGAGGAAGACCACTCGTTAGATAAAGAACGGGGAACTACAAACAGAAAATCACATGCCACTCATCGACGACGCCGATCGAAGACAGCAAAACCGATGATTCGAAAGACGAGGAACAGCGCCAAGCGGATTTAAGCAGAGTAGCTGATCGAGTGAGCAAGCTGAGATCACCACTAACATGACTATCATATAGAGCCAGCTTCTGGAAGTTTACCCTAGGTCGACCCTGCAGGGGTTCTCGGAACACGCATTCCAAATCCATGCTTCACCTTCTCGATCCTGTCGGAAGAGTAATAAGCCGGATTAATTTGTCGTCAACACGAAGAAACTGGAAAACATTCGGCGTCATAAAAGCTTTGGCCAATTCCATGGAAGGTACGAGAGATCAGAAGAAGGCCCATACGTCGGAGCAAGCTTGCCAAGACTATCCAGCTCTTCTCCAGAAGCATCATCCAGAACCTTCCCAGAGATGTCAATACGATACGATCGCCCATAATCCGCCGGAAGACCTCTCCCGACAAGCAGATCCAAATCTTTCTGGTGAAGCTCTCTGCCGTTGACAGTAACACCAGTATTCCCACCGGCGCAATTTTTCGGCATGGGATGGTTGAACTCCTCGATAAATGGCTGCAAGAAAGAACACCATGTTCAGCCTGTGCTCTCATGACAAACTCCTACGATCCATGAAACTTCAGATGCAGATGATCTTTACTGGAATTATGCCGAGACATGGTTGCCCCATAACACCCCAGAATCCAGCTGTATGGTCGTACCTGGATTGAAGCCACAGAAAAATCAGCACAAAAAACATTCAAACTAGCTCTGGGATGAATTATTGCTTGCTATGTCCAAGTAAAGAAATCACTGTGCTTTCAGGTAAAGATTAAAAACCTTCACGGTAACTTCGTTTATCAAAATTGTTAAACAGAATAAATTCGGGAAACAAATAGATCTTGGGAGCATCTGGCAGATAACGAGATATCTATTGATCACAGGTGAAACGAAGCAGAAGCTATCGGGAAAAGAATAGAACTTGAATTGGAAGGTTAAGCATACAATTATTGTGCATCCTCATCCCTTCCTACTCTTGGATACACTGGCTATCAGTAAAGAAGAGAGTATGGTCATTGTTGGTCAGAGACTGCGATTCTTAGATTTTACCAAAATACATAATTTCTTCGGGTGATTTTACTCCGATTATAATCCACATCTATGATCTACCAGCCCGTTAGTGCAACAATAAAAAACCAAAGAAACTTTCTCGGAGAATTTCAATGAATTACTTCTTACCGCACAATTTAGCCATCATGGTCAGTAATAACCAGCACTGAACTTAGAAGAGATGCAGGGAAAACATTAGAATGATAATTACCAGTATTCTCCCGGATGAATAGGCCCAGCTAGTTTCTCGACCCTCTTGAGGAGACGATCAGGAATATGATGACCATTTACTGAAACCTTAGATTTACTACCGTCTGATGGCTGATTAAACCGAGAGAAATCCTTGAAACTCTTCTTGATAAAACCCGTAAAGAATGAGTCACCACCCTTGCCTGTTTTTGGATGGTCTTCCTCTTTGGTGATTTCACCAGAATCTTGAGATAGCCCATGATTCAGATGGTCGTCAGTCGGCGATTCCACATCAGAAGTTATCGAGACATCTTTGACAGAGTTATGATTAAAATTATCATTTATTTCTACCATCTTCTCTTGATCAAATCGTTTACTTCTGCTTCCCTCTCCAGGCTTTCCCACTGGTTGATCAGATGGTGAATATCCGAAGTGCTCCCGAAGAGGCAAACCTGATCCAAGTGAATTGGCCTCAACATGGGACTGGAGCTCCGGAGAGCTAGGAATATCTCTGTGACAGACCATGCTCTCTGTGTTCCCATTGTCCTCGGACGAACTGGAAGGAGAGCCCAAGCCCAGCATGTTCTCCGACTCACTGAGGTTCAGCCCGTAATCCTTTTCGATCGTTTCATGGCTGGCAAGTGGAACAGGGGAGGATAGAACGAGCTTCTCATCGGTGGACTGAACATTGCCGCTGAAGTGCTCACAGTTTCCCGAGTACGAATCAGCAGCACCATGGTTTCTAGAGCCCATCCGCAGCAAGCCCTGCCCCATCAAATCCCCAGAATCCTCTCCGTGCTGTGACGGCGCATCCATGGCGGAGGGCGGAGAAGCGACGTTGAGTCGATTCCCGTCGAACTTGAACGAGATCACCTCAGAACACGACCCACATCGCAGTTTATGCAGAGCCTTACCTGGCGACAGAAGATGGGGAGATACGTGCAGCAGTTCAGAGCAGTTGTGGCACACAATGAAGGGAGCGCCGCCAGCGACGGGCTTGTAGCTGTGCCTGTTCCATCTCGGCGGCACGGTCCTCGGCTGCGCCCGTGGCTCGCGAGGGAGCAACCCATTGCCGCTTCGATGGTTGTAGCCGACAGAGCCGAGCATGAAGTGGTCATCAACGGGATACAGGCTGTGACTGTTCGCAAGGTACGCCGCTCTCCGGGTGGGGAAGACGGTGGGCGGGGCATGCGGCGGCGGCGGCGGCGGTGGCGGTGGCGGCTCTTGCCACGGCGCGTCATAGCAGTGAGAGTACGAGCAGGCGGGCTGATTGTAGAAGGCATCGTGTCGGTAGGGGATGACCGATTCTGGATCGAATTGCCCATACAGGTAACCCTCGGCAGTTCTCTGTGGGTACTGATGGAGGGGATGATACGGCCCTCTCCTGACCAGCGGAGGCTCAAATGGGTCGCCATAGCCGAGCATCTCGTTCCGCGCGTGAGGCGGTGGCGCGTAGAAGTTCTGCGAGTCCACATTGTGCGCGGCAGGCAGAGGGAATTGCCGAGCAGCAGCAGCTCGATTCACTGAAGATGATGAGTTCTTTAGCCAGGTGCCCTGGCTATCAAAGGCGCTGGAAGAGGTCGTCCTCCTGCTTGCGGCCTCCCTTTCGTTCGTCTTCCCCTTGACGTCACAGGATCGACTGAGCTGGTCGCGGAGCTCGTCGAGCTTCTGGAGGAGAACCGCCCTGTCTTGCTCGAGCCTCTCCACCTTGCCAGGTCCGTCCGGCTTCAGACTATTCCTGGGATGACGATCGTCGAAATAGTTGTAGGGTGGTGGCGCTGCCACCGGATGGCTACTGGAGGGGCCCTCCTGCGAGTAGGGAGGGAGCCGGCCGCCTTCCATTGAAGCCCTCGGCGTTCTCCTCAGTGTAGTCCCCAGTCCGTCCCTCTCCTCGTCCTTGAAAGCAGGGTTGCTGCTCTGAACCTTCTGAGATCTGTACATACGATCGCCCATCAACTTGTTCTCTCTGTTCTCCTCATCGGCGTTGCTCTTCAAAGCTTCATCGACGCTACCGCTGCTGGTGCCGGCCGGCGCTTTGGAGGCACGCATGAAGCCGCCGTCTCTGTGCCGATTCCTCCCGCTCGGGGCGTTCAACCTCTGTGGACCGGGCTCCTTAGCGGCACCAACACCTCCGGTAGCGGACGAAGCGCTGCCGCAGGAGACTCCTTCTGGTACCCTCTGTCTTCTCCTCAGTTCGGCCTTCTCTCTATCGTGGTGGTCGTTCTCTGAGCTCGCCATGGAGTGAATCCCGTTGCCCGCCGCCGAGCAGGACTCGGGACACTCGGAGACGATGATCCTCTCTTCGTAGGACGCCTCCGCGGTCCCCCCCGCGACAGGAACTTTAGGTTTCGCTGTACAGGAAGAAACAGACAAAGGAAGGCTTCACCCCTCGGCGAGTGAAACCCGAGAAAAGAGAGAAGCAATAGGAGGCTCACTCACCTCGGAGAGTAGTGTCGCAGCCGCCGCAACGGTAGACCGTGAAACCTGCGAGCTCGGGGAGGAGCTTCTGGCACTTGGGGCAGCGCACCACCCTCACCTTCGCCGCGCCACCGCCTTCTCCGGCGGTTCCTCCGTCCGCCATTTCCTTCAGAAGACCCAGAAAGGGAGGGAAGAAGAGCCACCGCAGATGAAGCCACTGGAAATCCTGCAAGAGTCAGGAATTCACAGGAACCCACCATGCGAGGGGGTGCATTTCAGAGCTCGCTCCGGTTCACCCCTCTTCTCTAGCCCCTCGTTATCCGCTACGCCAGCAAAGGCTTTAGGGGGGGGTGGGGGGTCGGGAGGGATCCGAAGCTTCCAGCTGCCCACTGAGGCCCGCCTGAAAAGGAAAAGAGCAGCCCGAGAGTAGGGAGGGGGTCTCACCGAGGAAAAAGGAGAAAGACGAAGAGGGGACGGACGAGCAAAGGAAAAAAAGCAAAAGGCACGGTTTGGACGTCGTCCCCGGTGTTTCCAATCACCGGCGACGAGCACGGCTGCCCTCCCTCCCTCTAAACCCCATAGCCCCCACCCTTTCTTCCCCCCAAATCAAGCCCTACTTTCGGTAGGTGGCCCATTCAAAACCCACAAGTAATCTCCTCCTCCGCCTCCGCCCGCAGGACCCCGCGAGCTCCCCCTTTCGCCATTAAAGACGCGCCGAGCGCGGCTGTGCTGTTCCAGCAAGACGACAGGAAGTGGTCGTATTTAGGGGTGGGGAAGGCTGTGAAGAAAGACCGAGCGCGTCCGTCGACCGGGTCGGCCCCCCCCGGTGTTTTTGACCGAGCTCAGACTGACCGTGTCTTGGCAAATCACGCACGATAAAAGAACGCCGCCGCGTCAACACCGCCGCGCCACTAGTACGCCGCCGTAATCATCTCGTTTCCGCCAGATGACGGCGGATCTCCTCCTCTCTCCGCTTCTATCCCTTTCACCCACCTGTCGCCATCCCCGAGACGGCGCCTCCCCCACGAGCCCCTCCCTTCCCCAAGCTCTGCGTCTGATATGGAGAGAGGCGGAGGAAGAGCCATTACTAAGCTCCACCGATCACGTGAAACCAAAGCCACGTCCCCGGAATACGTGAAGGACAGTGGATTGGATGTTCTCCGGTTGATCCCGCCGGCGGTGCCCGGGAAAGCGAGGCACTGGCGCTTCCAGCGGGAAGACGGCCCGGGGACCGTGCCTTCTTCCCCACCGTCTGACGCCAGCCACAGTGGAAGGAACAGAGGGATGGGAGAAAGACGCTGTCAGGATCTTCTTCAAGCCGTGAAAATAAAAGAAAAACAGTGCTCACGCAGAAGAGAGAGAAACTGAGATAGAGAGAAGGAGAGAGTGGGTCCCATGCCCTGCAGAATACGATGTGTGGGGGCCCTGTCGCTTTTGCCTGCCACCCACCAGCTTAGACAGACGGCCTTTAAAGCCAGGCAGTAGTCGCTCTGAACCGGTTCTTTCAAACACACCCCCCACCTCCCCGTGAGGTACATACCTGTTTTGCCCCCACTTTTCATTCGTCCAGCCCCGATAAACGAAGGGCCTTTATGTAGTTTGCCTCTGGTATCCGATTCCGAGGTAGTTGTCCGAACCGGTTCGGGGCTCCGCGAAATGCCTTGTCTTTTTCATCCCCTCTCTACGAGCGCGAATCGCTCCCAAACGGACACCGGCTGACTTTTAATTATGACCCCCCACGTGAAAATCCGGGCCAACTCGGTCCACTCAGGATCCGATAGAAGATTATAATTTTGGTCATTTTTCGTATTAATTATCACCCCGAAAAATATAATCCCCCCCACAAGGGGGAAGTTCACTCCTTAAAATTAGAGCAATTTATTATTTTCATTTATTTTTATTTTTACATTTATAAAATAATATTATTTAAGAGACAAGAAATTCAACCCTATTGAGCGTTTCTTTGGAACAGGGCAGGTAGATCTCGTCGTCAGAAGGAGATCCGGGGATGCAACTTCCGGGAAACCCCGGCGTGCTTCACAGCCCGTGGATCGATGGCAGGGAGGGGAGCTCGCCCGTCACCGGACGACGGCGGCGCCGCCAACCAGCCTCTGCCTCGATCGACCCGGCCAACCGGCGGTGCGGCTCTTTACTAGGAACGGAAGACATCAAAATGACAATCATCGCTTGGCGGATCTGATCCGCTCATCATCGCGCCCATCAACTCAGATCAGAGAGAATGATGATGCTCATAGGGTTCGAAGCTCAAGCAGCTGCTGGCAGGCCGCCGGGCTGGCCCGCTCCGCGCCACCGGCTTTATGACTGGGCGGCGCCTCCAGAGGCGGCGCTCTCTCCGGCAGCTGGGTCAGACTCTAACTTTGAGACACTCCCCGGGCTGCGCTTCTTTCACTGTCGTGCTTTCTCCTATTATCGAGGAGAATCTCACCGCTATTGACAAGACCCGCCTCATCTCTCTCTCTCTCTCGCTCGGCCTCAACAATGGCGAATGATTAAGAATGTGCCCTGGATTGAACGGGAAGGGACGGGGGCCCACTCGGTCTTAGAGGGCTCACGAAGACAGTCGAGGCTCCATTTAAGATCGCAGCAGAGTGCAGCAATCATGAGCTGCAGGCTGTCGGCCCACGAGCAGTAGGCCCATGATTTCGGACCGCGAAGCAGATCGCCCCAATAAGTCTCTCTCTCTCTCTCTCTCTCTCTCTCTCTCTCTCTCCACGTTGGAACTACCTCGGTACTGCCTCCACCATGGGCCGAGGAGGATTACCGGAACTTGAGCAGGACGACGGCTGATGCCCCACGCCAAGTCATGAAGAAGTTGAGGTCGTCTTTCTTCAACGATAATCTAACGCGATGGGATTCGATTCACGTTGAATCCACGTTTATTAACAAGGTGTGGCATTGTCCGATTGGGTGGTTACTTCTTGTGATCGCGGTGAACTCGGGGGAACCATAGCTTGAACTGTTCGTGGACAGTGTTTGTAAATATTTTCAACCTTGCAGCTGGCCGAAGAGCTTCCGGGTAAGACGGAAATCCTGTGGCTTAGATGTGGGGAGGAGTAGCTCCCGGAGAATGAGAAGAACGAGCAGGCAGTAGCTTCATGGGCACGCAAGAACAACTGCCGCCCGAGTTTGCCTCCGTATCATGGTTTCCTCGCTGTTGCCTGCCAACTAGGTGGCTGGCTGGTCATCCCAAGGCGGCGGGCGGTTCTTCGGCAGGCGCGGGCAGCGGCGGGGTGGCTTTTGCGGGGATAGACGGCGAGGGGAGGCGGCACGAAACCCGCATGCAGCGTCGGGCCAGCCGCCTTTTCCTCGACCGTCACCGGAAATGCCTCCTACGGCGCAAGCGCGCAGACAAAACGACCGGCATCTATGGCCAGGTTGCGTTGTTGGGACGACAAGGGTCTTGCTACGTGACGGTTAGGGAACTCTCTCTCTCTCTCTCTCTCGCTCTCTCCTTCTCCTTTTCTCTCCCTTCCGAGGACACGGGGTCGATTAACAGAGAAGGAGAGTGCTGAGGCCCGCCTGAGCTCTGTTCATGGGAGAGGGGAGCGAGCTCCGAGTCTCTCTTGGTCGGAGAACCAACTCCATAAACGACTGTGAAATAATTCAGAAGAACCCCATATCATGGCTTTATTCATGAATGAATCTGACCGTATAATTAAACACTATTTAGAGGCGACTGGACTTGACTCGTTCATCCGATCCGAAGCATATTCTTCCACGGGAGGAAGCTTCTCCCTCGAGCAGTGTACAGTATTCAAAACACAAGTTTGGACGGCTGGTGAATATAATCACAGGCTCAATATAATCATTCTCCCAGATGGACAAAGTTATCTAGGAGAATGATAAGCAGGATTACTTTCGTTCTATCATTGCTTTGGGCATTTGCTGGTCTCGTGCGGTGGACTCGGGGCATCCATAGCTTTGATTCGAAGAGTTTCTTTTAACCCCACGTGTGTCGACACAAAGGAAGTCGTATGATTTCCATGCAGCATAGCTTTAACCCGGCGAATCTACAGGACGTCCTAAGACAAACCACGGAGGCAGCTTTCTTTACGACATCTTATCCACGTGCAGGAAATGGATTGATGGCAGACTCAAACGGTAGGAAGATGCGGCGCCGACATCGACGATAAACGAAGGAGATCAAGCTCCCCCCCATCGATCACTGCACACCTGTTTATAGTAGTTACAACACCCCTGCGAAGGCCGCCTCAGTCGTAGGCCGTGCTGAAGAAGCTCTCGACGACGCTGTCGCAGAGGATGCGGAGAACCGCGGGGTTGCTGGGGCCGACGAAGCGCGGGTTCTTGAACTGGCTCATGGCGGCACCCTGGTTAACGAAGTGCTCGAGGACCTTACGGAAGGTCCCATTCCGGACGATGCGGAGCTCCAGTGGGGCGATTGCCTTCGCCTTCCTCGCGCCCATGTAACCGGCGTCTATGAAGCAGCGGTCCAAGCAGTCCGCACAGCTGCGGAGAACGCTCTCCCTGGCCTCGCCGCTTAGCTCCCAGAAGATGACGTAATGACCAGGTTCCGCCAAGCGGTCAACGCAGCTGGAGAATTCGACGACCTCAATCTTCTCCGCTGCTACCAGCTTGGAGGCCTCCTCCACCGCTAACTGCAGGTCCCTCTCCGTGTTCTTGTCTATGTTGACGTTCAGCACGAGGCCGCGGCGACACACGAACTGGAGCTCCGGCGTGCTGTTGTGGAAGCCCCCCACCCGCACCACATCGCCCAGCCTGTACCTGTACAGACCTGCACAACCACGCGAAACAATAGGAAGGAAGATTGGGACACTTTCTCCTCCGAGAAATACTCACTCATACGGAACTGACAGTCAACGGCTGCGACACTCACCCCCGAAGTTCGTAATTATGAGTTCGTACTCTTTCCCCAGCTCGATCTCCTCGAGACCGATCGGCTCAGCTTCTACGGCCGGATTATCCCCGATCTTCGTCTCCATTGGAATGAACTCGAAGTACCCGATGTCGGGGAGCACCGCAAACCTCGCCTCCTCAGGACGAAGCTTATGATTGACGTTAGCCGCGATCCAGCCCTCCGAAGAGCCATAATCGGCACTCAAGAGCGGCAGATCCCCGGCATAATGCCTCAGCTTCTTCAGATATGGCTCCATCGATCCGGTCATTATGCCATAGACGTATTTTGCGTTCGGCCAGAGCTCGGGGATCAATCCAAACCAGTTGATCAGGCCCTTGCATTTGTTGTAGATCTCATCCGCCAGCTGGGGACTGGGGGTCAGCAGCTTGGAGACGGCGGCCCTCATGGAAGGATCGGTGATCTTGGGAGAGAGGACCCCATCCCTGATGTTCGCGCAGAGCTCTTCCCAGACGAGCTCGAACGTTCTGAACGCCTGGACGATGCTGTGGGCGAAGGTGGAGGAGATGAACTGGACCTCCTGATACGAGAGAAGCCCGCATAAGAGATGGCAGTAGAGGGACTGCTCGAAGCTACGGCCGAAGATGACTTCATCCGGGCTGGTGGTCTGCGACTGGATGTCTTTCATGGTGCGCTTGAATTGCTCACTACGGAAGATGTTTGTGGTGGCGGTAGCGGCCACGATGCCCCCGCTCGTCCGAACTGCCTTGCTGCCGTAGATGAACTGCAGGGCTTTTCCATTCTCAATGGGGAACACCCTGGAAAAAACCAAGGAAATCGGGTCAGCCATCCATTAAAGAAAACTCTCGAGGAACATCGAACATCTTCACAGAATCAGCGTCCGTGGACTACTTATTCTCAGCTTTTTCGGAAAGACGAAGAGATTTCGGGGATGAAACCAAGTTCGCCGTTAACATTATTCGTTCAGATAAACAATGCACTTGGCGTTCTGATTATTCATGCGGCTTCTGCCATTAGCCGCCAGGTCCATGAGAAAGCAGAATTTCTGCCATGGGGTCACAGTCGATTAAATGAATAGATGGACTTACGTGATAACTATTTCTGGGAAAGAAACTATACTATACCCCGCATTGTCTTCACTGAGTCCGACAAGAGATGCCGACAAAATGAACCCCACAAATGGCAATGTTATTTCTGGGAAAATCTCTCACAAAAGAAGTAGATCTCAAATTCAGGCAAAATTGACTTCAGAAAGAGAGAGAAAACAAATTCAGACACCAATGGCTAATCCTCTCACGGTGCAGCTCCAGTTGATTAGAAAACACAAGGCACTAAATGGGGTAATCAGAGTGCAGACCTCGTCCAGAAATCACCCAGTTCAAACTCAAGGCAGATGAATAAAAGAAGGGGGGGAGAAAAAGAGACCACCAAAACATAAAAGAATGACTAAATTCTTAAAGCAGAGAAATGTTCCCCTTACTTGTTTCTGAAAGCGAACGACGTTCGGTATATCTGCATCGTATTTTGAACCAGAAAGTCATTAAAGGGGACGTACTTGGGCCTCCCTTGGGTAGTACCAGAGCTGGAAGCATTGGACAGCACAAGTAATGTCAGAAATAGCTGATAGTAAACGCGCCAGCCGGGGAAATGAACTAGGCCCACACCCGTGGACATGTCACCGGGAAGATCGTACCTCAAGGAAAGGGAAGTTATCGGCTTCCCAGTGAGAATGGGAGAAGACTCCCCAGCTGCAATTCTGCGAATATAGCCTTCTAGATCAGGGTGGGAGACGAGGGGAACGCATGCCTTGAAGCTCTCGGGATCGGTTCGCCCTCCCAGTCCCAGGTTCTGCAGATACTCCGCTTCGCTATTCTCTTCCAGGATCATCTTGAGGGTCTCCCTCTGGACCTTCCCCACGTCCTGGGTCAGCGCTTCGAACTCATCGATGACGGCGTCCTGGTGGAAAATTCTCATCTTCGTCGAAGAGGTTGAGAAAAAAAGCCAAGTCCTGGAAAGAGAAATCTTTCACTATTCAGGGAATCTTTATAGTCCCGAGGTAGAATCAAGGAAGGGGAAGCCTCGATTGGGTTCCAAAATCGTGTGCGATTTGCCTTGAAATGCGAAGAACCTGTCCTCCGGAATCCCCACTCGCAGTCCGAAGAGGCTGCTCTCCCCGCTGGGTCCGCCGAATTGGGACGAAAATTTGAGCCAGCAAGAGAGAGAATTGATCGAAATCTTCGCGATGCGGCGACGAGTTCGGCTTTTTACAGATGCCCGAAACTTCAGCGAAGAACGGCCGGTTGAAACCCGACGAGAAAACGACCGCCGGGAATCGAAAACCCCTCTCGCAGGGTATTCTAGACGTTTGCGAAGACCAGGTTCCTCGTCGGCTGCGAAGAGATGAGAGCAAACAGGCCCTGAGTCTAATCAGGGAGAGGGACAGAGACAAGATGAACAGTCTTCGAACGTATCGAATGCGCAATTGGAGAAACTGCGAAATCTATTGTCGGGTGTCATCGAAGGCATCTCCGGGGTGAGATACTCTCCGTAGAACGCCCTGGAAGGAAAGAGGGGATTCGGCCAGGTTCAGCCCTCGTAGCGAGAGGAGTTTCAATCAAGGAAAGTGGAGAGACCCGTGATCTCTAAATCCGCGATGAAGAAAAGAGTCTAAAGCAAGGTACGAAGAAACAGTCAAATGATCAGCAGGAATCGGCGGAACAGTGGGAGCAAGGCCGCGAGCAGTGGCTACCAGATGATTGAATTAAAGAGAGAGAGGCAACAGTAATTTAAGGGAGGGAGAGAAGCTCTCACAGGAAAGGCGGAAGATCAAGCTGCCAGCCCCAGCCGCCACTACTTCGCTCCGAAAGCTTATAAGAGAAGAGAATCGCCTATCGCCATCGAAGTCACCCCCCCCGCCCAAGTTGCTTTGGGCACGGGTACTCCGAGATACCAAATCACAGGGGAGAAAACCCCAGATCTCTCCTAAGATACGAAAGAGCAGATTCGAGACTGATGGCACCGTCCTCTCCGATGGAGTGGAAGAGATACGATACAGACGACCAGAGAAGCCCGATTGACAGCCTAAGGAACTTGGGGAAGGGTAGAGTCAGCCTTTATAGCGGAACGGGGACGGAAATGGCTTCGCAAGACTACAAGGCCGCCGCTATGGGCGTGGGAGACAAACGGGAACGTGGAGATTTCCCCTCCACTACAGTTCCGACCCCCCTCAAAGCGGACTCGATTGCGGCGGGAAGAACAGCGACAGTGTAATCGCCATCCCTAGCGGCTATCTCCTCGATTGCCGACCTTCGCTGGTTAATCTACTTACCGCAGACTCGGGGAGGGGGAGGCCGTCTCCGTCGAGGGGTCCTCTCCCTCCCCGACTCGTTGCCAGCTTCGTCAAAAGTCAAGAGCGCTCCTCGTTGGCCGACGGCAGTCGCCGCACGGCGCCTCGGGTTCCAGCCGATTAATATCTCATCGACTCGGGCGATGTCCCGAGTCGCGGGCTCGGAAGAATAGCGCTGACTCACTGTCGGCTCCAAGTTCAGAGATGCATACTCCTAAAAGATCATTCGGGGCTCTTACAGGTTGACTTCTGCGTCCTTTACCGATCGAAAGCTCGTTTTTACAGAGCCCAATCCAGCGGCTGGAGAGTGCCCAGAGAACGATCGAGAGGAAAATTTCCAACTTGCACATAAAAAAAACTGAACTTCTCTGCTCTTAAATATCTCCCACTAATTGTTTTATAATCGCACACTCGGATCATTAATTTTTAACTTTAGGATAAGATTAAACTTTGCGAAGATCATAATCACGGGTCACTTAACTAATACGCAATTCTCGAACTTTGATAAATTTTTATTTCTTATTGCAACTTGAGCTGTGAGCGTCAAGACGCTACCGTACTGCTGTTCTTGGGAAAAAGATCTACCATGAGAGAGAACACGGGACACGCACAGACCAATAGAAAAGCCCGAAAAACAGGCCAATGGGTCAGATCTTACGAAGATTACTCCCCTAGGTCGCAGATACTTACTAGAGCTATGAGAAGAGAGAGAAAGATGAACTGGACGGCCATCAAGAGAGAAGAAGAATGGCTTTCTTTCAGGGGGCTCTGACTCCTGAACAAATCCAAGACTGGCCCGGGCCGTGGCCTTTGCTGGCCCACGGACCCCTGTATCGACAAACAAACTTGGGGATTATTTGTTCGAAATTCAATTAATCATAAAATAGTTGCCTCTGAGAGTTACCCTTTCCTTCGCAAAAGGGTAATAGCGACACCGGGAAAAGGGACGGCGGCCGCATGCTACGAGTTCTCCGGATAATATGATCGGATTCCCGTTGTGACCATCGTTGCCCGTCTTTAGCAAAGCCGATTTGGCTATATTCTGGCCCACGGGTCCCCCAATCCCCACTTTCCCGCCCATGATGTCATAACTCAGAGTCTCATGCATTGAATGGTCTTCTCTCTCTCTCCCTCTGCCCTCATATTCCAGCGCATGAAGAAGACGTAGACGGAGGGCATGACGGATATCGGCAACGAGAGAGAGAGAGAGAGATGTCATGCTCCTTGGACAAAACGAGAAGCGGAGCAGTTGGCCGGAGGTGGCCGGAGCAACTGCGGCGATTGCGGCGCCGTTTGACCTCCTTGGTCCCTAAATGACAGGCAGGGCAGGGCTTTGACTTTCTTACCGAACAAGGTGTGTAGAGAGGGACCGACAATTAGGTCCGGTACCCAATCGATATGGGCAGCTGCCTAATCATACCCTATTTATTCGGTGTTGATGTTCCCTTGGCGTCAGCCCCGAACTTGAGACCCGTCACTTACCGCTGTCGACGAGCACCACCACGACGAGAGTTTTCCTCGGAGCGATGCCTGCTACACTCCTTTCCCTCAGAGTCAACGCCGTAAGGTACCATTGGAGACAAGGTTCTCTTTTGTGCTGCCCAGAGCCTGCAACCTACTTGGAGAGCCTGATTGGAGAGAACTAAGAATGGTCAACCTCGTGAAACACACGAGGCAAGACTTGGTCTTTCCATCTAGGAGCCATCGTCAAGGGGTTGCGGCGGCAATCTCTCTCTCTCTCTCTCTCTCTCTCTCTCTCTCTCTCTCTCTCTCTCTCTCTCTCTATCGTCGTGGCTCTCTCTTCTTGAGGACGTCCTAAAGCACTCACGGTATCATTATGAATATACAAGCCGAAACTGTCTGCCCAGCCTCCAACCTAGATTGGAGCGAACGAAGGATGATCTGCCTCGTGACACATACGTGGCAGTGGAGGCAAGACCCCGTCTTTCCATCTGAACCCCCACCACCGTCAAGGGATTCCGGCAGAGCTCTCTATATTTATCTCTCTTTCTCTATCTCTCTATCTTAAAGCGGCGGAGGGTGACGGGCCGCTGCAGGGGGGTAGACCTCGCATGCTGTCACTTCAAGCGCATGAATGGGCGGCTGGCAGGAACTCGCCGGCACTGCGGCGGGTCACATCGGGAGGGATTGGCCGGTGTGCTCCACGCGGCCATTTGCGGCCCCCGATTTCTCTCTCTATTGTCTACGCGGAAGGCGCTTGTGTAACGGCAGAATTTTTGCCCTGGACTAACTTGCCAGGACCACGGCGCTGTCGGCGGCAGGGCCTCCGGCCGTTTCCACTTGTGAGACATGGGTGAGAGAGTTGCTGCGCTGGCGTCAGCATGACAGTAGACCTTTATCAGTTGAAACGAACTACATTATTAAATGATCATAAAAATAAAGCCGAAATTAATGTACCCTTTATTTTCGACAAATAACCTCCAGAACTATCGGATTAGTGATATTTTTTTGGCTCGATGGTTTTTTACAGATCACTTGACGCGGAAACCTCAACCAGACGATCTCACAAATAGGCAAGTGGGTTCTAGTAGATCACTTATCACGGTAGTCAGTCCTTGAGGTACCGCCGCGGTTGAGGCGTTCCACACTCAATGTATGGTCTAATGCAACAAAATAGGGTTCACTCACCGATGAGACAATCAGAAAAAAAACTGAAAGAACAAACGAAAAAGAGGGAGGGAAGAGTTCAGGCAATAGCCTCGTCCGAGCCGTAGGTGTGGACAGTCCTCGGCGAGTTGGACGTGCTTGGGAGATGATTCTATGGCCCGGGGGCGTCGCGGCGAGCGGCGAGCGGCAGCAGCACTACGACCCTGGTGCCTCGATGAAGACTCGGAAGGGTGGATATGGCATGGGGATGGAAAGGAGGAAGAGGGAAGGTGGGCTCCAACCGAGAGTGCGGGGCACTCCGGCCAACTCTTTAAATTATCCTGTCTCAACAATAGTTTTTCGTGCTATTTATAAATCCCAGCATAGGACAAAACGTAAGAAGAGGAACAGTACATTTAAATAAATTCATTCGTGCGTCGAGTGGCGGTGCGGCTCCGGTGCGGTCGTAGGCCGGTTTTCTCGAAGCGTCAGGGGTGAAACGGCGCGTCGCTTCGTTCCCCCATTAGCGGGTGCGTCGCCTTGTCCCCATCATTACTCCATTCAATTAACCTAATATTAAACAACATTGTAATGGAATATGATAAGGTTCGTCATAAGTGAGCATCTCTCTCTCTCTCTCTCTCTCTCTCTAGACCATATCTCCCTAGACCGTCTCATTTGCATAACTGAAAGTTTAGGCATTGGCTTCTAAGACTCATGCCCACATTATTAAGTGTAAAATTCCTAGGATGAGTGTTGGAGTTAAACAAGAGGGCGATACATTTCATAGTTTCAAAGATTATTGTTAAAAATATTTTTTTGCACGGAAAAATATTAATCCAACCTTATATTTAATTTAATTTGTTTACAAGTTGCATTCCAAATATGCCTGCTAGATATTCCTACATGAACCAGTCTCACTCGACATAAATTTTGCTAAAAGATAATGCATCACAAAAACATCTAAAGTTGACAACCATTGCTAGTGCATATCAGGATTTAATGAGAAACTTAGAGAGCTGAAGTGAAACTTTTTCATGCCATCTTGAAATTAAACTTCAAATGCTAAAAACCACCTATTAAGGTATGAATATTAAAAGAGTTGTTGTTCGTTGCCTTGGAAAGTTAAACACTAGTTTTAGTTCACAATTTTGTCTGCAAAATAAATTAATTTCGTGTGTGTATTGTTTATAACTATAAATGATCGATACTTTTTCACTATTGCTTTCCTTCTTGGACATTTTTGGCTTAAAAAATATTTATTCGCCAACCAAAAGGGCATGCAAAAAAGTTTGCTCAAAGTATAAAAAAGTTAACGTTGTTTAACCATCAAAATAAACTTATTAGCTCATTATTCTCTACTATACATTACAGATCTTTGAATTCGTGACCAAAAAAGTTCAATAAAGTTAGCTATCGACTTCATAATTTTATTTTTTTGGAATTTTAACAATAATTTGAGAGGTTAACATAATTATTTTGATGCTTTTTTATTGGTAATCAGTGGATAGATAAAAATTGCATAATGTTATCATATAATTATTTATCAAGTTCAACAACATTTTAAAAGGAGAGTCACCAAGAAACCAACCAAGATAACGAACATAAGGTTTGTACACTGCCCTTGACCTTTTCAGCAAGGATCAAACTTGAAGTTCAGGGTTGAAATTCCATTCCCTAACGGATGACCCCCCACCTCTCCTCTCTATCTCTCTCTCTCTCTCTAAGTTTCTCTTTCTCCCTCTCTTTGCATCTCTCTTTCTCTCTATTATGAATACAAACCCCCTCCCCTATTGTCTCTCATCTCGCCTGACGTGACAGGTATCGGGTTTTATAGAAGATCATCACACTCGACTGCTCTAAAATCATATGTTTCTTGAAAAAATATATATATTCAAGAAATCAACTGAGTATTGGTGAGTTGGAGAGACCAATTCGTTAAACCCTGTCGATCTCCAAGGCTCCACCCCACCAACAATGTAATCTACTTCTCCTCGAGAAAATGGGAAAGTTAGTATTTTCTTTATCCAAAATAAATAGAAATAAATCTATTCATATTTATAAACCCAAATTGAGATATTGGGGAAATTAATGGATCGCTGGCCTTGAGCTGGACTCTACCGAGGACAAGCCTAGTTTTTTTCAAACCTTGTGCCGAGCTTCGAAGCACGGCCTGCCCTATTGCCTTATCAAGCTTGGGGCAGATGTCCTCTAGTTTGCAAGACAAATAAGAGTAAAGTAAATGGTTATTGGGAAATGTATGAAGTGCATGCGGACCGCGGCATACGCGGTGCTACGAAGAAGTCTTCGTATGCCAACGCCACGTTGCTCTTCGAGTTGGGGCCATCATATGCCAACGCCGCGTTCCGTGGTGCAGACAGTTTTGAGACGGCTTGGAAAGATGCGTGGAAAATCGTTGAAGATCGGAGACAATTCGGCCTCGTGCTCGTTCGATAATTTTAATTATTTTTTAATATAAATAATAGCTCGAGATCGTCCCCACAGTGACCCTTTGATTCGATAACAACCGCTCAGAACTGATCCAATGAATATGATACTACGCCATGGTGACTTACATAAACTTTCCATTATTTGGAAAATATATTGTTCCCGACAAAAGACTATTGCATGGTTTCATCCGAATAGGCGAAAAAATGAAAGTGAGCCACATAATAGTCAGGAAATCTTCTACACATCCATACTGGGGAAAAGAAGATTTGAGAACCAGCGCACCAGAGCGGAGCCCATCGTCATGAATATCTGAATCCAAGCCCAAGCCCAAGCCCAGGTAGTCACTGACGAATCACGGGCAACAAATAGTGCTTCAAATAAATAACAAGATAAGATAATGTTAGCCCTCCAGGACTTGATGAATCTCCTTCGGAGGCCGACGTAGCTCATGGGGTCTCACTGAAGACCTCCATAGCTGCACCAACCTCTCCCTACAGCTTTTTTTTACACGTAAACTGATCAAAAAAATGACGAGCAGCTAAAAGATACAGCAGGAGGGAGACAAAAGAATGGAGAGGGCGCTGGGTTTCACGATCTGCGCCTTCTTCTATTGAGAGTCGCAGAGAGGAGCTTGCAGACGTGGTCGCAGTTCTCACGATGGTATTCGATCAGCAGGCACAGCTGCCTTATGGCCTCCCTCTTCTCCTCGTTCCTGGAAAACAGCTCCACCTTCGATTCTCTATCTCCCTTCTTCAGCTCCGCCACCTTCTGCGCCAGTCTTTCCTCCTCTTTCATCTTCTCATCTAGCTTTGATCGAAGGAGGGTGGATTCATCTTTCAGCATGGAGATGATTCCTTGTAGTTCAATCTCATTGTCAATTCCGTCTTCTCAACCTTCAATCCTTCTTCCGAGTGAACCAACACCTTTATCCACCTCTTCATCAACGTGACATCATTGGAGCAATCGGAAATGTGGGTGTGGATGTGCCTGCAGTCGCCTTCCACTTTTATCTCCAGGTAATCAAAGGCCCTACCCAGGGACTCCATTACTAGCTGCACCAATTCCTTGACTTTCCGGAGATCGCCCTCCACGAGATTAATTCTGGATGATAATGTCCATGAGTGTTCTTTTAGTTTTCTGCATTCAATGCCTCCGCTGTCCCCTTGTGGATCTCTTCCTTGTCCTTACTTTCCGTTTCGGTTATCCTAAGCTTTTGATTGGATAGGCGGATCTGGACTTCCAGATTTTGAAAGTGTCCATTCAGCTTCATCACCTCCTTGTCCAATTCTGCTTTCTATGATTCAGAGAATTTAAGCTTCCCAGCCACTTCTTTCACGTTATCTTCCAATCCGTTCAGCTGAATGGTAGTTTCTGTTCCTGGACAAGTCCTTTTAGCGACAGGATTATCTCCTCCTTTTTATCGAGCCCGACAATCCTTCCCTGTGCAACCTCGAGATCCTTGGAAAACTCTAGGAGTTAACTCTCAAGAAGTTTATATTTTGCAGACAACTAGTCGAGACTATCCTTCTGCTCTTTCAACATCATCTCCTGGGTGAGGACTTTCCCTGTGAGTTCACTTTCCAACTTCTCTGAGAGACTTTGCTTCTCCGTGGCCTCATTAGTCATATAGTCTTCACCTGTTCTTCTGACTCGTTGATCTTGGTGAACGCTGAATCAACCTCCTGTTGCAGGTTACTTGGCTGACGCTTCTTTAAGCTTCTTCTCAAGAGATAAGAAGTTGGCTTCTTTTTCCTACAATTGCTTTTCAAGATCAGATACTTGACCTAGTGAGTCAAGTTAATCCTACTGAAATACACAAATCTCCTTCCTCAATTGTTCTGCTTCATCTATAATCCCTTTTAGGCTGATTTCTGATTCCCCAAGTTTGGTTAGTGCCGATACTTTCACTGATTCCAGCATGTTTTTGGCTTCTTCGACAGATTCTAGTTTGTGAACAAGACCATCAGTTCTCTCCTTCAAGACAGAATTATCACCTTCGAGGCGTTCTTTATCAGCCTTTAGCTCCCGTATCTCATTCTCAAATGCCAGTGTCCTGCTAAAAAGGATGGATTTTCTGTAGAAATTACCGACTTATCTCCTTGTAATGCTTGTAATGCCAGGTGGGACACTTCACAGGAAGCGGCTTCTAATTCCGTATCGAAGCCATCATACTTAACCTGCAGCTCAGTCTTCTCAATCTTTGATATATAAAACTCTTTTGACACTATCCACGTCCTCTTTAATCTTTTTTAACTTATTGACAGCCTCATCGTGTTCTAAACAAAATGTCGCTTTCTCATCACCGATGGCTCTCATCTGCGAGCCCAAGCCTTCATCTTCGTCCAGTAGTTTTGATTTTTCGATGGTTTTCTCGTACGCTTCCATCTTCAATGTGATCCCTTGCATTTCAGACTTCAGGGTGTTGGCATCTTCCTCAAATGAAACATACTACGATCACGTACATAAATGCTGCCCTTCCGGCTCGGCAATATAATATGGAACCTATCAACTGCTCCCTTGTTGGGGTCCTGGGCAGATCCCGCTCCTAAACAAAAGGGATGGAAAGGGGAAAGGTTAAACATCTCTGGACCAGACTTCAGGCTGCTTCCTTCGTGCCTCCAGATTTTCATTCTCTGCCAACAGCTTTGCATTCTCAGCTGAACTTTCATTTGCTATTTTCCGGTGCAGGTCTGATTCATCTCTGAGATACCTAGTAATTTTATCTGCCAGCTGAATCTTGTCTAATAGTACAGCATTTTTAGAGCCTAAGGAGTCTTTTTCTTCATTTACGTATTAGTTTCCGCTTTAGATCATCCATTCGCAGTACCACAGCTTCCAGTTCCAGCTTTAAAACTCTATTTGAAAATTTTAATATTGATATCCCAGATTTCAATCGGTCACCTTCGACTTCGTACGTTTCTACAAGTCCCTCTGCCTCCCCCAAGGTTTTCAGGACCATTAAATTTTCAAGAATGAGAGCTTCATACTTTTGGCCAATTAGAGCTTGTAATCGCATGGATCTTCTCTAAATCTTGCCTTAGCTTTCCATTCTCGATATGGAAGGCAAGAAGGCTTTCTTTGGTAGAGTTTAGGTCATCATTCAAAGTTTGCGATTCTCCCTTCACTCTGGCATTCTCATTCCTCTCTCCCTCTCTCTCTCTCTCTCTGAGAGTAATGCAGTCGATTAAGAGAGAACGAGAGTAGTGAGGTTCGCCTCACCTCTACACGTGAGAGTGGGGAGCGAGCTCCGAGTCTCGTTGGATCGAACTCACTCTACCACACACGACTATGCGGTAATGAAGAAGGTGAGTCAAATACACTACAGGCTATGAGTCGTTCCTCCGATCCGAAAGTACCCCGAAGATTCTTTTTCCAGGAGGGTCAGCTTCTCTCTCGAGCTGGGTACAGAAAATTTTGTTTCAGTTTAGGGCATTTGCTGGGGAAAATAGTCACAGGCTTAAGATTAGGAATAAATTTACGACGGACTCGGTAATCTACGAGTTTTTTATGATAAGTAGGATTAATTTTGTTGCAGTTTTGGGCATTTGCTGATCTCGTGCGTGGACACAGGGCATCTCTGTCTTTGATTCAACGACCCTTTTTTCACCACACGTGTAGCGATAGAGAGGAAGTCTTGTCTCCCGAGATCTATCCGCACTCATTTATGTCCACGGGCCCAAACTCAAAACGTCGTCTGAATATGGCCACAACCACAACAAGATATGAACAAGTGTCCCAATGAGATCTAATAGAATCCCAACGAAATATTGATTGATCTGGGCAAACTTTCCTTGACATCGACCTTCTTATGATCGTCATGCAGCGTAGCTTTAACACGAAAATCCACGCAACGTCCTGGGGCAGTTTTCTTTGCGGCATCCCATTGACGTGCAATAAATGGCTCGGTCGATGGGCCAGAAAGTGGGAAAATGAGGCGACGACCTCGATGATGAGCTGACGGGAGCGAGCTCCCACCATTCATTACAGCACACGTGATTTTAGTCGTTACAACATCCCTGCCACGGCCGCCTTAGTCGTAGGCCATGCTGAAGAATCTCTCGACGACATTGTCGCAGAGGATGCGCAGGACCGCCGCGTTGCTGGGGCTGACATACCGTGGGTTCTTGAACTGGCTCATGGAGGCGCCCTGGTTGATGTAGTGCTCGAGAACCTTGCGGAAGGTGCCTTGCCGGACTATGCGGAGCTCCAGTGGGGCGATGCCCTTCGCCTTCCTCGAGATCATGTAACCGGAGTCTACGAAGGAGCGGTCCAAACAGTCCGCACAGCTGTGGAGGACGCTCTCCCTGGCCTCGCCGCTGAGCTCCCAGAAGATGACGTAGTGCCCGGGTTCTGCCGAGCGATCAACGCAGCTGGAGAAGTCGATGACCTCCAGATTCTCCGTCGCCACTAGCTTGGAGGCCTCCTCCACCGCCAGCTTCAGGTCCCTCTCCGTGTTCTTGTCTATGTTGACATTCAGTACCAGGCCGCGGCGGCACACAAACTGTAGCTCCGGCGTGCTGTTGTGGAATCCCCCCACCCTCACCACATCGCCCAGCCTGTACCTATACAGACCTGCACCACCACGCGAAACAATAGGAAGGAAGATTGGGACAGTTTCTCCTCCGAGAAATCATCATTTATCTGCCGATAACAGTCGGTGCCTAAAACACTCACCGGCGAAGTTCGTGATTATGATTTCGTACTCCTTCCCGACCTCGATCTCCTCGAGACCGATCGGTTCAGCTTCTACGGCCGGCTTGTCCCCACTATTCGTCGCCATGGGGATGAACTCGAAGTACCCGATGTCGGGGATAACAGCAAACCTCACCTCCTCAGGACGCAGCTCAGGATGTATGTTAGCCCCGATCATGCACTCCGACGAGCCATAATCGCCACTCAAGAGCGGCAGATCCCCGGCATAATGTCTCATCTTCTTCAGATATGGCTCCATCGATCCAGTCATAATGCCATGGACGTATTTCGCGTTCGGCCAGAGCGCGGGGATCAACCCTAACCAGTTGTTCAGGCCCTTGCATTTGTTGTAGATCTCGTCCGCCAGCTGAGGATTGGGGATCAGCAACTTGGAGACGGCGGCCCTCATGGAAGGATCGGTGATCTTGGGAGAGAGGACCCCATCCCTGATGTTCGCGCAGAGCTCTTCCCAGACGAGCTCGAATGTTCTGAACGCCTGGACGATGCTGTAGACGAAGGCGGCAAAGATGAACTGAACCTCCTGATACGAGAGAAGCCCGCATAAGAAATGGCAGTAGAGAGACTGCTCGAAACTACGGCCGAAGATGACTTCATCCGGGCTGGTGGCCTGCGACTGGATGTCTTTCATGGTGCGCTTGAATTGGTCACTGCTGAAGATGTTCGTGGAGACGGAGGCAGCCACGAGGCCCCCACTCGTCCGGACTTCATGGCTGCCGTAGATGAACTTCAGGGCTTTTCCATCACCATGGGGAAACACCCTGGGAAACAGAACGGAAACGGGGTCAGGCATCCATTCAAGAAAACTCTCGAGAATCATCGAACAGCTTCACAGAATCAGAGCCCGTGGACTACTAATTATTCAACTTTTTGGGAAGAAGAATAGGAGAGTTTGGAGGATGAAACCCAAGTTCGCCATTAAGATTCTTAGTTCAGATAAACAATGCACTTGACGGTGGTACTGCTCAAATTCCTACGACTAGCCGGCAGATCCAAGAGAAAGCAGAACTTTTGCCCCGTATTATTCTGAAGCCATGGGGTCACAGTCGATCGAATGAATATCTGGGAGGACGCGATGAATATTCTTGGGAAAGAAACTAGATTATGCTCCGCATTCTCCCCCACAAATGGCAATGGAATTTCCGGGAAAATCGCTCACAGAAGGTAGATCTCAAATTCGGCGGAAATGAACTTCAAAAAAAGAGAAAAAAAATCAGAAACCAATGTCTAATCCTCTCCCGGTGCAGCTCCAGCTGATTAGAAAACACAAGCCACGGAATGGGGTAATCAGAGTGCAGACCTCGTCCAGAAATCCCCCAGTTCAAACTCGATGCAGATGAATAAAAAAAGGGGGAGAGAAAAATAGATAATCAGAGCTTAAGGAATAACTAAACTCATAAAGCAGAAAGATGAGCTCCTTACTTGTTTCTGAAAGCAAACGACGTTCGGTATACCTGAATCGCATTCTGAAGCAGCAAGTCATTGAAGGGAACGTACCTGGGCTTCCCTTGTGTACTACCAGAGCTGGAAGCATTGGACAGCACAAGTAATGTCAGAAACAGCTGATAGTAAACGCGCCAGCCGGGGAAATGAACTAGGCCCACACCCGTGGACATGTCACCGGGAAGATCGTACCTCAAGGAAAGGGAAGTTATGGGCTTCCCAGTGAGAATGGAAGAAGACTCCCCAGCTACAATTCTGCGAATATAGCTATCGAGATCAGCGTGGGAGACGAGGGGAACGCATGCCTTGAAGCTCTCGGGATCGGTTCGCCCTCCCAGTCCCAGGTTCTGCAGATACTCCGCTTCGCTATTCTCTTCCAGGATCATCTTGAGGGTCTCCCTCTGGACCTTCCCCACGTCCTTGGTCAGCGCTTCGAACTCATCGATGACGGCATCCTGGTGAAAATTTCTCATCTTCGCCGAAGGGGTTGAGAAAAAAAGCAAGTCCTGGAAAGAGAAATCTTTCACTATTCAGGGAATCTTCATAGTCCCGAGGTAGAATCATGGAAAAGGAAGCCTCGATTGGAATCCAAAATGATGTGCCATTGGCCTTGAAATGCGAAGAACATATCCTCCGGAATCCCCATTCGCAGTCCCAAGAGGCTGCTCTCCCCGCTGGATCCACCGAATCTGGAAGAAATCAGAGAGAGAAAGAGAGAGAATTGATCGAAATCTCCGCTACGCGGCGGCGAGCTCGGCTCGACTTTTCACAGATACCCTCAGCTTCAGCGAAGAACAGCCGGTTGAAACCCGGGGACAAAACATCCGCCGGGAATCGAAAACCCCTCTCGCAGGGAAGTTCTAGACGTTTGCGAAGGCCAGGCTCCCTCGTCGGCGGCCAGAGGATTGAATTAAAGAGAGAGAGGCAGTGGTTACTTTGAGGGAGAGAAAAAGAGGCCTCACAGGAAAGCCGGAAGATCAAGCTGCAGGCCTCAGCAACCACTCCTTCGCTCCGAAAGCCTATAACAGTGAAGATACGGAGGAACAGATTCGAGACTGATGGCACCGCCCTCTCCGATGAAGCGGAAGAGATAAGATATATAGACGGCCAGAGGAGCCCGATTGACACAGCCAGAGGAACCTGGGGAAGGGAAGACTATTCCGTCCCCAGGAGGCCCAGGATCCATGTGAGATGGTCGGGTCGTCCAGACGGGAGCAGGGCCACAAAGCACAGGGTGGAGCGGGGCTCAGCAATGGTCGGGGAACAGAAGAACAGGAGATGACGAAATTTGACTACGAAGATTACCCCCCCTCCAGCGAGAAGGGGGAAGAAGACTCCGTGAGGAGATTGTAGATTGGCCATCTCAACTTGGCTCTACTCTGGGTCCCAGCAATCGGTCTCTTCCATTATTCTTGTCTTCAAGTTCATTTTCCTACTGTAAGACCCCTTATTTACTCTATAGAGACCAGATTATTACAGATCATTTTGGTTATACATCTTCACGTTCCCCTTATATGTCGGTGAGCATCCATCAATTTAGGTCACTCCATAATGGGCGCCAAGCCAAACGATCCTAAACTAGAGAGCCTGGAGAAGGAGCTCAAGGAGGTTCAACACCTACTCACCAAAGACCAGTCAGAGAAGGCAGAAACCCGGCATCAATTGAAGAATGACCAAGCAGAGCTGCAGAAGTAACTAGGACCAATCACTTAGTCCTCGAAGATCTTCATGGGCGACTGAATCAACCCCAAGGACGATCGAGCAAGGAAAATTTTTACCCAGAACCGTTGGAAGAATGGGCCCAGAGGGAGCCTAGCTTGGTGCGGCTCAATCACGGGTCAAGGGAAGCAACAAAGTGCAAAGACATTACCTTCAACCACCATCAACCTATGGGTCCAATCAGATTCAGGCCTAACCGACTTCCCTCTCTGTTCGCAGGTAGCAACCAAGAACGATAGATCTTCCAGACGGAGCTATACTTCATAACCTATCCACTGTCTGTAATGAAGGAACTTTTAGAAGGCAGCCTTAATTTAAAGGGAAAGGCTCTAAATTGATTTCAGTGTGCTGAGGACAAGAGGCATTTCAGAGCTGCGACGAATTAAAACATCAAAATTCTGGACGGCAAGGGCCCAAACATTCCAGCTCCCTCTATCGATAATTCCTCGATCTCACCCAAAATTAGACGGTAGAAGAATACAAAGAAGATTTTGAATTACTCTCAAGAGTAATTCGTAATATTATAAAAGCCGAGGTGCATGCCTTAAATCCCCGTGGTCTGGAAGCTGTTATTAAAGCTGCTCAGAAGGTCGAAGCCAAACTTCTCACCCTTCCCGAGTTGGGATCTGTGGGTCGACCACGCCCCGTACGGACGACAAAACTAGGGGTTTCAACATATGATTCAAGAAGACCCTGAACTCTGGAGCCTACTGCTGTTACATGAGAAGAGGAAGGATTGCCAAGAGGTAATCCTTCATTTGAGGTAATTTCAAACTTCTCAATTAGTGAAGATCAAAAATTTACATCCCAAGAGGTAATGTCTCCATTTGAGGATTGCCAACACAATGACTATTAACTCATTTTCATAAATGGGTCAGTGTTGATCCATTGTTTTGGATGTCTGGCTAAAATAGGCAAGCAGTTGGCAACTCTATATCAAAATAGCTTGCACCCCTTTTCTAGAGCCATCCGTTTTCGCTTCAAATGGTTGCAAAAAATTAGGCAATATAAGTAATGGAGCTGAGGTAAGGGAGTTTTTCAGCTAACTAAAAGCATCTTCGGTAACCTTGCCCCAAACAAAGGTGTCTTTTTTAGGAGTAGATTGAGAGCAGCTGTGATGATACCATATCCCTTAATAAGATGCAAGTAATACCGAGCAAGGTCTAGGAAGCCCCACAACTCTTTCAAGTTTTTGGGAACTGGCTATTGAAGAACTGTATCATTTTTTTGTGGATCCATCCTGATTCCATTACCGGACACCCAATGCCCTAAGTAAGTGAGTGTCAATGGTCTGAATTGATATTTTTTTGAATTGATGACCATTTAATTATTGTTAAGCAATTAAAATTTTTTCTTTAGATGTTGTAAATGAGATGTAGAGTCCAAGGTGTATATTAAGATGTCATAAAAAAACACAAGGACAAATTTTCATAAAAATGAATAAAATACTATGTTCATAAGACCTTGAAACATAACTAGTGCATTGCATAAGCTGAATGACATCACCTGAAATTCAGTGTCCTTCATAGGTATGAAACACCAACTTGTGCACGTTAGTTTTCTTGAATCTTATCTAATGATAACTTGACTTCGACTCAAGCTTTGAAAAAACCGTGGCCCCATATAATTCATCAAATAGTTTCTCAATGATTAGAATAAGAAACTGATCCAATATGGTTGTATGATTTAATGCATAGTAATCAAAACAAAATATCCACTCATCATTCTCCTTTTTACTAATAAAATAAGACTTTAGAATGAGTTGTTGGAATATTCAATGATTCCACCCTGTAATATGTCTCTCATCAAGTGTTCAATTTCTATTTTTTGAAAATAAGGATAATGAAATGGTGGGATGCTGATTACATGTTTCTTATCCTTCAAGATGATGGAATGATCAATCTCTTACTTTGAGGGTAAAAATAAATCTATTAGAAAAGGTGTAGAATTCGTGTCATTAGGGTTGTTTGGTGTCTCATCCAATTTGTATAATTTAAGATATAATATCTTTAGACTATAGAATTTCAAAATGATTCTTAGATTAATCTTGATCTTTCTCACAAGAGGTTTAACATATAAAGTGATGTCACACGTACTAGTAGAGAGTGATTGACTATTTGACAAAGTTGATATTGATTTTCATTTACTTCTATAACTTCTATAACAAAGTAGATAATTACATCGACAGAAGCTAGTGATAAAAGTAAGAAGTCTTCACAAACATATATGATTAGAAACTTTAGTTTCACATTGTGACAAACATCCTAATTGTCAACCTTCTCCTTAGTCCTTGTTGTTACTTTGGAATTTTGAGTTCTAGTAATCAAAAGATGGAGGTTAATTACATAATCTTTTGAAATAAAATTCTATGTCGCTCCAACATTTAATAATACCATGACCTGTGTCTTTGAATATGACAAAATGTTCTGAAAGTTCCTTAGTCAATGAATTCAATTAAACTTCTAGGGTGGTGAGGTATTCTCTTTATTTTATTTTCTCCTCACTTCCTTTCATCCTAAACAGATCGTCATCTTCAATTAATAACATTTGAATTTTTTTTAGCATTTGTGTCATGTACCATACCTTTTATTATAGGAATAATAGAAACTTTGTGCTCTTCTATTATGAATCTCTATGGATGACAAGTTGAGACATCTCCTCTTCTATGAGTGGCTCTATACTACTGACTCCCTTGCCTTTCCATTTGAGTGTAATCTTTCATGCAATTGGCGTACTCACCACTCATGATTTAGTGAGAGTGTTAGATTTTTTATGATACCTAGGTATTGCAAACTAGGAGTTGATATTCTAAAAATGTGAATCATAATTTTTAATTCTTTCATTCTTCATTTCAGTATCTTTTATTGTGCACATAATTGTAGTAAGACCTCTAAGATTAAAAAGGAGAATTTCTACTTAAATGTGATGTAGCCCAAGACACAAGTTAAAGTGTCAACTTTGAATTTGGGCCAACTTATTCTAAATTTAGGTCATAAAGTGAAAAGTGCAAGAAAAGATATGTCACCAATGGATTGCAAGTTCAAATTTGGGCCCACTTTATATCCTTTCACTTTTAGAAGGTACTTTATGTCTCATTCCTTCTAGAAGAGACTTTTGGAGTTCAATCTGTACCTAAGATATGTTCAAGATCTCTAACTGTTAGATTTTGTATCAAAGTTTTTACTAAGTATCTCTAACTATTATAGTAAGTTTTATGTCATGTTAAAGTATTTTTTAAGGATTTGTCTAAGATCTCAGTCTATTAGAGTTTATTTTAAGTCATTTTAGAGTTAGTCAGACTTTGTCCCCAAGATTTGTCAAGATCCTTCTTTTGGAGAGCACCCAACCTCCTTTCTAGGCCTATAAAGGCTTCCATTGTAACTTGAGGTACTCAATTTTTAGTTGAATCGGTTTTCTCTATTATGAGAACCTTTCCCTCTTAGTTGTGGATTCAAGCACCCCTTTGTGGATTCAAGGATTGAAGACTCTAAATATGTGGATTCAAAAGTAGGTTTCTTCTCCAAGATTGGAGCTTTGTGGATTCAAACCCATATCTTGTTTATCTTCCACGTTACTGCTACATCAATTTGTATTAGAACAAGTCAACATTTCAATCTAGGTTCAAAATGTCACTAGTAAATCTGCTCATATTAGTGATGATGATTCATCTAAAGTTTTTTCTAGCTCAAAATCAGATTTTATTACATTTCAAGATTGAATAGATAAAAAATTTGATGATATTAGTGATACCTTGAAACAACTTTTTGTAAGAATGAGTGTATTAGAGAGTCATTCATGTCCTCTTAGAGATCATGGAATCAAATGTCTTTAAAAAGTCACTCATGTTGAATCTTCATCAGATACTCACTGGTCATTTGGTTTTACAAGTTCTAGGTCAAAATTTGAAGAAGATAATTTTCGAGATTTTTTATGAAGATTGACTTACCATGTTTTAATGACCATTTGAAGATTGAAGAGTTCTTAGATTAGTTAGTTGAAGTAAAATAATTTTTTGAGCATATGAAAATTTCTGATGAAAAACAAGTATAGTTATTGACTTATAAAATGAAGGGTGGAGCTTCTACATAGTGGGAACCAATTATAGACCATGATAAGTCTTCATTATCATGAGTTAATAATTATTAAATAATATAGTTTTAACTTTAACTCATGATAAATAGACTTATATTTGTGTTAAAGTGTGAAAAGTAATTTTCAGTTGATTAATGTGAAATTTTGGGTAATTATGTGATTTTATATGATTTTTACAGTCTTGCTTTTGAGATAAATAAAGAACAAGAAATAAAAATAAAAATATTGCAAAATGGGGGCCGGCTAGCCGGGCCTGCAAGCGGGTCGGAAGCACAGTTGGGAAATAGCTATGAGCAGGGGCTCGAGCGGCTTGGCTTGGATCGATAGGGGTACGTGTGCGCCACTCCCCTTCCACATCATCAGTGGCCAGCCAACTGTGGGGCAAGGAGTGGTTGTACATGCGAGAGAAGGGACTTACTTAGAAAGCTAACATTACTATATATTCGCTCGAAAAATCAATGCACAACCAATGTGGGACTAAACCCACATCACACCTTCCTCAGAAGAGGTGGGTGACCGACGTAGGTTTGAATCCTCCTAGAGTCAAAATTCATATATTTTTATCTGATTATCCCGACTTTCCTACAAATCACCGGTGAAGGATTAAGTAACTAGAATCGCTAGATCATCAGCAAAAACCTCATCAACGTGATTTGCGAAGTATTGCTACTAAAATTGTTGAACAATTTGCAATAAAAGGATCGCGAATCTATTGAGTAAATTATCTCCGATTGATTGACGAACGAGCCGTCCTCGAGAAAAGGACGATCTGCCAGGAGAAGAGTCGTCACCTCTTGAGAGCATACTAGATGCGATGAAGAGCCTCCTCTTGCTGCGCGGACCTAAGGATGAAGCTCCCTGACACGTGCCCCACCTCCATCCAGCTCCTCTCTATCAGGTGACAACTGTCGGAGAGCCGCAAAGTCACCGTTTTTTGCTCTGCTAGGTGACAGCCGCCAGAGACAATTCGACGACCCATTTCATTAATCTCTAGACTTCGCAAAGAAATCTAGAGATTGCCCACATCGTCTTTGTCCAAGGAGAGCCTTCAAGGCTATGGACACTACACGACAATCCTCCCGAATGCTCAGGATTTCGATGCATCGTCGTCGCGACGTTGGAACTCTATTTTCCTGCTTTCAATTTACTTTACTCTTTATTTAGTGATAATTTTTGTGATTTTAACTTACCAAAATATACTTTGTTCTATTACGATTTATCTGACTTTTACAGATCTTAATTTGATTAATTAAATCATCTGTAATCGCTTCTGTAAGAATTGTCGAGCGGAACTCTATTTCTACCCAATTTGCATTCACCAGACGTTGTCGTTATCCCGACATCCGCACCCTTACTTCCCTTTTTCGTGATTTTTAAATATATTTCCTTTTCATTTCCTAGTATACAATTCATAAAAAATTGTATTCACTGAGACAAATTCTGAATAATTACTAGATATTATACTACATCCCTGTGATCGACTTGGAAAATTACTGCTATTTTTGAAAATTTTATTGAATTATAATTGATATATTTATTCATAAATACTTCTAAATATCTAAAAATTCATATTTTCTAGTTTTATAAATTTAGATTTATGTGATTTAATATACAACGACTAATCCACATCAAATTTTGGCGCCGTTGTCAAAGATGTATTGCATGATATTTAGTATTTTTTTGTTTTTCTCTTAGAGTACACAAAAAAAAATTAACTCTTATTTTATTTTCTTTTTGCCGATTTTTTTTTTATAAAAAGGGAATGAAATGAAGCAAGGTAAGGACTCTCCTTGGAAGGCTCTTTGGAAAAAGGGTAACAATTACTAAACTTTTCCTTCAAATTTATTGATTTTTTTTATGCATGGTAAAAGATCCTTGCATCTAAGGCTAGAAAGTTCTTTCATTATTTCATTCAAAACTAAAAATTTGAAAGAAAGATAAATTTTGATGCATCTTTAAAGAAGTATAGGTCAAATTGAGATAAATCTTATGGCCATGAAAAATTATTATATCTTGTATTCATTTCAAAGAGCATCTAATATTAGAGTCTCATTAGTACCCACTGTTAAATTCGAAATAAATTTTAGAATTTTTCAAATGCTCCCTAATTTTCATGGATTGCCTTTAGAGGAACCTCATCAGCACTTAGAAAAATTTCATATGGTCTGTGATTTAGTTAATCTCCCTCAAGTTACACTGGAAATTACTAAGATAAAATTATTTTCTCATACACTTAGGACAAAGCTAGCCATTGGCTATCCACATTAGATAGAGAATTAACTAGCTGGAAAGATATAGAATAGGCCTTTCTTCGAAAATTTTATCTCTTAGGAAAAACTCAAAATATGAGAAAATATATGTAGAGTTTTTCTCAAAGACTAGGAGAAACTTTGCATGAGACATAGAAAAAATTCAAAGATTTACTTAAGAAGTATCTTCATCATGCTATACCTAAGTGGCAACTCAATATAATTTTTTATGATGGATTATTAAAGTAATATAGAAATATGATTGATTCTATATGTGGATGAGCTTTTATGGAGAAAACTCCTGATGAGATTTACAATCTTTATGAAAATTTAAGTAAAAATTCTAGAGATCAAGCCTCTTTTGAATTATATGACAAAGATAAGAAGAGAGGAATTTATGAATTACATCATGATGATGATTCTAAACTTAGAAATGAGGTTAATCAGATTAATCAAAGATTACAAAAAATTGATTTACTTATTGACAATATTAGAAAGCCTTTTAACCCTCAACTTAATTTGAATAGTACATGTCTTATTTATGGTGAAAATAATTATTCTGAATTTCAATATTATAATTTAGATCAATCATTTCACCCTATGTAAGAACAAGTGTAAGTAGCTCACAATTTTAATAAAAACAAAGAATATTTTTCAAATTCTTATAATCTTAATTAGAGAAATATTTTTTCATAGAGAGACCCAAATAATATTCAAAATCCAGAAACACTTAGACCCAATTCAAACTCTGAATTTCGTCCAAAACAAAAAAATAGATTTCAGAAAAATCAGCCCTCTCAAACCCAACCTGATATTATAGAAATGATGCAGCAAATGAGCCAAATGATGCAACAAACTATGAATCAAATGATGCAGCACCAGAAACAAATTATAGAGGCCCTTGGGAATAAGAGAGAAGAGGGACAGCTACCTAGTCAGCCCGTAGAAAATCCAAGAAATCACCCAACAATAGGATTTCAGTAAGGGGAGTCTAGTAGCATAAATCTAAGAAAAAACTCACGAAATAAAAATGTTAGGATAGTGAATGCATTAAAGAGTAGTAAGACCTTACCTGATCCTTATCCTCAAATATTAGAAGAAAAAGAAAACGTAGATAACCCAAAACAAAATCAAATAGGAGTAGAAGAGGATTTTATAGATTCTACTAAGGAAATTTCGAAAGAGAAGACAACCATTCCATTTTCTAAAGCTCTAGAGCCTAGACAAAGAAAGAAAAAGGAACACAATAAAGAAATAAAGAAAATTTTACAAGATGTGCAAATTAGTCTTCCTTTACTCACTGTCATTGAACATATTCTTGAATATGCTAGAGTTTTAAAAGAAATTTGTACATCAAAAAAGGCACATAGAGTAGAAAAATTATCTATGCATGCTAGTACATTATTATTAAATCAATTACCATATGAATTGAGAGATATATGTGCCCCTTTAATTTTGTGTGATATTGATGGATCCATTTTTTAGAATACATTACTTGACACCAATGCTAGTATTAATTTATTACTTGCAAGTATTTGTGATAAATTTAATATTTTTGATCTTAAACCTTTTACTATTACCTTACAATTTGCTGATAGATCCATAAAACATCCTAAAGGTATTTTAAAAAATGTGATAGTAACAGTTATAGGGTGTAAATTTCTAATTAATTTTGTAGTGCTGGAAATAGATTTTAATGGACAATTTTATGATACACCAATCATCCTAGGGAGGCCATTTTTACATACAGCAAAGATAAATATTTATTTTTCCACAAGTATTATGAAAATTTCATGTGGAGATCAATCAGTAGAAATTAAAATTTTTGAGGTACCAAATGATCTTAAGAAATCACAAGTATATGATTGTCATACCATAGATCTTCTAGATGATTTTGATGATCCAGATATTATTGATGACTATGTACTAGAAGAATTAGAGGAAATAGAGAATAGAAATTTGAGAGAAAAGAAAGAGGAAAATCATTAGATGTACTTCAAAAAAATAAGAAAGCTATAGGCTAGAAAATGGACGATCTAAGGGACATTGATATAAGTATATGCATGCATAATATATATCTAGAGGAGGGGGCTAGAACTAGTAGAGAACCACAACGAAGATTAAATTTTAACATGATGGAAATTGTAAAAAAAGAAATTTGAAAGTGGTTGGCTGCTGATATTATTTATCTTATTTTAGATAGCAAATAGGTTAGTCCTACACAAGTAGTGCTAAAAAAATCAGAGATTACGATTATAAAAAACAAAAATAGGGATGAAATACAAACAATATTAACTACCGGCTAAAGGGTTTGCATTGATTATAGAAAATTAAATTCAGTTACTAGAAAAGATTATTTTCTCTTACCATTTACTGATCAAATTCTAGAAAAATTAGCTAGAAAAAACCTTTTTTTTTTCTTGATGGATATTTTGGTTATAATTAAATTTATATAAACCCTTTAGATCAAGAAAAAATAACTTTCACTTGTCTATTTGGTACTTTTGCTTTTAAACACATACCTTTTGGTCTGTGTAATGCTCCAACCACATTTCAAAGATGTATACTATCTATTTTTTCTAATATGATTGAAAAATATATGGAAATTTTTATGGACAATTTTTCTATTTTTGGTGAATCATTTGATGAATGTTTAAATCATTTACAGCATGTACTTGAGAAATGTATAGAGAAAAAATTAGTTTTGAGTTAGGAGAAATCACATTTTATGGTTAAAGAGAGAGTTGTGTTGGGTCATATTGTGAGTGAAAGAGGTTTAGAGGTGGATAAAGCAAAAATTGATATTATATCTAAAATAAAACCTCCAAATTCAGTAAAACAAATTAGATCTTTCTTGGGTCATGCAGGTTATTACATAAAATTTATTTAAGATTTTTCAAAATTTTCTAAACCTCTCACCATGCTATTATCTAAAGATGTGCCTTTTAATTTTGATGAGAAATGTTTTGTGTCTTTTTCCGAAATAAAAAGATTACTTACTGAGGCACCCATTTTACAAGCTCTTGATTAATACTTTCCCTTTGAAATAATGTGTGATGCATCGAATTATGTAATGGGGGCTATTCTAGGACAAACAAAAGAGTCAAAACCCATAGTAATTTCATATATCCGATGCTTAATTAAATTATACCACGACTGAAAAAAAGTTGTTAGTTATAGTATTTTTGTTAAAAAAATTTAGATCATATATTTTGAGAGCTAAAATTATTATTTATACTGATCATGTAGCATTAAAATATTTGTTAAATAAGAAAGATGTAACGCCGCGTATATTAAGATGAATTTTATTGTTGCAGGAATTTGACTTAGAAATAAAAGATAAAAAAGGTTTCGAAAATATTGTTATTGACCATCTTTCTAGATTAAGTGATATAGAAATAAATGCAACACCTTTACAAGATGTATTTCCAAATGAACAATTGATGGCAGCTCAACATCAACCATCACCATGGTATGCACATATTGTTAATTTTCTAGTTTTTGGAAAAACTCTAGAACAATGAGATAAGAATAGAAAACATTATTTATTTTCTAAGATTAGAAATTATTTTTGGCATGATCCTGATTTATATTACTTGGGCAATGATCAAATTTTAAGGAGATGTGTTCCTGAAGAAGAATATCATAGTATTATTAACATGTGTCATTCATCTAATTGTGGAGGTCATTTCTTTGAACGAAAAATAACTACAAAAATTTTTCAGTGTGGATTTTATTGACCTACAATCATTAGATATTCTATAAAATTTAGTAGAACATGTATTTCATACTAATCTATAGGTAACATGAGTAAAAAAGATGAAATACCCATGAGTAACATGTTAGTAGTCGAAATTTTTGATGTATGGGGAATAGATTTCATGGGTCACTTCCCATCAATTGAAAAATATCAATATATTTTGTTTGCTATTGATTATGTGTTGAAGTCGGTGGAAGTTATTACTACTAGAACTAATGATCATAAAATCGTGATGAAATTTATGCAGGAAAATATTTTTTCGAGATTTGGATGTCCTAGAGTGATTATTAGTGATGGAGGAACACATTTTACAAATAAATATTTTAGGGAACTATTGAAAAAGAATGGAGTACACCATAAAGTAGCCACTCCATATCATCTCTAAATAAATGGGCAAGCTGAAGTAACAAATAGGGAAATTCAAAGAATTTTGAGAAAAATAGTTGGACCAGATAAGAAAGATTGACCCACGAAATTACAAGATGTATTATGGGCTTATATAACAGCTTATAAAAATCTCATAGGTATGTCCCCATTTCATCTCATTTTTGGAAAGCCATGTCATCTTCCTATGGATATAGAGCATAAAGCATTATGGGCTATAAAAAGTTTATGTATGGATGAAAAATCAGCTGGTGGGCATATAATTTTTCAACTACATAAACTAGAGGAGTTGAGGAATGAAGCTTATGAAAATCGTAGAATATATAAAGAAAAAATTAAAACTTTTCATGATAAATACATTAGTAGAAAAAAAATTGATGTTGGACAAAAAGTGTGGTTATATGATTCTAGGTTGAAATTATTCCTAGAAAAATTAAAATCAAAATAAAAAGGGCCTTATGTGGTGGAAGAGACATATGATCATGGGGTTATAATGATTAAAGATCCTAAAAGTGATCATAACTTTAAGGTAAATGGACAACAGCTTAAACATTACATAGAACATGAACGCCTTGCAGAAAAAGAAATTTTATTATTAAAAGAAATTCAAGAGTAAGATCAAGGAGTCTAGTTGGAGACATTAAATTCAGCACTACATGAGAGGCAACCCATGGTTTTTATTTCATTCTGTTTGATTTTTATTTTATTTTTTTTAGCTCTATTTTTCTTAGAATTTCACAATACTTATTTTTGTATTTGTTTCTTCAAAAAAGTGTAGTAGGAGGAGTGTAAGATGCTCTTTAAAAACAAGGTTGAGGTGATGCCTTTTTGAGCTTCATCATTTATGAAAATATTTTTAATGCTTAACTTTATAGATATGTATGCTTCACTTGAAAATTATATTTTCTACATATTCTATTTTGACTTTTCTGTGTCATTGAGGACAATGTCATTTTTAAGTTGGGGGGTGAAGTATTCATTATTAATTTATGCTGTAGGACGATTAAGAACATGTGTTTGTATTTAATTCAACTTAGAACAACAACTAAAAAAATAAAAATAAAATAAAATTCGGAAAAACTACAACATTTATTTTTCTGGTTTTCTGTTAAGAACAACAGACTGTCAAAAACAGCAGACAAAAAACAGCCTAAAATTGGAAATTCTAGAGACCCTTTTCTCACATTTCAATCCCCTAGACATATATTACTAAAATTCAAAATTACAACTATAAAGATGATAGTTTTGATTTATTTTTGACAAATTTATTATGCTAAAAATAGAACTGAAAATAGAAAACAGAACTATCAGAACTATCTAATTTATAAATTTCTTACATCATATTACATACATGAAAAATTAAATCAATTAGATTGATTGATATCAAATAGATACTAAGAAGATTATTATTAAGTCAAAAGAATGATTTAGTAGCATGAAATATTGGAATACTCTTTGGATACATGATAGATAACATGGATTTAATTTTACTAATTTTCACTTCATGATCTTGATGAATAGTATTTACTTGATGTAAAAATTTGATTGATCATTTGAGTTTAATGGAGATTTTTGCACCCTGATCTATAGGACTTGTGAGGAAAAATCACTTATTTCGAAAAAAAAAAAGAGGGAGTTATGTGAAAAATCTAGAAATTAAGAGTACACATAGAGGGTGTGAGACATAATTTTTATTGTCAAAATTTGTCTACAGAAAAAACTACTTATCTACTATATATATATATAAAAGGAAGAAGTATAATGTAAACTTCAAAAATCAAGCCATAAAAAAAGAAAATTGTAGGATCAATATTATTCTTGGATGAGTATTGATAATTGAAACATCTTGTAAATTACATCTATGAGTGAAGAAGTGATAAAGATGTGAATAAAAGAAGTGAAGTCTAAATTGTTATTCCAATGAGTGTTTAAACATTTAAGTGCTTGACATCATTCTTAAATACTTGATATAAGAATTCAAAGTATTTAAAGGTGCATCATTTCTAATTGTATTTTTTTTCTGTATTAAAATATGATATTTGAGATTTGTAAAATTTTATTTTCATAATTCTATTGCTAAGGGACTAACAATGATTTAAGTTGGGGGTGTGATAAGTCTTTATTATCATGAGTTAATAATTATTAAATAATATAGTTTTAGCTTTAACTTATGATAAATAGACATATTTATTTTAAAGTGTGAAAAGTAGTTTTTAGTTGATTAATGTGAATTTTTGGGTAATTATGTAATTTTATACAATTTTTATAGTCTTACTTTTGAGATAAATGAAGAACAAAAAATAAAAATAAAAATATTGCAAAATGGGGGCTGGCCAGTCGGGCCTGTAAGTGGGTCGAAAGCATAGTCGAGGAATAGCCACGAGCAGGGGCTCGAGCAACTTGGCTTGGATTGATAGGGGCACGTGTGTGCCACTCCCCTTCCACGTCACCGGTGGCCAGCAGGTGTGGGGCAAGGAGTGGTCGTATACGCGAAAGAAGTGACTTGCCTAGAAAGCTAACATTACTATATATTTGTCTGAAAAATCGGTGCACAACTGATGTGGGACTAAACCCGCGTCACACCTTTTTCAGAAGAGGTAGGCGACCGGTGCGGGTTCAAATCTTCTAAGAGTCAAAATTCATATATTTTTATCTAATTATCACGACTTTCCTATAGATTGCCGGTGAAGGATTAAGCAATTAGAATCACTAGATCATTGACGAAAATCTCGTCAATGCAATTCGTAGAGCATTGCTACTAAAATTGATGAATGATTTGCGATAAAAAGATCGTGAATCCATCAAGTAAATCATCTCCGATTGATCGATGAACAAGCTGTCATCAAGAAGAGGACGATCCTTTAGGAGACGAGTCACCACCTCTTGAAAGCATACCAGATGCGATGAAAAGCCTCCTCTTGCTGTGTGGACCTAAGGATGAAGCTCCCTAACATGTGCCCCACCTCCATCCAGCTCCTCTCTGTCGAGTGATAGTCGTCGGAGAGCCGCAAAGTCGTCGTTTTTTCGCTCCGCCGAGTGACAGCCACCAGAGATGATTCGACAACCCATTTCATCAATCTCTAGACTTCGTAAGGAGATCTAGAGATTGTCCATGTCGTCTTTGTCTAAAGAGAGCCTTCGAGGCTGTGGACACTGCACAACAATTTTCCTAAACACTCAGGATTCTGGTGCATTACCGTCGTGACACCAGAACTCTATTTTCCTGCTTTCAATTTACTTTACACTTCATTTAGTAATAATTTTTGTAATTTTAATTTACCAAAATATACTTTGTTCTATTATGATTAATTCAGCTTTTACACATCTTAATTTGATTAATTAAATCATCTATAATCACTTACGTAAGAATCGTTGGGCGGAACTTTGTTTTCGCCCGATTCGTGTTCGCCAGGTGCTGACATCATCTTGATGTCTGCACCCTTATTTCCCTTTTTCGTGAATTTTAAATATATTTCCTTTTCATTTCCTAATATACAATTTATAAAAAATCATATTTATTAAGACAAATTTTGAATAATTACTAGATATTATATTACATCCTTGTGATCGACTTGGAAAATTACTACTATTTTTGGAAATTTTATTGAATTATAATTAATATATTTATTTAGAAATACTTCTAAATATCTAAAAATTCATATTTTCTAGTTTTATAAATTTTAGATTTGCGTGATTTAATATACAACGACTAAGTCACGTCAGACCACACATACAAGGTCAAGCAAAAAACTTGTACGATTATGGAAGAAAATGAAAAAACTCTTTAAATTTTATTTTCTTCCCCCATATTATGAACAAATTTTATATCAACAGTATCAAAAATGCAAACAAAGAAATAGATCAGTTTTGATTATGTTAAAGAATTTTATCATTTATCTTCTCAAATTGACTTGAAAGAATTTATGTCATATATGATTTCAAGATTTAAAGGTGGTCTCATATGAGAAATTGAAGACAAAGTAGTTTTACAATCATTTTTCAAGCTTAATGATATTGCAATGACTATAGAGCGTGCTGAAACCTTTCTAGAGAAAGGAAAAATAAAAATTTGAAATTTTAGAAGTCAGAATTCAACTCTTCAATTAGATAGAGGAAGATTTATTGTTATTTCTTCTAGACCATATAATAGACGATTGAATCAAAGTTCAATCAGATCAAGTAGAGCAAATCTTTTTGCTCAAGTCTCGACTAACAAAAATCTTTATACTCCTAATGTCATTCTTAAATGCTACATGTGTGGAAAAAGTGAACATAAATCAAATATATATACTAAATGTGGCACAGTAAACTTGCATACTCTATCAAAGACGAATAAAAATATGAACTAAAAATTAAAGGTGAGGTAGAAGAAAATTTTATTGAATTTGATATTAAAGATACACTATCACATTCACTTGTAGTCAAAAGATTAATGTATTCACCAAAAAGAGAAGAAGACCCATAGTGCTATAACATTTTCAAAACAAGATGCACTGTGAATTCTAAGATATGTGATATAATCATTGATAGTGACAACAATGAGAATATCGTATCTTTTGTGATGCTTAAAAAATTAGGTTTGTAGACAAACCCACACCCTCATCCATATCGAATTGGTTGAATCAAGAAAGAAATAGAAACTAAAGTTTCAGATACGTGTTTAATCAAATTTTCAATTGATAAGATTTATTATGATGACGTGCAATGTAATGTTGTTGAGATGGATGCTTGTCATATGATATTAGGTAGACCATGATAGTTTGATATTAATGCTACACACCATGACAAGGAAAATACTTACATTTTTTATAGAAATGATAAAAAAATGTTTTAGCTCTAATGCAAGATAGTAATTTTAGCGAAGGAGAGAAGGAGAAAAGAAAAATAACACTCATCAATTAGACAAAGTTTCTTAAAGAGTTTGATATTAATACTAAATTATCTATTATTATTCAAAAACTTGATTCAAATATCAAAATAGCTTATGTGATATCAAAAATTGTTGAAAGTCTCTTATCTGATTTGTCTGTACTTAAAGAACTATCTACTCATCTTCCAACAATGTGAGATGTACAACATCATATTGACTTTAAACTATAAGTTTGCCTAACCTTTTGTATGAAGGATGACTCTACAAGAAAATCAAATTCTTCAAGAACAAGTTGAAGGGTTATTGAATAAAAGATTGATAAGAGAAAGTATGAGCTCATGTTCTATGTCTACTCTACTTGTTCCAAAGAAAGATAGAAGTTGGTAGATGTGTGTTGACATTAGAGCTATCAACGAGATAATAGTTAAGTATATATTCTTAATTCCACACCTAAATGACATGTTAAATATGCTTTGTGACTCTAAAATTTTCCCAAAAGTTGATTTAAAGAGAAAATATCATCAAATCTGAATTCGATCAAGAGATGAATGGAAGACTACATTTAAAACTAAGACATGTCTTTATGAATGATTAATTATGCCTTTTAACTTATCCAACACCCCTAGTACCTTTATGAGAGTGATGAATCAAGTTTTGAAACCTTTTATTCGTAAATTTGTTGTTGTTTATTTTGATGACATTCTTATTTATAGTACTATAGAAGATGAACACTTAAAACATCTTAGATCAATGTTCAAAATATTACAACAGAATAAATTATACAATAACTTGAAGAAATGTGACTTCATGACTACTAATTTATTATTCTTGAGATATGTTATAAGCGTAGATGGTATAAAAGTAAATGAAGAAAAGGTTAGAGCCATCGAAGATTAGTCAACACTAACCACAATTCATCAAGTTTCGAGTTTTTATGGGTTGGCATCACTTTATGTAAAATTCATTCGAAATTTTAGCTCAACAATGTCTCATGTTACTGTGTCTATGAAAAATGATCATTTTAAATAGACTAATGAAGTTATTAAAAGTTTTATCATGATAAAAGAGAAATTATGTTCTACTTCTATTTTAGTCCTACCAAATTTTGATAAACTATTTGAAGTAGAATCTAATGCATCAATAGTTGGCATTAGAGATGTACTATCACAAAAAGGTTGGCCAATAATATTTTTTAGTAAAAAACTTTGAGGCAAGAAAAAAATAGACAACATATAAACTAAAATTTTATGTCGTGGTTCATGTTTTATAAATATGAGAACATTATTTTGATTTAATGAGAGTTTATTTTATATATTGATCATCAAGATCTTAAATCAGTAAATAGTCAAACTTTTATCAATAGAATTCATGTTAGATGGATCTCTTTCATTCAACATCTTACTTTTGTTATTTAACACAAGTCAAGAAAACTAAATTGAGTTGCAAATACTCTTAATAGAAAAATAATACGTTTGGTGAACATGTGCGCTAAAATCACAAGATTTAATTATCTCAAGGAATTATACATAGATGATAATGATTTTTCTCAACAATATGACTTATATGTCAAGAATAACAACTAAGGATTTTCACCTACAAGATGGTTTTTTATTTCAAGGAACACAGTTATGTATTCCTTACAACTTTTTAAGAGAGAAACTATTATGAGAATTACACTCTTCTGGTTTAGTGGGACACCTTGGTCAAGATAAGACCTTATAGCCAATTGAAGAGTGATATTATTAGCCTAAACTAAAGAAAAATATAAAAAAAATTATTCGTAAATGTTAGGTTTGTCAAACCTACAAGGGACAAAGTCAAAATACTAGACTATATACTCTATTACCTATTCCACAATGTCTATGGGTTGATATTTCAATGGATTTTATATTAGGTATGCCGCAAACACAGAGAGGAGTTGACTCAGTTTTTGTGGTCATTGATACATTTTTAAAAATGACACACTTTATCGCATGTAAGAAGACAAATGATGCAAGTCAAGTAGCCAACCACTTTTTTAAAGAAATTATTCATCTATATAGAATTCCTGAGTCAATTAACTCTGACAAAGATTCTAAGTTTATATCTCACTTCTAGTGAACTCTTTGGAAGAGGTTTGACACATTTTTAAAATTCAATAGTACTAGTCACCTATAAATTGATGACCAAACTAAAGTTGTGAATAGAACTCTAGGTAATTTGATTCATTGTATTTCAAGAGAAAAGTCAAAATAATAGGATTATGCTTTGGCACAAGTAGAGTTTGCATATAACTCGATGATTAATCATTCGACTAAACAATCTCTATTTTAAGTGGTATATTATTTTCCTCTAATAATTTTATTAGATTTATTACAAATACCAAGATTAGTTGGAACTAATATTACTACAAATAATTATATCAAAACATTTCATGAAGATGTGATACATAATCTCACAACCAATTATGAGAAATATAAAGCGACAACATATAAGAAAAGAAGAAAGAAGATATTTGAAATTGGAGATAGAGTGATGAGGTACCTTCGTAAAGAAGGATTCCTAGTAGGTAGCTATAATAAGTTGAAGTCAAAGAAATATGGATGATATCAAGTTCTATAGAAAATTAATAACAATACATACCTCATTGAACTCCCACCAAATATGACTATTTCACCCACATCAATGTTAGTGATATATATGAGTACTATGATGATTCAAATTAAGACTAAAGACGAGTTTTCTTGAAAGATGAGAAATTATTGATGTAGCCTAAGACACAAGTTGAAGTGTCAACTTTGAATTTGGGCCTACTTATTCTAAATTTAGGTCATAAAGTGAAAAGTGCAAGAAAAGCAGCCCACATATGTCACCAGTAGATTAGAGGTCCGAATTTGGGCCCACTTTATATCATTTCACTTCTAGAAAGTACTTTATGTTTCATTCCTTCTAAAGAGACTTTTAAAGTTCAATATATACCTAAGATCTGTTCAAGATCTCTGCCTATCAGATTTTGTACCTAAGATCTATTCAAGATCTTTGACTATTAGATTTTGTACCTAAGATCTTATTTAGGATATGTAACTATCATAGTCTATTTTAGGTCATGTTAGAGTATTTTTAAATAATCTATCTAAGATTTCAATCTGTCAGAGTCTATTTTAGGTCATTTCAGAGTTAGTCAAACTTTGTCCCCATGATTTGTTAGGATTCTCCTTTTGAAGAATGCCCAACCTCCTTTCTAAGCCTATATTAAGGCCCCCATTGTAATTTGAGGTACTCACTTTTTTAGTTGAATCAATTTTTTCTACTATGAGAACCTTTCCCTCTTACTTGTAGATTTAGGCATCCCTTGTGGATTCAAAGGTTGAAGACTCCGAATATGTGGATTTAGAGGCAGGTTTCTTTCCTAAGATTGAAGTTTTCTAAATTCAAGCCCATATCTTGTTTATCTTCCGCATTACTATTGCATCAAAATGTCTTCTCAAAGTCTCTTGAGATATGATATTTCTAATATATTTTCTGCAACCTCATTAGCTATTAATGTCATCGTCTCAAATTCTTCACAATATTCAACTAATGTTTCCTTCTATTTGATCTCTAAGAATTTCATACATGTTGAACCTACTTTCAGAGCACCAAATTGCTCTTGGACAACACTCTTCAAGTGCCACCAGTTACATAATGGATCTCTTCAATCTTCTCATTTAAACCACCTCAAGACATGTCCCTCCAAACTAAGATCAATCATCCACAATTTGTCATCTTGATATATCTCAACTTGATATATCCACCCTTAGATCATCCTCACTAAATGTTGGCATGTTTATTCTTCTCTCTTTGTACCTTGAGTCGAGATTTACAGGTTGTTGGAGTCCTATGGCATTTGGAGGATGTCTTGATTTGTCAAAATACTCATGTTCTACCTCTTCAATAGAAATCTGAACTTTACCACAGAGTTGAGATTCATCAAAATACTTCTAGTTCTCTAGAAATTGGTGTTGAGGGATTATAGAATTTTTCTTTATTTTCTCTAAAGATTGCTCAATGGAAATGAGTTGTTGTCTGATTTCCATCATCTCTTTGGTGTTATAGCTTGAATGGCAATAGATTGTTGAAAATCTTATTTGATCTCTTCAAATTTCCTTTCGAATGATTTAAATCATCCATCACCTATTTTTGGAGGCATCATAACTACTCTGATACTAAAATTGATCGAGCCCCACTCACACTAGGCTCAAGATCTTCATGGTTAGCACAAGTAGAGCAATAAATTTCTTCTTCCTTCTAGAAAATAGAGAAGATATAGAGAAGTTCTCTCAAATGAAAAACTACAAGAATCAAGAACATAAAGTTAAGACTAAGAGAGATACAAGAGAGGCCTAAAGGTTCTAAACATATACCTTTTCCCCCCTCCCCTCTGAGGTCGTGCCACTCTATTTATTGTATCGGCTTCTCCTTCAAAAATCTTCATTATCCATGATGAAGGCAATTATGGCCGTTATATGTATTTTTGGCCCCCCTAAGAAGGCCCAAGAGTGTAAAGCCTACTTGATCCAGGCCCTTGTGAGCTGGGCCTTACTTATTAAGAGCCTATTGAATCATGTCCTTTGAGCCCATTAGGGCTTGGGCCTATTTTCTGGATGTTTTAACAATCTTCTACTTTGTCTTTTTCTCGACGAATCAATTGTCCTCTTGTGGATCTCTTCCTTGTCCGTGAATTCCGTTTTGGTTATATTAAGCTTTTGATTGGATAGATGGATCTGGACTTCTAAGTTTTGAACGTCTCCATTCAGCTTCATCACCTCCTTGTCCAATTCCGCTTTCTCTGATTCAGAGAATTTAAGCTTCTCAACCACTTCTTTCAAGTTATCCTCCAGTCTATTCAACTGTAGTTTCTGTTACATTCCCTGCATCGACAGAATTATCTCCTCCTTTTCTCCTGCTTGACAATCCTCCCCTGTGCAGCCTCAAGATCCTTGGAAGACTAGGAGTTGAACTCTCAAGAAGCTTATAGTTTGTAGACAACTCATCCAGATTATCCTAGAATACTTTTTACATTATTTGGAAAATTACTTGTTCCTGATAAAATATTATCACATGGTTTGAGTGGAATAGTGAAACAAATAAAAATGGGTCACCTAATAATCATGAAATCGTCATCAACATCTCAGTCCAAGCCCAAGCCCAAGTAGTTGCTGAATAATCATGGCCAACAAATAATGCGTCAAATAAATACCAAGATATGACAAAGCTAGTCTTCCAGGTCTTGATGTATCTACTTCGGAGGCCAAGATAGCTCATGGGATCTCACAGAAGACCTCCATAGCTGCACCAACCTCTCCCTACAGCTTTTTTTACAAGTAAACAGATCAAGAAATGTAACCAGCAGCTAAAAGATACGGCAGGACGGAGACAAAAGAATGGACAAACTTTCCTTACATCGACCTTCTTATGATCGCCATGTAGCATAGCTTTAACACGATGAATCTACACAATGTCCAATGACTGCAATAAATGGCTTGATGGTGGGCCTGACGGTGGGAAAGTGTCGACCTCGATGATGAGCCGACGGCACACGTGCTTGTAGTCGTTATAGCATCCCTGCGACGGCCGACTCAGTTGTAGGCCGCACTGAAGAAGCTCTCGCCGACGTTGTCGCAAAGGATGCAGAGGACCGACACATTGGAGGCGCCGACGAAGCGCGGATTCTTGAACTGGCCAGTGGATGCGCCTTGGTTGATGTAGTGCTCGAGGACCTCGTGGAAGGTGCCTTGCCGGACAATGTGGAGCTCCAGTGGGGCGATGCCCTTCGTCTTCCTCGAGGTCATGTAACCGGCGTCTACGAAGGAGCGGTCCATGCAGTCTGCACAGCTGCGGAGGACGCTCTCCCTGGCCTCGCCGCTGAGCGGTTCCGCATGTTAGTATTTAATGCAAAAAAGAGGATATTGTTTCATCCTTATTTAGCGGGCCAAAAAGGGTGCTGGCCCACATGAGATAGTTAAGTATTATAAATACTCTCTCTCTCTCTCTCTCTCTCTCTCTCTCTCTCTCTCTCTCTCTCTCTCTTCACGAAAAATTAGTTACGACGTTTCATATTTTCTATGGTTTCGGTGTGCGCGAAATCCATTTTCTTCTCTCTTCCTCCTTCGACCATTCTTTCTACAAAATCAACATATTCTCTCTAAGTTTCCGTCCCATTTTCCTTGGAGGCCTCCTCCACCGCCAGCTGCAGGTCCCTCTCTGTGTTCTTGTCTATGTTGACGTTCAGCACCAGGCCGCAGCGGCACACGAACTGTAGCTCCGGCCTGCTGTTGTGGAAACCCCCCACCCTCACCACATCACCCAACCTGTACCTGTACAGACCTGCACCACCACGCGAAACAACAGGAAGTAAGATTGGGACACTCCTCATTTATCTGCCGATAACAGTCGGTGCCCAAAACACTCACCGGCGAAGTTCGTGATTATGATTTCGTACTCCTTCCCGAGCTCGATCTCCTCGAGACCGATCGGCTCAGCTTCTACGGCCGGCTTGTCCCCACTATTCGTCGCCATGGGGATGAACTCGAAGTACCCGATGTCGGGGATCACAGCAAACCTCACCTCCTCAGGAGGCAGGTCAGGATGTATGTTGACCCCGATCATGCCCTCCGACGAGCCATAATCGCCACTCAAGAGCGGCAGATCCCCGGCATAATGTCTCAGCTTCTGCACATATGGCTCCATCGATCCGGTCATTATGCCACGGACGTATTTTGCGTTCGGCCAGAGCTCGGGGATCAACCCAAACCAGTTTCTCAGGCCCTGCATTTGTTGTAGATCTCGTCCGCCAGCTGAGGATTGGGGATCAGCAGCTAAGGAGACGGCGGCATTCATTGAAGGACCAGCAGGAATCAGCGGAACAGTAGGAGCAAGGCCGCGAGCGGTGGCCGCCAGAGGATTGAATTAAAGAGAGAGAGAGAGAGAGAGAGAGAGAGAGAGAGAGAGAGAGAGGCAGCAGTAGTTTCAGGGAGGGAGTGGAGCCCTCAGAAAACGCGGAAGACTAAAGCCGCCAGGCCACCCGCCATTCCGATGAAGCGTAAAAGATACGATATAGACGACCAGAGAAACCCAGGGAATCGAAAATGCCTCTCGCAGGGGAGTTCTAGACGTTTGCGAAGACCAGGCTCCCTAATTTCAACGAGGGAGAAAAAAAGAGGCCTCACAGGAAAGCCGGAAGATCAAGCTGCCAGGCTCAGCAGCCACTCCTTCGCTCCGAAAGCCTATAACAGAGAAAACCCAAGATCTCCGATGACGATACGGAGGAACAGATTCGAGACTGATGGCACCGCCCTCTCCGATGAAGCGGAAGAGATAAGATATATAGACGACCAGAGGAGCCCGATTGACACAGCCAGAGGAACCTGGGGAAGGGAAGACTATTCCGTCCCCAGGAGGCCCAGGATCCATGTGAGATGGTCGGGTCGTCCAGACGGGAGCAGGGCCACAAAGCACAGGGTGGAGCGGGGCTCAGCAATGGTCGGGGAACAGAAGAACAGGAGATGACGAAATTTGACTACGAAGATTACCCCCCCTCCAGCGAGAAGGGGGAAGAAGACTCCGTGAGGAGATTGTGGATTGGCCATCTCAACTCGGCTCTACTCGGGGTCCCAGCAATCGGTCTCTTCCATTATTCTTGTCTTCAAGTTCATTTTCCTACTGTAAGACCCCTTATTTACTCTATAGAGACCAGATTATTACAGATCATTTTGGTTATACATCTTCACGTTCCCTTTATATGTCGGTGAGCATCCATCAATTTAGGTCACTCCATAATGGGCGCCAAGCCAAACGATCCTAAACTAGAGAGCCTGGAGAAGGAGCTCAAGGAGGTTCAACACCTACTCACCAAAGACCAGTCAGAGAAGGCAGAAACCCGGCATCAATTGAAGAATGACCAAGCAGAGCTGCAGAAGTAACTAGGACCAATCACTTAGTCCTTGAAGATCTTCATGGGCGACTGAATCAACCCCAAGGATGATCGAGCAAGGAAAATTTTTACCCATAACCGTTGGAAGAATGGTCAATTTATATAAAATATCATAATTAGTCAAAATTTGATATTAAGTGATTCAATTTTTTTCTCAATTTAATATAAATATAAGTTTATTTATCATGAGTTAAGACTTAAAATATATTATTAATTAATTATTAACTAATGATAATGAAGACTTCTCACATCCCTTGACTTAAATCACTACTAATTCCTTAGTAATAAAATTACATAAATTATTTAGCATTTATAAATTTCAAACATCATATTTCAATATATTATAATACAATTCGAAATGATGCAGCTCGAGATACCCTAAGATTCTTATTATTGAGTAAGAAAAAAATATAAAATATTTTAATCTTTCAATACTTCTCAAAATAATAATCAAGATTTTACTTCTTCTAATAACATAATTATGACTTCTTCCCTCATAAAAATAAATTTCAAGATGATCAAATTATTAATCCTGATTCAAGAATAATATTGGTCTTCTATTCTGTTTTTCTAATACTTGATTTTTAAAGTCTATACTATTTTTCTCAATTTTCTTTTAATGAATAAATAGTTTTTTTTATAAACATTTTTTGACAATGAGAATGATGTCTCACACCCTTTATATGTACTCTTCATTTTTCAAGGCTATTTCTCCATCTCTTTATTTTTCTAGCAGCCATAATTTTCTTATAAATAAATTTTGACAATGAGAATGTCGTCTCATATCTTCCACATGTACTCTTCATTAATATACTTTCATGTTGTCATTATTTTTTCATTTCAGAACAAATAGTTTCTCCTTATAAGTCTTATAGATCAAGATGTAAACATCTCTATCAAACCCAAATAATCAATCAAATCTTCACATCAAGTGCTTGTTATCTATAGAGATCATAAAGTGAAAATTCTGTAAACTTAAATCTATATCATCTATCATGTATCTGAAGAATATTTAAAAATCTAATGTCACTAATCACTCTTCTAACTTATCAATAATTATCGTAATCTCTTTGTATATCAATTATTATAATTGATTTATGTTTTTGTGCATATAATATGATGTAAGAAATTTATAGATGAGATAATTGTGACAATTGTCTTTTCTTCTCAATTTGTTTCCAACAACAACGAATTTGTCAAAAATAAATCAAAATTATCTTCTTTATAGCTGTAATTTTCGAATTTAAGTCATATATATCCAGGGAATTGAATGTGAGGAAAAGGTTTCTAAATTTTCAAAATTTGGACCTTTTTTTGGCTATTTTTGATAGTAAACTGTTTTCTACAGTTTCTGACAGAAAATCATCAAACAAATGCTATAGTGTTTTCAAAAAATAATCTGATTTCTTTTATAGGTGAACATGAAAATAAATACAAACAAATTGCTTAATCATTCTACATAAAATACCGAGACTTAATAATTCACTCACCAACTTAAAAATAACATTTCCCTCAATAACAAAAAAATTGAAATAGAATATACAAAGCATAATTGTTCTTAAAAAAAATGCTATATATGCAAATTTAAGTACTAAAAATGATGTCATAAAAGATGAAGTTCATATAGACATCACCTCAACCTCGTTTTTAATTTTTCACTTCATCTTACACTCCTCCTCTTACACTTTTTTTTTGAAGAAATAAATATAGAAAATAAAAATTATTGCGAAAGTGGGGAGCAAGTTCAGAGTCTAGTTGGATCAAAAAACTAACTTTACTATACAAGACTGTGTGATAATTAGGAGGTTGAGTCAAATAAACTATGGGGTCTGACTTGTTCCTCCAATCCAAAACTATTCCGAAGCATCTTTTTCTATGAGGGTCAGCTTCTCTCTCGAGTGGGGTACAGAAAATATTCAAGCTCTAGACTGGATGGCTGGGGAAAATAATCACAGGCTTAAGATGACGAATAAATTGACGACGGACTCGGTAATGTAGGAGTTTTTTATGATAAGCAGGACTAATTTTGTTGCAGCTTTGGGCATTTGCTGGTCTCGTGCTGGACTCCGCGTATCTATGTCTTTGATTCGACGACTATCTTTTCATCCCACTTGTGTCGATAGAAAAGGAAGTCCTGTCTCTCCAGATCTACCCGCACTCATTCATGTACACGGGCCCAAACTCGAAACTTTTGGCCAGCGACGCAACAAGACACGCATCAGTGTCACGACGACACCTAATGGGATCCCAACAGAATATTTATTAATCTGGGCAAACTTTCCGCGCTTCGACCTTCCTATGATTGCCATTAATCGTAGCTTTAACACAAAGAACCTACGCGACGTCTTCCGACTGCAATAAATGGCCCGGTGGATGGGCCAGACGGTGGGAAGGTACCGACCTCGACGATGAGCTGACGGGAACGAGCCCCCACCATTCATCACAGCACACGCGCTTGTAGTTGTTATAACATCCCTGCCACGGCCGCCTCAGTCGTAGGCCGTGCTGAAGAAGCTCTCGACGACGTTGTCGCAGAGGATGCGGAGAACCGCCGCGTTGGAGGCGCCAATGAAGCGCGGGTTCTTGAACTGGCCAATGGAGGCGCCGTGGTTGATGTAGTGCTCGAGAACCTTGCGGAAGGTGCCTTGCCGGACTATGCGGAGCTCCAGTGGGGCGATGCCCTTCGCCTTCCTCGAGGTCATGTAACCGGCGTCTACGAAGGAGCGGTCCAAACAGTCCGCACAGCTGTGGAGGACGCCCTCCCTGGCCTCGCCGCTGAGCTCCCAGAAGATGACGTAGTGCCCGGGTTCTGCCGAGCGATCAACGCATCTGGAGAAGTCGATGACCTCCAGATTCTCCGTCGCCACCAGCTTGGAGGCCTCATCCACCGCCAGCTGCAGGTCCCTCTCCGTGTTCTTGTCTATGTTGACATTCAGCAGCAGGCTGCGGCGGCACACAAACTGTAGCTCCGGCGTGCTGTTGTGGAATCCCCCCACCCTCACCACATCGCCCAGCCTGTACCTATACAGACCTGCACCACCACGCGAAACAACAGGAGGATTGGGACAGTTTCTCCTCCGAGAAATCATCATTTATCTACCGATGCCAGTCAACGCCTGCAACACTCACCGGCGAAGTTCGTGATTATGATTTCGTACTCTTTCCCGACCTCGATCTCCTCGAGACCGATCGGCTCAGCTTCTACGGCCGGCTTATCCCCGCTATTCGTCGCCATGGGGATGAACTCGAAGTACCCAATGTCGGGGACCACCGCGAACCTCACCTCCTCAGGACGCAGCTCAGGATGTATGTTAACTCCGATAACGCCTTCCGACGACCCATAATTAAAACTCAAGAGCGGCAGATCCCCGGCATAATGTCTCAGCTTCTTCAGATATGGCTCCATCGATCCGGTCATAATGCCATGGACGTATTTCGTGTTCGGCCAGAGCTCGGGGATCAACCCTAACCAGTTGTTCAGGCCCTTGCATTTGTTGTAGATCTCGTCCGCCAGCTGAGGATTGGGGGTCAGCAACTTGGAGACGGCGGCCCTCATGGAAGGATCGGTGATCTTGGGAGAGAGGACCCCATCCCTGATGTTCGCGCAGAGCTCCTCCCAGACGAGCTCGAATGTTCTGAACGCCTGGACGATGTTGTGGACGAAGGTGGCATAGATGAACTGAACCTCCTGATACGAGAGAAGCCCGCATAAGAGATGGCAGTAGAGAGACTGCTCGAAACTACGGCCGAAGGTGACTTCATCCGGGCTGGTGGCCTGCGACTGGATATCTTTCATGGTGCGCTTGAATTGGTCACTGCGGAAGATGTTTGCGGAGACGGAGGCAGCCACGATGCCCCCACTCGTCCGGACTTCATGGCTGCCGTAGATGAACTTCAGGGCTTTTCCATCACCATGGGGAAACACCCTGGAAAACAGAACGGAAACGGGGTCAGGCATCCATTCAAGAAAACTCTCGAGAATCATCGAACAGCTTCACAGAATCAGAGCCCCTGGACTACTAATTATTCAACTTTTTGGGAAGAAGAATAGGAGAGTTTGGAGGATGAAACCCAAGTTCGCCATTAAGATTCTTAGTTCAGATAAACAATGCACTTGACGGTGGTACTGCTCAAATTCCTGCATATCTGGGAAAGAAACTAGATTATGCTCCGCATTCTCCCCCACAAATGGCGATGGAATTTCTGGGAAAATCGCTCACAGAAGGTAGATCTCAAATTCGGCGGAAATGAACTTCAAAAAAAGAGAAAAAAATTCAGAAACCAATGTCTAATCCTCTCCCGGTGCAGCTCCAGCTGATTAGAAAACACAAGCCACGGAATGGGGTAATCAGAGTGCAGACCTCGTCCAGAAATCCCCCAGTTCAAACTCGAGGCAGATGAATAAAAAAAGGGGGAGAGAAAAATAGATAATCAGAGCTTAAGGAATAACTAAACTCATAAAGCAGAAAGATGAGCTCCTTACTTGTTTCTGAAAGCAAACGACGTTCGGTATACCTGCATCGCATTCTGAACCAGCAAGTCATTGAAGGGAACGTACTTGGGCTTCCCTTGTGTAGTACCAGAGCTGGAAGCATTGGACAGCACAAGCAATGTCAGAAACAGCTGATAGTAAACGCGCCAGCCGGGGAAATGAACTAGACCCAGCACCCGTGGACATGCCACCGGGAAAATCTTACGTCAAGGAAAGGGAAGTTATCGGCTTCCCAGTGAGAATGGGGGAAGACTCCCCAGCTACAATTCTGCGAATATAGCTATCGAGATCAGCGTGGGAGACGAGGGGAACGCATGCCTTGAAGCTCTCGGGATCGGTTCGCCCTCCCAGTCCCAGGTTCTGCAGATACTCCGCTTCGCTATTCTCTTCCAGGATCATCTTGAGGGTCTCCCTCTGGACCTTCCCCACGTCCTTGGTCAGCGCTTCGAACTCATCGATGACGGCATCCTGGTGAAAATTTCTCATCTTCGCCGAAGGGGTTGAGAAAAAAAGCAAGTCCTGGAAAGAGAAATCTTTCACTATTCAGGGAATCTTCATAGTCCCGAGGTAGAATCATGGAAAAGGAAGCCTCGATTGGAATCCAAAATGATGTGCCATTGGCCTTGAAATGCGAAGAACATATCCTCCGGAATCCCCATTCGCAGTCCCAAGAGGCTGCTCTCCCCGCTGGATCCACCGAATCTGGAAGAAATCAGAGAGAGAAAGAGAGAGAATTGATCGAAATCTCCGCTACGCGGCGGCGAGCTCGGCTCGGCTTTTCACAGATACCCTCAGCTTCAGCGAAGAACAGCCGGTTGAAACCCGGGGACAAAACATCCGCCGGGAATCGGAAACCCCTCTCGCAGGGAAGTTCTAGACGTTTGCGAAGGCCAGGCTCCCTCGTCGGCGGCCAGAGGATTGAATTAAAGAGAGAGAGGCAGTGGTTACTTTGAGGGAGAGAAAAAGAGGCCTCACAGGAAAGCCGGAAGATCAAGCTGCAGGCCTCAGCAACCACTCCTTCGCTCCGAAAGCCTATAACAGTGAAGATACGGAGGAACAGATTCGAGACTGATGGCACCGCCCTCTCCGATGAAGCGGAAGAGATAAGATATATAGACGACCAGAGGAGCCCGATTGACACAGCCAGAGGAACCTGGGGAAGGGAAGACTACGTCCCCAGGAGGCCCAGGATCCATGTGACATGGTCGGATCGTCCAGACGGCAGCAGGAAAATGATCCTACGGGGTAATAACGGCTCAAAGCTTATCCAATATATATGACACTATCCCCTGGTGACTGACTTAAATACTTTTTGCAATATTTGGAAAAAAAATCGTTCCTGATAAAATATTATTTCATGGTTTGAGTGGAATAGGTGAAAAAATGAAACTGGGCCACTTAATAAACATGAAAATTTTATCAATATTTGCGAACCAGACCCCATCGTCATCAACATCTCAGTCCAAGCCCAAGCCCAAGTAGTTACTGAAGAATAACGGCCAACAAATAATGCTTCAAATAAATACCAAGATATGACAAAGCTAGTCCTCCATGTCTCCATGAATCTCCTTGGGAGGCCGAGATAGCTCATGGGATCTCACAGAAGACCTCCATAGCTGCGCCAACCTCTCCCTACAGCGTTTTTTTACAAGTAAACAGATCAAAAAAATAACAAGTAGCTAAAAGATACAGCATGAGGGAGACAAAAGAATGGAGAGGGCGCTGGGTTTCACGATCTGCGCCTTCTTCTATTGAGAGTCGCAGAGAGGAGCTTGCAGACGTGGTCGCAGTTCTCACGATGGTATTCGATCAGCAGGCACAGCTGCCTTATGGCCTCCCTCTTCTCCTCATCCCTGGAAAACAGCTCCACCTTCGATTCGCTCTCTCTCCTCTCCAGCTCCGCCACCCTCTGCGCCAGTCTTTCCTCCTCTTTCATCTTCTCATCCAGCTTTGATCGAATGAGGGTGGATTCATCTTTCAGCATGGAGATGATTCCTTCCTTGTAGTTCAGCCTCATCCCCAGCTCCCTCTTCTCAACCTTCAATCCTTCTTCCGAGTGAACCAACGCCGTTATCCACCTCTTCATCAACATGACATCATTGGAGCAATCGGAAATGTGGGTGTGGATCCGCCTGCAGTCGTCCTCCAGTTTTAGCTCCAGATCATCAAAGGCCCTACCCAGAGACTCCATTTCTAACTGCACCAATTCCTTGACTCGCCGGAGCTCACCCTCCACGAGATTAACTCTGGATGTCAAGTTCAATGAGTGCTCTTCTAGTTTTCTGCGTTCTTCGTTCAATGCGTCCACTGTCCTCTTGTGGATCTCTTCCTTGTCCTTGCTTTCCGTTTCGGTTATCTTAAGCTTTTGATTCGATAGGCGGATCTGGACTTCCAGGTTTTGAACGTCTCCATTCAGCTTCATCAACTCCTTGTCCAATTCCGCTTTCTCTGATTCAGAGAATTTAAGCTTCTCAACCACTTCTTTCAAGTTATCCTCCAGTCCGTTCAGCTGTAGTTTCTGTTGCTGGACAACTCCTAGTAGCGACAGAATTATCTCCTCCTTTTTCTCCAGCTCGACAATCCTCCCCTGTGCAGCCTCCAGATCCTTGGAAGACTCTAAGAGCTGACTCTCAAGAAGCTTATAGTTTGCAGACAACTCATCGAGATTATCCTTCCGCTCTTTCAACATCACCTCTTGGGTGAGGACTTTGCCCGTGAGTTCACTTTCCAACTTCTCTGCGAGACTTTGCTTCTCCGTGGCCTCATTACTCATAGTCTTCACCAGTTCTTCTAACTCGTTGATTTTTATATACGCTGAATCAACTGCTTGTTGCAGGTTACTTGCGTGAGCCATTGATGTCTGGATCTCAGCTGATGCTTCTTCAAGCTTCTTCTCGAGAGATAAAAAGTCGGCTTCTTTGTCCTGCAACTGCTTTTCAAGATCAGATAGCTTACCTTGCGAGTCCAGCTGATCCTGCTGAAATACACAAATCTCCTTCCTTAGTTGTTCTGATTCATCTACAATGCCTTTTAGGCTGCTTTCTGATTCCCCGAGTTTAGTTAGTGCTGATGCTTTCTCTGATTCCAACATGTTTTTGGCTTCTTCGACAACTTCTAGTTTGTGAACAAGATCATCAATTTTCTCCTTCAAGACAGAATTAGCACCTTCGAGGCGTTCTTTATCAGCCTTTAACTCATGCATCTCATTCTCAAGTACCAGTGTCCTGCTCAAAAGGATCGAAATTTCTGTAGAAACTGCCGACTTGTCTTCTTGTAATTCTTGTATTGTCTTCCTCAGGTCTAACACTTCGCAGGTAGCTGTTTCTAATTCCCCATTGACGCCATCATACTTAACCTGAAGCTCAGTCTTCTCAATCTTTGATATTTCTAACTCTTTTGACAGTATGTCCGTGTCCTCTTGAATCTTTTTTAACTTCTTGACGGCCTCATCATGCTCTAAACATAATGACGATTTCTCATCACTAATGGCTCTCATCTGCGAGTTCAAGCCTTCATTTTCGCCCAGTAGTTTTGACTTTTCATCTTTCAAGAGTTCACATTCTGTCATCAGTTTTTCGATGGTTTTCTCATGCACTTCCATCTGCGATGTGATCCCTTGCATTTCAGACTTCAGAGCGTTGGCATCTTCCTCAAACGTTAAACATCTCTGGACCAGATCGGCCATTTGTTTATTAGCTGCTTCCTTTTCAGCCTCCAGATTTTCATTCTCTGCCAACAGCTTTGTATTCTCAGCTGACCGTTCATTTGCTGTTTTTAAGTGCAGTTCTGATTCATCTCTCAGATCCCTAGTAATGATATCTGCCAGCTGAATCTTGTCTAATAGTGAAGCATTTTCAGAGCCTAAGGAGTCTTTCTCTTCACTTGTGGATATTAATTTCCGCTTTAGATCATCCATTTTCTGTACCACAGCTTCCAGTTCCTGCTTTAAAACTCCATTTGCATCTTGTAATAATGATATCTCAGATTTCAATCGTTCACCTTCGACTTTATATGTTTCTATAAGTTCATCAGTCTCCCCCAACTTCTTCAGGACCGTAGAATTTTCAAGAACGAGAGCTTCATACTTTTGATCTGTTAGAGATTGTAATTTCATGGATTTCTCAAGATCTTGCCTTAGATCTCCATTCTCATTCTGGGAGGTAAGAAGGCTTTCTTTGGTATAGTTAAGCTCATCTTTCAAAGTTTCCAATTCTCCCTTCACATCAGCATTCTCATTCTGCAATTGCACATTTTTGACTTGGAACTCTTCCACATTCTTCTCTGTCTGTTCTAGCCTGCCATAAATCACAGACTTTTGACCTAACAAAGTTTGATTCTCTTCTTTGAGAGATTGCAGCCTTTCATTGGTGAGAAATTCTTGCTCATGGTGTTCTTGCTTCAATTTTTCATTCTCAACCCGTAAATCCTCTATCTTCTTTCTCGTATTGTTTAGTTCATCTTGCATTAAAAAGTATTCCGCCTCCCTTTCAGAAAATTTCGTGGCTAGATTTTCTCCTTCTTTTATCTTCAAACCCATAGATCTCAGTTCCGTCTCCAGGTCAAAGTTTTTACTTTTCAAGATCTCAAGTTGTGACTGCAAATAGTGGAAATCTTCCACAGAAATTTTCTCTCCTCCCAAGCCCCTCTCTGTGCCTGTATCACCCCTGTCATTTCCATTGTCGGACTTATTTGAGTCCGAATCTGATGAATTGGAATCTGATGAACTGTGGTCAACTAAGAAGCTGCCATTTGACTTTCCGTCATGAACTTTTTCTGAAAGCTTCCCTATCAATTGATGATAACTCCCATAAAGAGATACGTAATGCCTATCTAAATCCTGAATAAGTGTATGCAATTCTGATGCTTCATTCGAGAGTTCAGCAGAACTGTTATCTTTAGCAGTAATCAGCTTGAATATGGCTGCAAAACTGTTGTCAATATCTGCAAAACCCATGCATTGCATAAGCATTTGTAGTAATTGGCGCGTCATACTTGCATGGGGAGACTGGAGGGATAAGAAAGCTCGAGAACTGGAGCAAGAAATGAAAAGAACTTTATTTGGCCATCTATCATTAAAATGAGAACCACTGAATCAAACATGGTGCCAATGTATTTGAAACCATAAAGAAAAGAAAAGTAAATGGGAAAGGTTTGCGGCACATTCCAGTCGATATGAGAAGCTTAAATGAGACCAAGGCACCATCTGCCGCGGAAAACAATGAGTTCCACCCTCACCACCGAATCAAATGAGACCAACATCACTGTATGTAATAGATGAAAGCAGAGAAATTTACTTTTCTTTTCATTGACAACTTCAGAGTGCCCAATGTCGATATCAGCTTTTATTGATGAAAGAAATTTCTTTAATTTCTTTTGCTTCATTGTACGATCTCAGCTGACTCGGCGCTGCCAATCACTGCACAACGTAGCATGCATTCATTTGTGAGCCATGCAATATCAATCTGTAACGGATAGATGAGTCAGGCACAAGTGAAATCGGGGACTACACTGTTCAGGAAACGAGGGGAACGGACATCAGAAGGATTGCAGATAATGGCTTCTAAGAGTCAGAATTTGAAGGCCAAGGAAAAGAATCAGAGAGAGATGCCAAAAAAAAATATAAATCTAAGAGATGATGATGCATCAGTAGTTTGATTGGAAGTGCCCGGAAACCAAAGATACCGCACACATCATGCTGTTATGTCTCACGATACATTAACAGACGCATTGCAAATTCACCCAGAACAACCCATGCGTAGGTCATAAAGGATATCAAGAAAACATATAGTCCCACGAACATCCCAAAATGCCGCCCCGCGGCTTCCGGGAAAACAGAGCATGTGAGAATTGTCAAACTTATCGACGTCTAATGGAGAAATAGCTCCGAAGTAGAGAAGATCAAATGGGGAAAATCACGAAAGACGAGAAAGCGTACTTTCAGTCCAGAACAGCAATCAAAATCCCACGTCAATGAATCAAATCACAGGGAATTAAAAAAAACGAAAAAAAATAAACTAACATAACATCACTTCTTGACCTATTTCTATTTCCCTCGTCTCACACTCGAAAATCATCTGCGGCACCCATATATCACCTCGAAAACAGAATAACGGGAGAGAACATCACCCTACTCCCACACACACGGAAAATCGCCGGCACGGAATACCCATGATCATGAAAAAAAATCCACATCTGCCGGCGTCGGACGGCCCACCTCCTCCTCCCCCTCGTCTTCCCTCCCGCGAACAGAGCGGCGGAGCAGCCGAGAGATGAGCCAGAGAAGGATGGGGAGTGGGCGGACTGGAGGAGAAAGTGGGGAGATCTGAAAGCGACGGAGATATGCCGGGAGGAGATGCTGGAGAGATTGGAGAGGACTAGATGTCTCCTCCGGCGACCAATTGAGTCCCAGCTCATACTGAATTCCACTGATTTCCCTTGTTTATTCAATCAATAACGCCCCTCTCGTGAGCTGGCTCCTGCTGGGCCCGTATTCCCCCACCTGCAAATCGCGCGCGCGGGAGAGAGAAAGAGAGAGAGAGAGAGTGTGAGAGTGAGAGAGAGAGTGATTTGTCCGTATACTGAGAACGGGCTGTTGACCTGGCTGGGCTGGGCCCCAGGAAAAGGTCGGGTAAAACGGGCTCCGGGCCCAGGCCCTATGAAGACAGATCTCGGCCCGTGTGAGGAGACCTTCCACGGTCCAGGAGAAATTATCCAGTACTAAAAAAAATGTGAAATAAATACGATTTAACAATGTACAAGCCATTGGCTAGCAGCCGATGACCTAACTTTTAAAGAAACATCCTCCGGAAATCACGCAACCTCCGGGAAACCCCCACACTCGCTACTTAAGTGCCAGGGGACTAGCGGAGGACAACTGGAGGCTGACCGCTCCGCATGCTATATGACGTCATCGAGTATCTTTTTGTTTTTTTCTATTTATTATTCCGGGGGACCCACCGTCCATCTGCGTTGTCTCCTTTGCTTGAAGGGGGTGGCCTTTTTAGTGGGCCCATTCGGCCAAATATTTTGGGCTGGGCCGAAAGACTAAAAGGCCCGATTTATCATGTGGGCCCCAAGGGTTAAAACCGCCATCTCGAAAGTTCCTCCTGCTTCTGTGCTTCCACGCGATCAGTTCCACTCTCTGCTTCACAGGTTCCGGCGTAGCGGGGGGAGGAGGTTTGGAATGATCGAGTTTAGGGTTTCTGGTCCTGGGCGCTGAGGGTTGTTGGGGGTGATGGAGGAGCTCGCTGGCCTGGACCTGGTCTCCTCCCAGAAGGCGGACGAGAGAGTGGAGGAACTGCTAGAGGGGGAGGCGTCGATCGCGGTTGGAGTGGAGAGGAACTTGGCGGAGACGTTGAGTCTGAATGAGCTTAACGAGGTGAATTGTTTTGCCGGGTGTGAGGCGCTCCAGGAGGAGGCTGATGCTATCAGAAGCCGGAGGTCTCAGCTGGAGGAGAGGGCCAAGAAGTGCACGGACGGGTCCAGGGTTTTCGCTGTGGAAGAGAAGGAGGTGGGGGACATGAGCGCCTTGTTGGAGGCGAAGGTTAAAGCGTTGGCGTCGCAGAAATGTCCGATGATTGGGAAGGTCGTAAGGTACAAGAACCTGTCCCTCATACTCGAGGACCAAGTTCTTGCGATGGATATAGAGCATAAGGTTTCATCAGTATGGCAGAGGGAGATGCTACATGCAGTGGAGGAGATGAAGAGAAGGGAGGGACTGCATGTGAAGGAGATCCTGAAACTCCAGACAGAGAATAAGAAGCTCGAATATGCAAGAATGAGGGCGGAGATGGCGGTCACTTACTGGCAGAAGAAGTATGCGGAGCTGGAGACACGGAGTTTGGGAAATATGGATATGAAACGCAACTTGGGCATCAAAGTAGGAAGAAACATACCCGAAAGGCCAGATATAGATGAATTCTGCAAAGAAACCAAGAGTCGTCATCTTCCAAAGCTGAACTCTGAAGACGTGACTAGAGAATCGGAAAGTGCAGTTCAGGCTGGGTTGGGAACTTCTTGTGCTGGTGGTGTCGTTGTGATCACGGACAGTGAGGATGAAATGGAAAAACAGAATTATGATTCTCGGAAAGGAAGTCATCTTGAAAGGTTATGTTCTCATGGAGATGAAGGGGGAGAAAGGTTCTCGAATGAATTGCCTATGGCTCTGAAACTTGATGTGACGATGGGATCTGCTGATAGCACCCCTGGTGAAAATTGGATTTCTGCTTCAACACCAAAGAGAAGGCGCATGTCAACAGTTGTTATGAGCGACAGTGAGGATGCAGAGGACGAGCCTAAAGAAAGGTTCTCAAATGAATTGCCTAGGGCTTTGAAACTTGATGTGACGATGGGTTCTGCTGATAGCAGCCCTGGTGAAAATCGGATTTCAGCTTCAACACCAAAGAGAAATCGCATGTCAACAGTTGTTATGAGCGACAGTGAGGATGCAGAGAGTGAACCTAAAGTTCCAACAGAAGAGATTAAGAAGAAGAAAATCAAGGCCATTGAAGATTGTCAGAGTTCATCAAGCAACTGTTCTCTTGCAGATTATTCGAATGAAGATGACCAGAAAGTGTTGAGAATGCCTTCTAGGAGGCATCTGATTCCGTTAAGCCAACTTGGAGAAGTGAGAGGCAGAGGAAAACTAACCTATTCAAGAGATTCAGGTACCCCAATGTTCTCATCTGGAGTTCAGGAAAGTTCCTCTGTAAGGAACAAAGGAAATGTTCGCCAGAGGCTGGAGTTTCCAACTGTCGAAGGTGCTAAAAGCCATGATGAAGATGTCGAATCCAGTGAATCCGAAAGTGAGGGAGACAGCTTAGAAGAGTTTATTGCAGATGAGTCGAATCCTTCAGATGAGGAAGTCTGCGACATGTCATCCGAACAGGAAGTGAGTAGTGATTCATCCACTGATCATGTTTTTGCTAGGATCCGTCGAGAAAAGAGTAGCATGAAATGGGAATATGAAGGAGACATGCTGGCTTCCTTTGGAAAGGACCCTGTGATCTGCATGAAAGCTGTTTGTGCTCTTTACAGGCAGCAAACTCCTGATGAGAAGTCAGTCAAAGGGACCCTGCTCACGAACAATCGTGGCTTTAACAGAATTGATGCGAAAAGGTAAAGCCCAGATCCACCTCTTCACAGTAGTCATTGAGTTCATCTTTTTGCCTTGTGATTATATGCATGATCTAGTAACTTCATCTCTTCCTTCTTATATCCTTTACGCCTTTTTACTTTTCTGGAGATCGATTGGATAAATGTATTGATATGGTAAGTTAACTTGGTTTTTGGGGTGGAAAAAGTTTCTGGGAAAATTGGAAACTGGGGGATCTTGCTGTGAGCAAGATGCACAGGAGAGGTTTTGTGTCCAAGGAACTGAAACCGAAGAGGATCATTGGTGCATGTAATATGCAGAAAGATGTGGGGGGAAGAACTCAGATGTTTTAGTTGTGGGAGAGAAGAGAAAGGCGAATGGAGAAGTGGAGAAAAAGAAGAAGGGATCCACCGTTAAGAGTTCTTTCTTGCATCAAACAAGTGTTCAATTATTTTCGAATTTATTGAAGAAACAGTCATGCTCTAAAAAAAATATGAACAGTTATACATTATCCATCAGTGAAAACTGTTTGCATCACAAACTTTGATCTTCCTACAGATCGAAAATAATCATTCTTCTCCTGTAAATGATCATCATTCGTGCCTATTGAATAGCATGTAATCCTTCTGTACCTAAACCGGGGGGGTGTTTTAATTGGTTCAATCAAACTTCTAGACGGTTCCTTGGTTTTTTTTTTTTTTTTTTTCTTCATCCCCAGATCTCATTTTCAGCCACCGCTTTGTACTAATAATCTGATCCTGTTCCAGGGGTTCGTTTATCGCAGAGTTCTTAACAGACGGTAATTCTGTTGGCCCTCTCGTGAAATCTGTCGACAACCTACGAGCGTATGATCCTGGGGGTATCGAACACTGCTACAAGCTCGCCACCCACTACTCAAAGCAGCTGTTCATGATCTACCAGAGCGGAGAAGACCCCCACTTCCGTCCCGCATAGTTCTCCACCATCGACGCGTTTCATCTTCCTTCCTTCCTGCCAGCGCTCCAGCTAGAGCGCGCAACTAATGAAGCTTATCCAGGCAAAGACATCTGCCGAAGCTGCCCCTTCCTCCACACCTGCCATGGAGTCGAGCTCCTCCCTATCCTTCCTCCCCGATGAAGGTATTCCACGTGCGCCCTTCTTCTTTACTGTTTGAATTCCCCCGTCTATATGAGATGGCTCTGTTTTTGGGAGGTGGCGGAAGCGAGCGGAGCATGGGTTCCGCGACACAGAGCTCGCCGGCGCCGGCGCCGCCGCGGAAACGCGCCGAGCTGGAGGCGACTTGCTTCCGTGTGCCGCTGCACTATCCGAGGTACAGCAGGGCGGACTACGAGGCGATGCCGGAGTGGAAGCTCAACTTCCTCCTCGCCCAGTACGGCCTCCCCTCCACCGGGGATCTCTCCCAGAAGAGGAGCTTCGCCATGGGAGCCTTCCTCTGGCCGTCTCAGTGATCTGGTTCGTCCTCGGGTCGTCCTCGTAATGGGTTCGAACATGTGTTGAAGATGGAGAATAAAGAGGAATAAGGGTCGGTTCCCTCTCTCTCTCGTCGTGCTGTCTGTCTCTCTGTAAATTATTTCCATCGAATATGTTCTGAACCAGAGCGAGTGTCTGTCATGTATGTAAGTAACGTTTACACCGTTTGCTCCACTGTTGCATCGAGTGTGCTGACGAGCCGTAAGCGCGGGAGAAGATGGCGAGTCAAGCGAGTTCCGGCGGACCCACGACTTGGCCCATTTGACCCATTTGGCCCACTCCCTCTCTCTCTCTCTCTCCCTCTCTCTACCTCTCTCTCTGTCGGCGTAGTAGGATGGAGTGCCCGCCATGGGGAAGGTCCATTTCCCTCGCGTTTTCGAAACCTACTTTTCCCGGGTCTGGATGAGGGAAAGGGCTTGGGAAAATTTCTCAGACTGAGGGAAGGCTTAGGAACGGAGATATCCCGGCGGCGCCGACGATCCAGAGCTCCAGGGAGGCCACTTCTCTCGTCTGTCTCTGCTCGGCAGCTGTCCTGCAAAAATGCCGCGGGAGATCATCACCATACAGGTGGGGCAATGCGGGAACCAGATCGGGATGGAGTTCTGGAAGCAGCTCTGCCTGGAGCACGGCATCGGCAAGGACGGCCTTCTCGAAGATTTCGCCACCCAGGCAAAGGCCGTCGCCCTTTTTTTTAGTCTCTTGAGCAAGTTTCTGCATCTTGGTCGCTTTGTCACTTAGCATAGTGTTAGGTTTCCCTTCCCGCAACATTCTTTGGGAGTTGCTACATAACTGATCATTATATCTATTTGTCCGAGAAGTCTAGATAATTCTCTCATGCTAGGGTTTATTCTGAGGTTGATGAGAATTCACTGTATCATGTGAAGATCGACATAGAATGAGCAAAACAGGTCGGGCTTTCTTGTTAACCATTTATATGAAGAAGAAGAGTGCAACCCATATATAGTCTGGGCAATCATAGATGTGTTCATGATGATCCATGGTGTTTAAGACAAGTTCAAATGGCCTTCTCCGTTTTCGTGAATATTAGGATACGTATTTTCAATCTGCTCGTTTCCAGATTTAACTTTTGGTTACCAACTAATGTATATGTTTTAATTAAGTTATGATTAGTCCATAAGAAAATCACCTGGAAAACAATCTACCTCAATGGGTTGAGTTAATTGCATTTAGATGAATATTAGTTACAATTATCTTGTTTCTTATCTAAAGTACAGTTGGTTTATGCTCTTGGAAGTGACGTATAGTTGTTGATTTTTCTCTGAAGTGTATGGCTATTTATGAAGTTTGTGATTGGGCAGATAATAAGATTCTAAAAGTTTTATATTCCCGGATAAATGAAAATGTGTTCATGCTTTCGGCCACATTAAATTGCTTCACGTAGTAAATTTACTTACTTATTAATATTAAAATCATAATTCCAGTCTTCGTCCATCATGGCAGATGTCCAGATGCATTATTCTTTGAGGCACGAACTTAACTCCATAACCCGTAAAAGGGAGAATTTAGTGTTGTGACCTTGTAAGACAACATCCTTGCAGCGGTTATTCTCCTTAGTCTAGGATAAGCTAGTTATGTTCATGGTAACAATTTTCTCTGCCTACATCAAAAAAATGTCATATTCTTAATATGTCTCTCTTTTCTTTTGAATTTTGGCATGGTTTAATAGACCATGCCATAACAATGAATCAACTTTCTTAGATTATTTTCTTTTTTTAATTTGCCACGTCATTGAATCTCTGTGTCCTCGTACATGCGCTAAACTTTTGTCGGTAGTATGGGCTTTAAATTTTATGTTTCAGTGGCAAATGTCAATTCCCAGTTGCGTCTCCGTCAACGATAAATCTTTTTCATGGCACATGTTTTTTTACCTTATTGCTGAATTCTCACTTCGCAAAACTGTGCAGGGAGGTGATCGAAAGGATGTCTTTTTTTATCAAGCTGATGATCAGCATTATATTCCTCGGGCTCTCCTTATGGATTTGGAGCCCAGAGTTATAAATGGCATCCAGAATAGTGAATACCGGAATCTGTACAATCACGAGAATATCTTTGTCTCAGATCATGGAGGTGGTGCAGGAAATAATTGGGCTAGTGGATATCACCAGGTTCTCTTCATTATTTTATTGAATGATTTTCGTCCCTGTTTTCAAATTAAATATTATTAAAATATTTTCCGATATTAATTATCATTGTGTGGCAAAATATATCATTTCAAAGTCATTTTTCTAGTTTAATCTCAACTCACATCAATTACTTATTAGGATAGAAAGTCTCTTATCTTCATGACCAGTATGCTTGTTCACTGCTGCAGTATCTAAGCTTCTTTAAGGATTTAAAAATGTGGTTTTCCGGTCATGAGATATGACGTGCCTTTACCTTTTGGCTTCCATTATTTGGCAGTTTTGTATCTTGAATTTGTGATTTAACTTTGTATTGTTCCGTTATCTCTTATAGGATGCGATTCATGACCAAACGGATATGCCATCTGCTTCATTCCTTCCTCTCTGTCATGATAGCATCGGAAAAAATATCATATTATCTGTGGCTTTTGTGATGATCACTGGATATACTTCTTTTCTTATGCCCGGGGCATTGTGTAGTATTGTCCCCCAGTTTGATTTTGATTGGAAGCTAATCTATGTCTCCCATTGTTTAGTGGTTTCTTTGCTATTTTTATGTTGGATATGCTTTTCGTCATGAAAGAATGTCACTAATGTTATATATTATATTCTCTCTTAATTGTTGTTTGTTTTGAATCAGGGAGAGCAAGTTGTTGATGATATAATGGATATGGTCGATAGGGAGGCAGATGGAAGTGATAGCCTTGAAGGATTTGTTTTATGCCACTCAATTGCTGGAGGGACTGGCTCAGGTATCTTCAATTAACAATTGCTTTCAGTATTCCAAACCTTGTATTATTTTCGGCATTCTAATTTTGAACACCTTGTAATTTATATTGAATCATTTGTATCCTTTACTCTGGAGGTCACTAGTTGAAGATCAGTCTTTTTTGCCGATCATTATCTCAATACATCTACCTGCGGTCACAGGCTGTTACAGCAAGGAAATCTCTCTCTCTCTCTCTCTCTCTCTCTCTCTCTCTCTCTCTCTCTCTCTCTTTTTCTCTCTTGATGAGTAAAAGTTATAATATTGAGTATTACTGTAGAGTGTAATCTTCATGTAAAATTTTAATTTTAATTTTAATCTTCATCTGTTGTGTGCTGCTTTTTTTATTTTGTCATAATCTGTTTTTTTCTTTTTTTTGTCACAGGAATGGGTTCATATCTCTTGGAGACATTAAATGAACGCTACAGCAAAAAGCTGGTTCAGACATATAGTGTTTTCCCCAATCAGATGGAGACGAGTGACGTAGTTGTTCAGCCTTATAATTCACTTTTGACCCTTAAGCGGTTGACACTGAATGCTGATTGTGTTGTTGTCCTCGACAATACTGCTTTAAATAGGATTGCCGTGGAACGGCTTCATCTCTCAAATCCTACATTTGCACAAACAAATTCCTTGGTCTCTACTGTGATGTCTGCCAGCACAACTACTCTGCGGTATCCAGGATATATGAATAACGACTTGGTTGGCCTTCTCGCTTCATTAATTCCAACTCCAAGATGTCATTTTCTAATGACAGGGTATACACCACTCACTGTGGAGCGACAGGTGAGTATTCAGAGATATCTGTATTAATACTTCTTTCAGCATGTTTATTTTTTAAGGTGTAGGGTTCTTTAATGCTTATTACTCTAATGAAAGCAAAATATTGGTTCTCGTTTCTTGGTGGGGATAACGGCAACACGTGCGTTGAGAGTCACTGCTGATTATCCAGCTGCATGCTTGAATTTGATCTAGTGTTGCTTCATGATCTAGGATACGCTAACTTATTAGCCCTTTATTCAATAACACTACCATCGGTTTTTTATCATGAAGATGCACATGTTTGATTTTGTACGCAAGGAGATGCTGTATTGCTTTTTATATCAACTTAAAGTGTGTTGGGCTTGGTCTATAATAGCTAAAGAAGAGGAAAACAATGTTCGGATTAAATGTTACTGCACATTGCGATCAGGCCTACCACTTGCCATCCATATGTCTTGCCCATATAATTGTCAAAATCCTCTGGGTTCTTGTGGCATGTCGATTGGCCCAGGTCTTAGATTTGTTAGTTGACAGATTTTTGATGAGCAAAACTGAACCAGCTATGCTGAGATCCAAGTTAGGAAATCCTTGATGAAGTCACTCGGAAGAAAATATCATATAAAGACGTAAATATCAATAAGGTGAGCAGTAGACAGATTTGAATCAGAATCCCTGTGCATTCCAATGAAAGGACAATTTTCAGTCTCTAATTTTCAAGAAGATCAACTCTCAGAATAAATTGGAAACCAATAAATAGCATACTTAAAACTCCTATCTGAAAAGAATGAACTTTGAATGCATAATGGACTCATAGTTTATCAATTTTAGATACATTGTTTCTGGGTCCCCATTTACCAACATTAGTGAAAAATAAAATACCAGTCTACTAGATTTTATTATCTTTAAAAATCTGAAATCTGTATGCGTGATTAGTTGGAATCCTTCTATTTTTGATTGGCCAATCAAACTTTTATCTGCAAGTTGGCGGGTGAAAGACTGGGTCGAGCTTTCTACAGAGGTTAAAAAACCATCTACATTGATCGATTCTTGTCCTACACTACTTTTCTTGAAAAACATGGCTGTGACTGCAAATGACAACCAAGAAATCCGCTGCTCCTCGCAATAAAGAGAAGTCACTTTGGGTTGCATGCTATTTGAGACATTTCCCCTGTTTATGACACTTAGTGTTGGAAGTTTATCAACTTGACGTCCATTTACAGTTTTCTTTTCAAACTTTCTATTAAACACGTATCACTTCTGCAGAGATCACTGGGTTATGTTCTTGTGATTCTGGTCCCTCCCACAAAGTAGCAGACTCATACTTTTGTTTTTGCAGGTCAACGTTATACGTAAAACAACTGTTTTAGATGTTATGAGGAGGCTCTTACAGGCACGATCACCCACTTGCCTTTGCCACTTGAAAGTTCTGAAACGCTTGTTTTTTCACTGAATAAACCTGACATTTGTGTGCCTTGCAGACTAAGAACATTATGGTTTCTTCTTATGCGCGTACTAAGGAGGCGAGCCAAGCAAAATACATTTCTATCTTAAATATTATTCAGGGAGAAGTGGACCCTACTCAGGTATTCTTGGGTATTCATATTGGTTCTTTATTCGAATGCTATAATCAAGAAAGGAAAAAGGCACGAGACTGTTTTCTCTGTCAGATTTAAACAATGTTACTATTGTCGTCTAACGATCTTAGAGACTTCTGTCGAGCCTCTGCAAAACGTTACCGATGCATGTTGCTGACGTTTCAGTTGAAGCTAACCAGCGCTAATGTTCCCACTGGCATGCAAACGGAATCTTTTCTCACACTATGTGAATTCTTAACATATTCCGTCCAAAGAGCCTTTTTAATCCTAAGTACATATTGCATTGTATTTATAAGAGGCATCGAGCTCGCTAGAAGATCTCGTGGTAATCAATCTATCTGTTATTCTAACGCAGCTACATGCTGCTTGCATTTTTGCATGTGTATCAGCTATGCGATTTACATAGTGCTTAACATCCTGAAATATCCTAGCATTGTAGCTCGAAGGCGACTAAGTCCAGAAACTGAGTTGAATTTCTTTACATGTGCAAGAATCTAAGCAAAGCCTGACAATTTCTGTGACCGTCACAACCTAAATTTTTATACTCTGATTTTTTCCGCACTTGCTATGTTTACTTCATGTTCTTTACATTCTTATCTTGTTCCCTTAACAGGTGCATGAAAGCCTGCAGAGGATACGTGAAAGGAAGCTGGTTAATTTTATTGAGTGGGGGCCTGCCAGCATCCAGGTAAGCTACGTTGCAGGTGACGCAGATTTCCTAAAACAGTTATCTCTATAGGGGTGCTCACAGGGAGCTTCCCAATGATTTCAGGTTGCCCTGTCGAGGAAGTCTCCATACATTCAGACAGCTCACAGGGTAGGCTTCTTTTGTCGTACTTCCTCTCCTCATACCTCCCCTCTCCCCCTCTCCCCCTCTCCCCTCGTTCTCAATGCCGCCAATCTCTTGCTGCAACAGGTCAGTGGTCTGATGCTTGCGAACCACACGAGCATACGCCACCTCTTCGGCAAGTGCTTGAGCCAATATGAGAAACTGAGGAAGAAGCAGGCCTTCCTTGACAACTACAGGAAGTTCCCCATGTTTGCCGTGAGTTGTCGATGCCAACATCTGCAGCCTCCACAATCTTTTCGACACGCAGTCTTTAGCTCTCCCCCGTTGACCCAGATGTGCGCGAAATATTGACTTTTTCCTATGGTGTCTGCAGGATAATGATCTCTCCGAATTTGACGAGTCCCGAGAGATTATAGAGAGCTTGGTTGACGAATATAAGGCCTGTGAATCACCGGATTACATCAAATGGGGGTTGGAGGTACGTTTAGATGGTAACATTGCCAGATATGGAGGCTTACCCACTGTCAACGCCTCTGATTATGGTTCATTCTTGGCAGGATCCGGAGAGGGCCATGACCGAAGAAGGTAATATCGCGGGATTGTTGGACTCGAAACTCACCCTGTAATGAATGGCTCGTCGTTGCTTTTCTAGGCCTGTAAAGATGAGATTTTTTTCTTAGAAAGCAGCTCTGCCACTCGTCTGCTGCCCTCCCCAACCCCAAAGAGTGGAAAACTTTCCAACATTGTTTTGCATGGTGCGGTGCTTGCTGCGTTTCTTCTGAACCGGAGCTGGTTTTTCACCTCCGAAGGACGCCATTGTGATCGCTCCGAATCAGCTCCTTTGATCCAACTAGTAACACGTCCTCTGTTTTCCCACCTTCTTGGGCCCTTGTGCTCGGGAGCACAGTAATTACTGAAGATCATAGCCTCTCTCTCTCTCTCTCTCTCTCTCTCTCTCTCTCTCTCTCTCTCTCTCTCTCTCTCTCTCTCTCTCTCTCTCTCTCTCTCTCTCTCTCTCTCTGAGAGGTTGTGGAGCCATGCCCCCACAGTTTCATGATGTGACTAGAGAGAATCAATGTTTCCATCATTATGGTTCGGTGCAACTATTATTGGCATGCAGAAGACACATCCAAAGCCCCAGCTGCAACTTGCCCACGCCGTGCCCAAGCGAGGGATGAGCTGCCACGCGTGCCCCCCAGCGGGCGGATTTCCCACCTTCCACCAGCGACAACAGCAGACGCGCAGTGGGCAGAGCGCGGGCAGGTGAAGGGCCCTGGCTCTGTTCCGCGCCGTCCGTTGCGGCGGCGATGAGCACAGTTGCGGCGGGGAAGGGGGGGGGCCGCCATGTGCCGTCTTCAGACTAAAATACAAGCGGCGTTATGGAGGAAGTAGGTATCAGAATCACGGGTCGGAGATGAGCTCGTAAAGGGGAGGGGTTGACCGGGATGGAGCTGACTGGATTCCCTCATCCGTGGTGGGTTTTCATCTTTGATACTCGATGATGCTCTTCTTGGGAGGCTCTTTTTGTAGAACTAAAGTGGTTTGTTTAGAGGGGAATAACTTTCTAAAAGAATAATCTTTTGCATGATGCGACCACTAGGATTTAGAAATATCGAACGGTTAAAAGAGAGAGAGTGAGATAGAGAGAGAGAGAGAGGGATGGGGTCCTGGCTTTGACCGGGATCTTCCTGGTCGTATGAGAGGAGCTGACTTGCGGTTGGGATCGGCGCGCCCATCGATTTCGTGGCCCGACAGTAGACGTGCGTCGGATGGCGAGGGGTAGTGGGCATGTCGGGGATGACCGCCGGCGGTTGCTCGACGGTTTCTCGACGGCGGCGCCGCCGTCGTTGGGTGTTCTCTGCGTTCAGGGTGGCGCCCGGGAGGGGGGACGGTCTATCTCTCCCCTACTCAGGGTCTTCTACGTTTAAACTCCATATCATAAATCAACTCTCATTATAAGAGACTCTCATCGCTTTCCTTTCGCTGGCATGAAATCAGAATAACATTCGATTCGGGATAATAATGGATTGAAATTTTTTTAAGCAGCAAAACGAGAAACCCGATTCCGAGTCAGATTTTGCATTCGCTACGAGTTAAATCCTCACGACGGCATGTGGGCGCAAGACCCATTGATTAAAAGGCCCCCGGGACTTAGGTTTGCTAATCATAAGACGTCCCTGTCGTCCCCCGGACGCCCTCCCCCGACGACGGGGATTCATCTTACTGACCTCCGCCGGCTGGCAGATGCCAAGTTCTTGTTTAAGAGATCAGATCCCCCCCCCCCCGGTTGGTCCCCCGAGCTTCCCGTTTGTGGAGTTAGGACGAGGGTGCTCTCTCTCTCTCTCTCTCTCTCTCTCTCTCTCTCTCTCTCTCTCTATCTATCTATCTATCTATCTATCTATCTATCTCTCTCTCTCCCTTTCTCTATCCATGGCCAGAAGAAAAGAACAAGCAGCAAGTCGTCCAGCCTGGTTTCAGCGTGCTGAACGGCGAAAGAATAGAAAGGTGTGATATTTCTTCTTCTTGCATGGGTTTTCTAGTAGGCTTATGGGATGCTTGGGTTGAGGAGGGCCCACGCGAGACCAACACTTGCGATCCAAGCTGGGTGTGGAGGGCCCACTGTCACAGGTGGCTGCCAGAGGGGGCCAAGAACAACGCCTTCTTGGATGATCTAACGGCCGCTAGGAGGGTGGTCGCTAGTATATTTGGGTTTTCCATCCGATTTATTTACTATTATTAGAGGGTTGTGAAGAGCCTCTAATGGAGGGAGGAAGATTTTCGCCAGACCAGGCTGGCGGGGAGGGGGGTATGACCAGGACGGTCACATGGGTGTCTGGGAGTCAGCTTCCTCCCCACCCCCCAGGGGAAAAGGAGAGGCCTTGCGTCTTCCTCGCTTGCGGGGTGCCGGTATTTATACTGGGGGAGGACCTGTATTTGGAACCCTAGGCGGCTCTTCTCCACCCCCAACGAACTTCTCTGCCTCGCTGCAGCGGGTAGCGTCCTCTCGCTCTTTCTTCCTCCCAGCGGGTGGCCTTCTGTGGGTTTCGATTGGGGGGAAGAGAGACGGGAGGTGTTTACGGGTTCAAGGTTGCGAAGAGGGGGGGCGGGGGGGAGGAGAGAGAGAGAGAGAGAGGAGAAGAGAGGGAGAGATTGAGGAGAAGGATGGCAGCCCACAAGGTTTCCTTCAGAGTCATGGCGATTGCGGCCCTCATCTTCGGGATCGCACTCCCCGCTGTCCAGGCGCAGAGCCAGGCCCCAGCTCCAGCCCCCACTAGTGACGGTTAGTTGACCCTCCTCCTCTCCCTTCATCTTCCTCCTCTCTCTGGAATGTGCCTCACTCCGAGGGAGACAGTGGTCTCCCTGCAACTTCCTCCACCCCTCCTGCTTCTTCCCGGCAATGTGGGCTGTTTCTCCGACGACCCAGATGGCGAAAACCCCAGTTCTCTTCTGGGCTAACTTCAGATCTGCCTCATAGCACCCTCATTTCAAAGTCCCCTCTACGCTGTTTCTGAGGTTATTTGCCTCATTCTGGAAATCATATTCTGACGAATGGTTCTCTCACAGGAACGTCGATCGACCAGGGAATCGCCTACGTGCTGATGCTGGTGGCGCTGGTCCTCACTTACCTCATCCACCCCCTCGACGCCTCCCCCTACAAGCTCTTCTGACGCCCCCTTCTCCTCTCCGGGCCTTCATTTTCTGATGCGCCGCCCACTGCGGGGGAGAAGAAGCCGAGAATAATCGATCGCCGTGCCGAGATCCTTATTCATAAAATCCCCCTGATTCGGCTTTCTTCTTCTCCTTTACGGGCTCTTGGATTCTCTGTTGGTGAAGCTTTTTAATTGAGTTGTAGCGTTATTACTCCCTTCTCATCCTCTTCCTCGTCCTTCCTTCTTCCCCTTCTTCTTCATCGACGTCGCTCTCTTCTCAAGGTACAATAATGGGCTCTAATAATTCCGGTCAGGAGACGACCCCCGATCGAAGGGAAAGAACGTGGTTCTCTGATCTTCCCAGATCTGATAACGCGAACCGTTTGATGCGAAAATCGGCACAAAACGTGCTCCAGCCTCGGTGCCGCACCTAGTTAACCGGTCGGTGAAGAGGACGGCTCCAAATCATCAACCCAACCGAGCATGGAACAAGAGGGAAATCGGCCCAAATCTCTCTCTCTCTCTCTCTCTCTCTCTCTCTCTCCCATTTGACTGGGCTTTGAGAGATTAAAACGCGACTAGACCCGTTGACACTCTCTCAGAGGAGTCGCTTTCGAGCCTCCCACCGAGTCCAACCGACAGCTCTCTGAGGGCCATGATCATTCAACTCGGCTCAGAGCTTTGGACCCTTGTAGACTCACAGATGAAGGTCAACGACGGTCGTCAAGAGAACCTCTCCCCGCGCCGTCCCCCCCCCCAACCCCCAACAAATAAAATGAACAACTTCTGCATACCCAGATGGAAAATTGACAGATTTTCCGCGAGCATAGTTAGCCCAGCAAGAAAAAAAATTTAAAAAAAACGGGCAAGATACACATCCCCGTGTATCCACGCAAAAAATCAGATGGTCACCCGCAAAATTATTCATCTGTTCTTGGTGGGAAGTCCTCGCCAGTCATGGACTCGAATGTCTCTGGTGCAGGACGTGCTTTACAACCTCGTAAAACGAAACCACAATCCCCACGGAGGGTCCTGCCCGAGCTACGCGTGGCCCGGCGCCTGTGAAGAGGCCTCTCATGCCTCTCTCCCTGTTAAAAAGGTCACAACAGTACCATCTTCAGAAAGCTAGCTCCTCCTTTACATCGAGCATGAAACATGCATGGTTCTCACTGGGTTTAGCTACAGCATCTACATGATCGAACTGCGTGGGTAGTTACCATATAGACAGATGCTACTTGGTACGGTGATGACAAGCTTCTTCTGGGAATATTCATCATTATGTGGCATGGAGCATGATTCTTACCGGTGTTTTCTAACAGCATTCATATGATACGAACATTTGGCATCTGGCACGGCGAGGAGATCCGTTCTCCAGTGAAATATTCATGGTTGAGAATGAAATAAAGCATTTTGCCGCGACCAAAGAAGATTAAGAAAGAGCGGATGAGGGAGAGGGAACATACCTCCAAACATCGACTAGCACTTGCCTGGTGGTCATGTTCAAGGCCCTACTTGGATCCTTCTGTGATACAAAGAGAGAGCACTGATGTAAAAATGGGCCGAGGAAGAGAGAAAGCAGCAGAAAAGTGGCTGATTCATGCAAAAGAATGTCCCCATTTTCCAGCCTGGGTCGCAGAAGAATGCAGGCCCTAATCAACTGCAGATTTACTCTCAAGTAAACCTGTTCTAGGATAGAACCCAATAATCGAATAGACCTTCTTGCGAAAAAATGGATCAAATTTTGTAGATTCGCTAAGTCAAATCTTACCCAAAAAAGCCGCTGCTCCATGGGGAAACTTCTGCCGTAATTTATTAAAAATTGCCTCTCAACAGGCCAAGAAGATGGCCTCTGGGTGGCGACCCATCTTATTTTTTATAATGACGGGAAAATCGTAAATGTTTTTTAATAATTTGATATCGAAATAATTCCATAATTGAATGAAGTCTTTGCAACAAGAAAAATAAATAAATAAATAAATAAATTGTATGAGATGACCAAAAGTAGAAGGGTACCTCTATTTGTCTGCGAGTCTTTACAACGTCAAGTGGACATGTAACCGCAGCTGCAATGCTTCCTGCAACAAAACCAGCTGAGAAATTGGCCCCCAGAACACTTGCTGCAGTCGCCTCCTCACCAACAATCCCAAGTAGTTTTCTCCTGATCTGTTCAGAGTGTCAGTTCTCGAGATCATTCAGCATTATAAAGAAAGGCTGTCAGAAACTAACGAACTAAAGAAATCACCATGCACCAGAAAGAATATTACCGGCTCAAGGGTTGACCAACAGATAGCAGAGAAGGGAACATCACGAGCAAGTTGTGCACCCACACCAGTCCACAAGACGCGGAAATTCTGTACTGTTTTTTAAATAGCGTTCACATCAGCAGGATATACAAAATGAAGGGAAAAAAATCCTATGAATATTCTGGTCCAGAGATGGAAACTCATGGTTATCAACAACTTTTTTCCTACGTCCTTGAAGATCGCACTTAAGAAAGAATCCATGGTGGTCATCAGAAAGCAGGGATAGCGGGACCTTTCAGTGGTCGATTTTTATAACATTAGGTTAATGGTTAATGCTTCCACCCTATGAAATCAGTATACGGAACATGAATGAGATGCTAGGCTAAACTGAGATAAACGACATGAACACTCCATTTTTGGTAAACAAATCTTTTAATTTATAGGAAAGTCTTTTAAACCCACCATAAAACCATGGTGAAGCACTATCAATTTTTAGTTTATTATTATAAAAAAAAGGAAGACGGATAAAGCATTCGTCTACTACCTTACTCCCGGGTAACAACAAATCTGTCACCAAGTCTTTGAGTCACTCACAACAATGGAACTCAGATCAAAAGCATTCGAGTTAGTTAGACTAGAATCTACACCGTTCATGTCCAAATTCAGCTAGATGAGTTCACGCACGATGAAAACGGTGGTTTAGTTCGAATGCGCTCTGAATTACACGCAATTTGTGGTGGCACAATGCGTAAAATCTGCCTTTTTTCTGAACTCATTAGGTTCTTCTAGAAATCATAGTACCTCATTTCTGCCCAGGTTGTCCAAGGCAGATACTTGACACCCAGGTCTGTCCTGGTTGGATTGAAAACTATAATTCATGCTTGTAATAGAAAAGGGTACACAATTTAATGAAGTAATTATTTCTTTAAGTTACGATTTTTCATCCATGTAATGTTACTGTCCCACGTCCCAATGCTGTGGTCTAGAACAACCAACAATGTATCACATTATATATAGAGAACGTTCGGAAGAAGAGTGCGTACTGTTTTGCAGATTACTGGTATTCCTCAGCGGTGAAAGCACCCCGAGCAAAGTTTTCCAGACCCCAGGAGGCTTTCCTTCACTTTTAAACTCTTTAAATGCCTGTTGTCAATAAATCCGGTAAACCGATAAATACATTAAAAGACTGAGTTAGGGAAATAAAATAAAGAACTCCAGAGAGAAAATACTCTATGAGAAAGTTAAAGCTTCTTCAATGCCTGGACCCAGAGAGCTAGCTTGGTGAAATCACCTACCTCAGTCTATACAGCTGACAATTTAAGAGCCGAGTGCAAGAGTAGGGCTCTACAAACTGAGTTAAATCCCCACAGCCAACTTAAGCATGCATGGAGGAGTCAAGATGCTCTCTGTCTATTCAAACCTGATGCCACTATTTCTTCTCCTTTTTTGTGCTATTTCCTTCCATCACAAGAAGGCTCCTCATTATGATCTGGATTGTATCACTATCCTTATCTTTTATTTATTACAACCGTTCTATTGTAGGTATCACTCTCCTAAAACGGAACGCACCCAGACAAGATCCTTGTAGTGCCGCGTAAGACATTTTTTCCCTTCACAGACAAAAAGCTGAGCAAGAACAGGTGATTGATCAATTAGGCAACGGATAAATTTACTAGTAAACGCTTGCAACCATCATTCTGCTTCCTACAATTTATTCCTTCTTGTCTGAGGAGCACTCGTTACCGTAAGTAACACCCTTGTGCGCCCTCTCAATTTGTCCTCTAAAGTGCAGAAGATCTAATATTCTACTGAGAAATTGAAATATTATATTTCTTCAAGTATTTCGGCACAAGTGGAAAGCTTCAATCCCATGTGATTGAGATCAGGCTATATCCACGAAATGCCTGATCGAGATGGGATTGAAGTATTTCGGCACAAGTGAAATTCCTCTTAAATACGATATTGCAAACATTTCTGGAGATCAGGCTATATCCACCTTTTTTTACTTGTTTCATTCATTTTAAAAATTTCAAACCCATCGAGTTCTCATAGGATGCGTGAATCATCCAGACCCTGTCGTCTTACCACCCCCCTGTCCCCCCCCCCTCCAAAAAAAAAGGTAATGATCCAATGCTTGTAAATATCGCTTATAAATGGAATGAAGATGATGTTGAGTACAAAAGCCAAAAATTAGGCTAGCAATGGGGAATCTAATTTGTGTCAGCAACCCAAAACAACCAAAATATCCTAAACCACCTGATCTTAATCATTGAATGCAGCATTTTTTATTGTTTCTCTGACTTCATTTTCATCAGGAGAATCTATACAGTGATATATTGAAAGCATTATACTATCTTACTTTGGAAGGATAAAGACAGTAAATTATAATGTGTATGATAAGCAAGAGGCATTTTGGATGGCAAGCCCCTATCTCGTGCTAAAAAGGCCAAGGCAGTTCCCACGAGCACAGAAAACTCGCAATACAGTTAGTGTTGCAAGAGTTTTAATTTTTCATGAAAAGAGAAGCAATATACCTGCATTCGTGTTCTTGCAAGTTCGATGGGAGAGCAAGCTATGCAGGCTAATGAGCGTGCAACAGAGCCCGAAACCAAAGGGGCGTATGGTGTCAAATTCGGAGCATTCTTAGTTGTGAAGTCCTCTGTCCAGTTGCGAAATAAATCGTAGCATGGTAAATATATACCCACCTATTATCATAAGGGGAAAAGATTAGAAAAACAAATTAAAGGATCTCAGAACATTAAAAAACGATCGAGAACAAGGTAAGCAGGACAGATGCTCAAACTAAAAGCTGACTTTTTTCAAAATGCCTGTATTCGAAGCACAAAATATAGAAAGTGGAGTCAAAGCTGAGGTTTCAAAAGTAGGGTAGATCAGGCAAGAATCAACTGAACCAACCAAGCTTTCCATCAGCTGCTTTAAGTGACCGTGAATGTGAACTAACTATAATAACTAGAGGGGTATTTAGTGTTTATTCTTGAGAAAAAAATTACCACTAAATAGGCTGTTATAGTCATCCATTCAAATATTAGATCCAAAACAGGAACTAGAGAAGAACTCACTGTTGGTATAGCTAATGCTAGTGCTGCATTAGTGCCTCTCCAGAGTCTAGTAAATCCTTCCTGCATAATTAATCTTATTAGATCCACAAGCGAAAAAAGATTTGAGAAATGATTTAAAATGTATGACAGTTTATGGAAGAAGAAATAAGACACAAGCTGCGTATATGCACTCGGGCATACAAAGGGAAAGGGGTTAGAACACCTACTTGTCTAATGATTTTGTGGAAAACATCCAGCGTTCCTTTGTACTGAAAACAATCAGGGGGACAAACCATTTCAGTACCAAAAATTCCACCACGAGTGCATGATGTAGAACATCTGATATCTGAAAAGATCTGAATAAAAACATCGAAATGTGGTTAAAAAATAGCGATAGACCATTCTTTGCATGTTACAGGAAAGTATCAAATCGAAATCCAAGTATCTGAAAATTAAATGCATACTAAAACGTTAAAAAATGCTGCACCAAGTAGAACACAGCTGACCAAGTAGAAATTTATAATATATGAGGGAAATTCTTGAAGCATAAATAACTACCTGTACATGAGAAATTCAGATGATGTGTCAACACCGTTACTACAATACATTTCACTGATTATTCCACGTTTCCATAATGGATGCATGCAGGCTATTCTACTCGTCAGAGTCCAAGGTAACACTCAACAGACCTAGGTAACACTCGTCAGAGAACCAGAAAGAGCTAATAATCCGTCAAAGCAGCCATAGCCATATGGCATTCTCTTAAAAACCATGACTGTTAAAGCTAAACATTCCATCGATGCAAACAAATATTATCAACACTGAACAAACAACGATCAATATTGACTTGGATAGCCAAATCTTGAAGGTTTTGGGCATAGCTTCCTGTTGGCTATCAACCTAAACAGAATATCCCTTTTACACACAGCCCTGGATAATATGGCAAACGTGAGAAAGCGTATGTTTAGATATGCTCGAAATGTATGTGAGGGAGTCATGCTACCAAAGACCAACAGGCACCATTAAATACTCAGTTTGAGAAGATCCAACGCAAACTATTAACAAATGCCTTCCTTAACCAAAACATCAGCTATCATAGAATTCAGTTTCAAGTTAAGACGAGACATAATTCTCTATAACTACTTTATTTATTTTTCATACTGTGGTGGGACCTAAAAAAGTTAAATGCTTGCTTCAAAATTTTGGCTGTCTCTCATAAAATGACATTGATGCTCATCGTTTATATTAATTTTAACAAATTGCAATAAAACGTGGTACACAACGAGGATTTTTTTCTGCTCCTTATCAACCAATTATGGGCTTTGTGATCCAAGCAATATTCAATGACACAACATATATAGGAGCCATGACCAAGGGTAGGATGTCTTGGGGAATATCTCCAGAATATGAATGAGCATAAAAATATGCATGGTGCATTAAATTCAGATACATCAGGCAGGGATCATTATCTCTTGAATGAAAGTTTCGATAGCTCACAAGGATAACCATGCATATGGTCAGCTTCCCCAGGAACAGAAATTATGAACAGTTAAGAAAATATTTTCTTCCTTAATTAAGAATTATGTGAAGTATTTCTGCTAATGGCGTCCAGTTGAAGATCAAGTGAATGAATCATTATCAAAATCGAAGAAAACAAAGGGTCCCTGTTATGATTGATAGTACAAGTCATTATTGTCTCGTGACATCACATTCAATTAATTCGTGGTCATAATCAACATACTTTTTTGCATCTGAATTCTAAAGCATGTAATTCATATATACCTAGGCTAATGGAGAAGTAAAAATCTGAGGGATGTAAAATCCATCTCGTGCTACATACAGGCAGGTTGATCTGACAGACAATAACACTGAAGCTGAATGTCGAATGCGAAACGAGACAAATGGTTCACGGAATCATTTTTCAACATATATTTCCTAGTCTAGAATCATAAAGTACGAATAATATGTTAAATCACCACAATAACCCTCTCGTCATTTTATAATAAATGTGGCCAAGATAGTCAAGATAGTCAAGATAGACTATGTTGAGGTCATCACCATACCGTGTTTGACCCCAGTGAAACAATGTGCCTTCGGACATATGGCTCGTAAGGATAATACGGAACTCCAGCTGCCTGCGCCTGTAATCTAGTCTGGTGACGTGAAGTCAGGGACATCAATCAGTACTTAGCATAAAACTGGTAAAGCACGACATATAAAATCAACAAAGCAATCAATCTCCAGTGACAGAAGAAGAAGACTGGGCCTTCACAGTTTTGATAAAGCATCTCGACAAAAAACCAATTAGGTTTTAAGATAAACAAAAATTAGAGAAGATATCGTACATAAATCAAAACAATGGAAGAAAATTCGTTAGAAATGTACATAACAAGATGGAAAGTTTCCCTAAAACCCCCGGCCACTGTATGATAGATACTGTATTCGTCAAGCTCGATAGACAGTATCAAAGAGAAGCAATGGAAGAACGAAGGGCCTTGAGGGAATAGTGTCCAAATAGAAACGGCGATTAAACCCTACAAACGAAGGAAGAAACGACAATGCTTCTATCAGGACAAACTTCATTCGTTTCGCGCGATTCTCATTGCTATGGAATACCGAACGATGTACAGGGTGGGTCGTTAAAGAAGGGTACCTTGGCGACATCAAGGGGATTCACGAGGACCGCCGAAAGAACTGCAGCCCCAGCGGCAGCGACGGACCTCTCTCCGAAGCTCATCTCGGTATCGGAGGACAACCGAATGGGAGACATCGAGGACAGAGAAGGGTGAGACATCCAAACGTTCCCCGCGCCATCGCCGTCACGATCAACCCTCGACGAGGGGTTCATCCACGAAGACACCGTGAGCCTCCAAGAAGCCACCGCCAACGCCGACCCCGCGCCACCCTCGCCACCGCGACCTTTCCAAAACTCCGCACTGGAATCTTCCCTCCAAAGACGTCACATATGATGTAGCCGACTCACCACCATGAGGGTGGTCTTGAAGGGCAACCCACCAAGATTTAGAAGGGCGGACGGAGAAGGAATAGCACGAGGAACTCCTCTCTCTCTCTCTCTCTCTCTCTACGTAATGAGCTATGCGATGAGCTAACTCTCCACCAGGTTTGAGGGTTGTCCCTAAACCGGAAAAGCGCCACCTTCCCTCTTCTCTACCCCACAACCAATCCTCCGTTCATTTGTGGCGACCACGGAAATGGAGGGTCAGGCTGCGCGAAAGGGAGGACTCGTAGAGGCGGCGGGGGCGTGCGGCAGGAGGAAGAACCACCGCCTCCCGACTCAAGCGGGCCACGTGGCCGTACCCCCCGCCTGCAATTCTCTCCCCCCGAGCCCACCGTTGCCGGGACTCGGAGAACTCGCCCCGATTTCTCCTACAACTCGGACCCCACCCCCCGGGCTCCGCTCTTGTCAAACCGCTGCTTGCTTGCAAAGCAAGCAGGTTCCTTGGTCAAACACGATCCAGGAGATGGGGGTCAACGAGCCAAAAATGCCAACTTGGGGCCACAATCTCTCTACGGTCCAGGAGGGGATCAACGAGCCCAAAATGCCAACTTGGTGCTCTCTCTCTCTCTCTCTCTCTCTCTCACACACACACACACACACAATCGAGTCAGAAGTGATCGAGAGAAGAGCAAGATTGTATAGCATGGTCTCTCTGAAGAAGACTGAGTCTCAAATGGCCCGCGTTGACCGAAATCGCTCTTGAGGCCGAAGTATCTCACCGCTTGTCCCCCGCTGGTCGTGTGCGCCCCGGGAGGGCTCTGCTCCGCCAAGGAGAATCTCTTCACTTTCTGGACCAGAACAGCGAGAAGATCATTACATAGCAAGCATGGGCAGCTCCTCCAACCCAGAGATCAACTGAGATTATGATTATAAGTAGAACAGAAGCATATCTACTTAGATGATCATGAATGGGCATACATACTGAGCATCAGGGAGAGCATCCAAACCAGCAATGGGACGTTCACAAAAGCCAAGATTGGGCTCCGACTATGAGAGATCGGCGAGGTAATTCGACAGAAGCAGTAGAACAAGGAGAGAGATTCACAGAAACAGCAATGGTGGATATTATTGAAGCCTTGATCATACCCGCCAGAGGTATCTAGTAGAGAAATGATCTAACAACACCAGCGAGGAATACAATCAGATCAAATGGTAAAAATTTTGATCCATCATTAGAAGCAAATATCATGGCAAAGAGTTATATGAAACAAAAAGAATATAAAAAATATGACGATCCAGCATTCTTCGGCTAGTATGGACAAGAACAAAGCAGGACCAGCAACCAATCTTGAAAGAAAAGCATCTCACATTATAATAACTATCTTCTTTAACTCGGTTTCGATCCCTTTATCAGTACATGTCCATCCGCCATGATCCTTCTCCTAGAAGGCGAAAATGGCGCCATTCATAAAAACCCACCTGCCGGATTCATCGTACTTCTTTTTGACATTGTACATTTATTCATACATAGTTTCCTCCGACCAGGGATGGAGCACAGGATTTTAGATAATTGTATATTTCCGCGTTATTTTCAATTTTTCTTAGAAGAAAATTATCACTGTGAATAGGCCGGAAGACGACTTGAAGAATTTATTCTACCAGGGGAAAAATCTCACCGAATTGAAGGGAGAAATTGAGCAGGAATGCATGCCGTCGATAGCCAGCGTTGATTTTATGCAAATCAGGGATTGATTCTTTAAAACTCGCGCAAATCAGAGAGATAGCTGTCTAACATTCCCGATGGGATCCGTCCCCTCTTCCCCGTCCTGCCGATGGGCGATGCAGCAAACAGACCATCCACGAGAGCTCGGGAGGAAACCATGGGAGGGACTTGGAGAATCATGTCGATCAACGATTATCTCGAGATGTGAAGGGCCATCAAAAGTTGAAACACGGAGAGGGGAAAATGAAGGACCTCACCTTATCCAGAATACACTTCCGAAGCTCATCCGACAACCGGAGGCATTTCTCCCGGTCGTACGCACTGTCGGCCACACAGTTGAGCAGATCCAGCGCCTCCTTGGCGCACACGGGCTGAGGAGTCACCTTCTCTTCCTCCATGGATCCCCCCCCCCCACCCCCCCGCCCCCGCAGTCAGGGGCTTTACGATCTCCTCAACGATGTGTTATATAAATCGCGGGCGCAAAGACCCCGCAACTGTGATCGAACTTCACGAAGTCGGCGGCGATTAACGTCTCAAAAAGATTTCAGCTTGGAAAATGGGAAATCCCGAAATAATTTATTGGGCATAAAACACAATATTATTTAACTTTATTATAACTAATACGTATTTATTTTACATGCAGCAGAGTTAAAACACTACTTACATGGGAGAGAAAAAATAGAGTTTTTTATACGTGATTAATATTTAATTATTGTACCAAATTCTGCTACATCATATGATCATAGCTATGGTATGTTGATCTCGGGGGGGTTAGCTGCTGAGCAAACGGACGGACGGCTTTGCTGCGATGAGATAGGATTAAAATTCGCGCCTTTGCCGGGTTTTCACGAGCTTCGCATTTTCTCGGAGTTTTCTCCAGCGCCAAGAAAAACCCAGGGGGGGTCTGTTTTTCCGGGGCGACGGCAAGCTGGCGTAGTGCTTGTTATAGTAAATCCCCGCGGGGGGTCCGTCTTCCATAATGAGGAGAGCTTGGTGACCTCCCATGGCGAAGGCATATATCCCTGAGCTTCGAGGAATCGCCACGCCTCGTCGCCGTCGAAACCACAGAGAAGGGAGGAGGTGGGGGAAGAATGGCGCGGAATCATGTGCTCCTGATCTTCCTTGTAGCCTCCGCAGGCCACCTTCTTCAGGCGGCGGCGGGGATCTCACTGGACCACATCGTCGGAGGAAGCTCCGGGTGGCGGCTCCCCCCCAACGCCACCTTCTACAGTGAATGGACCCGAGATAAGACCTTCGTCGTCGGCGATAAGCTGGGTCCGTCCTCTGCCTCCCTCTCTCTCTCTCTGCTCTTTCGCTGTCTCTCTGAGAGAACGGTCTGGCTCGATGATGCAGTCTTCATGTACACATCGGGGCTACAGAACGTGCTGGAGGTTTCCGAGAAGGATTTCGAGGAGTGTACGCAGGAGGAGGTGGTGGACATGTACTACGCGGGGCCGACGGTGCTGGAGATAACGAAGCCCGGCCCACACTACTACTACTCCGGCATTGGAACTCACTGCGAGGACGGGCAGAAGCTCAGCATCAACGTGTCCGCCACCGCCGTCCCCGACCCAGCTCGCGACGGCCTACCCTTGCCGGCCAGCAACGCCAGCGCGCCGCCGCAGGCGGCGGGCGGCGCCGCCGAGGCCGGGCCGGCCAGCGCCGGGTCACGCCTCGCCGCCACAGTCGCCGGGGTCTTGATACCTCTGTCGACGGCGCTGCTTGTCTGAGAGGCCGATGGACGCGTTGCTCCGGTAATGGAGACTGCTCGCTTCTAGACAACCCATGTATTTCCCTTCCATGCGGAGAACAACAAGCCAGAGGAGAGAGAAATTCGGGCCGACAAGTTACCTAGGCTTCATATTGAACGCTTGTTTTTGCCGCCAAATATCGTCTCAAAATGGGGACTTTTTCTCTGAGCCAATCTAATCTGGACAACCCATCTAGAGAGAGAGAGAGAGAGAGAGAGAGCATCTTCGCTTCTTTTTCCGACCCTTTGCCCTCCGGCGGGTTCTCCTCTCGACAGCACGCTACCAGATAGATGCTCCTGCTCCGCTTGCTACCGTCGACGCGGGGGGTGAGTCCGGGGAGTGGGAACCGGAATATCTAGGCGGGGTTCTCCGCAATGACATGGAATATGGAGGTGGAGGAAGTTGAGGGGACGCTTGAGAAGATCTGGGACCTCCACGACCGGATCAGCGACGCCATCCACGCCGTCTCCAGGGCACACTTTCTGAATTCCGTCAGGGCTGCGGATGCTGGCGTTAGAGGCCTCGACGAGAAGAAGTATCCAAAGGCCGGGTTCGGAGGCGGCGGTGGGGACGATGGGAAGGATGGTTACGTGTTCGTGAAAGGCTTCAAGCTAGAGGAGGACGCCTCCGCCGTTGCGGATGTGAGGAGCCTTAATGGCATCAGAACTGCTCTCGAGGACCTCGAAGATCAGATCGAATTTTTCCACGTAAAATCATCGCTCCCCTACGAGTGTTTCTTCCTTCCGATCGTTACCCCTCCCTTCTTTCTATCTTTCTATCTTTCTATCTTTCTCTGTCTCTCTCTGTCTCTCTCGTTGTCGGATGTCGTGGATTTCATCATTGATCTTTCCTTTCTATGCTTGGGCAAATACGAATAGTATCTTGTCGGTTTTACCGTCCCGATTTGTTTGGCTATTTTTTGTGTGGCATTTGCATTGTCACGGTTGAAAGATTTTCCATACTTTCGACATCCAATGATTGCCAACTCTCGATCGGCAAAATAAGTCCAGCAACACACTTCGCGAACACTTCTATTATGCCTGTGTGATTCCTTCACTGTGATTTTTTGTACAAATCATGCCAACAATTATTATGATGAAAATTATTTAGTTAGTATCTCAGAGCTGTATTTTTTGTTCTAAGCTGTTGTACTTAAGAAGAACCTTGTTTTCTTCTAACCTATTTGGAAAGAACTAAAAAGAAAAAAACTGGGAAAAATATTTTCTCTATCCCTGGTTCTAAGAGTTCCTAAAAAAACGAGAAAATGGTTTATAAATTGCTTCGGCACAAATGAATAAACGATCTCTCAAACGCATAAATGGTTATGAGATTAACCACTTGAAATATCCTAGCATGCTTTACTTGTCCGTGAAAAAATGTTCAAGAGACCGTTACGCGTGATTTTTTGCGCTTATGAGAGTTTGGACGACTCAAATCTCAATTATTTCAGAGATTTTCGTAGGCAGATGATTTGGTACTGTTTTCTATCGTGGAATCTATTCAATTGAACAAGAATCAAGTTGCCAACCTATCGTAACTACTATAGCCAAAAAATTCAATCGAGTTGCAAGCTTATCATAAATTAGAAGCTTATTATCTTCTCACTAGTTTGTTTACGGCTAAGACCATGGCGATATGAAATGCACAATGGAAATGGGCAAGGAGACCCTCATGCTTTTAGGTTCCGCGCTAAATTTGTGCTGGATTTTTAATGAATATTGAATTAATGTTGATTAAAATTATGTATACTACGTTCATCTAATATTTTCGTCAGTCTGAAACAGAACAGAGGTCGATGGATCCCCATTGTGCGGTGAACTAGCATATGCACAACCAAAAACCTGAAAGTTCAATTTACATGAATAATTTAATTATGTTTCTGATTTCACATCTGCGCTCTGATGGCATTTTCCTTTATGGACTTTACCCCATTGAAGTTATAATCCCTCAGAAAAAGTGTTGTGTTTGATATCTCAAAGATCCTTTTAGTTTCTTCAATGTTATATACGAATAGCATCAATGCCACAAGGGCATATTGGGCTAAAATATGACATGGTTAGTGATATATATATACTTGCAGATCATAATTTTCGGTAAAATTTGGAAAACAAGGTGTTGATTAGGTGCCTCACCAAAGTAGGACATCACCTTTCTTATCATAGTTTTCCCTGACAACAACGATGCACACACACTACATATAAATAGATGTATATATAAATATGCATCCTTTGGTTGAGCGTATGCGCTCATGAATAAAAAAATGTATATGTACATGCATATATTATATGCACACGCACATTTATTTATTTCTATATCTAAATCTTTCAGATAGGAATATGCATTCATGATTCTTTTTACATAGAGTGATTTTATTTTTATTCACAAGGATATGTATGGCATGATTGGGAGGCTTAGAACTGCTTTTCCTGAGACTGAATCACGATCCTGAACGTATCAGACCTAGTCTAAGACAATAAGAATAATATCCCCGTTGTAATTGATGCTGTATGTAGAGATAAATGATTCATTTTTATCACAAATTATAAGTTACTATCCCGGACACCTTCCTCGTAGATATGAGTGATTCGCGATGATTTCACATCTCGCTTTCAAGAAATGTTTGTCAACATAAAAGGAACACTCTTCCCAAATCTCAAGGTGGAAAACAACCAAAGACTCTACCTCAGGTGAACCAATCATACCTCCTCACACAAACTGCTTCCTCATCTCTTGGCGGAAAATCATGCCAGGGGAACTACCCACAAAACCTGTATGAGGATTCATTGTTCTTGAGTTATGACTGACTGCTCGTGGTACTCGGGCTGATCTAAAGTTGTAAGTCTAGAAGAGATCAACTAAGTGCTAATTTTGTAGGCCTCTTTAGGTGAAATCTAGCTGAGTTCCTTGGTTTTCACATTAGTTCCCTCAAGATTTAGTGAAATTTAATGGTGTGGTCCTCTGTGATTGTAGGCAAAATATCGCTACAATCTTTTGGGGTGATCAAATCAAGCAAAGGTCTAAGACCAAAAATTCATGGGAAATCTTAAAAAGACCATGTAACCACCATCAAAACACACTCACACACCCCACACAATTCACAGTACGCTTTCGTGATTACTTTTGTTTCGTGTTCTCTTGGACTTTCCTAAGGAAAAATGTTGTGTAGTTGGGCTACCTGAATAGCCATTTGAAACAGACTCCAGACTGTGTATGATGATCGTAGGTTCTCTAGCACTTTCACATGAACACCATTAGTTTTCAAGACAGACACCTCCACGTGGATCCCATTTATGGATTGTGCGTTTTCTGTTTTTTGAATCTATCTGCAATAATATTTTGACAAAAATGACGATTTAATTGGTAATAGCTAGTTATTTGACTACGCCAATTTCTCCTCCAGATCATTACTTATAGTTTTTTTTCTTCTAAATTAGACTGTACAGTCACAACAACAAACCGAGCGAGATGCTGTGATTGCGAGGCTGGAGCAAAGTCGTATACTTCTTGCAATGAGACTCTCCAATCACCATGGAAAGAAGTACAAGGTAATTGAAGAAGCTCTGGCATTTGTCGGCGATGTATCAGATGATGGCTGCTTCATCTCACCTGAGTACCTGTTTCAAAGTCAACCCTGTGATAATCTAAGCGTCAACCGAGAGAAGAGGTCGACAAGCCTGATGGACATGCTGGTGTCCAACATCACACTAGCCAAGAGGTCCCTCAGATTGGATAAATTTGGAGAAATTCTGGGAAATGCCACCTTGTTCGCCGTCAGCATGCTCGTTCTGCTGCAGCTTAATCGTGTCGCCATCAGCAAGGAACAGAGTTTGTGCCGTGGAGGGGACGAAGATTACAATTCTGATCTGGGGAGCACCTCTCGTGGCGACCATGTGGACAAATTAGATGTATGGGCTGCCAGAGGATGAGAGGATGAAGGCTCCAACTGCTGACAAAATTTTGCTCTACCCTCCTTTTGGAGATATAGGCTATATGAATGATGTGTCGGTGTCCCTTTGACTACAGAATCTGAACGTGGTCAACCGTTGACCTTTTCGTTTTCGTTGTCAGCATGAATGAAGTCAGCAGTGTCAATAGCCGAGCTAAGTCCTTGGGCCCGGACATTAAGAATAGGCCCTGAAGGTAAGCATCTGAGTTGGGTCTGGGCTTCAGTAGGGTTTCAAGTCTTTAAGCCCAGATAACGTCTTCTCTTACTATATATAGATGGCCTCTGAACTTCTTCTCTCTCTCCCTCCCTCCATCCCTCCCTCCCTCGCTGATGTCGATATGGACAAGGGTTTTGACCTGTGGAACATAATTCATCAGAAAAAAATCCAATTTATTAATTGTAAGAGCGTTATTTGGTCGAACTCAGACAGATGTCCATCCGCTAGAGGTAGAGAGTAAAAATGCCCTTTTAAAGCTGCCCTAGGGATCGCGGGCCGTGCCTCACGAGGCCCAGGAAAGTACCCGGCCCATTTTCGCGAGCGGCGATGCGACCCACGTGGGAAATATATGTTTCTCGACAAACGTACAAGGGGTCACAGTGTGGTTGTCCCCCTCTCGGTTAATGCACCTGTCCGCATATGATGCCCCCGCAGTCGAAAGGAAGAGTCAAACTAGCCGGTGAGTGAGTCCCTCCAACGTTATACCCAGAGATCACTACTACCCATTAAAACCTCGCCCCCCCTTCGCCAGAACTGTGTGCCTCAACTACCGGCCAGGTGGTCTCTACCAGACTTAATATGGTCACATGTGAGCTCTCTCTCTCTCTCTCTCCCCCTGTCCCCCTCTCTCCCTCTCTCCCTCTCATAGTCTTCTGGTATGGGGAGTGTCGGAGGAGAAGGGGTTGAATATGCCTCGTGGGCCAGCACGTTTACGTTGGGATGGGGGAGGAAGCCCGACCATCGGGTGGTTCGTCCCAAAGTCTCCGGGCAGCCGGGTCATCAAACCCGGGTCAACAGGGTCTGGTTCCTCCGATGGGCTCGATCAAACCTGGTTGCTTCTTATTCTTCCTTCCGATCGGCCACGATCCACGCGCGAACGGGACTCCGACTGGGCGTGAAGCGGGGAGTCGATGGAAAAATGAGATCTTTTCGTCAATGGCGGATCTCCGGGGATCTCACTGTTCGCCGAAACGTCAGTCTCCGCAGGACGAGAAGAACTGTTCTAGCTCGGCCGGCCGCGCCTGCTCGCCCCAGCTTGCCAAGTGGCCGTCTCCGGGAACGTTAAACTCGAGTGGGTTAATGGCCGACTGGCCGCGAGGGGGTTTCCTCGAACGCCGAAAGCTAGCCGACTCAATTGATTTCCCCTTGTCCACTTCCTCGGGTTCAGGATCCTCTCCATCTCCCCGTCTCACAATCTCCTTCCGTGAATTTTCCCTTCTGTGATCTCTCCCCACATGAAGACAGGAGGCAGCAAATTCACATGCCGTCCTCTCTCTCTCTCTCTCTCTCTCTCTCTCTCTCTAGCCGTACGTTCTGAAGCTACGTGGAGAGGGTGTCCTCACATGGATTGTCTTGCACTGCAGTTTCCTTCCGGGGGGGGCGATGAGGGAGCTTGGCAACTCAACCCAACTAGTGTGGCTGCCGAGACGCGTGTTCACTATAATAAGCAGAGATATTGGAGAGGCACGAAAAGATCAGAGGGACCACTCCCATGTTCCTTTGGCTCTCTCCCTTCCCCTCCCTTTCTCTCTCTCTCTCTAGATATACGTATATATATATATATATATATATATATATTTCTATTCGATCTTAGAATAAAAACATTCATAATCAACGCTTCAATACTTCGCTGATCCACGAATGGGGAGGAGCTTTACTGGTCGGCGCAGGACCACCGTTCCATGGCTGTACAGAGAGATAACGACGGTTCGGGCCAACAGTCGCCATCTCAAACACGGGGTACCCAAATCGTCCCTCCCTCCCTCCCTCTCTCTCTATTCCGCGGGGAGGGGGGGAGGGTTGGAGGTTGCTGCCGTGATCATGCCGACCGGCCGGAGATGGGCGGCCTCGCCGCTGGTTATCGGATCTTCCATGTCGGTGCATTATGGCTGGGGGTAACATGCATTCAATGCCCACGAAAGCGATGTGGGAAGATGAGAGATGAGAGACGAGGGAGTTCTTTCAATGCGCATTAAAACATGCTTTTACCAGACCCATCAGGTTGGAAAACAATAATCTGACGTAGCACCGGGTATATATATCTGTATGTGCCTGATATGCGGATGGAAATCAGAGCTTTCCCGGCTCCTGAGAGAGACGGCGGCGCTCCGGGGAGGGGGACGAGTTCGGGTGGAGAGAGGAGATTTGGGGCAAACGTCTGAGGTCCTGCGGGTCACCGAAGATATGGATCGGAAAGAGGGTCAGACGATCTCGCTAAATTTTCTGGGCAAGAGAAATGTGCATTCTGCATGACAGTCCTGCTCAGGAAAAAAGGTTGAAAGTCACCCTGCTTCTTGTCAGATTCAACGACCAAATACGACTCATCTTTCCGCCCTAAAATTTCCACCCTGAAGGGCAACCTGCTACCTCACGCTGAGGGCAACCTGGATAGATAGATAGATAGATAGATAGATAGATAGCGAGAGGGAGAGAGAGAGAGAGAGAGAGAGAGAGAGAGAGAGCGGTTTAGTAATACTGCAAACTTCTGACGTTCATTAAACTATGTTCAACAGCCAAACCCATCCAGGTGCACATGAAACGCGAAGAAACGTTCAAACAGCGCCTAGAGAAGCAGAGCTAGAATGGAAAATAGATAGATAGATAGTGAGAGGGAGAGAGGGGGAGAGAGAGAGAGAGGGATAAACAAACAACTCGTGAGGCTAGTGAAGATGAAGAACGTTTCGATGAAAGCCCGGTGTTTCTAGTTATCAAACGATCTTTTTATAAATCTAACCGACAGCGGGACACGCACGCAGAAAGAGCCGTAGCCCGTAGCCTCTGCCGCTCCCTTGTCCCTCGCGTAATACGCCGTCGGAGAGCCTACCCTTCATCGAATTGTCGGCCACCCATGACACCCGCTCTTCAGATAGAGACAGCAGTATCCCCGACCACAGACGAGGATGGAATCCAAATTCCTTAGGGCTATTCGCTAGCAAAGTCAGTTCGTCAGTGACTTCAAAAGCCGAGAGGTGGTGGAGCGGTGAACCCCTCGGGGCTCTATTCTCCGTCTAATAAAAACCTAAAGCGGCGGCGGCTCCGGCAGCCGCGAAAGGGATTGATCGGGGGCCGCCGACGGGAGGCGGCTCGGCACATGTTCTTGGACTCTCCGGTGGGGTTTGTCGGGTTGCTTCGGGAGAGGGAAAACTTCGAGGGGAGGCGCCACCTGGCGAGTGCCGCCAGACGGCTCGATGCTCATACAGACGGACTGATGAACGCCGGCTGCTGGGGACCAACAGTCGACTGTGCTGCTCCAAGATAACATTTTTATCAGACTTGTTTATACACATTAATGTTCGGACAGTCCGCCCCCGGCAGCCGCGTTTAAAGCAACACGATCATGTGTAGCGCATTCTGTTCCTGCTGAATCCCGGCCTCCGCCCACGCCTTCTCCAGGCCACAAGAGACGATGTTTCATGATCCACCGCCTCCTCGAAGCCTAGGAACCACACACAGACTTCCATCCTTTCGTCTCTTGAGAAGATGAGCTCTGAGAGAGGCACAGCAGCCCCTGAGAACAATGTCCACCACGCCTCGTGCCGTACAAACTCCTCCCTAAAGGGCTCGAATGAGGACAGCTTTCCTTCTTCTTCTTCTTCATAATTTTTATGGCCCCCGCGTTCTCCTTTTGGGATTGTGTCCTCTCTCTCTCTCTCTCTCTCTCTCTCTCTCTCTCTCTCGTGGGCTCCGGAGCACTGGATTCGGTAGATTCTGCGGTCCCCGTGATCGAACGATTATCACGTATTTTCCATTACGGGGGAAAAGAAGAGAACGAATCCTTCTAGATTACACCAGTACTACCCGACAAAGAATATCTGCACCCCGCAATTGGGTTTGACCCAGTGCCGACATGACCGGTCAACGCCGAAAGAGACCCGGTTTTGTTGTACACCCTCCTGTTTCATTCGTGGAAATGGGGAATCAATAGAAACCCCGGAGATATCTTCCCAATTCTTTGTCGCGCTATTATTTAGTGCAAAAAACTGGATGCGTGAAATGGCGGCGGCAGCGGGGGCGGCGGCGGCGGCCTTGCCATATAATGGTCTCTGCCCGAATCTGGCAATCTTAGCAACAAGAATTGGATCTTCCCAGAGAAATGAGGCCGCCAAAGTGGTGGGAGGCGCGGATGAGCTCACTCAGGTGCGTCCGCACGTGCGACTCTCGTGCGTTCACTGCCTTTCCCTGAAAAGTGGTTGTCTTTCGATTTATTGTACGTAATATTATCAGTTTGCGGGGCCGCAAGCACGCCGCCGTCAAGCCCCCCATAACTTGTGTGAGGTCGTCGGAGGGAGGAGACCGGACGGGGGAGGTTCAGAAAGGGTAGGTCAACCTATAATCATCAGTCAGTGACAATCAAGCCATAAAAGGAAAGTGATCGGACAGCCATCGGAGTCAAAACGGGAAGTGACAAAAATATCATCTGCCTCGCCAATTGTAGATATGATGTTCGAAGCTCAGGGGACAAAAATTATTAAAAAAATACAAAAAATGGAAAGGAGGGGCAGATAGTAAAGTAATAGATAGGGCGCAAAAAACATCTCCCAATTTTTTTGGGGGCCGCAACAAAATTGGCCGACGTAATCGGCCGCAGGCGACGGGAAAATGGCGTGGGCACCGTCTGCGCTGCCTCTCGAGCCGAGCTTCTTCGAGCTCTCGCGGGCTCCTCAGAGCACTTGCAGGGCGGCGTCGGAGCTGAACATGTCGCTGATATCTCCGATGTCTTGGAAGCCGCTGTCAAATCTCCACGGCGAGGCTCTGAGCGAGCTCGAGAGCAGCTCCCCGTCCCCGCTCCCGTCGGCAAGGAAGGCGCCGGCGAGTCCGCCGTCGAGGAACAGACCGTTTTCGGCAGGGGAATCGAAGATCCCCGGCGCCGCTGCGTCGTCGAAGCAGAGAAACTCGTCGAAGAAGGACGCCTTCTCGAACTCGAGTAGCGCGCCCAAGTCCTCCGCGAAGCCCGCGTCCTCGAAAATCCCTCCGCCGAAGTTGCCGGCCTCGCCTTCCTCCTCCTCCATCCACTTCACCTCCTCCGGCAGCGTCTCCTCCGGTTTCGGGAGGTTCTTCTTCAGCTGGGGGACGTGCTCGGGAGGGTCCTCCTTTGTGCAGTATCTCAGCACCGAGGTGGGTGAAGATAGATTGTGAGAGTCCTCACCGGACTCGTACCCTGCGGAGGGGGACTCCGCTGTGGGCTTGCTGCCGTCGGCGGCAAAGTTGGTCATGGCGTCGGGCCCTCGCAGCTGGATTGCGGCGTTATCGTACACCTTGGCAGCCTCCTCGGCGGTGTTGTACGTGCCGAGCCAGATGCGTATCCCCCGCGCCGGGTCCCGAATCTCCGCCGCGTATTTGCCCCACGGCCGTTGCCGGACGCCGCGGAACCTCCGGGCACAAGGCGACGCAGCCGCCCTGGAGCCGGCCTTCCGGCGTGGGCCCTTGCCGGAGGCTCCGCAGGACCAGGGTGCCGCGCCGCCAGCTCCGGCGGAGGAGATCTCCATGCTGATCTCGTCGACGTAGCGCTTCACTCGGTGGCGGGGGAAGGAGAATGGGTCCTGCTCCTCGTCGCCGGAGGAGTCGGTGGCGTCGGCGTCGGTCACCGATATCCTCACGACGCGCGGGGCGGGGGGGTCGTTGACCCCTAGCTGGCGGGACTTCGAGCTCGCCTTGCAGAACTTGCTGAGCTTCCTCCGGTGCTCCGAGAACTTGACCGGAGGCGCCATGAAGCTTCCGTCCATCGTCTTCGATTGGCGGGTACCACAAAGATGCAGTCTTTCTACCGTCTGGTTGCCGCTACTCGCATTGATATCTACGACAAGGAAGCGAGTGAGAGGAGGAGACTGGCGGGCATCTACTCGCGACCACCGGGGAAGAGGGAGCCCAGATGAAGGGTAGAAAGGGGCATCTCTGGGAAAAAGGAAAAGGGTAGAGAAAGTTCAGACAATTCCTTTGAACGATGAATAAAAGTAGAATAAAAAGTGGTAAAATCGGGATAAAGAGAAAGCCACAGGTTGTAGCAAACGGAATAAAATAGGCAAAAGATGGAATAAATACCCACGAAACAGTGGAACAAGGAAATAGGTTCCCAGAAAATACGTGGCGGAATAGGTAAGCCAATAGCTCTGGAAAGGGGGAGAGCGGAGAGAGACGGCCGACGGGAGAGAGAGTAAGAGAGTAAGAGAGAGAGAGAGCAAGCTCCTACGGTGGGGTGAGTTCTTGGCGGCGGCAAGATGTAAGAGCGAGAAGGGAACAGAGAGAGGAACAGTGAGGGTTGAAGGTGAGCGAGAAGGGAAGGGGCTTTATTACCTGCGTGGGAGATGGCAGAGGAGGAGGAGGGAGGGCGGGCCTTAGATTGCCGTGGTACTAGACGCAGTGTACAGCATCGGCAGCAGGTCACCCCGAGAAACTTCGCCGTTCTTCTCCCACAGAAATGCTCCCTGCTCGCTACCCTCCTCCTACCTAGCCCGGAATAAAGCCGATAAAGCACTCCTCAAAGAGAGAGAGGGAAGAGAGAGAGGGGCGAGGGGGGGGGGGGGGGGGTGGGCGCGCTGGAGAGTGCACCGGCGGAAAAAGAGACAGACCGACTGCAAGAAGAGCGAGAAAGAGGGATGGAACAGTGATGGTAGTAGGAGAACGAGCGAGGGCGAGGACGAAGGCTCCCCTAGAGAGAGAAAGAGAGAGATAAAGTGGAGTAACGGTGGTGGGTTGTACCGCCGCTGTATTATAGGGATCCCCCCTCGCCGGAGCAGCCGAAATCCGGAGAACCCGAGTCGGCCTGCTGCTCCATATTTATTTATTTCCCTCCCACCCGCCCCGCATTAAAGTTCCCTTCCTGCCCTTTCACCACCGGCCGATATTTATCGGCCCGCCGTCGCAGGGAACTGCGGTGAAATCGTCCCTTTCTTCTTCCTCCTCCTCCGCCGCCGCCGCCGCCCCACCAGGAACGTGACGTGGCCGCCCTGCAGCGCCCCTGCAGCCCAGCGGCGAGCCACTGCTGACCCGGCCCGCCCAACTCAGTCTCGATTCCCGGGTCAGCCCCGCTCTGGCCGGGTCACGTGACCGTCGACGGCCCTTCTGGTTTAAACTAATGCGGTCAAATCGTCGGGTCGGGCAACGCGTCAGGCCGATTTGACCGGGCGCCCCAATTCCCCCTCCTCCGGCAATTAGCACTTCCATGTCCGAGTCACTGCTACGTTGCGGCTGTGCCTGCCGCGAGCTTTCTTCCTTTCCATCTCCTCCTCGGCCGCTTTTCAGGCAGGCCAGCTAATCTTCCCCTACAAGCCTCCCCCTCAGCCTGTCCACAGTTTGGCTTTGACCTTCGTAGAAGTACTAATTACCCACTTAAAGGAGCTTAATGACCACCCCCCGAGGGCCTCTCCGAATCCCCCCCCGACACTTCGTCGCCTCGGGTACGAAGATCTCTATCCATCTATCTAACCTTCTCTGTGGCCTATCACTCCCTTTTATCGGACAAATCCTACGCAAAAGTCAAACTCACTGATTTTTCTTTTCACTTCGGAGTAAGACCATGTCTGGACACTGGATGCGCCGTCTTGACTTCCGCCGTCAAAACGCGCTCCCCTTTTCCCATTATTTCCATGGTTTTTACGACATGAATAATATTTGACAAGGAGGCCGACGAGGCCGACGAAAATTAGCTAGACGGCCAGATGTGTAAGGTGCAAGCGAACGTATCTCACTAGCGACGATCGGATCGCGCCAGTTGGCGGCCTATTTTAGGAAATGTATCGTGGAAAGCTTCTTGATATACCGATTGTATCCATCAATGCATAACAAAGATGTTTATAATCAGCACATATAAGCAGCATATAGATACATTCTACCTATCTTTGAAATATAGAATCCATTCATTTACACTTCCTATTTTTATGATTTCCTGATTTCACTCGAGAAATAATTAACGACGTGGAACATTAATAAAGATCAACGAATCGGGTGTAGCTTAGAACAAATAACTAGCTGGCAACGTGTTGACTAGTTTTGTCTGGTCCGGATCCTAGTCAACATTAACATAAGACGACCGCGTCATCTTACTTGCTCCCAAAATACCGTACATATTTGACCATTTACAATGTCTAAATGAAAGAAAGAGTTCATAAGAACATTGAGCGTGGGGCTTCCATGAGATTTTTGGTAGCCACAACCATACAACTGAAGGCAAATTATCTTGGTAAAGCGAAGCATAAAACTTGATTCCCCAAGGTTAGATTGGATGAAGTAGCTGAGTTGTGAGATGATTAGTAATCCAACTTGACGATGGCTAGTCAGGATTGCTGCCTACTCTTCATTTTTAACGACTGAGACCGTAGAAACTTAGTGGACGTGCCCACCTGCCATTTTCCTGATCTACTAGGATTCATTTGTAAAAAAAAAAACGATGTAAACTAGCAATAAACTCAAGTAATATATGAAATGTACGTTCAACGTCAATAAATGGAAGGGAGATGGTTACAAATGGGGCATACCTTAACGCTACAATTTCCCCCACAAAATGGTCATTTGGTTGAATTTATTATCACCACCATTGTGTGCATGTGTTGGTCTCTCTCTCTCTCTCTCTCTCTCTCTCTCTCTCTCTCTCTCTCTCTCTCTCTCTCTCTCTCTCTCTCTCTCTCTCTCTCTCTCTCTCTCTCTCTCTCTCTCTCTCTCTCTCTCTCTCTCTCTCTATCTGTCTATCTATCTATCTATCTATCTATCTATCTAGATATATGTATGTCGCTCCACTCTTGTAGATTAACAACCCATCAAGTTTGAATAATCACTGTCCATTTATAGTGTATATTATTAAAAGCTTGACGGACATATATGGAAGACGTATCCAAGTTATATCATCACGTACTTTACTATGACAGGAAGGAGTTTGAGATAGATGAACTACAATGCCGGATCCTGTGATCTTGGTCCCGTCAAGCTTGACCGGAGGCAACACCTCCGGGAAGTAAGTTCCGTGCTCTCCAAAAGTAGCCATCGACTCAACTTTAGGAGTGACTGATCAGAAGGTGAGAGGTCAAAGGCAAAGTGGTGGGACCCACCGCCGGGTTCCCCGACTTCATTTGTCGGAAGGTCAATGGAAGAGCCTTTGGTCTGAATTAAAAAAAAAAAGGAAAAGGTTACAGCGCCCCACGTGCGGCACGGTGCGCTCGCGTGGTGCACACGTGCACGCGCGCGTCTTTATGTCGGCGCGTGCATGGGGAGGGAGAACGTAGGATTATTTTATTTATCGGGCACGCTGATGCGATTAATCCCCGCGGCCCAGTCGAGGGGTCCCGTCGAAATCCGCCGTGGGATCGTCAACTGGTTCTTCGTCCCATGTTTGGCTTGGATTCCTGGGGAGCGACGGAAAAGGGAGCCCGAGCCCGGGAATCACAAGAGTTTTCAATTCCCCCGCACGCCGCCCGTGGGGGGGCAAGCGATTCCGGTCGTCCTGAGCTCTCTCCGGTCAGCTTTTCCATAAACTATGAAGCTCACGCCCACCGCCGTGCATGTGGGTGGCAGAGACGAAAGAAGAAGAGGACGGGGTAGGCGGGGTGGTGTAAACCCTAAGGCTCATCGATAGGAAGTACCCGGGCGACGAAGGTAGGGTTTGGAGATGGGATTCCCGGGAAAGTTTCAGGCTGATCACCTCGAAAGTAGGGAGAAAGAAGTTGAGCAAGCGCACTCGGCTGCTGCGTTTGGTGGTCCTTTTCTGACTCCGAGGCCAAAGACCCTTGATTTTTTTACCCGTACCAAGAAGATGAAGTCTGCGTGTGGAGATCTTCGCTCTAATTTCTACAAAAAGATGGAGGAGGACGAGGAAAAGACGATGATGAAGACGAAGAAAATCCGCCTGTTCTTGCGTTCAGAGGCCAAAGCAAACATGGTTTGAAGTACCTAGAAGCTAAACCCGGCGTTTGAAGTTTTCCCCTCTGATTTATAGCAAAATGGATGCGGAAACGAAGAAAGAAGACGATAAGCCGAGATCAAAGGCCAACCAATGATTGGCTACAGGTACCCAGCTGCTAAAGCCACCATTAGAACACCTTCGTTCTAGTTTCTATAGAAACAGACGAGGATGGTAACAGGAGAAGTGCGCCGGTTGCTGCTTTTGCTTGCTTCACTTCAGCTGCAACGAAGATGGAAGAGAAGCTCTCCGTAAATCCGCAATTTTTTAGGATTTATGGCATTATTGTAAATAAATACATTTCGAAGGGGCTTTTTGTAGGACCGATTCACCCCGCCTCTACCCGCCCCCCAAGGAGATATTTTCAATGGGCTGCGGTGGGCCGCAGTTGATAACGAACATGTACGGGCTGGGTGCGGGGCCCACGGACGCGGGTTGGCGAGCACGTTAGCGTTACTCCGGGTCGTTAGTTTTCGGATCCTCCCCTCCCTACGCAGAACCCCACGAGGATTAAATAAGGTTGCATTATAATAATATGTTGTTCTGCGGAGGACTGTATCGGGAGCCGTACGGCCTGTCGGCTGGCCTTCAATAAACATCTCAGCTGACTGGCAGTCACAACGTAAGCCTGCATGGGCCCCGGGTCTCTCCTTTCTCTCTCTCTCTCTCTCTCTCTCTCTCTCTCTCTCTCTTCTCTCTCTCTAAATGTATGTGTATTCGCGCGCATGTGTATTAAAAAATCTATATGCATTTGTCAAAATGCAATATGCGTACGATTTACGATAGTTTTCTCGCAGTAGGAGGATTGATAGCCCAGATAGAAAAAAAATCACAGGAGGCCAGTCTGAATCTGGGGTTGACCCGCGTCAGTCTCAGCTGAGAACATCATGATCCGCTTAGTCGCGAGATTGACGAAATGATAGCCCCATTAGGCGGAGATAAGATCAGCATGGAGTAAGGAGCATCGGTTGACCTCTGGAATTCGAATCTCGGCCCTATTTCGTAGTCTTTGACTTGTGAGGATCTGACTTCCCATGAAATATTTTCCATATGAATCCTGTAAATTTGAAAAACAGGGACGATGACTTTGCAGGAGAGGATGCGCCGGCGCCAAGTGAGGTATCACGCCGGGAAGGCTACGACTCCACCGGCGATTGCGGGCCAAAAGAAGCCCACCACCGCCGCCACAACCGAGAAAGAAAAAAGGCGGCCATCATCACGGCAGAAGAACCCCGAGCTCAATGGCAGGTGGCGCGTAGGTGCCCCGCCGCCAGAAACCTCCAGCTCGAAGGGTGGCGGCGATGGACCATGGACCACGGTGAGTCGCCTTCTCTCTCTCTCTCTCTCGCTCTCACTGTGAGGGAGAGGGGGAGGAGAAGAGAAGGAATGGAATGGGCAGATGCCATAGATAGACAGACTTACCAGCACATGAAATGTTGGGTGGGAACCAATCAAATCGTCGATTTTGGAGATGGAGACATCATCTCCTCCTTTCCACTCCGTGATGAAGGTGAAAGGCTGCAAACTTACAAGGAGAGAGAGAGAGAGAGAGAGAGAGAGAGAGGGCACCGGCCCGAGTTGACGCCGCCCCTCACCTCCATTCAACGGCTAACCCATCGCGTACTTCTGGGTCCAGCTCCTCGCTGTGTTGTCGTACTTGTTCCTGTCCGTCTTGCACATGTGCGCGATTTCGGGCACCAGGGGATCGTCCGGGTTTGGGTCCGTCAACAGAGAGCAGATCGAGAGCAGCACCTGAGAATTATAGACCACGGATTTAGAGAAAAAAAAGCGCCGCGCTCATCAGAGTCGTGTGAGAAATCCGAAGCGGAAGAACCTTGGAGATGGTCAACGCGGGGCTCCACTGTTCCTTGAGGATATCCAGACAGATGCTTCCGTTGCTGTTGATGTTGGGATGGAACACCTTCGTCCTGAATGCAACCTGCAAAATAAATACCCACATTGGATACTGAATTAAACCAGAATTGCATGCATTCCCTCCCCCGCAGAAGGCTCGTTCATCGGTCGCCATAGAAGGAGGATCTCAGCGCAGACTCCATTGTTTACAGTGAGATTCTCCAAGCTTTCCACCGGGTACCAAACGATGGTGAGAAGCAGAAGACATCAATCCAATTACAGTACGCATCTGCCCACGTCTATCAGAATCTGATTGCCCTCGAGGAGCCCACCCTCCCCACCAAATAAATCTCCGAGCGTTCTTTCAAAACTATGGCGGCTCACCTCACCGCACGACATCACAAGGTTCATTCAACATGGCTCTAGTAGCCTGATCTAACACAAGCGGATGTATTACTTGCAGTCAACACAAGGGTGTGCGTGAAATGGCCGAGCAGAAGAAAATTCATCGAGAGTTAACCATATACAGCGAGTGGAAGGAGAACAGGCGGTACCTTTGGTGGCTTAAAGGGGTAATCCGGAGGGAAATGAATAGTGACCAAGAAAACGCCCCCGGCGTAAGGACTGTCAGGAGGGCCCATTATTGTCGCTTGCCAATGGAACATGTCCTCAGCTACAGGGCCTGCGAGATGTCAAATCTGTGAAAAGCAGTACAGACAGACTCAAAAATGAACAGAGAATGAGCGTTCTAGGGAACAGTGAGATGCCTAAACTGCTCAGCCACAAGACCAGAGACTATTAAAGAACTGATGGAGAGGCATGCAGAAAAAGAGAACACGGAGGCCACCCTTTTTTCTTTTCTTTTTTTCTGAAGAAGCCATCGTTTTATAAAATCAAATAATCGAAGTTTATAAAGCTAAATCACTCGGTGTCATCTTAGCTTTCAAAGTGCGAGCTATCCGGCTCAGTACGTTTCTACATTTCCATCGCAATAAGCTAATATAATATTAAACCTTAGATCATTTTCATAATAAGAATAATTCAGCACCAGAGACTCATATCTTGTCTCACAAAGAATATAGATATTCGAAACAGGTTACATCAGGCTATTTCACATTTTGAGAAGGTAACAACAAACTAATGAGAATAAGAAAAATCAAGAATGATTACAATAACATGAAATATTAAATGGAAAATTAATTACTCCTCGAGTCCCTATAATCACATGTAGGGTTAAACATTTTGGAAACTAAAAAAAAAGATTGACTATTTGAAAAAATAGAGCATATGATGAGGATGGCTAAAAGTTCTTGAGCCATCCATAAGTCCTCATTAGAGAGGATTGTATGCGACAAATGAATCAATTGTATCAGACATTTTATGCAGAAATGTCTCCTCACTCTGTTTTAAATTAGATATGAAAATGCGATCAAGATACAGGTACCCTGAATGTATGGTTTGAAAAAATGATACAAGAACATTGTCAAAATGAGGGGGTCGACGCTGCAAGAGGCCTCAAGCAGAAAACATGGTTTGATCATGACACTGATAGGCTGGGCAAAAATCTATTGATGTAAAGATCACTGAAATAAATTTTGAATAGAAAGAATGAGGAATTTTTCTTTGATAATTTTTAGCATTTCTAGGATGAAAATTTTAGCCATTACTCATATAAAAATGTATTACGACAGGTCGTTGGGTTACCTGAACAGTGCATGCATTCAAATATTGAATATACTTTTCATACAAGCTGGTGTTGCTGAACCTAAACCAAAACTCTCTTCCTGGGTATGCGCCACATTATCATAATTCATTTGACACTTTCCGTAAGCTTGGTGAACCACCTCCTCTAGAACGGTGTGACAGTGAGCTAGTTACAATCACGAAGAATGTGATCATAAGATAATTACGAACCAGATTTTGAGACAGAGAAAAATACTTAGAATAAAGATAATCTCACTGAATTTCTTCCTTCTGTCTTGCACTTAGAACAAAAGTGTTTTATTTGATGCAGGACTCATAATCTTTCTATTTGTCCAACCAGTTTAGACAATTTAATGTGCCTTTTTGGGTAATTCATATGATTTTACGTTCAGCACAGACCGGATATTTTATTTTCATGTAATTAAATATTCTTCAAATGGCGCCATTTTCTGGGGGCCAAAGATTGAATTCCACATTTTGAGCAAAATATATTTCTGCACTAATGTTCCCTTGCTTCAAACATTTAATACATGGTGTTATTTTATAGAAAATCATTTATTTTACATCTCTCTTAATCATCTTTGTTGTATAATGATGTTTTCTCCATGGTTGAAGCTACTTCACCGTTCAGATTACAGTCTACGCATAATCTACACCTACGGCATTCTATGTTGTCACATAAATAGAAAAGTATAATCTAATTTGCTAAACATAGAACTCCCCTCTTATCCTCAATTATCATTCAAATGGTTACTCACACTAAAGACCTTAACTACTAAACAAACCAAACCAAGTTAGAAAATAATGTATCACACACGAGATCCAAACTTGAAAAATTCTCACTTGCCTTTAAAAAAAATAAAAAAATCCACAGACACGAGGCAGCAGATCCAAATTTCTGGGCATTGTGATGGAATAAGAATCAGATAACCTTACAACACTCCACAGTGACATTTGCACAAAAAAATCAGCAAAAAGAGGAACGAATCCAGTTCGACCACATTAAAGCATTGGACTCGTCATGGCTGGAGCAATTTCTGGGCAACCCAAACCCTTTGAGACATCAAATCTATCATGCTATTTTATTTCTTTACTTGAATTTTTTTTAGTATAAATAATAATTATGGTTTGTAACTTTCTGTTAAATAGCAATGTCAGGCCTTAAAAAACTAATTCCGAATATGAAAAATCTGAAACTAGATCAGTCTCTTTTTCTAAGCAACAGTGTAACTTGAACCTTTAAGCAAACGCATATACCATTTTAGAAAGATAATGTAATCTATACAGTTTCTCAGAATTTTCTTATCAACCTATGAGCATTAGAACCTGACCAAAAGTGACGATATTCAGACAGAAATACCGAAGTAATGGACTGAGTGCCTTCAACTCATCCACAAGCATCACAACGTTTGATCAAGAACAAAGAACAGAAAAATAAAATAGCTTTCTAGCCGTTCTGTTCACTTTTCTCTCGCACAGATTCTCTGCCAATAGTAATATAATAGTCTGCGATTTTTCTCACTGATCACAGCACCTCACATGTCCTAAACTATCAATGCAACCCAAGGCTGATTGTCAATTTGCTTCGCAGGTTCCACTCACAGACTGTATGCGTTCAATTTCTTTAGTGGCGATACCTATAACTCGAGTGACTAATTACTAAATAAAAATAAAAATAAAAATAAAATTCGATTTACAGCATTATCTGTGTAAGATTGGATGTCAAAACTTGAGAACAATCCGTGAATATTTGATTGATCCAAGAAGAAATCTTCTTGGTATCGATCCTATCATCTATATCATTAAGACCTAACACACAGCTGGCTCCTACCTACATCACACGAAACGAAATTATGACGTAGAAGATGACTAAGAAAAAATAGAAAAAATGGAAATTTTGAAAAAAATATAAAACATTCCCAAAACGTCCAAATATTTTTCTTCGTGTCGTGCTTCATCAAAACCACCCAAAGCACAGAGCAAGCTACATAATATCATCCCGTGCGCGCTCCTTAGAATCACATACATGCGCATCAGAGTGACTACAGAGATGCTTAACGGTTCCACAGATTCTCAACTCCTGCCCGTAGTTATGTCATCATCTGCAGAGGGCTCGTAAATCCACAGGAGATTTCTTGCTTGGAAATCTTGGAAAAAAAATGCTTACAAGTACCATCACTCAGGTGAACGTGCTAATCATAAAATTGGCTTCTAAAAAATGCACCTTTCAGCTGTTCTAGAGACAAGATGTCACAACCAAGGCCGTAAACACGACAAGGCTCATGACGGCTCAGCATCGCATACCGAGCAGGAGATGGTCAAAAGTTGCAAGGGAAATGTGCGATTACTAACTCTAATAAAAGAGATCATGAATCCGCAAGATTCAGACACAAGTGATCACGAGATGATCCAATAATCGTCTTTCGCCGCGCGATCAAGATATCCGGTCGAAGACAAACAGAAATTCAACAATTCAATACACAGAGGCTATTGATGGAAAGAATGCTCTTCGCTTCGCCCAGATAATTTTCATAGTTTCACAAGTCAACGTCCAGCTATCGCTCACCAAGTTGACGCATATAACAACATATCATATCCTCAGGGGGATTTCGCATGCAACAAATTAGAAGGTCCAGGCGCCAAAATTAGAGACAACGATCGATTTTTTTATGCAGTGATGGTCAACGTCCACACCCAAAATGCACAACAGGTCGGGGAGGAAGCAACACCGGATCAGGAAACGAGAATTCAGATCCGAAAAATACCAGCGCTGCAAGACGTGGGCGGATCCTTCTGAAGGTCCTTGAGCTCCTTCAAGATGCGCTTGGAAGCCATGCCCGGACGCCTAAATCCTTCCGAACCCTATCCCAGTCAGAAGAGATCGGCAGAGGCCCCGACAGGATCAGGAAACGGGAACGATCGATAGAACACGAGAGCAGGAACCGATACGGTGGAGAAGAAGGGAACTGACGGGAGCCGATGGAGGTCGCTCGAGGATCCACCACTCGGTCTTCGGGGGGAACTCGGCGGAGACGAGACGCGGTTTCGTGCAGCGAAAGGGAAGAACCAGGAGCCCAATTGGGCTAGGCTTTTTATAGTTCCTTCGCAACCTGCTACACCTACCGACTAGAAACGAAAAATTCCCTCTTCATCCTTCCCCCCCTCACCTTCCAACGGGGCCGGTCGTCGTTCTGGCGGCGGCCGGCGGGGCCACACTCGACCAATTCCAGAGGCTCACGCCGCCCTTCCCATCCCATTCGGACACCAATCAATATACGGGGAGGACCCATCAGCAACCCACGACGGCATGCGCTCATTGTCTCATCATGGACAACGTGTAGTCCTGACGCTGAATGAAAAGTCAAGCTGGGCAGATGACCCGCTTTAGAGGGGGGGGTGGGGGGGGGGGTCACACAAGAACTGTAGGAGGACGACGACGGCAGCGAGCTTCATCACTTCCGGTGGCGGGTTTCGAGAGAAGGTGCCGTCGGGGTGGCGGCGCTGGAGCCCTCGGAGTCGCCATCGGTGGAGGGCCGCCGCCTACCGGGTTCAACCTGCCGGACGCCCTCGATCATCTTGACGACCTCCGGCATCTTGGGCCGCTTCTCCGGCGACCTTGCGACGCAGGCCATGGCCACCTGCAGCAGCTCCACCATCTCCTCCTCGATGTTGGGGTACTTTATCAGCTCCACGTCGAACACCTCCGCCGTCCACTCCTCCCGCACGACGGAGTGAACCCACCGGACCAGGTGGACGACCTCCTCACCGCCGCCGGCGTAGACCGGAGACTTGCCGGTGAGGAGCTCCAGCAGCAGCACGCCGAAGCTGTACACGTCGGACGCCTGTGTGGCCTTGCGGATGTCGAACACCTCGGGAGCCTTGTACCCAGCTGTCCGTGACGTGGAAGGCACGGCGGAGTTCATCACGGCGGCGAGCCCTACGTCACCGACGCAGCCGTCCTGGCGGCGGTTGAGGAACACGTTGGAGGACTTGACGTTGCCGTGGACGAACTTCCCCCCGTTCTGCGTGTGGACGTGGGCCAGGCCCCTCGCAGCTCCCAGCGCAGCCCGAAGCCTCGTTTCCCAGTCCGGCGGGCTTCTCTCCTCTCCCCTTTTCCCTGCACATCAAGGTTTTCTTTAATGGATGGATCCGTGGTCTTTGATCACAAACCATGCGTGAAATAGAGAGATCTGCGGCTTCTCGCTGTCTGCAGAGCTGCTAAAGAGAAACTTGGAGTGACCTGGTGATGAAATCGCCGCAATAATCATTCATCAGCAAGTTCTCTGAGGAGGGTTGCAAGGTTTTGATGCAGACAATTCGATGCAACCCCCTCCCAGAAGATAATAATGCCCATGCCTTTTATCTCGGGGCGGAAAGGTGGGAGGAATGATACCGTGAAGCATTGAAGAGAGACTGCCCGAGGAGAGATAGTCGTATATGATCAGCTTTTCGTCCTTGGAGTAGTAATACGCCTTCAGCTCTGCGACGTTCTCATGTTTGATCGTCCCCACCAGCTCCATCTGCTGCTCAAACTCCTTCTTCCCCACTCCGACTTCCTTCAGCCTCTTCACAACCACCGTCGTGGAGTCCTCCAGGTTCGCCTTGTACGCAGTCCCGAAGGTCCCCTTCCCCAGCACCTCTGCGGAGGCCCTGAGGAGATCCTCGAGATCAAACGCGAGGCTGCTACCCCCGAAGAAGATGATGCGATTCTTCTCGTCCTCTTTAATGGCGACCGCCTTCTCGGGAGATCTGTCCCCTCCCGAGGGTTTCCCAGAGGCCGAGCTCTGCTCCTTTCTGGAGCAGAAGACGAACAGGAAGAGCCCAAACATCACGAATACCAGGGCACAACTCCCCGCGATGATTCCGAGGATCACGGTCTCACTCAGATATATCCCCAGCTTGTTGGGACGGGGCACTGGCCGGATGGAAGGAGCCAAGGGCAGAGGAGAGAGCGGCGAAGGGGAAGGAGAAGTTGGAAAAACTTGTAGGGAGTTGCCGAGGAAGGAGGACATGGGGAATCTCTGCAGGGACTGTGGAATCGTCCCCTCCAGACGATTGAAGGACAGGTCCAGCAATTTGAGGTTGGGCAGCTGGAGGTCGGGAATTTCCCCGGAGAGCGAGTTGTTGGAGAGCTTGAGGACGGTGAGCTTCGTGTTGTTGGAGATGGAAGACGGGATGCTGCCATTAAACAAGTTCGCAGAGAGGTTCACGGCCGTGAGATTGCTCCACACAGAGAAATTCGACGGGAGAGGACCAGACAGGCGGTTGGAATGGAGGTGAAGATCGGTAAGGGAAGCGAGCTGAGCGAAGTCAGCGGGGAAGGAACCGGAGATGTTATTGGATCTGAGACTGAGCTTCTGAAGGGCCGTCAGCCTGCTAAGGGTGTTAGGGGGGATCGGTCCGATGAGCCCCACTGCCGGCAGGCGGAGGGAGATGACACGAGTCTCGTCGTCGTTGCAGGAGACGCCGATCCAGTTGTTGCAGACGGGGGTAAAAGGATTCCAGTTGAGAGGTCGGCTATGGCGGATGTTGTTGATGAAGTCGAGCAGAGCGACTCTGTCGAGCAGCGGCTCGGCAGCAACTGGAGGTGAGGCCCGGGAACAGAGGAGGAGGAGCGAAATGAGGAGGGCGAAGGCGGCCTCCATGCTCCCTTCCCCCAATCGCCGAACTCGAATAACCAGGAACAACGACACGATTAACTCCTACTGCTGCGACATTCGGGCTCCCCGCATTGTTCCCTTCTTCCCTGCATCCCCTCAAAAGAAGAGAAAGATTATAAAAAAAAAAGCTGTCAGTAAAATACTCCGAGGCCGCATTGGGTCAAAAGAACAGGCGTGCTCCTAGAATCTGCCAGAAATTGTGCCGTCGTCTCTCTCTCTCTCTTCGAGAATCAAACTCAAGCGGAGGGAGGAGAGCAATGATCTTCTCGATCGTGAACAGGGATAATACTGTTCACAGCGCCAAAAGGGAACACAACCTGCTGTGCGCCACACCAACCCGCCGTCGGAGACAGAACCCAGAACCCGAACCAGAGGCTGTTCCTCCTCCTCGGAGAAAGCGGAACGGATGGCCCCTCCGCAGAAGAGCAGAAGATGCCGAGAGAGAAAAGAGGACTCGGCAGTAATGTAGGCCGCCCGGCCACGTACCTGGCGAGCTACTCTTCCAACCTTCGCTCGCTGGAGCTGTACGGATTGAGCCCAAACCCAACACACCTCGCCGCCTGCGAACTCAGGATCTAGGAATTCCACAGAGTGGATAGAGAGAATATGTAATGCAGAGAACTAGACGTGTGACGAGGGTGACGAAGTTGGTAAAGAAAATGGAAGAAACTCCACATGGGCACCATGGAATGTCTGTCTCAGAACCCTAGCTGGCCTCTCTCTGCCTGGAGAGATCCCCAGCATCGCCTCCCCCGTCAGAACCAGCAATCAATACCTCTTCTTTTCCACCCCCCGTGACTAAAATCCCCCACTGGTTCGTTCCCACGAGCATGAACCACCACCCCGGCCTGGAAGCCCGGCCCGTAAACCCGCAAAGCCTATTAAGCTTATCAATCCATTACAAACATCTCCAGGGGGGGAGATGGGTTTTCGGGCCGCGTCCGGGCCGATCCCGGCCCGGCCCATGGATGGCCGTACGTCCCCACGTGTTCTATAAAATTCTGACTACTGCCGGAAAACGGCCACCGGCCGCCTTCCCTGTCCACTTCCTTCTCGGCGCCGCCTCCATTATTTCCTCGTCCGGTGGCGGCTGGGTCTTGCTAAACGACACCGCCCTCAGTAATTGCGGCGTCACTCATGTTACCGGTCCCCGCGAAAAATACCTTTCCCGCCTCCTCTGCGGTAACTTCTCCGGCGAAACATGGAATCAGAGTTCCCGACCGTCCGTTATTATCGGTCAACACACCGCCCAACTGGACGGCGGTTTACCGATTACCAAACTCAGGAATTCGAGGCGTTGACCTGTCCGATATGACCTGGCGGCGGGCTCGAAATGAGACGTAGATCGAGATATCGGACGCCAACTCGGCGGCTCGAGCTGTTGACCCGCTGGTGAAACTTTCTTCAGAGGATGAGCTACCACGTGAGGTGGATCGTGAGCGAGCTCCAACCATCGCCGACTTTCTGCAAGGAAGCTATTATCATATGGGGATCCGGTGGGCATCTTGTAGGAAGTGGCTGAGGATATTTGGAAGGGAAATCCTGCCAAGTGGTAGCTCCAAACGGGAAGAAAGTGGATTCCTCGTTGACAATTGGACCAGGGAAGGCAACGGACGGCCAACTACGGGTCTGACCCGGAATGACAGTGGCGGCGGCGGGGCCTTTGGAGGAACACGCGGCATCCTTCTGTTGAGTCGCAGCATCATCATGGGTGGGACTAAGGATCCATTCATTCCCATCAAAAAGCTGTACCATATTCGTTGACTTCGTAAATAAGAAACCTGGTATCATTTATGTATTGCAAATAAGTCCCCGCCATGAGCGCATATCACTTTTGACTTTGTTTTAACCGTAGTTAGAGCTCACGACTGCTTCAAAGAAAGAGTGTAACTTACGTACTTCAATCACAAGTAATTTTATCCACATTCATTTCAATTAGCAGATTTAACCCCTGAACAATGGGAAAATGACACTAGACCACCCTCATTTTGAGATATGGTTGACTTAGTTGAATGCTGATCATCATCATTCATACCAAGCCTTCTATCCTCCAAGGTACTTTTAAGATAAGCCTCAAAGGTTTCAAAAAATTACATTATGTATGTATATATTCCAATTTCACCACTAATCATTTATTTATAGTTAACATTTTAATGTGATGGAAGATGTTCCTATAATCTTTTTTGTCGATGTTTACTTTTGCTTTTTACTTTGGTAAAATCTTAAATATATCCATTTGAAGGGTTTAATCTGAAATCTATTTTAAGGATGTTTACTTTTTCAATTACTGATAATTTTGAAGGGCTTAACTGTAAAAAGTTGATTCCTCGTTATTAATTACTCTAAATAGTTTAATGTCAATGAATAACACAAGGGGTGGGCCTCCTAGCTTATTCCCTATCTAAGGGGTTCTAAAAAGTATAGTATGATGGTTAAATTTCTCGTCTTACCATGGATACTTTATTGCTCTATTGGGAATTTTTATATCATGATCGATGTCTTGATAACGCCCGATGGATGCTTTTTATATAAAAGTATTTTAAAATATAATATAATATATATATTCAATTTCAATATGTTTGAGGGACAAAGTAGACAACCATAAAACATCACATAACCATATGTTGTGATATTAAAAACTCGAGTAAAAAATTAACTGACCGTTAATATAGTTTTAGATATGCGTATGAAGGGACGTCTCATAGGTCACATACACGGACCTCTTCATTGACGTCAAAATATTGTATTTTATAATTAATTACATGTAATTGTGTTCTTTCACTATTTAAGCCCATTATAAATCTCGATATTAGAAAAATACAACATTATATATATATATATATTATTAAAAATAGTGTCGAATTAAAAAGTAAACATCCGAATAATATATCACAACAAATTTGTGTTTTTGTAAAGATTAAAAAAAAAAGTTATCATTGGTAACATGGAAAATCTAATCTTCGTATTGGGATATCTTCCCCTTCACAAATAGCAATATGGGTTGCATATTGCTTTAATTGACCACAAAGACTTTAGAGCAACTAACCATGCAATCTTATTTTGCTATATTTAAGCCCTTCGCATAATTTTAAATTATAATGATGTAACCCAAAAAGTCACACTATTAAAAATAACATTAAATGACATAGTGCACATCCGTTAAAGATTATCTATATATATATATATATATAGCGGTATTACGGAGTAAAATGAGATATTAATTACATTCGTTGAGATGAAATATCTAACATTGATATTAAAGTTTAATATTCTGCTTGAACATTGGCTATGCTTTAATATTCTGCATGTCAGTTGCAAAGGAAATATGCACTAATCAAAATAGTGAGCAATTAATTAAAATAATTTATAATTTTGTCTCAATCTTTAATAATATCATGCTTTATACGTGAACTGCAATAAAATTGTTGATTTTTTTCTAGTTCTTATATTTTTTTCATAGTTTTCAAGATAGGAGAAGAAATATAACAACTCATTATGATTAATTGTTCCAAGCTCAATCTATGTAACTTGTAACAGCATGCTCATGTGCAGGACTTGGGATATTCCAATATTACGGTTATATTTCCCAACCAAAATGGAGATATATATAGTTTAAATAATTATAATTATAATATATTAGTATATGTAGACATATAAATCAATTTGTCACAATTTCTAATATATTCATATTTCATGTTTTATTTGGAATACGATAAGAATGGTAGCCTTTTATAGTTTCAAGACTTTCAATGGACCTATTAAATAGAAAAAAATAAACATTTCCTTGCAAATAATTGCTCTAATGTGTTTTATAGTCAGCCGAGGCAAGAGATTGCCGACGTGGAGGACAACATTGCCACATGGCATTTCACGTGTTAATGCCACGTAGTTAGTTATGAGGAGGGTGGAAGGCGGACGACTCGGACACGTGTGAGGCTATATCGCCAAGTTCTCGTGATTCGTCGGGTCGATAAAAAGAAGAGGAAATGTGATTAAATAAAGACGCGGAGGAGGAGAAGGCGAGAGCTGTTCGCGAGGGACGGACGAGTCGAGAGGACAGCGCGAGTAACCAGAGCGGCGAACCCTAAAACGGCGAGATCTCGCGATATTCGGCCCCTTCAGGCGGGGCGGGGGGAAATCCGCCGGCTTGCAGGTTCTTCGAATTCGATAAAAAACCCTCTCCACAGCTCTCATATGCGTTCCCCCGCCTTCCGTTTCCTTCGATCTGATCTGCGATTTGGCGGCGTCATTGTTCTCTTCGCCCGCCGCATCTTCTTTCCGTTCTCTTCTCCCTCCCTCTCTCTCTCTCTTTCGATCTGAAGACCTGATATGAGGGGGGAAGGAGGAGAGGGTGGGGGGTGTGGCTTCATCGTTTCCGATCGGCAGACGCTTCTGGGGTAGCGGGATCGAAGAATAATCGACGAAGACAGGCGGTCTCCGGACTATGAACGGCCTTTCTCTCCCATTCCCCCGGTTTTCTGGTGGGAATGTGCGCAAGAGCTCTTCCTCTGGCTCACTTGCCGGATTGGCTAAGGGGTCGAATGAGGAGGATGGGAATTTTTTTAAAGAAGGGAGTCTTTTCTCCACCTTCCTTGTCGAGAGCTTAGCAGTCTGCTGCATACTCGCCTTCGAAGTATCGACAATGCCGCCGCCCCGGTGGATCCCCCTGTTCATCGCCATTTGCTGCGGATGTTTCAATAGTCTCTCAGCAGAATCCCTTCCGCCCCCTTCGTCACCCTAGAGCTGTAGATAGATCAGACAGTATGCTGGTCTGTTTGCACTCTCATTCCGTCGTGAGCATGCCGAATATCTTTCTTACTCGCGGGAGTTCGAGTGCTTTGAATATGCCTATATATCTATATTTTATTTCGTGTTTCCCTTTCGTCTTCTATAGCTCATCAATTTGACTTCTCCTCCTGGTTTTGTTCCCCCTCTAATACTTGCAATTTCTGTTTTTGCAGGTTGCATCGGTAAAAATACGGCCGTGCGACTGAATCCATCAGTGAGTCTCTTCCCTGTTTCGATTCACGGCGTCGATCGTTGACTTGCGTGTAGTAGTCAACGTAGCTCATGCACTGACTGGGTTGACTTGATATGTACCAGTTCGAACTCCAACGCTTTGACCTTTTTTTTTTGGGTTTCCTTCTTTCTTGCAGTGGTGCGAGAGAAGGACCTCTGCTGGGAATACTGCGAGAAATTGGAAGGGAACAAGGTGAGGTGCAATTTTTGCCAGAAGATTCTGAACGGCGGCATCAGCAGGTTGAAGCACCACCTGTCCCGCGTCCCAAGCAAGGGCGTGAATCCATGCAGCAAGGTCAGAGATGAGGTATCGGAGAGGGTGAAGACGATCATCCAATCGAAGGAGGAGGGTAAGGAGGCGGCCAACGTGAAGAGGCAGCGGCTCGCAGAGGGGGCGAGATCTCCTTCCTGTAATCCTCTTTCGACGACGGCGCCATCGCCGCCGGCGTCTGCCGCACCCCCTCCGGCCAGGTTCTTCCCCAGCCATGCAACCACCAGTGGTCCCCAGCCCGCCGCCATGGACGTGGAGAGATGCGTGGCCCAGTTCTTCTTCGAGAACCGCTTGGACTTCGGCGTCGCCCACTCTGCTTCTTACCAGCAGATGATGGAGGCGCTCGGTGGCGCGGGGTTCAGAGGGCCCTCGGCAGAGGCGCTGAAGACGACATGGCTGGAGACGCTCAAATCCGAGGTCAACGCGAAGATCAAGGAGATAGAGAACGAATGGGCGACCACTGGCTGCACGATCATCGCCGACACATGGACTGATAACAAGTCGAGGGCCTGGATAAACTTCTTCATCTCATCCCCCTCGGGGACCTTCTTCCACAGGTCCGTCGACGCGTCGCCCTACTTCAAGAACGCGAAGCACGTCTCCGACCTGTTCGACTCCGTCATCCTGGGCGTCGGCTCGGAGAATGTTGTTCAGGTCATCGTGGACGACGCCCTGAGCTACATGAGCGTGGGGAATTACATCATGCAGAAGTACGGCTCCATCTTTTGGTCTCCCTGCGCCTCCCGTTGCCTGGGCTTGATCCTGGAGGACTTCTGCAAGATCGACTGGGTGAGCCGATGCATTCTGCAGGCTCAGTCTGTCACCAAGTTTATCTACAACAACGCGTGGGTGCTGGCCCTGATGAGGAAGTTCACCGGCGGCCAGGACATCGTCAGGACGAGCGCCACGAGATCTGCGTCGAATTTCCTCTCTCTGCAGTCGCTGGTGAAGCAGAGATCCAGGCTCAAGCATATGTTCAATTCTCCGGAATACTCGTCGTCCCCGTACGCCAGCAAACCCCACGTGACTGCCTGCGTCGACGTTCTCAATGATAGCCAGTTCTGGAGGGCGGCGGAGGAGTTAGCCGCCGTGTCCGAGGCTCTGCTGAAGGTGCTGAGAGAGGTTTCCGGGGGTAAACCAGCCGTCGGGTCTATTTACGAGTCCATGACGAGGGCAAAGGAGTCCATACGGACCTACTACATCATGGATGAGGCCAAGTGCAAGACTTTCCTGGATATCGTCGACAAGAGGTGGCAACATCAGCTCCATTCGCCGATCCACGCGGCGGCGGCTTACCTGAATCCAAGCATCCAGTACAACCCAGAGGTGAAATTTCTGGGGAGCATCAAGGAGGAGTTCCTCGCCGTCCTGGACAAGCTGCTGCCAACCCCCGATCTGCGGCAGGACATCACCACGCAGATTTTCAGGTTCAGGAAGGCGCAGGGGATGTTCGGGTCCAATTTGGCCAGGGAGGCCCGCTCCACTGCGTTTCCAGGTAGTCTTCCTCTCCCCTCTCCCTCGCCGGCTCCATCCCTCCGAGACCCTCACAGAGCATCACCATGATCTGGGCCTGCAGGGATGTGGTGGGAGCAGTACGGGGACTCGGCGCCCGGGTTGCAGCATGTCGCCATTAGGGTTCTAAGCCAAGTCTGCAGCGCCTCTGTTTTCGACAGGAGCTGGAGCAGCTCTCAGCAGATCCATCCGGAGAAGCGGAACAAGCTGGACAAGGAAACCTTCAACGATCTCCTGTATGTGCACTACAATCTCAAGCTCCAGGCGAGGGGAAAGCCCACGGAGGCCGACCCCATTGTGCTCGAAGACATGGATATGACTTCCGACTGGGTGGAGGAGACGGAGGCCGCCAGCACCGCCCAGTGGCTAGATCGCTTCAGCTCGTTGGACGGCGGGGACCTGAACACGCGACAGTTTAACAGCTCTATCTTCGCTTCGAACGACCATCTCTTCAATCTGTGAGTATGACGCTTAACAGGGAGTAGCGAGCTAACCAGAAAGAAATACTGGACTAACGTATGAAAGGAAGGTAGAATTATCTTGGTAGGTGTTTATGAAATGGTATATATATATATATCTTTCTCTTAATCTTCGCTGCCAATCCTTGACACTGTTTGTCAGCTCTGTTCGTCCGGAGATAATGATTAAGGTGAATTCTGATGGAAGTCACATAAACACCAAGTTAATAATTAGGAGTATTTTTTATGTTATCTAATATCAATGTTATTCTCTTATTGATAGCATTATTAGCTTGTGCATTATGTAGACTTGCATGTTTTCATTTCATGCCTTAACTTTCTGCCTTTTTTCTTTAATTGTTCTTTCATTCGATGCTGATTGGTCGAGCATATCCAATGTGTTTTTTTTACTTGCAAAAAAAATTGACAACCGTGTTAACAAACTTGTATCTTTGTGTATACCGACACTTGTTTTGTATTCTCAGTGTTCCCTGGGTTCAAAATAGAGTGGAAGACAAACGATACATATGTTGCCTGGTTTTATGTAACAAATGATGAAACATTAGTGTTCTTCCAGATATCATGCCTCAGTAACTTGGGATTCTTCAACACGCGTCCCCAGCATTCTTGTCAGATTCTTACATCGTTGCATAGTCGTCTTATTGGACCCCACAGACACCTAGTTCAGGAAAATAAACATCTTGAATAGGGTTATTTAGAAGTCCGGTATTTAACTACTAAAGAAATAAAAGCTAGAAGTTGGTGAATGTCCTGGTCACATTCTTATATTATCCATCTTACTTTCCTGAAATATACAAATTTAGGAACACATGCTTCTTGAAGGCCTCTCTTTAAGTGTGATAATACAAGTAAATAAAGCTCTGATTACAAAGATGGCCCCACCCAACTCGTTCTTACATTGTTCTATTACCATCTTACTGTCCTGGCAGACAAGGTTCTTGGGGACAAGTGCCAAGAGTAGTCTTGTATTTAATTTTTATTTAAATAAGTCTGTGATAATAGAGGTGGGCCAACTCAGCTCACTTCGAGTTGATCTTAGATTGAATGGTCCGGCAACTCTGATAACCACAGCACGAGGCATCCGGCGGTCTCATCTGGCCTCAGATGCTTCTGGTGGGGTCGAGGTTCTTGATGCAAAAGCTAGAAGGGACAGCAGAAAGCTCCAATCGGCCTGTCCATTCCTCGCCTGGTCTTAACGTTATCGGTCTCTCCACTGCCGCACCATCAACACACAGCATCTGTTTGTATTCATCATCCCCAAAGTCTACTATAGATTTGGACTTCTTCTCCCATGGGTTCCACACCACTGCAAAATAATAATAATAATAAAAAAATACTTTTGACCTCAATATTCCATAGTTTTTTTATAAAAGTGATGGAATTTAATAAAATTTGTGTCGATTAATCGTCTTGTGCGTCTTTCAGTCGATAATTTTCAGCAGAGTCAATGCCCCCCAGGAAGTGAAACCGAGAATCTTACCGGTGTCTGGCAGTCCTTCCTTTTTGATGATAAATGTTTGCTTCTTTCCATGGTCGAGAACAGCCACCACATCCGGGGAACCAAGATAAACTCGATCAACCTGCAATTTAATGTGCTGGTTACATGAATTTTGAGCTTCCCAATCGGAAAGCAGCAAATATACTTTCAGCATGATTTAGCTTCTGATATTCTTCACACATCGACTTGTACTCATCATCAATTGACATGATATGCGGCCGAAATATGCAGCCTTGAAACATTCGGAGGCAAGTCTCTGTTCCCCATCGAATAGGGTTTCCTAAAAAACGTATGATATTTTACCAAAATGTTTCCTACTGAGTTTTTCAATGACTAGAAGTATTTCTCTAGAAAAAATCATATGCTTCTCATCGCAATACCTCCGATTCAAATGTGATGGCATCTTCTTGTTCGGTGAACCGCTCTCGGTTGCACAGGTTGTCCAGATAATCAAGGGTCTCCAGACCTTCAATCCTTACTTCACTGCATATGAATCCGCATGTTAAAGACTGTGACTTATCTCAAACAAGGTTCACCATGGGTCTATGAAGAGTTCTACAGCCCCATACTAGCCGCTTCAGAGGATAAAAGCACTGCCATCATTGAAAATACACGGATCTTTTACCTACAGCATTACAGATTTTAAGCAGCTTTAGATGCCTCTAATATTCAATATCCTTCCAAAAGTAGCAGGATTATGTACCTTATTTCTTTTAAAAAGTTTAAAGTATTCGATCAGCATCTGAAAGCAGGAAAGGTTGTCACATAATTATTTAGCATCTGATTTTCCTCCAGACTAAATGAATCAGTTTTCAATTTTTTTTGCTCCTCATCAGTTTCTGTTATTGCAAGAAATCTATACACGCAGATCTCTTGCTCGCCTTAATCGGGGGCAAAAATGGACCCAGAAGAAAAAAAAGGTTTGGGTTTTTAGTGTTATGAACTAACTGGTTGATGCGTTTTGTCATCAAGTTCTCGAGCTTTTTCTTACCTGATGTCAGAAACAGAGAGGTAAGTATGATAAGCAAATGAGAAGGTAAATTTCTTCCCATCAACGTTCCTTATTCGAGAAATCATCGATAGATCCCCATCTGCTCCAAGAGAAACTCTGAGGCGAAACTCGAAGCTGAAAAGCAGAGTAAATCTTTCTATTCAGGAAGCATCGTGCCATATAATCAGATGGACCCATGAGATTACTTCCCTAGCCATCAATCCAAGAATGGGTTTTTCGAGAGTTTGCAGACTGGGGAAAGGCCATGAACGCGGTACCAGTGAGGCCAGCACTTCAAGTCCTCCTCCGACGGCCTGAGTAGCAAGTCAACGGAGACGCAGCCTGTGGATTCCCCGGTGCGGAGTCGCGGAGGATCATCCTCGACGACCCACATCCTGTTCCTCGCGAACCCATGTTGCTCCAGCGACCCGCAGTTTCCGAACTTCAAGTGTGAGACGAACCAGATGTGATCGAAGCTCTTGCAGGCCAGAGGTAGAGGAGAAGGCGGCGGCGATACCTGAGGGAAGCAGAGGGGGATCCCTCCCCGAATCGCCTTCGGAGGCCTGAAGATCGCCTGCATTCAGACACAGTGAAGTCCAGATAAAGAAACCAGAGGATTATCTCTAAGAAGAAGATAAAGAGCACGATGGCACACCTTACTGCTTGTGAACAGAAGCTCCTCTCCACGGCCGTTCCTCCACGAAATCACCTGCCCCCCATGCAAACTAGCCTGGGTTCCCGACGAGAATCACATCAGAGAAGCGCGCAAACAGAAGCAAAGCCCATTGAGATTTGAAGCGGATTGAGCAGAACCCGGGCAGAAGCTCCCCGCGGAGCCCGAAGAACTACTTGGTCGATCCCGTTCCAGTCCTTCACCACTTCCATCGACGCTCTCTGGTCGCCGAGAGCTGCCGAAGGACCCATCGATGGTCTCCCTTCTCCCTCTACCCAAGAGGCACGGCTGTCACTATTATACAGTCAGCAATCTTCACCGCTCTCAGCGCTTTTCTTGTGACTGGCGGCCCTCCCGTCTCGTGAATCGAAACCCAACGCCTCAACCACCCGCCCAATCACCAACAAACCCACAAAAAAAAGAAAAAGAAAGAAAAAAAAGCCCGAGTCCGAGGACAAAGTCGTTGACTTAAATTTATGTCAAACTTGTTACACATTAGAGAGGCTATGTCTCAGGGGTCAAACTGACAGCAGGGTTCGGACAAACAGAAGAGAAGGCTCAACGAGTAAGTTACTGTAAGAATAGCAGCAGCGGGCCTCCCATTCACTAATATTTGGCAATGGGGAGGGCGCCTCCCACCGAGTTAACTAAATTTGCTCTCCGACCTACACCTTTGCCGCGGGCAGCTGTTAGCGGGGTGGTCTTCGGAAGATGATGGTCTCTCTGTTCCTAGCGCCACAAACGGGCAAGGGAAAGGAGTCGGTTCGTCCGTCAGCCCGCGATGGCGGCATCAGCTTTGGGTTTGGACTCCAGGAGCTGCTGAAGCTTCCCCAAGTTCTCTTGCGTCTCGTTATCCGGCTGCTCGCTTCTCCCAGCGGAGTTGGAGTTGTTTATTTTAGATAGGAAGTTCTCCGTGCCTGCCCGCGGAGAAGCTTCCGCTTCGGGTTCAACCTTGTCCGGAGGACATTCAGCTTTCTGGTCTGCCTGCACATTGTTTAGTTTATCCTAGAGAGAGAGAGAGAGAGAGAGAGAGAGAGAGAGGGAGAGAGAGAGAGAGAGAGAGAGAGAGAGAGAGAGAGAGAGAGAGAGAGATGCGATTAGCCTCGTCGTGGCATGGAGAGAATCGAGAAGAAAGATGTTGGGGAGGCCTGTACCATAAGAGCAGAGTTCTCCTGTCTGAGGTTTGCCGAGTTCTCAGAAAGCCGACTGATTTCAGACTTGAGAGCCATATTCTCGGCCTTCAGAGCTTTGACTTTTTCAGCAAGTTCTTCAGTTTCAGCCTGGAGAGGAGGGATCACAGGATCACTAAACCTGGTAATGGAGAAGAAGAACAAGGAACCCAGATAGAGATCACACAAAGGGACACTCCTCCAGCAGTACCTGTTTCCTCAACCTCGATCTCCTGGCAGATTCCCTATTAGACTGCTTCCTCCTCTCCCGCTTCAGCTCCCTCTCATCCTGTGGCAATCGCTGTTTATTACAATGTAATTGGAATACAAGAGCAAGATAAAGCAAAAGAAACAGTAGCAGGCATGAGAGAGAGAGAGAGAGAGAGAGAGAGAGAGGTACTAGAAATTTTCAAAATTTACGTACGTGGACCCACAGATCAGAATGCCCACCATCGCGACCCGGCGGGGTCGCATTACTGGATAATGGAACTGGGACTGATATCTTTGCCTTTGCAGCACTGGGGACCCTAATCTCGGGGCCTGGCACAGTCCTAATGGCCACTGGCTTTCCTGAAGTATTCACGTTTGATAGATCTCAATAACCCGTTATAAAGGAAAACACACCAGCATTAAAAAAAACATTGCCTTTCTTAAAACATTCATTGAAAACTATTACACGCTAATACTGACAACGGGTCATGACCAATCGAATAATATCATATCTACAGGGTTTCTCTAAAAAGAAAGTTCACTAAACTCGAGAAAAATGCACCTGCGGCAGAATCCTCCAAGATCGGCTTCCCGTGGGTCTGGTTTTCCTAACAAGTGACGAGGGCATCAGATCGATCCCAACACAAGGAAAGCCAAGCAGTGCAGGCAGAGTGCTACGCCACTTACATTGTTGCCATCGCTTCCATCGCTTGAGCCTTCTGTCCCATCTTCGGTGCTGTCACAGCATGCAGAGAAAGAAAAATAAATAAAGAGCATAGAGAAACCTAGTTGCCCGGGCGTCTAATGGACAATAATACTGCTGGGAGAAAGATGATACGTAGGCAAACCTCTGTGACCTGGTCTGTGAGCCACCTCCTGCTTCGTTCTTGTCCCTGCCATTGCATGCCGAAACTGGGAGACCATCAGGTCCCTTTAGTTTCTTCGTCTGGCCATGATCTTTACTGTTCGATGTCTTGGTCGTTTTCTCTTGAGTTGCCGTCTGCAAACAACCACTGTAATCATGTCTCCCAAAAAAAAAAAAAAAAAAAAAAGAAAAAGAAAAAGAAAGAAAGATTGCAAACTATATTTCATCGCGTAAAGACAGATCATAAGATGATATAAAGGACCTAGGCTGAGTTCCAAAAGAACTGCATCACAATAAAAGAGGACAAAGACCACCGGAACAGAGAAAACTTCGTTGACCAAAGCTTCGCTTGCTGCACATGTTACAGTCCCTTAGGTCTTCCCTGGAGACGGGACATTTCAAAACCCGACGCAATTTGCTTCTTTTAAATCTCGGAAGTCAAGATGAGAATCACACGTCTAATTGGACAGCACCATTGGAAGGACTTACAAGAGATGATGATGGATGGGGATAAACTCCGCCATGGGGATAGATAGCAGGGTATGGCGTCCCAAAAGGCGGCATCATAGGCTGTTAAAGATAGATCATGGAGAAAAACTCAGCCTACTTTATATATAGCCTGTGACCATATATGTGGCCCAAATAAATGCACCATCCATTGCGGCAATGAAATAAAACATAAATAAATTAAAAGTCAACTATCTGGCAAGTCTTCAATCCTAACACAAATTTCCACCAAAAGTTTCAATTATTCTGCGAGTACCAGGAAACTTTCTATAAAAGGAGAAGTAAGAATGACTATTCATAGTAGGTATATATTCCTAACAGGGATTCTTAATGCCCATGAGATCAAAGTTCTTAGATCGTCAACTTATGCTGAACTAGGAGCACTCAAGTCTACCGTTCCTTGGAACAAGAAAATTCTAATAATCATGCATCAAGAATTTCTCAAGTACTTCAAAAAAAAAAATGTCATCACAAAATGGCACAGACAATATTACTATGAAATTCAAATTTCTTTGGGAATTTTTAGGTTAAGAATTGCGTAATTCCTGTCCAGCTTCTGTCAGTCAAAACGCTTATTGCTGTTGATAAGGTCTATGAAACCAGATGAGACACACAGCTGTTCAACATGAAAGCTTTAGTTTGCATTCAAAGATCTATTTCGTGTGATATTAAGTAAGATGTTATGTTATGCAACTTTCATCACAAAGAACATTACCCAAGGATTGCACATATTAAAAATTGTGTGTCAATGACTTATATAAATGGCTAGACTCTGAAAATCATTGGCACGGAAATGCTCAGAAGGTATCTAGATGACATCCTTAAAAATTAGTTCCCCAATTTGAAGGGGGTTCGTACAAAATAGCTCATGAAGATGATTAAAGAGTTTAAAATCACAATATTAAACATTCGATCATACGGCTCCAAACCAATTACCTGTGAGCATAGTATGAACGCAAAATTAGATCTTATTCCTCTTGCGACATGTGACTACTATAAAACGTCTGTTAGTACACAAGCCAAGTTTCTAGGCTCTACCAATGATTTAACACTTCTTTCTGAAGCAAGGCGATTATAACGATGTAAAGTCATGTGCTATCCCATCAAACATCTTGTCACCTCCTTAATAGCAGGAAAATGCCAGGCTAAAACCTACACACTTCTTGAGATTTTGAGTTGGACCACTACAGATACTCTTCATAAAGAAGTGGACTCCTTGGCAAAAGGAGAAGCTCCAAGTACACGTGGACTCGTTGGCAAGGGTGAGATACATGACCAGATGTACCTGTATCCCAAAAATGTTGGTAATAGTATGGATGAGATGAATGTCAAGAAATGCGCCATCTAATCGTAGTCTCGTCAACCTAGTAGCATAGTTTAGCTGGCCATTTTCGCATGTGATATGGAACTAGAGATACCCTTCACTCTATTGATTATTCTGGAGGTGCACTCTACAGCACATTTTCTATCAATGACTCTTTTAGAGTCAATAGCATCAAGACATGTCGGGCCATCCATATTTTTCTCAGGATTTCACACTGAACTACCACAACATAGCAAAAGAGAGTTTTGACTACCTGTGGACCCCACATGTATGGATGATGAGCTGCATGGCCAGATGTCACCGCTGTGGTGCCAAAATAATGGGGGGGCATGGCAATTCCTGGACCATAGTAAGCCTGAAAAGCGAGGTCACAAATTTAGAAGATCGAACAATACGATCGAGAAGACTTTTGAGGAGGACTTGAGAAGACTTTTGACCTGCATGGCAGCCCAATCGGGATATTGTTGAACGCCACCCTGTTCCTGCCAGAACGAACAATACGATCGAGAACAACCTTTATAACGTTAAGAAATAAAAAATTATGAAATCAAACAGGGATTCGTTAACATTTAACGAGAAAAGGAGACATCTCAGATGATATCTTTGCCGGAATACCTGCACAGAGGAAGAAGTCTTTTCAGTCTTGGAAGGTGTTCCGGCTTCACCGTTTCCCATAGTTAGAGTAGCCAAAAGTCAACAGCTTTAAATCTTCCTGAACAAGTCCCGTAAGAGGCCTTATCCTGTCATTCGCATTCAATGATAAGAAAACCAAATTTAAAACTATGCGATAAGATACTGAAACGTCTCAGCAGATTTGAAACGGGTAACGATAAACTATGATGCTGTAAGAGATGACTACGATGAAAGATGAGTTGCTGAGGCTGTAAGAGATGACTTTACAAGCTGCATGCAGTTTATATCGCTGACTTCGCTGCGCGAAAAATTTAACCTTGAAACGTATCAAAGTTGAAACAAAGGCTTTTCAGAACAGTCCTGCGCTCTAAACGAAGATGATGACCCGAAAGTCAAAACCAAAACTCGCAGCTTTGTACATTGTGAGTTTCAACCATAGCTTCAGAATGTCAAATGCTCTTCTCGCCAAAAACGATGCCCCACCGGCAGAAAACTTTAAGAAAATTTCCCGATTCGACACTAATCAGGTAAATTTCCCGATGTCATGCATGCTGTGCAGAGTCCTACCCTACTGAATAAAATCCTCAGGAATCAATAAAATGCATCGTCTTGCTAGGATAGAACATCGTCTCAATCAGGGGAGTTCGGGTGGCAAGGGACAAAAAGGGAAGAAACTCGGATCGGGAAGTCGGATCTCATGCGAGATTGAGGGTATAGATGTCAGTTTGTCACCCCGGCCGGAATCACTCCGCCTGTGCAGAGTAGGGCCAATAAACAAGTGACGGGGCACGAATTTACGAAGACATAAAGACCCACGGCAGCGGACGGCTTAACAGGTGTATTTTCTTTCCAGAACTACCCATTTGACGACGAAGAGGGCATCTCCCCTTCCGTCGAGGGTTTGCTTCCGTACTGCTGTGGGATCCGCTGAAGCTTCTGGACAATGCATCAGCTGGTCTATTTTCCGATCCCACGTATCAGCTCCGATTGTTCCCAAGAAAGCTCAGACTTTCGTCATATACAGTTCATCGAAATCCCGCCGTAAAATTCAAAACATATTTTCTCCTTCGAGTAGACTTCTCACGTCTCACACATCGACAGTACTCGTTTTTTTTTTCCCCACACTCGATCTCTGAGAGGGAAATCTTCTCTGATCTTCCTCCGTTGTCTTCCCCTTTCTGCTCTCTGCACTCGTTGCACTACTAATACCACCCTGAGGAACGATTCCATGCGAATCATCACCTCGAGGATTTTCTTCCCGCCTCATTCATTCTTCTCCTCACAAAGAACGGGAATCCCCACGCTTTTCCAGAAAAATAAAATAAACTAAAACACGAAGAATTTCTCTCAACTCGCGAAAATTATAAAACACAAAACCACGATTAAAAAATCACCGAAAGAGTTCAAAACTCCGGGGATCAGGCGACCTTCTGTCCCTGCAAACCGCAATTACGTCCAACAAATCCAACATTCTCCGAAATCAAACAAGGCCACCGATACCTGAATTCCGTCAGTCCCCGCAGCTCCCGCAAACCACGAACACGAATGCCGCCGGAATCTCCCCCTCTTGACGCCAAGTGGAGCCCCCCGCCACACCGCCGGTGAGAAAGCCGGGAACCAGCCCAAAAAGAAAACGAACGAGAAGGAGACAGGCGAAAAACCTAGCACCCAAAACACACACCAGGGCCAGCCGCGGCCCCTGCTTCTTCCTTCCCCGAGCGGAGCTCCTCCGCCTGAGAAGAGCAAGAGAGAGAGAGAGAGAGAGAGAGAGAGAGAGAGAGAGAGAGAGAGAGAGAGAGAGAGGGAGGGAGGAGGGAGGAGGGAGGAGGGAGGAGCTGCAGCAAGCGAGCGGGCGCCAAGCCGAAGCCACGTCACGAGAAACGTGTCTCTGCTCTGAGAGAGGGGGCCCCTGCAGAGGCGTGCTTCGCTGGGGATATTGGGACGGGTGGGGGCGGAAAATAGGTGAGGCGGCTCCCTGAGTTGGCCTCCCGGTTTAATCCCCGTCACCTTGACCGTACACGTGTCGAGTTTGAAGTCCTCACGCCTCGGCGATCCGGAGCCAGATTCCTACACCTGTCTTCGGGCCACGGTGGTCGCCGCCTGGCATCCTCAATCCGATTGGACTCTGCTTTCGCGTCCACCCGGCGCGCGAGTCACCGTCGGTTACCACCGCCCGATAACGACGAATCCCATTGACTCGTTTTGAACGATCCCCCGACGAGTCGGAAGATCGCGGTAGAACCGCCACATGGCCTGTCGCGCTCCCACGGGTCAAAGCTCGGGCCCTTGTCGTCCAGGACCGGTACGACTCGGCTGCGGCTCCGAGTCCAGCGCGTCGGCCGCGGATGCGTACGTCACTCCATGACCGAGATACCCCGCACTCGGTCACGTGGCACGATCCATCTGAGTCGCGTGGATCCCCGATCTCTACCGTCCGCTCTGACACGTTACCCGCACCAATGAGAAAGCAGATCCATCGTATCGTATACGTGTCATCTGGCGTCTCCTGCGCGCTGCAATGGTCAAGACAGCTGGCATCTTCGTGACGGGCACGAGGCTGACGGTGGATTTATTCTATTTGTGAGCGCGCCGCGTGGGACGAGTCGATCCACTAGCTGACGAAATATTTTCCGATGCACTACCAAAAAGAAATAATTATTATCGCATACACACTGATGATTTTTTAGAAATTAAAGTGGTATAAAATTAAAATAATTTATTATGCTTATTAAAGTTCGGAAAAAAACTTATGGCGCTAGTTGGATCTCTGTAGTGTGCGATTCGGCGCGTGATTCTCCACGCGGTTATCTTGACGTGTCGATGTTACAACGGCCGGTGGGGGAACGCATGTGCGCCGCCTTTATATTAAAGCCTGCTGTGTCAGACGGCCTGAGGAAAGACGTCACACGTCGATACCTACGCGAGGGGCGGCGCCCATTCAACGGCCGACATTTTGACGTGGCGCTCAGGTGGCGTTGGCCACCGGATTAGGAGGCGGGTGGGGCGGAGGACGTGGACACCGAGGTCACGATCGCGTAGCTTTTTTTTAATGATTTTTCGATTCGTGTAAACCACGAAATTTATATCATTCAATTTATTATGACTTATTAAAAATAAATATTAAATCCTTGTCATTTAGTGGAACCGTCAGACTACTGACTTCACCCGAGTTGAGACTAACTTAACCAGAGTTTGAATCGCGCCACTTCCCCCCACCCCCCCTCCCTCTCTCTCTCTTTCTCTCTCTCTTCTCGGAAACTGATACCGAGCGGCTCAGAGGCGGCGCCGCCTCTCACCGACGGAACTTATCGCGCGGGACCAGATACGCTGCGGGGGCGGGGGGTGGATCTGACGTGGGGGCGCATTAACACGAAATGACTTTGTAGATGGAATAATTATTTAAATATATAAATAATTTACATGAGGATTTTAAATATATTACCACTTTTTTATTTGTATTTTCGGAAAAATTCAATGGGGAAGGGTTATAGGGCAAGAATAATCTGAAAAATATTGGTATAAGAAAACAAGGGAGGGTTATTCATAATTAAAATGTTATATGGGGGTTAAACGAAAATAAACCTAAATTTTTTGCCAACGATCGAAGTCAGCCCGGAGAGAAGAGGAAGTCTCGGAGAAAACTCCCCTTTCCTGTCGAGTCAGGGGACGGATCCTGTAATCGACGCGGGTTCGTTCAGCGCTGCTGCCGCGCCTCTCTACGGTCTCATCGAGTCTCTGCTCCTGGATCTTGCTCTTCTTCGATGGATTACGATTACAGGAATAGGACGGGTCCCGTGAACAGGCCGGCGCCGGCCTCCTCCTTTTATCCCCGAATTTCTCCGCAGCCAGGGCAGCAAGTTCCTGTACCCGCTGGCCGAGCAACGTATCCCCATCCTGCTGCGGCTCCGCTCTGTGCGTTCTTCATTCTGTCGTCGTATGCTTTACTGTTTTGAATTCATTTATTTTTGTGCCGTCGCACTGAGGGAGATGCGCCGATCAGATATGCTTGCTTGAGCTGCGGGGATTTGAGCCGCATTAGGTTTTTTTTTTCTTTTTTCTGTGCGGATTTCTTTTCGCTTGGAGTTTCTCGCATGGAAAGACACAATTGTGTTGCACATATTCCGTATAAGCCTTTCGGTGTCGGAGGTTTGTTTTCACTGTTATTTTTTTCCAAAATTTTAGTACACATAAAAACATCGACACCTCCTCTCCCGGAGCACTTGAATTTCTTTCCCCCCTCCGGGATCTCTTGAATTCCTCCATGAACAATATTCGATTTCCTAATGGAGAATTTTCATGGAACTTAAAGCGTCACTTCGTATGGAAGAGTTAATAATAAGCCACAACCATTGTGCTGCAATGGAACTAAGAATCTGTCAATTACTTTATCTGGGAAGGTGTCCTGATAACGTCGAAAGTTGATTCTTGAATTTAAACATACTGCCGGCATTCGGTTTTATTCAGAACATTCACATTTGTATGGCTTGTGGAAACTTTTCGCTTTCATTTGTTGTAGTGTAAGCTGAAAAATGGCTATTGAGCAGAAAACTTCTTTAGGCAACAACTCATTGCGGTAGAAGCTATGCATTAGTTGAGCTCTTAAGAACGGGGAGAGATAGGAAATAAAACATTAGGATAAAAAGTAGAACATAGTGCTTAGTGTCGATTTCGGACTTGATTGGCTTGGTTTCTTCCCTAAATGTCCCATGCTAAAATCCACCTTTCCATGTAATATTTTACACTCATACTTAGATATCTTGGTCCAACAAATTTGTGTGGGGATGGTTGTGTGGGTGTTGAAACATTGCTCTTGAATAACTTACCCCTCGAGTGTGGCCGTTCTGGGTGGGGTAGACGGTAATCTATTTGTATATCTGAGTTGTGATGCTCCGTTCTTTGAAAATTTTGAATCTGATTCATTATATTACACTTTGTGGTTTTCTCGCTTTTTCACTTCACAAAATCCTGGTAGAAACCCCTGTGCAGTAGTATGAGACCGATGAGGTGTTGCAACATTATTTTTGCAGTTTTCTGTGAAATTTTTCCTTTGTGATATTATCTTTTCTGCGAGCTATGGGTTATGTGTAGTTTGTTTCAAACTTTGAAGTATTATCGTGATAAATTGTTGATGCTTACGACATTCTCTTTTTCACTTTATGAAGATTGAATTTACATTATTTTGAGCATGCATAAGGTTTTCTTACGAAATGTCAGAATTTAGTTTATTGAAATGAAGTAGAGATTACATCATCTTTCTTTAACTTTCGATGCTTTAAGTCTGTAATGGAACACGGGCTTTGATTTTATGTACTTTCTGATGTCTAATTCATGTTGTAACGATCTAGTAGTATGACCTATCCATTCAAAAAATGATTTGGAAATTAAGATTATAGTTAAACTGAGTTGCTGTCTCCTTGTTAGGGGGCTTTTCACCATCTTAAAATTTAAGGTTACGGCCTCGCAATTGAATTCACTCTTAAATATTTCGTGTATTTCTAATAAATTGACCTTGCTCTACTTTCTTCAGCGGGATCGGGCACTATAAGGGTCATGCTAAAGCCAGAATACCGGATAACACCACCGGTGAGACTTATATATTGCTTGCTTTGCTCTTCGCATGGGATATTTGTTTTGAACATTTTTGCGCGATTTATTTACTCAAGGAACGTCTTATTCATCTGTTTTTTTTTGGTTGAATCGCCAAATTTTTGTGTTAATTGCATGAAAGCTCCCGCATTCTTGTTTCTTATGGACATGTAAGTAAACAGCCGTATGCAGAACATGACACACACTTCTTTCTTCCATAGTATACAGGCAGCAGACATGCTACACGACACTATGTTCTTTCTCACTGTGTAGAAGAGCATACGTCAGCCAAGGCTGAGATGAACGGTGATTTGAGAAGAAGCACGTGGTTGACCTTTATTCCTGGGTATTTAGTGGCTAAGATTGAGGGTTGTGGCAGAATGATAACTGGAAATAATTATAAGATATAGCCATTCTAAACAACGATTAAAATCAATTTAAAGTGACTATTGGGATACGTTTGAATGTCTAGGTCTCTTAACAGGCCAAATGATCTGCCTGCTTGGACTGGTCACCGTTAACTTTCAACATGAGCTAATAGCAGTTGGCTGAACTTAAGCCATTAAATCCTAGAGTGAGTTGGACGACGTCGTGTTAATTTTTTAGCCTGCGAAATGCTGTTAAACTGTCGTTTGGTAGGGTGTTATGAACTCCTTCACTTTCTGAGAGTTAAAGAGGACCCTTGCTTTTGCTATTCTGACCCTAATGACACTGTGAAGCTTTATACCAAGAACTCTTCTCCACCATATTGTTTCTGGATTACTGGTATCTGTGTTTCAATGGTGGGATATTGGGTTGCATACCCTTTGTCATTTGTGTGTTTTCAGTAGTTTCAACAGTGATCTTGGGGAGAGCAGCGGAAATAGCCAAACTCTTTCACTCCATGGGTTGATTTGCCGACGTAGATTGCCATCCTTTCTGTTTCTGAGTCTGGGAAGTATATCCAAAATTAATGGGGGTTTTGACCGAGAAACTCTCGTCCTTTCTGCGCGTGGATTTTCTTTTAGAGTTTGCTCAAAACCTCACTTTTAATGCTGACCACCTGAAATTCTGACTCGGGAACGTGAATTTCACTCGTCAGCCTCAACTTGCTCCACAAGTGACAGAAGTTCCTCGCAGCCACTTCAGCTTTGACTTCGATTTCGAAAGAAGAATCCTAGCTGAGGCCGAGAAAGGCAGCCAAAACTGGAGCCGAATAGTGCCAGAAAATCAGCCTAATTTTTCAGCTTCAGCATCTTCTGCGGTACAATGCCCCTGCAAACTTTATTTATATGCCCGATTTCCACATTATCATATAAATTGCATGCTTGATGGATATATGATTCATAACGCTTCCTTCATAACTATGCACCCGCTCATTCTCCCCAGGCCCCAGCTGGAGATCCGGCTGTCGAGAAGTATGTGGCAATGGGACTTGGCCGCGAGGCCGCCACGCTCGCCGTGGCCAATTTCGGAGATGACGCAATCAAGGTAATCACCTCCAGCTCCAGCCCTGTCACCACCGAAGCCTTCTGATGGCGGCGACCCTCCTCTCCTAAAAGCCCAGAGCTTGGTGGGTTGTAATCCGATCTCCCTCCTCACTTTCAGGTCCGGGAGTTTGTGAAGGGCTACAATCTTCTCCGCGAGATGGGCTTCGCCTCCAAGAACGTGGCCGAAGCGCTGGCCATGTACGACAATGATACGGACCAGGCGCTGGCCCACTTCCTCAATAGCTCCTCCTGAGGAGATTTCATACAGATGCTCGAACTGGTTCTACATCTCTGCTCTGGATTCTTGTCTACCAGGTCTGTGATGAGTGTTTGATGTGGGCCTTTGGGGGTGGGTGCTGGGCTGAATGGTCGGAGGCCCAGGATGAGTGTGTACTCTTACGCGAAAGTCCCTCTTTGTTTATCTATTTGGCGAGGGACGTAAATAGATGCGTATTTTACAAGTCTTGGGGAACGGGGAAAAATTATAGAGATGTCCACGTTCTTAGTGGGCTTCGCTGCTTGACGACAAAAGTGTCCTTTCGCTTACCTCCAGGCGATAGCGAGATCAGACTCCCTCTCTCTCGCTCTCTCGCTCTCTGTCTCGCGGGTCGATCGTCTTCCCCGTCTCACATGAAAACCTGCTGCGTCCGGAAATTTCTTTTAACCACCAGAAAAACGAGGCAGATTGAGGAAATGCAAGCTGGCAGGGCCGGACGATGAGATAATACCCCTCCCCCCCCTCCTTCCCTCCCTTCCACGAACCCCCATTTTGGTGGCTATCATTTGAGACTGGGATCCCCTTGACTGCACTTTCCCCCCGGGTCCCCGGCGTCTCCTCCCTCACCTCTGCCCTCCGCCCGCTTCCCCACCGCCGAGGGGAGGCCTCACCCGCTCCACGCAGAGAAGACCGACCCCCGGCGACCCGAAGATGAACGACGCCGATGTGTCGAAGCAGATCCAGCAGATGGTGAAATTCATTCACCAGGAGGCGGAGGAGAAGGCCAACGAGATCTCCGTATCGGCAGAGGAGGTGATGCCCGTCCCTCTCACTCTTGAATTCCCTCGATCTCTTCAATCTTGTCCTCGATGGGTTGTTTACCTTGTTTGGATTCTTGGTGTCTCTCAGTTGATTGGACGTAGCACGTGGTGTGGATATGAGGGATTCGATCTGTTTTCTTATTCTATATTGTCTAGGACGTCCTTACATCCTGCAGCGAGCTGCTGATTTTTTTCTTTTGTTTGGGATTTTATTTTTCTGCTGCACCGGTCTGTGATCGCTTTCACGGGAAGAATGACACTGTCTGGAAGTTGTCAAAAAACGATGTTCATTTTGTTTGCGCAAATGTCCTTTACAATGATACACGTTTCTCAATCACCAGAAGGATCGCATTTCTTCGATCCTCCCCTTCCACACACACACATACATCGACACACAAAAACCGGCCAACAACAGATCGTGCTTCTCCTCATCCTTTTTCATTCTGAAGTAGCAAGGTCATTAATAGTTTTTCTTTATCTTGGTTGATATTCCTTGGGATCTTAAAGTTCACCTTTATTTCAGGAGTTTAATATTGAGAAGCTGCAATTGTTTGAAGCTGAGAAAAAGAAGATCAAGCAAGAATTTGGACGGAAAGAGAAACAAGTTGAAGTTCGCAGAAAAATGTAACATACTAGACATTTTTCTCCTATTCCTTTCAGCATCATCTAGCATATCTTTTCCAATTTCTGTTGCTTCCCAGTGTATCGGAAAATTTCCCTATTCTGCCAAGATCATTCTGCAAGAATATGCAGGTTGACGATTCGAAAGCTGAGACGAGCTTTTTTTTAGTGTTGATATGTTTGTGGTGACTCATTTCAAAAGAAACTCATAGTGCCAACTTTGTTTGTGCTGCAGACCAACGAATGGAATATCATTTGATTTTTAGAAAATCTTTGAATGACACAACAAATGGTATCTGTATTCCAGGTTTTAGATGAGTGTTGGAACCCATCTTTCTCATCCGTTTCTTATCATGGACAGATGCAATGCTGATGAACTCATCAATGGGCTTAGCCTTTCTGTGTTCTTTTATCCAGATGGATAATTTGACGGTGACAATAGCTTGTGAAGATCATGGAGGAAATTCCTCATTAGTTACTTTTGACCTTCCCTTGTGGAAGTGCTTTGGGGCCTTTAGTTTTCATAGAGGAAAACGTAAGCAAGCTTCAGCGAAATATGAAGTCTTTACCAGGGAAGTTACATAAATGGTTCGGTCATGCCAGGTATAGATTAAGCCAGAACTAAGGGGGGACTATGTTCATGCAAAAATCATATGCATTCGTATGTTAGTACTTTGGTTAGCAAAGTAATCCATGTACATTTAGGGTGGGTGTTCTCGAATTAGATTGAAAATTCTTTCAAGTTGGACAGAAAACCCAGACTTTGACATTTTTCAGTGAGGGAAGAAGCAATTTATATTTCCTTGCTACGTCGAAATAAAATCTAGAGTGACAATTTAGAGTACAACTTGACACGAACCCTCAAACCTGACATCTTGTTCTCAATGTTAATTCACCTTGGCTTTCTCCACTGGGTCCAGTTCAATACCTTGCTTCAACTAACTGTTGTTTCCCTATCTGATCTGCTGGCATCATTTTGTCAGTGTCTCTAATAGAGCCTGTTTTATTCGCATTCGTTCAGATTAGAGAAATGAGGCGGTCCTTTTGTGGGACCTTTTGTTGTCCAATGCAGGACTGTTACAATTGTCCTTCAGCGAATGGTGATCATAGTTTCCTAACTTTGATGCCAAAACGAAATATGTTGCTTCATGCTTTAGAACTTTGATGGTATATCTTCATTCTTTTGAGGATGAAAGAAATGGATGGTAGCATTTGTCTTCCTCAGTGGCACTGCTTATCTGGATGAATGGAGTGACGAGCGTCGGTAATAGGACTTCAACATACAGTAGCATTGGCATCATACAGACAAGGAGAAGCTTGGAAATGGATAAGAAGCTTGGTACATCTGCTCGTTAATTTTACATTGCTAAAAAATAGTAGAGTCCGCTCATCATGTCACAGCCACCATTCCTTTAGTTGACTTCTCTGGAAATTCATCAGCGTGGACCCTTGCCCCATCTGACTAAGCATTAGACCTTTTTTCAGGTGAGATATGGGAGGAACATAGAAAGCGATGCGAATTTTCTCCCAATTTTTTTCTAGTCTTACTTACTATCCACAACACCTTATCACTGCTCATTACATCTCTCTTCTCTTGTTAGAGTTGCAATCTCTTCTCCTCCCTCTGTTGACTATGAGTTGTTCAAATGATAGACATGAGCTTCAGAACTAGAAAATGAGTGTAAGTATTCACATCATGCGTGAATGGGATATGGTGCTGCACATGCGCACTCCCATATCCACTCAAGTTATGACATAAGAAAAACAACTAAACTATCCCTCAGTTGATGAAGAAGGTGACTTCTTACAGAGGGAGGGTTAACTTAACGTGCTTTGGTGTGTTAGCAGAGTTGAAGAGTGGTGTGTTAGTCAACATAGCTTGAGGTGGATTGTAAATGCCCGCTTCAAGTTATTGGTTTTCGTTGGTGCTGTTTCTATGTTTATGTATATAATTCTGTTTCTGAGTTGCTTATAAAGTAAAAGAGAAGTGGTTACATCAAGAATAGTGCAGGCGCATGTGCCATTCGAGCCATTACAGTAGAAAATGGAAATGTTAAAAAATGTTGACAAGGTTGTATGTTAAGAAATTAACCATTTTCCTCATGTACTTTGGAATTGTTAAGTTATTTACTGGAATATCATGAACAGTCATGGAGTACTTTATATTAGTTCATTCTTTTGTCATTATAATTATGAGACCTCTGTCAAGTCAACGATATAGTGTCGTAATCAAGTCTGTCGTTCAATTTAAAATATTTTGATAAAAACCGTGGAAGTTTGATCTTGAATTTGATTATTTTTTCCTTTTTTATTTTTCAAGGCTAATTTGATGCCTAATTTCGTATGTAGTGAATATTCCATGCAATTGAATGCTTCTCGGCTTAAGGTTCTTCAAGCCCAGGATGATTTGGTTAAGTCCATGAAGGAGGCAGCTGAGAAAGAGCTATTGCACGTTAGCCATGATCATCATGCATACAAACATCTTCTGAAAGAACTGATTGTTCAGGTAAACGATGACTTATCTGATAGCTAATAGCTCTCGCGTATCTTTTATTATCAAATGAAGCATATTAGAGATGTTTACATCTTTATTAAGTTGCTGGATTTGGTTTAGTTCACCTGCCATCTGTTACTGAGTAAATTTAGCCTGAAAAACAGAGTAAGCAGTTTGGTGCGGAAGTCTTCCCCCGTGGGAATTCACCTGTCACGAATACAAAATAAATTTATCAATGAGATTCAAGCACTTTTGGTTTGCCCATGGGACGGATACTTTCTATTTCCCTTAAATGTGATAACATGACGTTTCGGGATCGTTCACTTCCTGTGAGATAGTCTCTATTTTCCTTATTTTTGATAAAACAATGTCTATGGACCGTTCACATTCTACCATGTTTATTTGGGATACTTTCATTACTTATAATTCCTTGATTCTATTAGTATCACGCTTGCATTGATGTCATATAATTATTTGACCTTGTATTTATCACTTCCAGTGTTTGCTGCGACTCAAGGAACCATCTGTACTACTGCGTTGTCGGAAAGAGGACGTTGGGCTTGTGGAATCTGTTCTGCACTCTGCAAAGCACGAGTATGCAGAGAAAGCCAATGTCCATCATCCTGAAATAGTGATAGACCATGTCACACACCTTCCACCCGCTCGCCACCATCATCATGGTCATGGACCTTTCTGGTAATACACTCTTCAGAGAAATATGGTTAAAAGAAATGCATGAAATCCGGTTATGTGATATATTTATTGTGAAGAAAAGGGTTAAATAATCTGCAAAGGCACTTTTCTATCAAGTTTTTTTGAGTAAATTAATGTCATAATCTGTTATCCTTTTCATCTTTCCACCTCATGTGTTAAAAATGGCATTTTTTGTTGCCCAATCTAAACCTCTGGTTGCTCGATTTTGGTGGGAATTGACTACGATCTTACATTTTTTTGGTATCTAGAGGGTCATGTTACTATAGAATAACTCATTGGGGAGACCCAAATCTTTTGTAATTTCACGCCAGTTGATTAGAACCATTACCATGGTGCTGACAGGCATTAATGGGTCGATATAGACAGTCTGACGAAGGGCCCTGAGATTTCTGTTCAATTACCTGGCTCGACAGAAAACCTGCAAAAAACAGTGTAAAGGACTTGGGTGCCATGACTTCCGCTGGTAGAATGTCTGTCAAAATTTAATTCGGGCAGATGCTAAACATTTAAACGTTCTTTTAAATGTTTTCTGTCTGGAATCAGTCTCGCCTGAGTACCAAGTCGCCATATCTTCATCAGGGGAATAAGCTACCAGTAGGTCGGTGTCATAATCAAGTGGTATTTTCCGAAAAAATGTTTTAATCAGTTAAAAATTAAATCATTTGGTGCTGCATTTTTTATGCAATTGAATGTTAGATCCTTGTATATTATTAATCGAATGCAAGATCCTTGGATACTATTTATTGAATGTAAGATCCTTGTATATTATATTGATGATGAGATTCATGATTCAGCTCTGGAGGTGTTGTCTTGGCTTCTCGAGATGGGAAAATTGTATGTGAGAACACCCTAGATGCAAGGTTGGAGGTTGTCTTCCATAAAAAGTTACCGGAGGTACCTACCTTACGCATGCCTTTTCTTTGGGATCCTAATAATCTTTACATTATGCAAGAGGAAACCTAAGAAATTTGGATTGAGCTGCATTCCGTCTTAAACTATATTTCTGCTATTTAATCCTTTGTTGTTCACGATTGGTTTTTATCTTTTGGATAATTATGGTCTGAATCAGTCTTGGGTTGGGCCCAAGGATTATCCTTTGTGGCCCTTCAGAGTTAGTCATACCAGAGTCTAACTGCAATGGAGCGACTTAGGTGGTTAATTTTTAATGGCATTCAAGTAAGTCAAATGCTCGAATCATTATAATCTCCCTTAAAAGTAATGTTGCCATGCGCTTTACCTGCCACCATTACGAGTAATGGTGCGGGGATCGTGCAGCAGGAACCACCAAAGCATAATGTGACAGTACATGTAATCCTTGAGCTTGTTGGTGAAGCCACCCGTACCATGTGGCCACATGTATTCGCATGGAATATGAAATTCCAGGTTTTAATGCCCAATCTGAACTGACCAATCGTGTGTAAACCTGACAAAATTTATCTACACTTACTGGATTTGGAATATCACCCTTTTGCTTGAAAATCTTAGGGGTCGTTTTTTTTTCTTTCTGTCTGGTGATTTTCCCTCCCGTTAGTTTTATTCCTTTAAAGACATTCAGAGATTTATACATATATATATATATATATATATATAGCTTTCTTAGTCAATAGGCTTAGGCCTTGCTGATTTTCTACCTGGCGATCGTCCTTCTAGTTTTATTTTTCAAATAGCTGAATAACTTTACGTCACATCCTAAGTGGGCTGTTTTCTCCTTGTGTATTGCAGATCCGGAAATGCCTTTTTGGCCAGGTCGCCGTATAATCAATTGGGCCTTCCTATTTCTCTTCGTCGAGAGGAGGTTGTATGCCGCGGACATTTATTTAATTCGGGAAAAAATTATGCTCATTCCATGTGCTTGTGTTTCAAGGCTTTAATCATTATATACTCTGTTACATAGCTGCTCATTCCGCGAATGAACAGAACGTAGCAGCATAATCACGAATACATCACCATTTTATATACTCTTTTGTTTAACAAAACAATTTTCCGTGGATCTTTATTTATTTATTAATATAATGATTACTTGCTCGATTTTTGTTCATAATTTGAGCATATCCTTCTGTTTTGGTGTAATGCAGATTCAGAAATGGTTTTTTTCGTCGGATCTTGGGGCTAATTTCTGCAATCTCTGTTGCTGCTCGTTTAGAAGAGGCTGGACGACCGTTCGTTCGCCAGTATCATAAGAACTCAGAACTTGATGTTCATTTGGAGTATATTCGGTCCGCATTCGGCGGAAAAACGCCATTCTCTTATTTCTTTATTTAATGGGTACTGCTGTTCTTCAGTTGTATGCCGCAACTCCTTGTACGAAGCCTTTCTTCTCTTATTTAACAATAAGTGATTGCGATGTGAAGTGAAACAGTCGGCGAAATGAGTTGTGAGCAGCCGGGTGTTGACAATGAGGTCAACTGCCCAAGTGGAATCTTCTGCGACATGCTTGAGAACTGGCTTGTAGAAGCGTAGATCGAGGACGACGGCTCTCTCTCTCTCCCTCTCGCTTATAGTCTTTGTGCCTCTCCGCAGAGAGGTGAGGCGGCGACAGCCAAGTTACAGAGAGTGAAGCCAGATAAGGTTCGGTAGAGCAACCTTGTCGTCCTCCCCCGCCGCCCCTGTCAGCTGCTGTTTTTTTCTTACCGCCCGCCACCTCCGCCACAAGCTTCACTGCTATCCTTGTTGTACTCACGGGAGAAGCCGAGATGAGGGCGAAGCGAGGATCGCCGCCGCCTCGAAAAGCCGTGGTCGCCGCCGTCTGCGCGCTGATCGTAGCCATGAGCGGCGCGCCGCCAGGCCACGCGTGGTGCGACTTCCTCACCATCTTCAACTCCGGCGACTCGAACTCCGAGGGCGGATTCTGGGCAGCGTTCCCGGCGCAGTCCGTCCCCTTCGGGAGACCTTCGGTAGGCCCTCCGGCAGGGCTTCTGACGGTCGGCTTGTCATCGATTTCTTGAGTACTCTCTCTCTCTCTCTCTCTCTCTCTCTCTCTTCGGACTGAGGGACGGAGGGACGCCTGGAACATGCAGCGCAAGCTCTGGGGATCCCGTTTCTCAGCCCGTACCTGCAGTCTATCGGGTCGAACTACACGCATGGTGCCAACTTCGCGACGCTGGCCTCGACAGTGATGCTGCCCAATACCTCCCAGTTTGTCACCGGAATCAGCCCCTTCTCCCTGGCCATTCAGCTCAGCCAGATGAAGCAATTCAAGGTCAGAGTTCTCGAGCTCGTCCTAGAAGGAGGTACGCAGCTCCTCCCCGTTCCTGTTCACAGGAAGCCACCTTCCCCCACTTTAGGCAGTTTCCGAACGGGTACCGCTTGCTGCTGTCAAGGGTCTCTTCCTCCTGAGGATATCTTCGGACGATCACTCTACACCCTGGACATCGACCGGAACGACTTCCCCTCCAACCTCGCGGCCGTCGGTAGCGACGGATTCAAGCAGTATCTTCCTCAGGTGGTGGATCAGATCGCGTGGACGATTAGGGTATGATGTAAGACTGTCCTCTCGGTCCTTTCTTCCTCCCCCAGGCGACCACAGACGGATTGTGCCTCTACTGGTTTCTCAGGAGCTGTACGCTATCGGAGGGAGGACCTTCCTGGTGTCGAACCTGGCGCCCGTCGGGTGTTGCCCTGCGTTCCTCTCGAACCAGGCATCTTCGATATCGACGAGCACGGCTGCGTGGTCTCCTACAATGACGCGGTAGAGCAGTACAACATCCTGTTGAAGGAGGCCCTCCGGCGGACCCAGAGCTCGCTCGCCGGCGCTACCGTCGTGTACGCGGATATCCACGCTGTCAAGCTCGAGCTACTCAGGCACCCCGCCGACCACGGTGAGCTGCTTTCCAGTCGCCCTTCACCTTCTCTCCCTCTTCTGTTCTCAGGTCTCCCACTCACCATCATTCTTCTTTGGCAGGGCTTCAGTAGGGGACCAGAGTTTGCTGCGGATATGGCGGCGGGGCCTCTAACTTCGATCCGCGGGTTTACTGCGGCAATACGAAGGTGATCGATGGCACGGCCGTGACGGCGACCGCCTGCGCCGACCCTCAGAACTACGTGAGCTGGGACGGCATCCACGCGACGGAGGCAGCTAACAAGCTCGTGGCGGCGGCCATCCTGGGTGCTTCTTACTTGGACCCTCCATTCCGGCTTGCCGATCATTGCGGCCTGCAACCAATTGGGTGAGATAACGCAGAATCAGCCGCTTTCAGGCTTGAAAGATCCAACGAGACGAAATCAGAATGAGGCCAGAAATACTCCGGACGCCTAGTCCTTTCCCTCTGATCAAAGATCACTGCCGACTGATAATCCTTGAGGGAGAGTCTCGCGCAGGTTCAGATAATCTGCATATTTGGACGGAGCACAAGTAAGCCAGTGAAGAGAGTACAAGAAGATGATGGGACCATTATCTTTGCGGTTGGAAAGAGTTGGGGAGGCCTCGTTATGGAGAGAAGAGTCTTAAATAGAATTTTGTACGGATAAATCAGCATGTTCTCCGGGATCTAAATCTTGCCATTTTTCTCTTAATGAAGCCCTCCTGAATGGTCTTGAAAGACTCCGTACGATCGACACACCCGTGAACCCCACGATCTCCACAAATACGGTGAGAAAAGAGGAAGAGGGCCCCAAGAACACGCGTTAGAAGTCCGCACCCTCCATCCCTCCACTTCCTCCCCATCAATTAGTTGAGAGAAACAAGAAGGGGAAGCGAAGAGAGAGGGAGGGAGGGGGGGGGGGGAAAGAGAGAGAGAGAGAGAGAGGTAGATCCGGTTCTCTCTCTCATTCACCACGGATGAAAGGCCTCTCTATACGTTGTGTGGTCGAGTTAAATTCAACACTGACGGGCTCCGCGGCCGGTGGGGACTGTCGGCTTGTTGCGGATTGCCTCCACGTGGATTCTCCGTCTCCCTCTCCAGTCTCCAGCCCAGCACATCCACAAGCTCGGACGTTCGGAATAGTTTACTCACTACGCGACGTAAGCTGCCGTGAAATTTCAACGATGGTGACAGATGACAACGTCAACGGTTTTTGGTCAGATCTCCAAGTGAGGGTGAAGACAAATAATATTTTAGCTCAAATATATAATTCTTTTTTAGCTCTTGCTTCTGGCCACAACGAAGACGGTCGATCTTTTAGCCGCCTGTTCCGCCTGAGCAAGAGCCCCTACCAGAGGATCCACTCGGCAGAAGGCACGTCCCCGGCATTCCGACCCTCGTGGCACTTACCGGGGGAGATGGGACGAGAGGTTGAAGGTTGAAGAAGCTGGACATGAGAGGAAAGGAGGGTTGAGGGGATGAGGATGGTAGGGAGTAGTTGTCGTGTAGGAATTTTGTCACCGTGCTGCTGACGACGTGAGGGATTCCTAGCCGGCGCGTCGGAGAGAGAAAAATACAATAGTCCGACCTAATCAGTCAGTGTTAGGCTTTCCACGCGGGTTTTCAAAAAAACAATATAATACAAGCAACTGTAAATGTACTCGGTTGCCCAGCCTCTCTCTCTCTCTCTCTCTTCGACATATCGCCGTCTTCGGGGGGGGTGAAGATAGTAGAGCACGGGGGTGAGCTCCAGATGAATAATCGCTCCGCCATGGAGGCCCTTTCAGGTACGAATCCTATTTTTACCCACTTCCTCGATGATGAATTCTCGCTTAGAAGACGAGGTAACTAAAGAATCGATCTTGCAGGCGCCCAGATCCCATTCTGCGGGGAGTCTAATTTGCCGGCATATCTCCAGTCGGCTTACTGCATCGGCAGAGTAATCTACACCACTTCATGCGTCAACCAAATAGCCGTCCTCTCCATGGACGCGATCCTTCTGGCTATGGCCCTTCCCGGCTTTGCCTGCCAGCGGTCACCATTGGAGATGATTCGAGGACGACCTTGCTCTGGCGCGTCCAAAACCTTGAAGGCCCTCTCCGTCGTCTTCAACTGCAGCGTGAGTTTGGCTTATCTAGGGCTTGGTTTCTGGACGCTAGCTGGAGAGCTTGCATGGGAAGGGGAAACGTCTCTGCTCCATAGTTGGCTCGTTTCCCTCGCACAGGGATTTACATGGTCCTTCGTGACGCTGACGCTGACCTTGCAGAGCAGACGGCTCAAGAAGTCCTTCCTGAGGTTGTGGTCGGGATCGGCATGCTTGTTGGCCGGATTTCTCTGTATTACTTCCGTTCTGGAAGCAATCTACGACGGAGAAGCGTCGCCGGTGAGGACTTCTCTGGACGTTATGACCCTGCCAGGGGCCATTCTGCTCGTAATCTGCGTCTTCGTGGGATACGAAGATGCAGAGGCCAATCAAGACGAGGGCGGCACACTGCGTGCGCCTCTGCTCGGAGATGGAGAAGATCACAAGGCAGATTCCAGCGGGAACGTCACGTTGTTGTCCAACGCTGGGTTTCTGAGCAAGATGACGTTTTGGTGGTTGAATCCTTTGATAAAGAAGGGGAACGAGAAGGCTCTCGAAGAGAAGGACATGCCGGGCCTGCGCAGGGAAGATCGGGCAGAAACTCGCCATGATTTGCTTCTGGAGCAACTGAACGGGAAGAAGCCCGCTCCCTCCATGGTGAGGACCATTTTCTACTGCCATCGGAGGGAGATCTTCATCAGCGGGGTCTTCGCTTTGCTCAAGGTTCTTACCCTCTCTGCCGGCCCGATTTTTCTCAACTCCTTCATCAAGGTGGCCGAGGGAGAAGAGGCGTTCCCCTATGAAGGCTACGTACTGGCTGCCGCCATGTTCTTCTCCAAATGCTTAGAATCCTTGTCTCAGAGGCAGTGGTACTTCCGCAGCAGGTTGGTAGGGCTCCAACTGAGATCCATGCTGTCGGCGGCGATCTACCGGAAGCAACTGAGGTTGTCGAATTCTGCAAAACTAGTGCATTCCTCTGGGGAGATTATGAACTATCTCACTGTGGACGCTTACAGAATAGGCGAATTCCCTTTCTGGTTGCATCAGGCATGGACGACCAGCCTCCAGCTGTGTATCGCGTTGGTGATCGTCTACCAAGCTGTGGGACTCGCGACCGTGTCGGCCATGGCTGTGATAGTGCTCACGGTCCTCTGCAACGCCCCGGTCGCCAAGCTTCAGCACAGGTTTCAGTCGAAATTGATGGAAGCCCAGGATGTGAGGCTGAAAGCCATGACGGAGGCGCTGGTGAATATGAAGGTTCTAAAGCTTTACGCGTGGGAGACCCATTTCAAGAGGGTCATAGAGAGCCTGAGGAAGTTGGAGGAGGGCTGGCTGTTCAAGTTTCAGCTTCGGAAGACGTACAACACCTTCCTCTTCTGGTCCTCCCCCGTCCTGGTCTCCGCGGCGACCTTCACAACCTGCTATCTCCTTCATCTTCCTCTCCGAGCCAGCAACGTCTTCACCTTCGTCGCCACCCTGAGGATCGTTCAAGAACCCGTCAGGGCGATCCCCGACGTCATGGGCGTCGTGATTCAGGCGCAGGTTGCGTTGTCTCGTGTGGAAAGGTTCCTGGATGCCCCCGAGCTGCAGAGCGGGCTTGTCAGTAAGAGTGCAGAGGATTCAAAAGACCCAGTCGTCATCAAGTCTGCTAGCTTCTCATGGGATATGAACCTGCAGAAACCCACTTTGAGGAACGTGAGTCTGGAGGTCAAACACGGCGAAAAGGTGGCGATTTGCGGCGAGGTTGGCTCCGGAAAGTCTACCCTTCTCGCGGCCATCCTCGGAGAGATTCCCCACACAGAAGGCTCGGTATAATCTGATGGCGACTCCATCGCATGTTTTCCTTTCTGCAACGAACGTCAGGGTTGACTTTGTTCCTTTGCTTGCGATCTGCAGGTTCAGGTCGGGGGAAAGATCGCGTATGTCTCTCAGGCAGCTTGGATTCAGACGGGGACCATACGAGATAACATCCTCTTCGGGTCCGCCATGAACGAGCGAAGGTTCCAAGAAACTCTAGAGAGGTGCTCCCTGGTGAAGGACCTCGAGGTGCTCCCCTTCGGTGACCTCACTGAGATAGGAGAGAGAGGGGTAAACCTAAGTGGTGGACAGAAGCAACGGATTCAGCTTGCTCGAGCCCTCTATCAAGACGCAGACGTTTACCTCCTGGATGATCCATTCAGCGCAGTTGATGCTCATACGGCGACCAGCCTCTTCAATGTACCGGACGTCCCCATCTGCGATCGACCCTCCATTTCTTCCCACATTATTCTGAACTTTTGGTTATCTTCTGAGCAGGAATATGTCATGGGTGGGCTGTCCGGGAAGACCGTCCTGCTAGTAACTCACCAAGTTGACTTCCTACCGGCGTTTGACTCTATCCTGGTCAGTCAGAGCAACTACTTCCTAGCGCCGGAGGAGATTCTTCATTAAAACTCCTTTTGATTCTTGATCCAGCTGATGTCAGATGGTGGGATTCTGCGGGCTGCCTCCTATGCTGATTTGTTAACCTCCAGCAAGGAATTTCGAGATCTCGTGGACGCCCATAAGGAAACTGTAGCTCCTGAGAAGCTTGACGGCCTCAAACCCCCGGGAAGAACGAAATCCTCTTCACGGGAGATCGACGACGCCCATCCGGAGAAACAGCAGAAGACACCGCTGGGATCAGTGGGGGATCAGCTGATCAAGAAGGAAGAGAGGGAAAGAGGGGATACGGGCTTAAAACCCTACTTGCTGTACCTGGGTCAGAACAAGGGTTTCTTCAACTTTGCCTTGGCGGGCCTCATGCAATTGTCGTTCGTAGTCGGGCAGATCCTGCAGAACACATGGATGGCAGCCAACGTACAGAACCCTGCAGTCAGCAATCTGAGACTCATTACTGTTTATCTGTTGGTCGGGATCCTCACGACGGTCTTCCTCTTCTTCAGATCGATGTTCACGGTTTTTCTGGGCCTAGAGTCCTCAAAATCTCTGTTTTCTCAGCTGCTCACCTCCCTTTTCCGCGCTCCCATGTCGTTCTTCGACTCCACACCGGCGGGGAGGATTCTGAGTCGGGTAAGAACGCCCCCCAGAAAACCGTTTTCTGGACACTAATGAACTCCTCACTCATCTCAGTTTCTTCTTCGATCCATATTTAGGTATCCTCTGACCTCAGCATTACCGATCTCGATGTGCCATTTAGTCTCATGTTCAGCCTCAGTGCGACCCTGAATGCATACAGCCAACTTGGAGTCCTGGCCGTCATCACCTGGCAAGTCCTCTTTGTCTCAGTGCCGATGTTCTACCTGACCCTCCGCTTACAGGTACCATTGTGACCTGTAATTCTGCGTCAGATGATGTCTACATTTTTTTCCCCAAAAGAAATTAATCGAAGATCATCTCTCTGCTTGCTCAGAAGTATTACTTGACCTCTGCAAAGGAGCTGATGCGGCTGAATGGAACCACCAAGTCTCTGATGGCGAATCATCTGGCTGAATCCCTATCTGGAGCCATGACCATCAGAGCTTTTGATAAGGAAGATCGGTTTGTCGCGAGAGGAATGGAGCTCATCGACAAGAACGCCAGCCCTTTTTTCCTCAACTTTGCAGCAAGCGAGTGGCTGATCCAGCGTGTAGAGACCATGAGCGCCGCTGTTATATCCTCCTCAGCCCTCGTCATGATGGTGCTTCCCAAAGGAACCTTCAGCTCCGGTAAATTGCGCTTGGTATTCTCTGCCTGTGTGATCAGAGGATCGTCGTTAACAAAAATAATAAATAAATAAATGCTTTTTACTAGCTTGTTCAGTAAGACGATATCTTTCACCCGTCATTGTGGCAGGATTCATTGGGATGGCGCTCTCCTATGGGCTCTCACTGAACAATTCCCTGGTTTTCTCCATCCAAAACCAGTGCACGCTAGCAAATATTATAGTCTCAGTAGAAAGGTTGAATCAGTACATGCACATTGCTAGTGAGGCTCCAGAGGTTCTAGAAAGCAACCGGCCTAATGCAGATTGGCCTGAAACTGGTAGAGTCGAACTCCAAGATCTCAAGGTAAATGTCAATCTCAAATCTAAATGAATAACCTGAGTTTGCTTTGAAGAGATCACCATACTGACCAGAGGGCTCAAAGCAGATCAGATATAGGCCGGATGCTCCCCTAGTGCTCCGGGGAATCAGCTGCACAATTGAAGGAGGGCACAAGATTGGGATCGTCGGGCGGACTGGGAGCGGGAAGTCAACTCTGATCAGTGCACTGTTTCGGCTGGTCGAGCCAGCTGGGGGCACGATCATCGTTGACGGCCTTGACATCACCACCATAGGGCTCCATGATTTAAGGTCCCGCTTCGCAATCATACCACAGGATCCAACGCTCTTCCAAGGGTCTGTCAGATACAACCTGGATCCTCTGTCACAGCACACAGATCAAGAAATATGGGAGGTACGAACGAAATATTGATCTGGACTTAATGCACATCTAGATCGTTTTGTATGAGCTTTGGTGATTTTTCTGCTAATCTCCCAGATTCTAGACAAGTGCCACCTTCAAGAGGCTGTCCAAGAGAAAGAACAGGGCCTCGATTCACCAGGTAATTTTAAGATACAATGGATTCATCTCTCACCTTAATATTTTTTTTCTTCTCATCATTTGGTCTTGGCAGTTGTTGAAGATGGGTCGAATTGGAGCATGGGGCAGCGGCAATTGTTCTGCCTGGGACGGGCGTTGCTGAGGAGAACCAGGATACTGGTTCTTGATGAGGCCACAGCATCCATTGACAACGCCACTGATGCCATCCTTCAAAAGACCATCAGAACCGAATTCGCTGCCTCTACGGTCATTACTGTAGCTCATAGAATACCTACTGTCATGGACTGCACAAGGGTACTCACAATTAGCGGCGGTGAGCTCATGTCGGAAATATTTTATTATGTTTCCTTACACAATCGATCGAGATTCGCATGGCCTGATGGTTTCTTCAGTGAGGCCCAACGGGTCAATGACAAATGGTTTATAAGCGGAAGGAAATTACCTGAATAAGATCTCCCTGTTTTCTTTCTAGGAGAAATGGTGGAGTACGACAACCCAGCAGAGCTGATGGTGAAAGCAGGATCCCATTTCGGCGAGCTTGTCAAAGAGTATTGGTCTCGTACTACGAATGCGAGTAACCTGACCTTGGATTCCCCCTAGGGTCGTAAAATTATCTGTTCATCCACAAACTTTGCATTGAAATGGTACAGTGCCACATGGAAATTCGTGCAAGGTTTCTGGAATAATTGATGAGCACGGCGGACTTGGTGATAGATTCAATTGTGCCAAATTATATAAGAGTTGGACATACAAATTCCAAGGGCAGAAATAACAGAGGGGATCTTCTATCTTGGCCATCAGTTTTCAAATAAAGCAGTATAGGCCAGTTCAAACTGGCTCTTTTTTTTCTTGAGGGGAAGGGATTTCAAATGGAACTGAAGAAATTCTTCTTTCCTCTCAGTTACGGCCCGCCAAGGATAGCATTTTCAATGTCTTCCCTGCTCAACGCATAGCTAAATCTCCTCTCCACATCTTTATCAAGATTTCCCGGGCCAATCTTCAAATACCTAGGCAAGAGTCCGCAGAATTTCATCAAATGTTAGAAATTTAAGGTCAAAATTCAATAGAACTCCCCATATGCAGCGAAAAAAAGCTATATGTGGCCTATATGCTATAAAGAATTCATGTAATATATACAAATAGTGTACTAGCATGTGGCCAAGACACAGTAACAGACATATTTCCTAAACACAGATCAAATCACAGCACGTTTCACGAAAGTTTGAAGCTAAACTGAGCCGCACACATACTTCCTAAATGTACATCAACCACCATGCAGCACAGTTTAAGAATTTCTAGGGTGTAATCATCTCCAGAAATGACGACTTAGTTTTCAGATACTATTTGATTCCTTAGTATACCATGTGCATCAATCACCCTAAAGAATGGCAATAACCACCCAGTCAAAATGCCAACTCTAGTTCTATTATCCCTGTCCTCAAACTAATAATGATTGCATGAAATAAAAATCCTGCTATAGAATAAAAATTTAGAATCATTAATTTCCATTGCCTCTCATAGCCTCGCAGATATCAGAAACCCATCCACTAGATGTTCCAGAGGTTAGGGTAGAGCAGCAATTATCACAACCAGGGTCCTGTCCCAGTTTTATAACTATGCATGAACGCCTGAATTTCGATCAACATTATATCATGGATCAAAAGATTACCCAAAGTATCACAGCTAGCAAGACGACATGATATAAATTGATCGATTCAGAACAGGAAAAACACAGAAGAAGCTTCTTCCTTTTACGTTCACGGTTCAGAGAAAAGTATAAAACATAAGAAAGAAGTTAAAAATCAGGTAAATCAAGTTTGCAACATCTACTTTTAACCTTTAATTTATTTATCAATCGCCTCCGGTTTCCGATATCTACTTTTAAAAGCTTAGTTCTGATTTATCAACTCAGTTTGGGCTGCCTTCCCCCACCGAAAGAACTTGAACATAGAAAATAGTCAATCCAACCAGATCCAAAACAAGACAGACCAGTCTCATCAGTAGGGGGAGATCAAATTATATATCTGTTGTAATCTATTAAATTTCCCGGTCAAATGCGCTTCTAACGAAACTTTAAATCACCATTGTTCCACAACCGCATAACGGCATCCTCAATACGCCTATCGGAACACTATATCCCCTATGAAGATGCAACTTTTCCGCTTACTCTATCATTCTCAAATCTTTAGCACCTCGTTCAAAAGACGAATCTTCTGATTGATCTCTCAATCGGACAAGTATAGATTTTGGGAGCACAGGACAACATGTAGATACAAACATTTAAGAAAATTAAAGAGGAAGAAGACGCGGGACACAGACGAGGACGGTAATCATAAAAAAAATCCTGAAAAAGCTAAAATTGAATGGGATAAATAAACCAGAATACACCACTTTAGGAACCAACAGAGCATCTCAAACGGGACAAATCGGGCTTCTACCTTATAGAGAGATCCGTGATGTCGAGGGAGAGCTGGGCGTGCCAATTGGGCTTCTCGACGAACCAGACGGCCCTGTCCTCCCTGCTCTGATAGAAGCCCAGGCTTTTGAGCCACGCCTCTACGCAGGGAAGGCTGTGGGAGTAGAGAGGTTTCTTCTTGTCTGGGAGCTTCTTAAGCCACTCCTCCTCCGTGGTAGAGAGTTCGGCAGAGGGCGAGGATCGAACCGGAACCACTTGCTTCCTCCGCCTCTGGAAGTTCCCTACGGATTGCGGACGCGGGGAAGATTGAAAGAAATGAGCAGGGCATAAGGTGTGGAGACGGCAGGAGAAGGCGCAGAGCGACGACGGTCTGCCTAAGAGATCCGGCCTGAAAGATTTGGAGATCGACATGGCGCGCATTATAATTTGATTCCGTATAAACTAGACAGGGGAACGTAGAGGGAGAGAGAGAAATGAGGGGGGATAGAAAGAGGATAAAGGGGGAAAGGTCTCCTGTAGAGCCAGGTTGATGTTCCAGTAGTCCAGCGGAACATATTACGAATTTTAAACATTCAAATTAATCGATACTACCTCTCCCTTTCGGATGGTCCACCACTAAAACAAAAGTAAGCGTACCTTAAACGCCGACGACGAAGGCATCCTACTACCCCCAACCCACAGCGTCCTCATGGCGGAGGGGCAGGCGGCGAGGTCTGGTTTTTCTATCTCCTCCATTCCACTATTTTCTTCCTCATCAGCACGACTAAGACGACGATCATCAGTGCGGTACGCACACGCCGCCGCCACCCAGACCTTTCACGGTCTGTTCCCAACTGTGTTCTCCACCAGCACGCGGGGGGACTGCGAAGCGCCTAAGGCTCCTCGCCCGGGCAAACGTTCCATGTGCCCACCTCGCTGAGGTAGACCGAGCCATCCTGCTGAAATCTGACGCATCTGTAGGCCGGAAAATCCAGGCGGGGGACTGTTGAGACGCTGGCCAACTGCCACCGGCTGCCTCCGGAAATATGGACGCGACGTAGGTTGAACCTATTGTTCAACAGCAAGAACCCAGACATGCGGGTATTTAGAGTGGAGATGTAGTTCCGGTACACTGCGGAACTAGGGGATCTGATATCCAGAGTGATACAAAATATGCTAGAGGAAATACTGGAAGGGACCTTCCTAAAAGGGCTTCGCAAAGACACCCAAGTGGAGGTATATGTGCTCAGCTCTACTGGACTAGAGGAGATGATGTCGGCTGCACATAGAGTCGAGTTGAAGATCAACACTTTGGCAAAGCTAAGATCTATAGGACGAACGCATGCTACTCGACCAATAGAGTCGGGAGTTCTCAATTACGATACCAAGATGACTAGAGTTCCGAAGGGCAGCAATTTTCGAAGGGGAGAGGAAGGAGGACCTCGGACAGCTCCTACAACCTTTGTCCATTCAACAACAAGAGACAAAAGGAAGAAGTTGAACCTCAGAACAGCCGAAATTTAGGCATGCAAGGCCCTAAAGACTATTTTTTCTTCAATGATAAGTTTTCTCCAAGTCATTAGTGCCACTAGGAGCTCCATTTATTATTCGTATTGGCCGATTATGACTTTCTGCCCACACTCAATGAGACAGAAGCTGATAACCCCGACATACAAGGCGAAGAGGGATCACTGACCACTTTGAAGGTTTCCTTAAACTATTTAGCATTCGGGATGTGTCCTCGGACTCTTTAAGTTATGAGGGCACTCACTTGTGCCGATGCCTCTATTCGCCTACCATGTGCTGCTGCTACACATGCCACGTTGTGCCGCTGCACTCGTTGAGCGACCTTGGCATGCCGTCGTGCGCATGCGCGCATGCCTTTGGCATGTGGCAAGGTTATGCTACTGGAACCTCATGCCAACAAATTGGGGGTCATGATAAATGCCCCATCAACATTTTTCAGAAGCTCCTTTGTAGGTTTCCTAAACATTCTTCGATAATATTTTAGTTTACGATAAAACTTTAGAATATTACCTTGTAGATGTCATTGGCTTCAACACTTATATTAGAAAATTTATTTATAAATTATTTTTGAATGAATGATTAAATATTAATCAAACAATCAACATACATCTTCATTATTTACATCACAAGTTAAATATTTTTAACAAATATTTAAATTATACAAAGTGATGATGCTTAGAGCTGATCCAGCAGTTGCGATGGGTGTGGGAGATCCCTCAAATGGGTCAGTGGAATTCCAAACAGCCCGAAAGAGGGAGAGCAAGGGTTACAGGTCCCCACATGGAAGGTCTCATGGATGCTCTGAGCATGAGTTGCCCATCTCCCCGCCCTTCCTGGATCAAGGCAGCGGCAGCAGCTCAGAGATCCGTTGCAGCAGAATACCCTCGGTGACCCTTCCACCGAGCTTCCATTACTCGCCGTAATACCTCCCCCGTCCTCATAGGGAGAGACGGCTATCAGTAGAATCACGTTTAAGAAACAAAAATAAAATAAATTCAATACTCATAAACATACCCATTTATTGGATTGAGACTAAGTTACCTCCACTAGAACGATGATAACTTGAGAATGATATATTATTTACCATGATATTTTCAGTGCAACTGCACGATTATATACAATGTACAAATAACACAATAGTTTCTTATTAAAATGATTTTTTATATTAATTAAAATTAATTATTTGTGTTTAATGAGTCACACCCTTTAGATATCTTTTATGAAAAAATAATACATTGCGGTATTCTCGAAATATAAGTACAAAATAACATGTGTTAACATATGTGACGAAGTCTCATGTATATTCTTTTAAAGTAAAGTTACCAATGAGATTTGAACACAACACATGAGTACTGTGAAAATAGAAATATTAAAATGAATAACATTTAAAAAATCAAGGAAACTCAATGTTAGATATAAGATTTGAGCTTAGGAAGTAAGTTATTCGAACATTATACAGACTAAAGTATGAGCAAAATTTGAAATCGAGACCACTATAGCGACACCGTGGAAAGCTGATCAAATATTTTAAAAAAATCACATGATAAATGACTGAAGCAAGAGTCAATATTTGGTCCTACATAGCAGCTAAATTGGATTGTTTGTATGACGTCATCAAGGAAGTGAAGAAGTTTCCATCATATAACATGTATAATAGCACATCATAATCTTACATAGAGAAAATGACATAGTAAAACGACAAACTTTAACTTAATTTTAAAAGCAAGATTGTCTATTGAAATATCAGAAATCTCTAAAAAGAAAACTTTGAAGATCATATGTGGGAGACAGACATTTTGAAGTAAGGAAGAACTCAAAATTAGTCTCACATATCTTAGACAATAACATGTCACTATAATTTGTGGACAAAATGACAAGTTCAAATATAGTATCCTAATTCAATCTTAAAGACAAATATGTATGTTGATAAATTCAAAATCTACATATATATTATCAATGACAGCCTACATGAGAGCAAAAGATTTGAGTTGAAGTCTGATCAAAGGTCAGAAGTATGGATTTTAGATGGTAACTCATCAACATAATGTGTGGACTGAAGACAAGTCAAATAATCTCTTCTTATCAAGACCTTGAAAGAGAAAAAAATTATTAATTAGTTAAAAATCTCCAAATAAGATATCATGGAAAACAAACACAAGAGTAGAAAGCTTGGAACCAAAAAGTAGCTAAAGGTTATTGGTGTGCCACTGAAACAATGAAATATTTCAAACTCATATCATCATTTTAAGATGCTGAAATGATATAGATACATTAGAATGTAAAGAGGACAAGCTGAAGATAAACCAAAGGTAACGATGAATGAATAAAACTTTCATTAAAATCATTCACTCAAGCTTGAGGAAAAAATTATACTCAATCCCTATATAGTAAAGCATTCATTCATCTCAAAGAAAAAATTCAAAATTTATTTTATTCATTTATTTACGATAATCTATGAATCAACTAATTGAGCTAAAGGTTGCCTCTCTCCATTAAGCCCTAATATAACTTAAGTGGTGAGTAGAGAGAGTTAAGCTAAGGCGTGAGATGTTGAGAGCAAGAAATTATCTGTGAAACATGTTATTTTCTAAAGATAATTATGTATTGACTTAGGCACATGGTGTTGAGAGTCAAAATCTATTAGTGAGGGAGTAGATCTCTATAGAGATCAAATAATGATGTTTGAGAGAGCTGATCTTATAAAGTCAATTGTTTTTCATAAGGATCCTCTAGGACAGAACATTGTCCAAAGAAGGGTGAATCAATACAAAAACTTATTTTCATAGTTATGAGTGAGAGAGATAGATCATAGTGATCTCATGACGAAAAAAAAGACTTAAATGAATTTACATATAGACTCAAAGAACTATGTTAGAATATGTGTTGTCACATGTACACACAAAGAAAACAAAAAATATAATAGAAAAATATAAAAAACTAATTCACCCCCTCCCTCTTGATATTTCACTTAGTCACATCAAACTCAACCACACGTCACCTAGATCTTTCAACTCTTCCAAGAGGATCAATTAATAACTAACCCCTAGAAGTGCTCATTCAAGCAACTTTGAATTGCCTACCTTGGACATTAGATCACATTGAAAAAAGTTTGTGGATCTAAAAAAAGCAGTGGCAATACTACAATGACCTTCCCTAATCACTCTCTATGAACTCTATGGATTTATTGACCTCACATACTACTACCAACACTCATTAATGAATATGGAACTAAGGCATAAAGTCTGATATAGCATATAAAAAGGAAAGCTTCACCATCTTAAGGTCGTGCTGATGACAATCCCCATATTCTCACTTTCCAATTTCTCTTCATCTTTTAGAATTGGAAGTAGATGCCTTTGGGAGAGGCATGAGGGCCATTTTAATGTAGCAACAAAAGTTGATTGGCTACTTCAGCCATGCTTTATCTACTTGGGAAAAATATAAATTAGTATATGAGAAGGAGCTGATAACCATCCTCTTGGCGACACTAAAGTGAAAGCATTATCTATTAGGACAAAAAATCATCATCTTTACTGATTACAAAAGTTTGCAATAAATTTTAGAGCAACAATAAGTGAATCATAAATGATTGTCAAAGATCCTTAGCTTTAACTTCAAAATCAAATTCAAGCTAGGATCTTAAACAACAATGACTGATGCTCTATCACAGCACCAAATAGAGTGTGGCTTCTATTTACATAATTATCCTAACCTAAATTATTAGACCTAGATCAAATCCTTCAAGAAGTTCCAGTAGAACCTCAATTGTGGCAGATCAAAGAGGAACTCTTACAACACCCCAAACAATGGTTGAATTACACAATCTAACAAGGATAACTATTTTTCAAAGTACATTTAATGATCTCTTAGAATTCAACCCTCATTCTGAGTCTCCTACGAGAATTTCATGACTCGATAATAGAGGGGGCATTCAGGATTGTTACACACTTATATGCAAATTAGCAAGAATGTTTGATGGCGAGAAATGAAAGCCCATGTGAAGAATTATGTAGCTGCCTACAAAGTCTATCAAAAAAGAAAAATGAAGGCATTATCTTCAGCTATATTATTACAGTCCCTCTTAATCCTAAAAAGAATTTGGGCTGAGTTAATAATGGATTTTATAGAAAGACTATCAAATTAAAAAGGATTTAGTATAATTGTAAACATTGTGGACCATCTGGGCAAGTATGTCTCTTTCTCTTCTCGTTGTTGTCCTTTTTCAATACAAGATATCACACACATCTTTATTTGAGATATCGTTTGACTTCATAGAATTTCAAAATATGTCATCACTAAGTGAGATCATACTTTTATGAACTCTTTCTAGTGTGAATTATTTCAACTCCAAGGGACCCATTTGTGTCAAACCAATTCCTATTACTCACAAATGTACGATCAATCCAAGGTAGTCAATAGGGGATTTTAAACTTACCTTCACTATTTTGTCAAAGATTACCTACATTAGTAGAGCAAATAGTTGACATGGGTAGAGTATTGGTTCAATATGAATTTCAACATATCTATAGGCACCACTCCCTTCCTAGTAGTCTATGGGCATGCCCCCCTATTCTTCTGAAGTATATGGATCAATCCACCATTTCAAGTGAAGTAGATCAGTTCTTGTGGGGATGCAATGCTACCCTTACTCAGCTCAAACAACTTTTCGGACAACCCCAAGCTCATATGAAGACCCAAATTGATCTGAAACAATGAGACAAATTCACCAAAGGTGATCTTGTATATCTCCATCTTTAACCACATCGGCACACTTTCTTGCCACGACGACCATTCGTGAAGTTGGTCCGTAAATTTTTCAGCTCATTCAAGGAATTCTAACATATTGGGCAGGTGGCGTATTGGTTAGATCTTCTAGTAGACTTCATCATTCATTCAGTCTTTCATATCTCACAACTTAAAAGAGCCATTGCCTTGACTCTACCTGGGTCAGTCGAATTGTTATAAATCAATGAAGACCATGTTTGGACTACACAACCATCCCAAGTACTAGGAAGCTGACATGAGTATTTTGGGCCTCAGGTGATGATTCGATGGGGACGCCTATCACCAATAGAAGCTACATGAGAGTCAGTAAGAGCAATCCATCACAAATACCCCGAGTTTTACCTTGTAGACAAGGTGAAGCTCATTAGGGGGAGTAGTGTTGAGACGTTGGCCACCATACCCCACCCACATGGGCAGTGATCCCTAAAGACTGGCAGCCATCCCACTAATGACCCAGTAACTGAAAGCGTCCCCGATGGTTTATCGACAAGGGAGGTCTTTAACGGACTCGCGACTAGATAAGAGGGAGACTGCGGATCGAAGGGGAACAGTCGAACGAACGGCCTAATTAAACTAGAGGCGGGTACATGGGTACGAGGGGGGTCGGCCCAAATGAGGACGACGCTGAGTAGCAAAATACAAAAATGGATGGGAAAAGAAGGGGGAAGGAAATATAAACATACCACAGCTCTCGTTCCAAAGCGTCATAGAAGAATCGAGCCTGTAATCTCCAGACGGAGAGAGGAGAGTAGCCTTCTCGAATTTCGACTTCCCTAAAGGGTCGCATACTCCTTCGGAAGTTTAGTGTTACTCTGTTCACAAGAATCTCAATCAATTACAGTCTGATTTCCTTTGAAAGGCCTCTATTTGGGACCTGGTAGAACGAAGAGCGCCAGTTACCAGACTCTGGAACACGACGGTCAGCCTCCGGATGAAAGGCTCAAGAATCGTCCTCGGAGGGTTGCTGAATTTGCTGATCTTCAACCCCTCTGCTTCACCGGCTCCCGCACCTCAGCCTCATTCGCGGAAGCGTCCACGCCGGAGAAGAAGGTAGGAGGGACGCCGTACGCACACCGGTGCAGAGCGGGGTTAATGATCCGAGCTTGCAATCGCCGATCACAGGGCCCGATGAGTCGCCAGAGATGGTTCCCCAGCGTTGGCCGGTGGAAAGAGAACAAGATGGAAGAGACCAGGGAGATGAAGCGCCATCGCCATGCCGGCGTCGTCGTCCAAGCACCAGTGAGATCGTCTAGCCTCACCGTGAAAACACAGCTTCTCTGCTGCACATTGAGCTGTCGATAGGCGATAAAACATGATCTATAATTTTAGGGTTAAATAAAAAAATGGGTTTAAGGGGGGGTGGGGTGAGGAAATTGCGTATTCCCGCGCTTCTCTGCCGCCAACATTCAAAAATCACGATCTGGCCCTTTTCCCGCTCTCCTGCCAGGATGCCGGTGCACGTTAGCTGCCATCGGCGTATCATCGCAGAGAGAGAGAGATAAACGAGTTGCCAAGGAGAGAGAGAGAGGGATCGAAATCCTCTCTCTGCCGGCGGGAGAGGATGGATCCATCGCAGACGCGCCGCGTGGTCCTCCTGGTCGATCTCCACCCGCTCCTCACAATCCAAGATCCCGCGCAGTACGCCGCCGCCGTCCTCGCCGCCGCCCGGAGACTCCTCGCCTTCCATCCGCTCTCAGATACCCTTTTTGCTTGCAAGCCCTTCTTCTCGTCTCTCTCCCCTCTCCTCTCTACCTCGTGGATCCACCGCCTCTTCGGCAAGTCCGCGGCCTTTCTCTCCTTTGATCGTCCTTCCGGGACTCTCAAGTCTCTCTCCCTTATCCTCTCTTCTGTGTCGTCTAATTCTTCGGCTTGTGATGGTGACATCATTGGGCACCTCGGCTTGCCCCGTGCTTCCCTGATGAGCGAATCACTGTTCCAGCTTGCCTATGACTGCACGTGGGAGCCTCGGGCGGACAGCTCGACAGGTAAGAATGGGATCTCTCCCGTTCGGTCGAATATGATTGTGATGTTCTCGCCTCTGCCGCAATCCTTTAAGTGCTTGGCACAATTTTTAGAAGTGAGCGTCGATGACAAGATTATGTCGAACATCAACGAGTTTCAAGCTAAATTCATTAGTAGTTTCTGTTCGGTGAATGAGCTCTTTATCTCCAGAGATGTGCATTTCACTTGGCTTCATGTTGATCTTGATTCGGAGCAATTTGTTGAAGCGCCGCATAAACAGTTTATTGAGAAAGGAATTAGGGATGTGGGCTGGAGTTTATGCTCCACAGATGCAGTCGCATTGGGTGCAGTGTTCATTCCTTTTGGACTGATATACCCTTACATTGGGCATCAATTACCATCAGATTGTGTCGATGCTCTCAGGCGTGGTCGGGCGGAGTTAAGTTTAGAAGTCTCAGATGTTTGCGGGAAACCACTAGAATGTAAATGCTGCGATCTAGAAGTCCTCATTCCTGGCCTCCAAATGGAAATGGAAGGCATTTTGGATCTCTTTTCTCAAGATTCTAGAGATATCGCACGAATTCAGCTCAAAGACGTTCTGAGGGTCAATGATCAGTCAAAAGTCCAATCCCAGATGCATCCTGCACTTCTACTTCGTGAATTTCCGGGGGAATCAAGAATTGAAAATTTCACTGAGGTTATCCATGAGAAGGCTGACATGTTTTCCCCTGATAAGGTACTTGAATTGTTTAGTGAAGATGGGGGTGCAGCTGTAGCAGGAAAGCCCATCTGGCAGCTTCTGCTGGCGTTTCTTCATAGAAGACGTTATTGTGCTTTTGTATCTGTTAACCGTGGCAATGGGCACTCTCTTCTTGGAATTATGATGCCCTTCACTGTCCACTCTGCTATCATGTACATAGTGGACTATTCAAATGTTGATAGTCGAACGCCGAAACTCAACGACTGGATAAACCTTTTAAGTGTGCTTCCTCCTGAACCTGCAAGAGATAAGAACCATCGGAAAAAGAGAAATAAGTTCCTAAGTATGCTTCATGATCTCAGTTATGATTGTTTCCGTAAGCATGTATTCGGTCAGAACGGTGATGATAATTTTGAAGTAGGATTGGAGGATTTATATTTTGATAATGGATGCGATAATTCAAAGAAGCTTCGATTTTTCCAGTGTTGGATGAAACAGTTCAAGAAATGTAACTATTCCTTTTCGAAAGTCAGTGATCCTGAGGTGTTTTCAGATCCAAAAGAAGTAACATCAGAAAGATCAGCGAGCTCACATCATGAAACTACAGTCCTTGTTTCCCCTCTACCTTCCACGGAAGAGACTCATCAGTTTGCGGATATGAATGAGGAATATTCATCATATGTGTCTCTTCAAAGTTTGGAATCCTTTTCTGAAACTGTTTCCCAGAAGATTGAGCGTATTCTTAGTTCTGAGAAAGCGGACCTGAGTCTTTTAGCTGAACGTGTTGTCAAATTAGCGGTCCACTATTTCTTTGTTAAGTTTGGGGCCGACGGAAGTGAGGACCCAGTCTCTATAGGAGACGACTGTACTGCAGTGGTTGCTGCTGAAGTATCAAAGCTGCTTCTCAAGAGGCCTAAGGTTATTGCTGCCAAATACAGAAGTTCCAACGCTCCACCGCTACCGTCATGGCCTGCTGTTCCTGATGACGTAAAGAAAGTCAGAGAGTATCCTTTATTTGTAAAACAAGACTTTAATTTTCTATTCTTCTATTATTTCACCTTTTCATTTTTCGGTTTTCTTGTACTGCTTAATATATTCTAGACATGAGTTGCAAATTTTGTTTCGAATGGAGATACTCCAATCAGAAGTCAGCTCAAGTATAGACGATAACGCCAAGCTGAAGTTTGTAAAGGATATCTGCTTACTCTTGGAAAACATTGAATTTAATCTCCAAGGAAGTGTGTTTACCGGTGAGAGTCTTATAGACTTTGCTGGAAGGACCATAAAAGCCAGGTAAGCCTAAACCCTCCATTCAAATTCGTTGTCAAGGACTACAGCAGTTGCCCCCATCTGCGTTCATAATGATATCCAGTACTCCTACCATTCTTAAAATTAACATTGCAGGTGAAAACAAAAAACGTAGAATATTGTGTTAGATCAAAACCAGGGTGCGGCCTCAATATCAGGAACCTTCAAACAGTTGATGAATCGTCAAAAGCGCCATGCGAGCAAATCGCAAGGTGGACTATTTAGGAGAAACACTTAGGGCTCCAATCAGCTTTAAAAGGCGGTTTGAACGAATGGTCAATTTGACAAAGAAATATGCTGGATGTAAGCGTTTTAAGCATGCGCGTGTATGTATATTTATGTAAAAGATTGAACAAAATAAACTAGAAAGTTTTTGATTGATAGATATATAGTGGGTATTTGGATTTACTATGTAAAAACTGTCACACATTTTGTCTAGGGCCAATAATCTATACCAAGGTTGCGTAGATAAGCTAGAAGACCAAGGTTTCTAAGATGGTAGTTCCCCTTCACACTGCGTGGAATTCTCGTGCAATCCTTTGCTTCTACCAAATGGCATACTTTGATAGGAAGAAGTTTCAACAATTTTAAACAATATGTATCTGACTCGAAAGTATTAGAAATATTCACAGCTCGTTGTTTGGAGGTATATAGCTTGGATTGTTTATCCTATGTTAGTCTAAACTATCTTACTATCCGCTTGCAGGTATGCAAATTCTTTGGAACCCGTCGTTCACAGGATTTTTGCGCAAATGGAATTCTTTTCGTTTGAAGGGGGGGAAGGAGAAGACTCTGTTTCCCTACCCAACAGCAACAGTGGTGAACAACATCGGGACAGCGAGGGTGACGCCATCCACAGAGACGGGGGCGGAACCACTGGAAATCCCTCCCCCCGTCGCACAATCTCGACGGACAACTCATCCCAGTCGCATGAAAACTGCGGAAACACCGCGCCAGACAGTGCCGAAAGCACAGAAACGAGCGTGTTAATGAAGGCTCTAGAAAGAAGGGAAAGGGCCCGCAGATTCTCTCACTTTACAAGCTGGAGACAGAATTTGCAGAGGGTTTGGGCCCCCAAGCAGGCGAGAAAGGGCAAACCCACCGTGGAACCATCTCACAGATCGTCAAAGAAGAGGAGACGGCATCTGTCTCGTAAGGACACGGTGTGCGAGACGCCGATGGTGCGTGCTCGGAGTCATTCGCTACGACAGGACGACGGCAGCGGAGGAACCAACGCACGACCTGGCATTCCTTCGCTTTCCAAGGCTTTATTTACCAGCGAGGATTATACAGAACCGGCGTGACCGTCTTCAGAAAATGCAAGCTGAGAGTGCGATCAAAGTCATTTGTTGGTCATCCTCCTCCCCGTTACAGCAAGTTGGGTAATATGGCCGATTCGACTCAGACCATTTATGAAGAAGCGCCACCTCGACATAGGAGCTCTCCGAAAGGAAGGTGGCCATGGAAGTATACTGGTTCTATTGGCAATGATTAATCCTGGGTTCGGCCACATAACTCGTGGGCCGAAGCGTCTGCTCCTTATGCAGCATGCCGGTCCGATATTCTCCATCAATCCCAAACCTTTATAGTGAGCAAAATCTCCCATGCGGGGGCACTGTTCGTGATCCTGAAGAATAAGATCGCTGATTCAGAGCGAAAGATAGGCAGGCGATTCCACCTCCGCTTTTGGTCCCACTGCACTTAAAATCGGCAGATTCGGATGGAACAAGTGTTCGATATGTAATGCCCGGTAAGGCAGATTCGGAGCCTCAACACTTTAACACTTTATGTGATTGATGGTTGAAAATATTGTCTTGGAGAAAGATACCTGTGCTAAACTGTTCGTGACTCAGGGGCCCTTTGTGGCCCATGCTTCCCATAAGAGTTGAGTCTACATATTACTGAGGCGCAAATAGGCCTGAGGAAGTAGACTGAGAACAAAAGCCCACAAGATCTGTTCAGGAGTCAGCTCGCCGGCAGAGATGGGGGGGTTGAGAGCAGTCATTGATTGGGCAGAGAGATGGAGAGATGGGGGGAGGGGGTGGGGGAAGAGCCCGAGCAAGGGATGCCAGGAGGCCATAACCCTACAGTGAGAAAACAACAAAGCCAACAGCGAGGGGACGTGAGCTGACGCGTGCCCAGTTCATCTCGTTCGTTCACCCCGATAGGCTCAGTGCGCTAGGGTTTCTGTAGGTTCTTGGCGTGAACGAGAGGGCCCGTCGTACGGGCGTCCCCGGGGCTCCGCCTGTATCGTCATGGGGCGTCCTGCTACCCACCCTGCCGCTTTGCGTGACGCGCGAGCAGCCCGGCCCTCCTACCGAGTCATGAAACGGGGTTGCGTGAACGAACGGGAGAGACGCGGCAGATTTAGAGAGAGAGAGAGATGGCTTGGGTCAGTCTGGCGAGCACCAGTGGTGCTACAAAACCGTGATCTATGAAGACACGACGGACTCAAAAAATTACTGCGAGATTCACCAGTGGTGCTCTCAGGGGGTGGTAGTATGCCTCTCGTGCATGGTTCCTTCGATTTCTGGTTCCCGGGTCTGTTTCCCAAGACCGTCGTATCAGCTTTCTTCTTTTCCTTAAATTCGGTAACTTGTATCGAGCTTTGTACGTCATTCCTCCTCATTCGGATGCTGTGATGACAAGGCCACTCTCTCTCTCTCTCTCTCTACGTCTAAACATCCCGTGACCCCACCACCACCGAGTCCAAGCTTTGCCTCCTTGCTCGAAATATCATCTTTAGTTCTACATCTCTTCACCCTTCGGGGCCTCATAGGTGCAAGTCTCCCCCGCGTTTGCTTCGGTGGGGGATCGTATTCAGACCGACCGTCACAAGGAGTAGACGACAGGAAAGGGGCTGCAGGAGCACTACCCTCCGGATAATTTCTTTTAAAAAAAAGGCTGTGGTTTTTTAATATCCCCAACCTCTTTTCTCGTCGGACTCCTCACTACCCACTCCCTCTTTCTATGAAACAAGCAATGAAAAAGAAGGCCACCATGAATTAATTAATACACTTCCCACCAGCACCTCAACCTCTTGCAATCCCTGGTCTCCATTTCCGGCTGCTACACTGTGAACTTAGCCACCACGTTTATTTCCTTCGAAGTAAGCTAAATATGTTGGGTTCAGGGCGTGTGGCTTCTCATCCCAACGACTGATCTCCACCGATACGATCGAAGATCTTCTGGTCTCTACAGGGTGTCATGTTGCGCGATTTTACTTCTCCATATCTACTGTTCGCTGTTCATTCCATCGTCCTATTAAGGGGTTCGAGTGAGTGTGGATTAAATTACCGGTTTTTATCGGTTTACGGAATCAGCTAAGGCTCGGTAAAACCGTGAACTGCCCGCCGCGTATCGAAGCGAATTATTATGGAATATAAGTCTCACTCGTTCATGGCGTCATATATTTCCGAAATCGGCTTTGCATATATCGCCCGTAAAGTCTGACGAGTAAACTAACAGGCAGGTCATTTGAGGCGAGAGGGATGAAGATATGCGCTGGTAATCTCAACGCCACCGGAGGGGATCTTTCCCTCAGCTGTGTAAGAGGGTGGAATGAGAATGTACGCAGATGAGCGTTGCATATACCAATCGTAATGAAGATTATATCAATTTGAGGTTAAAACTGGATATCACCCAAGTAGCAGGTACGGGTATCGACGCCCTGGAGATTCTCTCAGTATCAAGGAATCGAGAATAAATCAGGGAGGCCAAGAAGAAGGACGAAGTGGGGTCTGGGATGGACTGGCCGCCCATCCATCGAAGAATTCACGGACTTCACAGAAATTTAGTGCGAGAAATGGACCCCGATTGCGCTGTCTCGGCGGCAATGCGTTTTGTGAGGAAGAAGAGATTGAACGGTCCAGTTCGGACGACTGTAGAGATGGAAACTGTAGAGACACAGAAGGACGTCCCTCTCCTCCGAGGACGGGGAGGGAGTGTTGCGGTGGGAAGGGGAGAGGTACCTCGGCAGTCGCGTCTATGGTTTTCAAGGGACGTTGGGAGTTGGCGACGTGAAGGGGGCCCCGTGTGGGAAGAAGGCACCCGTCTCGCCTAGCAACCAGCTTTTTTTCCTCTGAAAAGACATCTTCCGGCATGAGAGAAAGAGGGATAGCGAGGCCAAGAGATTCCGATTTCCCGTTTTTTATTGGCTGCATGGTCCGGGCCCTGGCCTTCTCCCCCACTTGGTTGCTTCCATCGTCCCGTACAGATTAATTTCTTCATTATTTTGACATATTCTCGTTTCCATTCTTAGTAACCGATCCCAGTTCCAATGATCCATGTCTATGAACCCCGGTGAAGATCGATCCCTATTCACGATTCTTACAGCCTCCTACCCGGGACCGTCAACTGACTCCCGAGGAAGAAATGATAACAGCGGGGAAGATCCGCCAGTCAAGGTCTAGGATTTCCGGGAAGGTCGAAGGTTCCCATGGATGCCCAGAAGTCAACACGGGTGAGTGATAGGAGAAGTCGGTCTCCTTTCCAAGCGGCAACTGGACAGTGTTGAATTTTGATACCCATTATCTTCTATTATCTCAGATATTTTACTGATAGTCCCATATTGTTTAGAGGATTTAAACCGACGTAAATTCGTCTGTGAATGAAATGAGCACCCTTTCAATTTCCGATTTTTTTAAAACATCAACATTTTCCAGTTGCGAATCGACGCCACATGCTTCCTTGTGAGAGCTATTTAAAGGAACCCCCTTGCGTACTAATGCAACTACGGGCTTCGCTTGTGACCGGGGTTAAATCTCCAGGGTCTTCTCCCTGGGGAAACCCTTCTCTCGCAACCAGTTCCTGTTGTTTCTCCTTCAGAACAGGCCGACCATCTGCCTCTCTCTCTCTCTCTCTCCCCCTCTCCCTCCTTGCTCCAGTGTTTGACCATGTTTTCCTGGCGAGGCTACCACCAGTTGTATGAAGCACCGAACGAAGCTGTCAGACTCGTCTCCGGAAAGCGTTACGGAAGTAGAGATCCAGCAGTTCTCTTGTCCAGCTCGTGTGTTGACCGATGCTTGTTTCTGCGGACTGCTTTCTCGGCTTGGGCGCAATAGAGCTTTCTTCAGTCCACTCAAAGGTGGCTATAGGGTTGCGTTAGCTGCCGACTCATTCATCCAAATACCAAGTACGGCTTGGTAACTGAGTGAATGATGCGGGAGGTAATCTGGATCCTATGCTAGCTGTGCTTGGACTGAAGGGAGCTCCCTTCTGTCCATAGCCCATCCCTTTATCTTCTCTTTTCTGGTTAGGGCACGCTCCTCGTCCTTATTTTGCTATACTTTCCTGTTTTGGGTTGTTCTCGATGCCTTAAATTCTAGGTTACAATCTCTCTATTGCACGGAAACCTCTAATAATCTTCATCATCTCCGTCCGCAAACTTTTTCTCGATAGTTTTTTGCGATTAATTGGCGTTAGTGAAGCTAGAAAAAACCTGTTTTTCTACAAATATCCGTTGATCTTTGTGGGGTTATTGCTGGATTCTAGGACTTGCCTTAGCCTTATCCCTAACGGTCCTCTCCTAAGAGATCTCTCACGAGTTTTTCATGGCGTTTTGCTAAGGCAGCTTAGTTCTCTCGCTTCCTTTTACCATCGTCAAGACGGCGTTTTCTACTGTCAACGCAGGATGAACGTAATTTTTGGACTCAACATGATCGAAAAGTTACCAGTAATATTAATTCGATCTTTGGATTTCTCGAATACTCTCCTCGTTCGTCCTTGCTTCTGCTGTTATACATAGCGCTGCGGCTGGAGTTTGGAACTCAGCGTCCATTTCGGTCTCTCTTCTCGCGGAAGACGATGTTTCTTCGTCCACTGATCTCCTACCAGCCACCTGATTCATACGGAACGCTAGTGTTTTCGGTTGAGTTCGCCATGGATCTGTTTGATCTCTTCTTAGTACTGCAGTGAAACGAGTACGAGGAGAACTCACTGTTCCAGAAGAGAATCCGCAGGCGCGATCCTCATCTTCCAACAGTCCCCAGATGATATTCTTACTTCTCAAGCTCCCTGATATCGTCGCTTCTGAGGATTAAGCTCAACTTATGGTTGCCTAGCGAAAAAAGTTGGCGCTGCACCTGAAAAGATGGAACCCCCCATCTCCGGTCGACAGACTCCCTCGTGCTGTTTCTTCCCCTCATGATGTTCCGCTGTTAAAGAAAGAGTCGTTCAGATCGCGTCTACCTCCTTTCTCATCAGCAGTGTTTGGCTGCCCTTCCCATTGTTCAGCAATCTTCGCAATGGTCGTAGGAGTTAGCTTGGGCTCAAGTATGCCATGACCACCGTTCTATAACAGAATGCGGTCACGATCCTGAACATCACAAAATATTCTTAGACGGATGAATCAGTAGGTCAGCGTGGCAAAGGCAAAGCTTCCGCGATCAGAACGGTTGAACTTCTTAAACTCCCAATCTGTGAACATCACAACGTTTGTGCTTCGAATAATATGCAATATAGAGTCATGGCCGATTCTGGATTCGGATCCTCAGTTGGGTCCATCGCGTTGAGTTCGCCGTCTTTCTTTGAAGATCAGCCGCGATGCTCTGTCAGTTCTTTCTCGGGTGGATGTTTGCCCACTTTGTACTTTGATTTCCTACCCCCATAGATGATCAAGGAAGGGAAGGGTGACGAACCCAATAAAGGATATTTAGATCTCCGAAATTTTTTGACCTTGCAATTGCTTCGATGTGATCGAATCTCTCCGGCAAATGGCGTGGGCAGTCCGTCCTGATTGAACGGGGAAAAGGTTGTTGATTTTACATGTGATCCCGGTGTCAAGCAAGGGAGTCTGTGTCATTCTTCGCTTTCCCTCCATTTTATATACAAAAGGGACACAGTTGCCAAGTTCTTGACAGAATCGCAGACGTCCATTCAAAATTAAAACGTAATCTCCCGATAAATAATCTCATGTTTCCCGAGAAAAGCGTCCCTGTCCACGAGGGAGCCGGAAGTCGGAAGGACGCCGTGGGCTTGGGACAAGCTCGTAGCCGTCGTCTGAAGGCAATTCGTTGACTTATTAAGTGATTTCTCATGATCCGCGGAAGGCAGTTGCTGTGCCGAAACGTTTCAAGAACATTTTGGAATGGGTTCACCAGAGATATTCTTTTCGTGTGGTGATTTGACCATTTCGACCTTTTTCACTTGGGTTTCAGCTTTCAAATGGTATTATTGATTTGTTCTGGGCCGAATTTTTTTCTGACGCATTTTTTTCCCGCGTTGGTTAATCTTAACTTGGAGCTAAACAACGATGATAAAATTGTTTATCGGAACCTAGAATGACACTCATTTCCTTCTCTGCAAGCGCTGCAGTCGACTAAGTTCGCAATAGATCCACCGATGCAACAGAATTTTATAGCTAAACCGATCGTTGGAGAGGATTATAATCGCCGAGAGGTCAACATTCTGAATTCTATATTCAGCGGTCTAAATGCAGAGAGTAGCACAGGATCCGAATCGGTACAGACGGTCGGTATTTCTGTGGAGAGGGATCCGAGTAAGTTCAGATAGGCGTGTACAGTGGAAGTTCGCGGCAGACCGACGTGGTGAAGAAGATAGGTTTTTTCGGAAGGATAAATGGCTAGCGGTCCTCCCTTCTACCTAGCAAATGGAGGTCTCCCGGCTGAGGAGGATGCTGGAGACCTTCGAAGTTGGGCCCTGCGAAAGTGCCCGGCAGATGGGTTTTCGCATCGGCCAGAGGTTCTCGCATCTGATCAGGAGCAGGGTCGCCGGAGACCAAATTCTTCAGCAGCAACTCCTTCCCTTCGCAAGAAACCCGCAAGCTCAGCCTCTGATTCGATCTCTCTCCTCCGCTAACAGGTGCCCCAGTCCTCCCTGTCGCTCCCTCTCACTCTCTCTCTCTATATCTCCCTCATCATATGGGCTCTGGGCAGGGGAAGGTTCCCAAGATACTGGGACGAGATGCTGGGGACGGCGGAGGGAAGCGGCGTGTCGGCCCTCGAGGTTCTGCTCTTCTCTCGGGCCATTCAATTCCACCGCCCAAACCGGGACTGAGTCGGATAATTTCTCTGTAGCTACTGCTGTTGAACTTTCGGAAGGAGATACTCCCCTTTCTTCCAGACGCAGAGGCGTCTCTGCCAGACCTCTGCAGCGATGACTGCTCGGATATCCTTCTTGCGAGTAGCACGGCGGCGATTGTCGCCCACAACGAGGATGCCAATGTAGCTCTGCAAGGGCACACGTAATCCTTGCCATTTCGTTCTCATCCTCGAGCCAGCGATGCGGACTCTGAATCTTAAGCTCTGGGTGACGCTTATTCACTTTCAGGTACTTGGTTAAGGCGGAGCTGTCGGATGGGCTGTCCTTCACTGCCTACACATACGCCGGCGAGATCCCAAGCTGTGCTTTTGGCTTCAACAGCCATGGGTTGGTATATTCCCTCCTCCCCCTTCCTTTCTCTTCCTCTTTTTGGCTCGGTCGTCATTAAAAGAGAGAAAATAAGGGACCTGAGGGAGTAGCCATGCTCTGACAGGCATTCACGCTGAATTCTGTACCACCAACGAGGAAGGAGATCGTAGAAGGGGGAATCGGGAGGAACTTCGTATCCCGGGACTTGCTGGAAGCAAGGAGCCTCGACGACGCATTGCAGGTTCTGATCTTTCGTTCTTTCCGACTCTTTTGCTCACCTCTTCCTAGAGACTTCAGGTTCTAGGTTCCAGTTTCCTGCGTTCTGCAGAAACTGCGTCTCTGCGATGCGTCCGTCGGCCACAGCTACAACCTAGTCGACGTCAGAAACCGCAGAATCGTCAATGTCGAGACCGCATCCCGGAACCGTGTGTCTGTCCACGAAGTCGGAGCGACACCCTTCTTCCACGCGAACCTGTACCGCCACCTTCAAGTAGATCAGGTGAATCAGAGGAAGAAGACGGATGGGGAAATTATGAACAGAGGAGGCCTCCGAGTTATGACCCAGAAGATGCTTCCTTCTCAGATGCAGGACGAGAACTCCGCGAAGAGGGAGAAAAGGGCGGCTTCACTCTCGGCTGAGTCGCAGGAGGACATGCTCTCCCTTCTCGGAGATTCCACAGATGATGAGTACCCGATCTACATGACAGGTAGGCTCCTTGGCCATTTTCAGGAAGGTCTGCCCTCGAATTCACCTCTGATGCTGGAGAAATCTCAGGCCCAAAACTCCACACCCTGTGCACGGCACTGATAGATCTGGACAAGAGAACCCTGAGCATAATTCACGGGAACCCGAAAGAGGGAGAGGTTTCGCATGTCTTCGAGATACGCTAGGGGCGGCGTACCCTCCTCTTCGGAGGCAACCTGTATGATTGATTGCCCGACAGAAATCTGAACGATCACAGTTCATCTGTATTGGGTCGGTCACGAGTGGTTCTTCAAGAAGACGGAAGATCCGCGCGACTGTTTTCATGCTGTATCTCTATTTGGACGACCCCATTCTTTTTCAGTGACTCGATTATCAGCCAGAAAACCAGAAAATCATCTTGATCATCACAATTTTCGAACCTTAGAAGCAGTAAGACGCCCATCTGGACTATGGATGGACTCCATCCTTCCCCCACTTGAGTTGCGCTCCATCAGACTGAAATAACTTTAGATCAAGAGCAACGAACATATCTTATAATATTCGTCAGGGTCCGTGATTAAACCCAATTCAGCTCCCAGAAACATGTGAGAGCTCAATTGAGCTGCACCTTCCCCATTTATATTTCTGTTCATCAAATAATGTTGCTCCTGTCTTCTAAACAATTTTTAGACCAGTCGGTACATGACGTCGAATTTGATTCAATCAGGTTCAGTGACCATCTGATTTTTTTAAATTTAACGACGCAATTTACGGTTTCATAAACCGTATTACCGCGTTACTAATCTACACGCAAGATCCCATATCATCGTTGCTTTTTGTTCTCCCGAAAGGAAATCGAGCGCAAGTCGATAAGAGAATCACTAGAACAACCAAATCAGAATCGTAGTTGACTTCGCTTCAATAAAGTCCAGGTCTATCCAGATGGATCCCCCGCTTCTGGGCCATTGACGGTATAATTCTTCCTGAACTTTGGAAGACACTGGGGGGGGATATTTCTGCCGATTCACCGAAGAGAGATAGGTCCGAGGCCGAGCCAGTTCTCGGGGTTTCACGAACTGGGGATTGGGATTGGAGCTCACCCTCTCCAATCGATTTCCGAACGCGATAGGGTGAATGGGCCTGGGGATTGCCCTGAACGCGCCGCCGTTGTCAAGGTAAGTGGAGCGGAAGCTTTCAACTGAATCCGTGAGGATTATTCTTGGTACAATTGAGTTTCTCGTCCTCATTGAAGCCTCCTTAGAGAGAGAGAGAAAGAGAGAGGTTCTGTCAGTAGGTTCAGAAGGGCCTGAAAGGGAGGGGGAGCACATGGCACCAGGCTAACAACAATTTTTGCATGGAGGCCTCACGACGGGTTCGCTCTGTAACTCCCGAGAGCGGTGCTGAGGCTACCAGAGTAACGCCTACCCTCTACCTGTCACCTCCCTCCTCCCTCCTCCCCCCAGCAGTCCGCTAGCGAGCCTGCTGCCACACCGCCAGGCCGTACTGATGACTACGTCCTTGCCGCGCAGGCCTGACAGGCCGCAGCGGCACGCCGAAATCGGCCGGAAACCGCCGGCCGGCCGGCGGTGGCCGCGCCGAAGAGGCCGGAGAGGCCAAGTTTTCGTCACCGTCGTGATGGCGACCGTGCGGCCGAACCCAGAGATGGATAGATAGACCAGCGCCGGGCAGGACAGAGCCTCTCCTTCCGAAAAGAAGAAGGCGACAGCAGCGTCTCGATTTCTTCTTGTCGACACACAGAAAAGCGTAGACCAGCACCACTCCCTCGGTGCGGTAAAAACCGACGGAACCCTCTTCCTGACGTTTACCCTCAGATAATCTGTTCGCTCGCCGGAGCAAGCGAGGGACAGACCGGCGAAAAAGATGGCATCTTTTGCCCCCCCAAGCACGTAAAGCCATCGCCAAAAGACCTCAAGATTGGGCATAGGGGAAGAGGCCATCGTCGAAGATTATATTATATTGCGGATCCACTTAATAGAACAAGGCCGTGGAGTAAGGCGAGGAAGGGAAAACCTACTCTCCTGTCTTCTCAATCTTCCGGGGAGGAGGTGATCACGGTAGTGACTGTGTGATTCAGGGGGAAACCTCGAGCCTGGGCTCGAAGGAGAAGCCGGAGAAGAGCTGAAGGGGAAACCTTTTCGCGACAGGGCACTTCACCGACCACCTCCACTGTCTCTGATTCATATCGAAGACAAGCAGCGCTGGGGCGCCGTAGCTCTGGATGTAGATCAGATCGCCGGTCCCGCTGCTGGCGAAGACGTCGTCGAACTCGCCGAAACCCTGGAAGAGCCGGTGGGGCATCCGAGAGACTTCCCGCCACTCCCGCTTGTCGAGCTCCCAGATGCCGATCCCCTTAATGATGTCGGGGCGGTCCTGCTTGCCGATTCCCCCCACCATCACCAACCTCTCCCTGAGATTCATCAGACGCCCGCAGGTGAGAGAACAGGGCGCCGGCACCGAGGACCTCAGCAAGGAGGAGCCTTGGGGGGGTCTCGCCAATAGATTGTACATGATGACGCTGTGCCTGGCCTCCGCGTTGCCCACCACGCCGGTGCAGTAAATCAGGCAGTAGAGAACTCCGCCGCAGATCACGCTCTCGTCCCCTCCTCGCCACCCCGTCATCATCTCCCTCGCGGGGGTGGCCCAGTTCCTGCTCCCCGAATCGTAGACATGGATGGACAAGTCCCACCGAAGGAAATCCCCGGGGACCTGCCTGCACTTCACAACGCAGATGGTGTACCCGCGGGAGGCCCCGTCGACGTATATCGAGAGGGCACTGTAGTCGGAGAACTTCCCGCCGGGGGGGTCATTGAGCCGCTTCCAGTGCCGGGTGATGGGGTTGCAGACAAAAAGGCGGCTGCTGCTGTCGTTGTCCATGAAGCAGACTAACCCACGAGAGGAAGAAACAAACCAGTTACTGGCCTCGATGCAGGGGAGATCCAGCCCCCCGTACCACTTCCGGAGGACGGGATCATAAGCGTAGCCGGATGCGGCGTCGTTGCAGGTGAACATGAAGTACCAGGGCTTTTGGGACTGATTAATGGTCAGGTTCCAGAGGAACCTCTTCGAGCTCACGACCTCGTTCCATCTCCTGCAGACGCATCCTGCTCGGAATATGCTCGGAATAGGGAGGAAGGCGAGGATTTTCTCCAGGAGATCGTCGGGCAGGGCGTCGAGGGATGCTGCAGATTTAACGCCATGGACATCCTCACCGCTTGCGGAGAATAGCCCCAAAGCCTGAAATCCACGGCCCCCTGCTGTGTGACCGGCTGGGTGACCGACCCACGAGGGCTCACCCTCCATGACCCCGAGAAGGGTAGCAGCGGTCTAGCGAAGGCGATGGATGGAACAAACGAATTCGGTGAGAAGAGCTATACAAAATGAGTGCAGAGGAGATGAAGAGAGAACTTTGAAAGAAAATAAGTGCAAGACGATGGCCACTGCCATCCATCCTCGTCTCCCCTCGTTCCAGAATCTCCGAAATAACCAAAGAGAAGATCATGGTTGCTCACATGCAGAAAGATTAAACCGGACTCAGAGAGAAACAGGGAGCGGCGGTGGAAACGGCAGAAAGGGAAGGTCCGGAGGCAAAGGAGGGCGTGATGCGTTCGATTGGGAAAACCCAAGAGGGGATGGATATCCAGATATGCAGGCATTGGTGATATTGATGCGGGTTTCCGAAATCGAATAGAAACTGTCCAGAAAATGTGATCGTCAAGAACAGGAGGAATCCAAGTTGGACCTTCGAAGAGAGTCTAGAATTTAGGGATGGAACGGAGCCATTCCTCTGTGAAAAGAAATCCTCCATCAGAGATCGTAGTCGGTCCACTTAACAGGGGTATGAGAAGAAGTTTGGGGAGACGAAAATGGGATGCGGTAAGACGAAATGGAGATGCCAAGCGCACCTTGAACTAGCCAGGAACAGCTCCTCCTCAGAAGAAATGCCCGTCAGTGGATGTTTTTCCCTCTGATCGTCAGAACCCTCCGGATCGCTCTTTACGTTCCTATCTGCTCCTTCAGAAATAGATCAGAATTAACCATGAACGAAGAGACGAGGGGACAGAATAAGACCGATACCCCCTCCCCCTCACCACCACCACACACACACACACAGAAAAGGGGGGGGGGTGAGAGAGAGAGGTGTCACATTGTAGGAATCTCGCAATCAGGAGAGGGAAACACAAGAAGATGGCGGTGTCGGCGGCGGAAAAGTGTTGCCGTCAAATAACCTCAACCACCCTCTACAGCCTCTCGATTTAGAGGGGATAAAACACAGACGGCGGAGAATCCCGAGCTGATGGTAGCGAAAGGGGCCTCGTCTCCGGAGCTGAAAACAGGCATTGCCCCGCTACCCTATCTGGGCTTCTTCGCATCAGAGCAGACAAGGAGGGGCTGCCGGGAGAAGCGGCGGGAGGAGGAAATCTCGGGAAGGCGAGAGGCCGAAGAGGGGAGGGGAGCCCGCGAAGGTCAGAAGCCAGAAAGGTGGGAGTTATATCGTACCTGAACAGCTCCATCCTCATTCGCTGCTTTCAACGCTCCTCCTCCCGAATATTAACTGAAAGAATTCTCTCTGCGCCGCGCCCCTTTTATGACGTCATTTTTCCTCAGCTACTGGTGATGCCACGCGTCGACGAAAAGCATCCCCAGGCCCATTGTCCCCTTAAAAAAGTGTTCTTTCTAAAGCCGACAAAGGGTGCCACGCAGCAGCCACCGCAAAGACCACCTCTCCCGCCGCCGCTGCCGCCGCCGCCGCAGCCGCTCTGGAATGCGTGGTGATCTGTTCTCCCTGCGGGTCCGGCCCACGGTGGGCACCCACACTGCGCGGGGAGCTCCTCCACGGGAGCCGGTGGGAGCCCCACTTCGTACTGCAGATGCCCAGTCACGACTCACTCGCAGACGATGCATCTCCGGGCTTGACGGCGAAAAGCAGAGGCCCTTCCGGCAGGCCACAGAAAGGCGGAAGATGACGCCGCGACGGCGCAATAAAACCAGCAATAAATCCTCCTCCGGCAGGCCCGAGCCCCTGCCGGAGTCTACTGCTACGTTCTGTTCAACAAAACGATGAGCACCGGCGGCAGAGCGCTAGGCGTCTACTCGTCCGGACGACTGGTAAGGGCCCGGAGGCTATTAGGCTCTTTCGCCACGACGGAACTCTTGCCCGTGAAAGTCGTCCATCTAGCCGATGCACTAGCGGCAAAGTCCCCCGCAGCCCCCGTTAGGAGATGGGGGAAAACCGGGGATGACGGAGTGACAAGCGTTCTGAATCTCCACCTCCTCGCCAAAACCTTGGACGAATTGTCTTCCTGGTTGAAGAAACAGCTGGTGGAAGGAAGGGTTGAGCCGCAGGCATATCTGTCTACATGGAATCCGGGTCCTGAGCGATGGACACCTACCCTCCTACCGAAGAACGCGCAGAAGATATTGGGTTTGCCGTCGAGCCGTGCAGAGGAGCCGGCGGATGCCGACGGCGGCAAAGCAGGGCTCGCAGAGGGGCCTTGGAGAAGAGAAGAGTCCCTAGTTCCCCACCGGAGGCTCGACTCTGCAGATTAGGGAATCGACCGTAAAGATACCCACTGGGGAGAATCGGTAGTGGACGGTGGACAAGGAACCGCCGGGGCGGAGCGCCGCAGGGGAGGGAGAGAGATAGAGATGACTGGAGGACTGGAGGAACCTCCATAGCGGTGTTTCTCCCCACCATAGCGGCCCACGAGTCACCGGAGCTTGGAGGAGGGAGAGAGAGATAGAGATGACTGGAAGACGGACGGATTCTAAACTGTTGGGGCATAACTATTAGGCTTTAAAACTGAGAGAGATAGAGGTAACCAGGTGAACCTTAAAAGTGGGAGGATAATATTTAATCCCCTTTCTCGAAGTATTATTTCAAATGGGCACGATTTGATTTGATGGGCCTCGGCGACGATTACGGTCCATGGGTCAAAATTAGAGTGCTGATACCTCAGGTCTATCGGAGGGTCCGGTTCCATTTCATGTCTACTCGGAGAAGCGACATCTACTCATAAAATGGGGTTCCAGCTAGACCCGACGAAGCCGCATGCGGGCTGGCCCTCCGCATACAAATATCTGATAGAGGGAAGGATCTTCATCGTTCAGCGACCGGCCCGATCCGAGTCTATGTTGATGCTGAAAGTTTTGGAGTCGATGTGCCCATTTAAGCTGATCAAGATTCTATGGGTGCGGAGATTTTCCACGAGTTTGCTGTTCATTGTCGTGAGTATACCTTTTTTGTTCTATGATATTTATCTAATCATTAGCCTAGACTATGTGGAGATTAGACCCTAATGACTTGAATGGACACGCGATTCATGTAATCACCATAGTGGACGCTTTATTGCAATTTATGTGATGGCAATATGTGACCCCACCCCCCCCCCCCCACCACCTGGACTGTTGAATTCGATATGATCCTGAAAGAGTTTCCCTCGTCCGAACCTTGAGCACTACGTTTAATAACCCTGTCATCTGATCAAATCCTTGTCCCAGTTTGATTCGTACTTTTCTCCCACTTAAAAAACCTTCATTGATATGAATAACCCCAGTCAGCAATGCTTCTAAGAGAAAGATAGCATAGAGACGGTCGACGTGCCCAAGGCAGATGTAGATCCTAGACTCGGCGGCAGGAGATGTAGCGAAGGCGTTTCCAGGTCCTGTCCATGACGAAAACACGCGGAGCAGGGCGCCGCATCGCTGAATAGACACGGACGTATCAGTGTAGAACCACCTTTCGAAATAGTTTTTAAAAGAAGAAAGAAAATAATCCGTGGACTCGTTTCTTGGACAATCTTGTTTTTACCCTTAATCCCCCCTTTTTATGATCTAAATATATGGTTCGATCGACTTTCTTCCCAAGTGACCCCTTCCAGTAAGCAAAAATTCCGGAGGGTCTGAATTCATCACACGGGCGACTGTTGTAAGGTCCACCTCTCTCTCTGCACCAACCACCTTCATGCAGCTATCGCATAAGAGAAAAAAAACCTTACGTATAAATTGGCACTAATAGGTTTTTTGTTGCACCGTAACGAATATTTTTGCTTGGACCCATCACTTCCTTAGCTACTCTAGTTTGACCCGAGCTGAGACTTCCGCGGGGAACTGGCCGAGTGTTACATTGACCTTCTAACTGCAACATTTATGATATTGTCCTTAGGCAGGCAATAGACCTGGCGTCAACCCGGATCCTTGACGATGGGGATCAATTAGATTTGTGTGGCACGGTGTACAGGAATCCTTGGGAGGTCGGCATGATACGACTGCCAACGTCTCTATTGGTTCCTATGATGGGGAAGCAGCCTTTGACCTTTACCGATTGCTCTATTGGAGACAGACCACCTTTCCCATTTAGCTGGGCCTCCTAATTTCTCTTAAGATTGATCGGATTTGATCCTGCAGAAGTTAGCATGCGAAGAAATTATTGGTGACAAGTGACAAAAGACAACGAATGCAGTTAATGAAAACAATGGCAAAGAGTTAATGGCCGACCAGATGTGAATGGGGGCATTGATTGCACCAAAATATGAAATTTTCATTGAAAATTATTGCAATTCACTTACTGCACATGTAATTTTTTTCCCAAGAACTGATAGAGTTTCTCCATGAGAAATCCTTAGAGTTAGTGAAGGTAGTCATGGCACATCGACATAGAAAACAATCATTTGGTGTTAAATGGTGAGATGCATATTTGAACACTTGATCTCTTAAGTCTAGACTTAAGTTAGGGAAAATTATTTAAATAAAATATTCAATCTATTCATGAGACTATCTAAAGGTCTGGATTAGTATCTTGAGATTGAATGTCTCTTTGTAAGAATAAATATGCAAGCATGTGATCATAATAACAACAAAAACTCAATTTCTACATATCATGAGAGTAAAATAGAAGAGAAATCACAAAGTTATCATGAATCATGATGAGAACAAGACTTCTACTAAACACTTCTAATTCATGTCTCAACTCCTTTGAGATGACATACATACTAAAAAGTCAATAATTGACTTTTATCTCTTTCTATAAGACTTCATTTGTAATAGAAGAAATAATAAATACTAAGAAAGAAAGAGAGTTGATGTGGAGAGAGAATGAAATCAGATGAGAGAGATAGATCTCATCATCCATCATGCTCATAAAAAAGGAAATACATGTTCTATTTTTAGAAAGTGAAAAGGTAAATGTCTCTCAAAATGAGGCAATCTAGATGTATGTGTGGGTAAGCTCACACATATCAGAGGTGATGGTTTCAACCACCCTCATTTCTTGCTCGCTTTATTTTCATGACTCCCAAACATGT